TATTATTATTGGGAAATGTGGGATTTGGTTAAAAGAGGTCCCCCTCATCATTTCATACATTCATTTCAATTACAATAAATACAATGGGTTACACAGAGCACCCACACAATAGTAGAACTCTCCATTCATATCTTTCTTTCAGTATTATTTATTATTATTCACCATACACTTCCCTTTCCATCACTAATATCCACTCGACTTCGCAAATAAAAACTGATCTGTACAAATATAATGTGAACTGTTAGCTATCTCAGATCATCTATTTTAACAGGCTAGTGGCGGATTTAGCTCAGTGGTCAACACGCTTGACTCCTGATGCGACAGTCGTGTGTTCAAATCCCACCGATTGCAAAAATGTTTGAACACAGCAGAGTGCAATAAAAAGCCTTTTAATGAGCAAAAGAGCAACCCAAGCGGATGCTGCTGTTGAATGTTCCAGATGAAATGTACGCTTCACTCGAATTGTCTTGTGCTCTGTCTCTGGTTATAAGAGGTGGCGAAAGAAACTAAAAGTGGGTTAGTCGGCAAATTACTTCTGGCGCTGTGAAAACAAAGGTAATATCGTCATAGAAAGATCTCCGGAACTAAATATACAGATACCGGGATGGAAGAGACGAAACTTCGGAGGAGTCTGCTTAACGTCCAGAAGCAGTAATGTACTAGTAGACCATAAAACTCTAGCCAAAAAAATCCCATTGCGGGTTTTCATATATAGCCCAAATGTATACGGATGATTTCTTAAGGGGACCACAATAGATCAAAAATATACATGATCGAACTGGCAAGGAAGGGGGCGATTAGCCGACACTCCTCTCAACCCACAAAACTAATTCTTCTTCTTCTTGCCAGACTAAGTCATGCTTTTAACCATAAATTCAAGTCAATTTAAGTTTATTAGTCTCAGGCTTATTACAGCCAATTTGTGTCCATCGTCGTTTTATCGTTGGTGACCAAGCTCGAGGACAAAATAATGAAAAAGTCCCTTTATTATATATATATATATATATATATATATATTGAGTGTCCCTTCATGGTAAGAATAACTATGCTGGCGTCTGTACTTCTACACTGAGATGGCACAGACCTATCATTAGCAACTATTCGGCTCTGGCTTTGACAAATGGTTCCATGGGCTGAAGCATCTATATCTGCTAACGTTTTAAAATCTTAGGAAATATAGCTTATGCAAACTAAAAATTGGCTTTTTCACCGTTTTGCTCAGGAAGTCAATCGTCAAAACTTAGACGTTCGGGAACGAAAACTACGTTCACAAAAGTCTGTACTTATGAGCGAAAAATACATTCATACAAACATATTTTGGTCCAAATACATTTATTTGCATAGTTTAATACACTCGAACCCTTTACACACATCAAAAACAAGGACACAAGTGGCGGCTGTCGCCGGCATTCAAGACAACCTCAGCGGGTGTTAGCCAATTTTTTCACTTGCCTTTATTTCCATTGCAGTGCAAGATGATTTCGACGTTTATTAATACGAATTGTGTGCAGTTTTCTTTTTTTAACACAATATTATGAAAATATTGCACTGACATGGATTAATTAGTCTTAAGACTATCGATTTTAATTATTTAAAAATGTGTCCACATTTGTATCTAAGTGTCGCCGATTGTAACGCGAAAAAAAAAGTTTTTTTTTTTGAGAAAATTAATAAAGTCCCAACAACTATATTTATTTTATGTGCGTTTCTTATTAATCAAAAATATGTCGACCTGGGCGCAGAGTAAAGAATTTAATTTCAGCTCAGAAAAGTATCGTCCCAACCTAAATATAACAAAATTCAGCGGTATCCGCGATTTTTTCGCATTAGAAAAAATTCTCATTTTGCCAGATAATTTTGCGACTGCCATAAATGACCGACTCCAAACCGACGCATGAATATTAATTGACAGTTATTAGACTGTCCCAAAGTGCGACATGTCCGTGGCGGTCTCGTGATTGTCGCATGCCATATTTTTACATAAACAATTCTACTCGCCACCGGGTATTTGACATTGTAAGTATGTTTGTTGTTTCTACCGGTATTTTGACAAACTTTATAATATTTAAGTAATATGTACACGAATGTAAATCGTCTAGCACATGCTCAATTTATAATAACAGTGTAACATTTTTACGCAACATTATCGAGCAAAAAGGATTTTGTGTTCCATTACCAATAATTTTTGGACTTTCAGGGTTTGCAAACAAGGGATTATTCATTGAGACACCCTTTTTAATGCCACTTGTTGCACAATAGACGGGTGGTTGTGCAAATTCATTACTCATGCAATCAACTATCGCGAAGGGTTGTATCACGTGAAAGCATCTGTTTTTAATTATTTTCAATTATCCACGCCGAGTAACTGAGGGGCGCGAAATGGGAATATCCAATTATATTTTTATGATACTTTTGCTACAAACAATGACTTGCGACTGTGTTAGGTTCTCAAGATTTTTTTGGTACAAATACCTACAATCAAAAACATGATGAGGGTGATGTTTTTGTATTGTAAGTTTGCTGAAATATCAAAACAAAAGAAATATTTATTTTGATTTAATTGGATTATGTAAAGATAGAAATCTTGAGTAAATACAACGCTATCGTAACAACCACTTAACTACTCTTCTATATCTTGCCCATGCACCCTCTCAAATACGTCGATTAAATATGTGCATAAACAGACATTCAAATATATGTACGTATGTGTCATAGGTCATTGTACATAGCGTTATGTTCACTTATGGCCTCTTTTTTAGCATTAGTCCTGTAATTATGACAGTAATTGCTGAGCATCCCATGTTGACAATGATAATGGATAATTTATAAATCAGGTATGCATAATGGGCTTCGTGAATTAATTGGGGGATGGATTAATGGTGAAGCGGGGGAGATCCGCTGACAAATAGGAATAATTAAGTGCGAATGTCTCTATCCTATCTTGTGTTTCGCACTTTTTCATCCACCCTCGAGTATTCCTCTCCCTCAACGCCATCACACTGCTCAATTATGCACAAAGAACGACTGCGTAAGGTTCAAAGGGCACACAACACTACTGCCATCAATGGCTAATCGCAACATTGTGCTGAGCGAATTAGGGTAACATTCGCGTTTCACGGGTTACTATAAATAATTATTACATTCTTTTCTATATTTTTATACAGCAATAGATAGAGAAAAAGATGTGAAGATATATCAAAATATTTTTCCTCCCTCGTCACTGATTTATTAATATTGTCCGGACATCTTTTTGGCTGTCGTGTCCTCTTGTTTCTGTTGATGTGATGCCTTTTATAAATAAACTGTGTCTATTTTTGACAAAAGACACACTCATATTGTGAGAAGAGTGGGAGGGAAGGGTAATCTCTACACAAACACTGTAAAAGGCAGTTTACCCAACTTACAGCAGCAGTGACAGAAGAAAATCTACATATGTAATATGCGCATGGTCAATTCAGCCAATGCACTGCTCACAATTGAATCATGCTCTTTGAACCATCTCGCTTTTCATGTCCTGTTTAATCAACGGTCCTTCCTTTCCTCTGTATCCTATTTTTTTCATTTGTAATTTTTTCAATATATTTCTATACTCCACATTATCTTTTTGTATTTTTCTTAAGACAGCTCGAAGTATATTTTTCCGATGTAAGTCGTGGCGTGGTAATTTCGAGAATTATGATTTTGATAGTTTGTTGACCGTAAAACGATTACCAGAGTTTTACCAAGAACAATATTTTGTCTAAATTATATTCTGGCTGATAAAGCCTATCCAATTACTTGCCTTAACTCTCAGCGTGTTTGCGTTAATGATCTAAAATTCTAGTCATTAGGCGTTTATCCAAACTATGATAAAATATCAGTAAGTTCATCTTACTTATTGTAATGACTTAAATACAATTTTCATGTCAATTCTAATTTTTAGTGAGAAATTTTTTTTTAAAAAGTGCGGGGATTAATTAGTCCATATTAGTCTTTATAGGTCCTATTTTTGTTCTTGAGAAAATACACTAAAATTTCAACGTAAGCAAATTAAAATTATTTAATGAATTACTACGCAGATTGTAGATCGTTGAATGTTGGTGTGTGTAAATTTTACGCCTTGCAAACACGTTTAAAAAAAGAAAAAAATCGTTTTAAAATCGACTGATTTTAAAAATTTTCGTGATTTTAATTGCTTTCACAACATTTGAAAGTCATTTCCGTAAAGCCCATTTTACTTTCCCCATAATTTCTTACATATATAGATTTCGGTTTTGTGAATGGTGGCACAGCCTCTTTCATCACGAATGGAGCGAAATAGGACAGTGCCTTTTGTAAGCACAAAATTGGACCTAATGCATTTTAGCGAGATCTCAAACGTTTCTAACGTTGGCGCCTGAAGTCAATTCATATATTTTGTTGCGTGAAGACATGAAAAGCAGATAAATTTTCGTTAAACTAAGGAAATAAACAATAATTATGTTTTCTAGATTGATGAACACAGGTAGGCTGGATTTATCTGGCTATTTGTGCACATCTTTATGCAACACATTCAGGATATCTGTTTTCGGACATCCTTCGAGCGCTTCTAAAGAAAGTGATAATAATTAATTTGCATTTGATTGCATTTGGGAAGCATTTAGAAGTACAATTTGATTCTACTCATCGTTCATGCGTACATGTCGTGACACACACGAAAATATTATTGTTGTTGTATTCTTGTTGTGCTGAAATCACACGTTTGATATATCAAATAAAGAAGCATAACAATGCACACAGTGGATCTGGGGACGCTATAAAAGCGCTGTCCACCTGTACAATAGTTCTTTAATTAACACGGTTGCAGTAAGTGTATCGTCGAGACTTCTTTATTTCGCCTGGATGTGATATTGATGCAGTGACCAGTAGTGACCACCGTGATCAATGGTGCGACTTTTGATCTAATATAAAGATAAATACGCCGAAGGTGATCACATTGATTTAAGAAAAAAATAGACCAGAACATGATGATAAGCAGCGAAATGGTAATGTTGAGCAATGGCAAGAACAAGCTTGAACTCGTGCGCCTCAATCTGTCGCTGGAATTGCTCACGCTGCAGCGTCTGGAGGTCTCGCCGTCCTCTTCAGCGGCGGCAGGCAATGGTGGGCTGTCGATGAAGTCCAAGGAGCGCATTATGCAGATCAAAAGGAAGAAGATCTCCTATTTCATGTGTCCAGAGCCGGCGAAGAACTGGGTGGACATTGTGTCGGTGCCGCTCATGATGGCTTATGTCACACGATACTTTTTCGGCACAGACAAATTACGCCCGAACGCCTTTGCAGTGAGAGGATTCAACGGTGTCACAACTGGCGTTATTCACTGCGACGATATGGCCATCCTCAGCCAGTGGCTAAAGTGCATCACAGACAACATTTTACGGCTGACGCAAATGCAGATCAAACTGTACAAGCGCATCTTTGCCCTAGGCGAGCAGATTGAATACATGGGATGGCTGAATAAGGGTCTCATCAGCAAATATTTCTGGAGCAAGGGTAGCAAACCTCGGTTCCTCATTATCAAAGGTACCGAAGTTATGCTGTTCGATTCACCACCGATGAATTCACCTGGATTGTCAAAGTTAAAGGTCGCCTATAAAGTGTACCACACGATATTCCGTGTGGTAAAAGAGTCAGATACCGTGGATTCACGCCAGCATTGCTTCCTGCTTCATAATTTAGGTCATAAACCGCAATATCTGAGCGTAGAGACGCCTCAGGAACTTTTGAGGATTGAAAATAGCTGGATTACGAGCATCATCAACTTGGCGAGAAAAACATTTGCCGTGAAGTACCACGAGAAGCGTGGCGTTTTTGTGGTGGACTGGCAGAATGGTTTCAGTCTGACCGAGGGCGCGGACGCCACAATTGTGTGGCAGTATAAATTCTCCCAATTACGCGGCTCTAGCGATGATGGCAAATCAAAATTGAAGCTCAATTTTCAGATTCATGGAAAGAAGGCCATTGAGACTAAGGAACTAGAATGCCAAGTGGTGCAGAGTTTGCTGTTTTGTACATATGCCTTTTATAGAGCTAAAATAGCTTGCATTTCTAGAGAACCACGAATAAACCAATAAAAAACTGAAACAAACTAGACGATCATAACCATACAGAAAAAGATTATGTACCTACACTACAATTAACTTAGAATTGGAATCGAATACTGTTCGAAATTAAGAATAAAAATTATGATGTTTCCTAAATTGTCGTCTTTTCTGTCACACGGGTCTGTTTGAAAATAGTCTAAAATTTCAAAAGGGGAAAGAATTGGTAGAAAATGAGTTAAATGAATTAATGATAAACCTATTTTGTGGAAAAACCTAGGTTTACCCAACTCCGGGATAAGTCGGCCTTGAATAGTTCATGGCCAGAGCACCTGAACACGCTTCACACACACACGGGTTTATCCACATTCTTCTCATTCATTTCAATGAAGAGTTCCATTTAAATCTTGTTTTTGTATATATGAGATTTTCACACAGTTATCAAATAATAGGAAACATTTACAAGGACATAACCTATAGGTTTCTTAAGTTCTGGAGATTAGAATATGCATATCGTGTAATAGAAATTTGTATTTTTTTATTATCTTTACAGCCACCTCCTGTGGTTCCACTTGAACTTCCGGAGGTCTCACCACATCCTGAGACAACACATGCCTTTGGAGCCACACCGTCTAAGAACCCGCTCCTACCTTTCCTCCCCTACCTGAGACCGCCATATAGCGCACCAGCACCCGTATGGGACTCAGCGACGCATCTCGCCCACATGACAGCCGCTGCGGCCGCAGCCGCATTGGCAGATGCTCCGCCTCAGTCCCCTTCGCCGGCTGCGACTCCGCCACCTGATGCTCCGCTTAATCTCACAAAGCCTAAAGGTGCCTTGTCAGCACCACCTCGATCTTTTTATGCACCGCCTGCCACCGAGCCGCCGGACTTCCTCAATGTGTGCCGCATGTGGGCCAGTGAACACATGGCCACGAAGCCCGTACCGCCCCACGAAGATGAGAAGGGTCGTCTAGCAAGACGACGTGACCCATCGCGTGAAGAACGCTCAGATCCCGCCAAACCACACATCAAACGTCCCATGAATGCCTTCATGGTCTGGGCTAAAGATGAACGACGCAAAATACTTAAGGTAAGCTGGAAAAATTCTTTTCTCAAAAACCAAATTTGAGTGAACAATGTTTTTTTTAAGACACAGCTAAATTCAAGGTCAAATCAATATAGAAAATTGTAAATTGACACAATAAGCGGAATTCTGACACCAAGATAAAGACGACATTTAAAATAACGACACTATTTGCTCATATGACGTCAAGATTCCAAAATAGAACCGTCACTTTCCCGAAACGTTCAAATCCGTGGAATATTTTCAACTTTTGCATTCTGTCGTCGATGTTTAAAGATTACTGTGACCTTTTCAACGATACCTATTTATGAGATGTTTTAAGAGCGGAGATTAAAGGGGTTAAGATTCGCATATTTACCAACCTATATATCTGCTGTTCACGAATCGATGTTGAGCGTTGGTTTTTGGCCCTATACAGTACGCAAAGACACTGTATGATGATTCGTGGGGCAGGCCAAATTATTACTGTACAAAGTAATTTTTAAGTTAATAGCATCTTGAGCGCTATGATGTATTTGCAGGCCTGTCCAGACATGCACAACAGTAACATCAGCAAGATTTTGGGGGCGCGTTGGAAGGCAATGTCAAACGCTGAAAAGCAGCCATACTACGAAGAACAATCGCGATTATCTAAACTGCATATGGAGCAGCATCCGGACTACCGCTATAGACCGCGACCGAAGCGCACATGTATTGTGGATGGAAAAAAAATGCGGATAAGTGAGTACAAGATGTTGATGCGGAATCGCAGAGCAGAAATGCGTCAGCTGTGGTGTCGGGATAGTGAGACGGCTGGGACATCGCCAAACGGTCCGCCTGCGGCCACCGCGACTTACTTTTACCCGCCAGAGTCACCCACCTTCACGGCTGAACGCGAGGATGACTGAGGCCGAAAACTGTGCCATCATGTAGACGAAGGAGATATATAACATTCTTTTTGGAAAGAAACAGAAAAGGAGCACAAAAGCATACACAATGAGTATAATTCTAGTTAGAGAACGAGGTTGGTTTACGGAATAAGATAAGATATATAAGGATATAGAGTAAAAATAGTTAGTATTTAAGATTAGAGCTTTTCAGAAGCCACATTACTTTACTTCTCTTCCTCTTGCCAATCAAACAAAGAGAAGATGCTGCATGAGCATATCAAACAATAAATATTTAAACTGTTATGTGAATAGCGTTTAACATAGCTTTTTTCGACTTTGAAAACAAAAAATCTTACTGACGATTTTCTTTCACTAAAATATTTTGAATTTTGTTAATCGTAATGTCTTTTTTCCGTGGAATTATTTTCTTTTTCCCACTCAAAAAGCGTTTTTGAATGATCAAAGATATACACGTGATCCGCTAGAGTGTAAGCGTGAGCGCGAATGTGTACGATTGACAGCTGATTGCGCACTAAAACGCAAATTATTGATATGTCGAAGAATCACCAGCATTTTCAAGGTCTCCAACGCGAACGTGCCATATTCGCGCCAATTTACTGAATCATTTGACAGTGTATAGTGTGGCAGACATGAAGCGATGTTTCGATCGGGAGGGAAATCCCTAAGTGTGTAAAGATGCGAATCAGTCAAAATTTATTGGTAATCCACATTTGCGTCCTTTACACACTTAGAGACTTACGTAGTTTAAAACCACAATCAGTTGTTTGGACACTGTCATTTCCCATTTTCACAGCAACCGGACTTTGTGCTAATTCACACGAATATTCTGAGACACTGACATCAAATTGGTGTTTCGTGAGTAAAACCTCTGAGAGATTGGTCGTAATTGCTATTTAAGAATTCTCCTAATATAAGATTATTTATATAATAAACTTGTACTAGAAAACCTAAGTACAAAAGGTCCAAAGAGTTTTTCTACACGGCCTATTTTATCCGGTGAAGTGTGTCAGAATATGAAGATTTAAAAACGGAACGGCATTTTCTTTGCTCTCACTCTTTTTTATTCTGCTCCAACGTTTCGGAGGTGTATTTCCTCCTTCTATGAGGGATGAAGAAAGTCAGAATATTGAAGTGGAAAGCTGCACATTCTTCGTGCACCGAGTGCTCGTATAGTTGTCTGACAAATCTTGAACGAAACGAGTGTTAAACCGGCAAGAATTGTTTTGTCAGAGATGCACCTCTAACGACATGTTTTTAATGAGAATTGAGGTCGCTGTTTACACATTTTTAATACAATGCATATAATTCAATTTATTCACAGTCTACCGTTACAAAACAATGTTAAGTTGAATTAGTGAATTAGTTGTGAATTAGAATCACGACTTTGCGTATTTATCACAATCCCTTTTGCGACCATCGCAGGTAATATGTTGGTGACCAATTGACTTTCCTATTTATTTAAGATGAATTTTTACCCATTTAGAGCCAAAAGTTGTCTCACAAGGACCGAACGCAAAAGACAATTGTACTGAAGCGTATGATTTCAGTTCAAACATTCAATGTAATCTAAATCTAATCTAAATCAAACATTCAACTACTTGGACTGCTATAATTTAGCATTCAAAGGCTTAAATTTATCGAATTCTCCTGCTTTCCAACTGGTTGATATAAGAAACTTTGTGATGGCAGAAAAAACAATTGACGATGCTAACTGCTGGTATATCGTACTAGCACACCTACTTCTCTATTACAAGTCTCATGATAAATATTGCATCGAGGCGTGCCAATTTGGCTCTTGAGCACAATTTTAAGGTTGAAATTAAAAGCTAATAGTTTTATCCTTCATAGAATTTCGTGGCTATTGTCATCTTTGCGTATGAGCCAAAGTCATTAACTTAAATATTCCTATTATTATAATTTTTTCCTATTTTTTTCTCCTGATAATTAGAATTTTTCAATACGGATTAAACATTTTTTGATATACAACGCAAGAGAACAAAAATCTGGACAAGCATACTTTTCACGCGTGCTTTACGTTTAGCTGTGATTTTCTGTGGTTTTTTTCTGTCACCGAAAAAAAATGCCACAATTTCGAATAGAAATACAACTAAAGTAGTGTCCAAATTTATATAGGAAAAATTAAAACTATCATAACTTGGATCCTATGACTTTGACTAAAAAATATAACCCTACATTAAAAGCAATCCAAACTAGACTATCGAAATACTAAAAAAAAACTAAATTATAAACACAAAAATACGGACTGACAGATCAAAGAATGACCCCCTTTTATTGTCACATTTGTCTCCCTGAGTTCAAAACAAATATTAGCGTGATATAAATTTCAGCTAAGTAACAGGCACACTTATGCGCTTAGGGTAAAAGGAAGAAAGTTAACTTGGAAATTCAACCTGAATGCAACTAAAAGAGTTGCATTGCAGTAGCAGTGACAGAAAAAATTAAAGTTACAGTTTTCAAAACATGAGCTATATGTAGGTCTATCTGTGTCTAGAATCTGACAGAATAGGTTTGAAGTAAAGCTAAATTGATGAGAAATGGATATGAGCATAAATTTCGGTATAGAATAGAATAGTGAAAAGCTTTAAAAAATAGTTTTATGGGCACAATATTAAAAAGCTAGGAATTGAGTTTTTGTGTGAATAGAAAATGTTCCAGCTTAATCTATAACAGAGTGAAATTTTGGTCAAAAAAGTCTGACAAATTACGTGAAGTAGTGGGATGGATATTGAAAATACCAGCATAAAAATATCAAGGAATTTATTTTGTTTGACAAAAATTGAATGTTGGAATGATGTATCCGAGACGGCAGGTAGAGCATTCATACGTATATATGTCAAAACTTTGCTTTCATTTAATGGGATAATTGATATTTCTTTTTTTTTTAAATATGTATTGCACATCTATGCTCAAAATAGTATGACAATATTATTCAATTTTCTGCGGAAACTTCAAATCTGCCCCTTAATAAATTTTGGGTCTATTGAATAATTCCCGCAAGAGTTAAAAAGAAAACCCGCTGGGAATAAGTGTCCAATATGTTTCGAATGATTTACGAGAATGGGTATTGGAATTAATTGGTTTCACGAGAGTATGTATAGATCAGACAACCAGTCAGACAATGCTTGAATTCAAAATTGAGTAAATTAATTTCATATTCAATAAGTAATTGGAATATTCTTATCGAGAAGAAATATTTAACCTGAGAATGCTCGATTTTATAAATCAACTTAGAACCGAAAAAATCCGCGAACTTAACGGTTTACAATAATATTTGGCGAATTTTTTTGTCATTTTAGTGTTGGGAATCGTCTAACAATGTTATGATTTCAAATCTTCCGCTGATTATCACATTGTCATTGAGTGATTTTATTTAACACTAAAGTGGAAAATATATGCCAATCATAGTGAATTTATTTCCTATCGCACAACAAATGAGGTGAATAATGTTTTCGAGTATCTTCGATTGAATTTTTTCTTTGACAAATACTATTGTCTGTTTCACAGAAACACCTTAAATCCGACTTGAACATGCGAAAGAACTGCTATATAACATGGACGAGAGAAAATCATTAAATTCAGCCACAGAACTTCGGTGTCTTTCTTTCAAGTAATGATCAAGCGCACTGTATCTGTGTTAATCCCTAGCAAGTTCCCATCTTTGAGAGCGTCTTCTGGGATGTGGAGTGCATTTTGAGGCACCTTCTGATCATCCAGACTCTGTAGTCTCCTTGCGGAATAAACAACAACGAAGTCAATACAACTTCGCATCACAGGCGGATAAGATGTTCGAGAATGTTATCTGAGCTAAAATAGGTGAAGTTATTCGTTCCAAGTCTTGCAAATAAGTCTCTGTCCATGCTTCTCTGAACACGGCAGAGAGAATACAAATATAGGGAGAATACAAATAGGACGTGTTTTGTATTGAACATGACAATAAATAAATTGGCTAAAAAAACATCGATTTTCAATGAGGAGTTGTTTGAGTAACATAATTGAATAAAAAACTAGAGTATTGTAAGTTACCTTGTCACATGCAGTTTTGCAAAAACTTCCGCGTTAAAGTATGGTAAGTTAAGACACCGAGTAAATTTATTTGGTTTATTCAAATTTTTCGAAAACGACTACAAAATGGCCATATTCCACATTTTCCAATTATGATTCAATTGTAGCTAATGTTTTATTCGGAGTTTTTCGGATTGAATGTCCTGCCACTATCTTATTTATTCAAATACAAAACGCTACGACTCTTTTTTGTGAGAGGGGGTTACTTAATCTCGACCAGAACAAGACCGTGTTGTGATGGCGTCCCTGCTGTGATCCCTAGACCCAGACTCGAATTACTAAAGAGGTTTTATTCCTATGTCGCCCCAATGCTGTACAATAGATTACCTATGGACTTGCGGGAGCCCGATATGAGCGAGCATAGTTTCTCGCGGAGACTTATAGATCATCTCTGGTCAGAGTATCTCTCTGCGCGAATCGATCATGGGGTATTTCCGGAGGATCGCGGATTTTTGATTGGCCGATGATGCCTGCTGCACCTCCCCCCTTCCTTTTTGTTGCTACTCTGAAAAAGCCATTTTGCACCTTGCATTGCTCTTTTCGTTGTGCTGCTGATGTCTTGTCTCTCTCTCCGCACTTTTCCAAATCCCTCTGAACCCGTGTGCAGCGCTTCAACTCTCCTAGAGTTTTGCTGTTTTACTACTCCATTCCTCTGTGTAACACACTGGCTTCAAAAGTAGAAAAGTTAGTTTTCAAGCAACTTAAATTGTAAGGCCACGAACCAAAACATGTAACTAGTTTTTTCCCCCCAAATGGCATTTTCAACCGAAGAACCGAGCTTTCTGCCGTTTGCTCGGGGAGATCGGCAATGAAGCCTGCGGCAGCCGCACACAGAAAAAGATGAATAAATTTATTATTATTATTATAGACTAATTCATTTCCCTAAAACAAAAGTGCAAAACTGCGTCACAATTTTAACTTCAACTGCTCTCCTGAGAGTTGCATTTCGGACTGAAAATACTTTTTTCTAAAAGCAACTATATTTGCATTCGTATCAATAAATCCTATTGAGATCTAATGTCTATTTATTTTCTGAAACTATAATTAAATTTCAATTAGCGCGTAGGCCTATATATTTTGTAAGATGTTCCGTGAGAGCAAATGTGTAAAGCATACTTTTGACACATTTTTTATATAGTTGTTGTTTATTGTATTCTGCTGGTGACCTTTACAATTTTAAAAAATAGCTATTTGTGACAAAAATTTATGTTGGTGTTATTTTATTGCGTGAATGCATTTTGAAATTATTTCGAATTCCGTTATCAAATATGCAGATATTTACGTTAAATTACAAAGTGATGGTTTTAAACTATGCCTATTCTTAATTTATGACATATTATGGTTAAAATTGTATTAGAATATTAAAAATAGTAACGAGACACATGATTAAGTTCTGTAAATTTTGAATCAATTGAAATACAGCGAAAACATTAGTCACGTAATTTAATTAGAAATATTTGGATAGGCATGCTAATTGGCAGTCACATTTTTCCAACTTTAGTTTAAAGTACTTACAATCGATAGTCTTCATTCTACTTGTATCATTTACTTGATCATTCAGCCTATTACATTTTATTTTCATGCTATTGAAAACGGTTTATCATGTTGTGTTACTTCATTTACGATAAGAACATTAAACATTTTGAGGGGCTTATATTTATTATGCGGTACGTTCATTTGTGTATTTTTTCTGTTTCGGTATTCATGTTGTAACTGTTTATCTTTTTGAAAATGAAAATTATATAAATGTGAGTAGTTCTTGAAATACTTACTACAATCATTCAAATCCTGTTTACAAACTTTTGTTTCAAATTAGCAATTAACACAAATTCTCACAACGGGCGAATCTGGTCCTGAGAGGAGAGCATATGTTAACGTTATTCGCATAACAATATTATTACCCAAATTCAAACTGTTCCAATAAGCTGTTCCCTGCTTCATTATATACATATGTACTTTATATTAAATATAGTATATATATACATATACATATATATTTGCACACACATACACGTATATATATATATGTATATGTGTGTGTGTGTACAAGACGGAAGCAAAACAATGTCTAGTTTGTAATGTGACAAAGTTGTAGTACGTAACTGAACATAGGGAGATAATAGAAGCGATTTGATATTAGCTAAAGATATGACAGCTAAAAACAAGATGCGGAAAACGCTAGTGCGATTATTTTAGTTGAAAAAAAAGGCTAAAGAGATGGAGATTGCGCAAATATCCAAGAGTGCGTGTTGAAGTTATTTACTGAGATGAGAAGGGTTCAAAATGTAAAGAATTAACGTAGAATCGTTCCCATAAACATTTCAAACCTTCGTATTTATTAATTCCTGATCCCACCTCTTCGTTCATTCCGTCTTCCCGCCAACTTCACACCAATCGATGTGCAATTGTATATATATATATGTATGTACATATATATAAATAGTTCTTTTACATTTGTCTCGCATAGTTCTAGTTATAAAATTTTTGTTTGTTTATTTTATTATTTCATTTTGTTTTGGTAAGAAAACTGCATAGAAAAAATATACATTATATTTTTTATATACAACATATAATACGTTATTAAACATTTTTTTTTCACTCAGCTTCCATCAGAGGCTTTTTTAATTTTTTTTTTTGGCAAAGCTAGCAAAATTCAAATTTATAAAAAATCCTAGATTTGCGCGTAAAACGTTGAGGAGCAATTAAAATGAAATTCATGTCATGTCTCTATTTTTCATTACAAATAACGTGAGAGCCACGAGGTGGCGGCTAGATTAAAACCATAGACTGAAATATAGTCTTCTGAGCGACGGATTTAGAATAAAAACTCTTTGTTTCTGTGCCAAATTGTAGATGAATGTGAAGGAAAAATTATTATAAAAGGAAATTTAATTTAATATGAGTTAGGTGACAAAAATGAAAGTAAACAACATTTTAAAAGTAAACCTAGTGAAACTGACAACTTCTTTCAATCACGCCCCTTCAGGCGTCTTCTTCGCGCTCGTAGCATATTGGTCATGAGGTAGGACACTCCAGGTAAGATGGCTACAAGCACGTATACCCGAATTGCTAATGGCGGATCGAAAGTAACGTTGGCAGCATTGGGTAAACGGATGGCAAAGTGCTGAGAGTCCTCCATAAATTCAGCGGCCCGCAGTAAAATAAGGGCTTCATAGAGGGTGCCGAGCGGATAAAGTGGTATCCAGAGTGTGTACCGAAGCCACTCTAATAAAGCCACTTTCACCTGTAAGAGGTTTAACAGGTAGTTTGGGTATCGCACCAACTCAATGGATGCCCAAACGAAAAACAGGTAGGTCACAATGGTAAGGCGTTGGATTCGCTCGTCTGTATCAATGGCGAAAAAAAGAACTATGGCCCGTCCTACAGTTTGCATCAGTGGTGCTATTACACTACCATTTGTGTATCCAAAGAGAGGGTGCAGAACCTATAAAGAAAAACATATATATTACTTGTTTTATTTATAAATTAAATAGCTAGGATTACTGAAAATTGCGTCATATAACAGCAAACTACAACCAAAGAATTTGAAAAAGGGTTTGTTTATTTATATTGTTTTGTAAAAATATTTCCAAATTAAAACGACCACCCATCCCTAGTTTAAATTCATACAAGAAATACATTGAGAGGCTGCGGAACACGGCGCTGCCGTTGATTAATAGTGACAGAAATGTGAATCGTATTAACTGCAGTTATCGTGCACGAAAATTATAGATTCACATCCCGAAAACAAATCCCAATTTCACAATGAAAAACGAATGAAAAGACGTCACGCTTAAATTATACGATTTGAGACTAAAAGCGATTACAGACTTGCTGATGATCCACGGGAGCATAAGCGAGAGCGCGAGTGTGTACGACTGACAGTTCGCTTAGCCAGAAAACGCGAATAATCCCTCGATGTATCAAAGGTTCAGCCGATTTTTCAGGGGTTCCCGACGACAGCGCGCTCGTGCGAAAATGCGCCGAAACATTACAGGACTCAGGAAAGACAAAATGGCGGATCTCTTACAAATGATTTCCTGGATTATTAAAATCATTAAATTCTTCTGCGAGTCAATAATTTACGTAATTTTAACGTAAAATTTCACTCTTTTGAAGTATGCAAATTGTCTGACAGCTGAACACACCAAACACAGTGTCGCTAGTGTCGACAAAGAAGTATAATCCCTGAGTGTGTACGGTAACAGTTCAGCGACTAATATCACTAATCCATATTTTGAGTGTGTAAAGGCGCAGATCAACCACGAATTATCGCTGATCTGACCTTTAGACACTACAGGCTTATTCACGGAGGATTTATCCGAGTTCGCGCCGATTCGTGGATCATCAGCAAGTCTGTAATCGCTTTAATGATGAAGTATCTCGAGAGCATTTTGATCCCACATCGAAAAACTTTGTTCAAAAGCTAATATATTTTTTAGAATTGTGTGTAAAATAGTCAATAAATTATCTCTGCGCATAATCAAAACTTCAATGCAATTTCAAACACAATTTCGATGGTTTTTCCTGTTCAGTAGCGCCTTTCTGGAGACAGTCGCAATGTTTGTGCTACAAAATTGGTCTGAAACACCGGGGGGGGGGGGGGGGATCGGCTAATCCTATTACAAATTATTTTTTTATGTAGAATAATTCATAAGTCATATTTCCCTAAAACAAGCCATAAAATATAAATTTTTCCTTGTTTTCAATCATTCATATTATATAATAAATTTTTCATTCTAAATCTCTATGAGACTCACCTCGAGAAACTGCATAAGTTGACAGAATTTGAAAACGCTGCCCACGGCAAGAAATGAATCGTGAGTTGCAATATAGCCATGACGTATGATTCGGATACTAAGCACGATAACAATGTAAAGAAAGCCGCAAAACTGCAGCAAATTATACAGCGCTAGATAAACCTTTTTGCTCTGTTCCCTACTGTAGCCCAATTCTTGCCGCTGCAGGCTTTGCAATACGTCAGGATAATCATTGACTACATTACGTTGTCCCTCTTCCTCGTTATCGCTCCACCTGCAAGAATCATTGCGAAATCATCACTAGAAAAAGTATAAACTTTCACCTTTGCGATATATTACATAAACTTTTATTGTGTAATAAAACTCCGCGAAAAATGACACAATTTTGCAAAAAAAAGTGCTGAGTCAAAAGAAACACGATTATTTGGAATATGCAGAAATTGAGTAAAATGGTACTCGCCACTGCGCTTTGCGTACATTGCAGTTTTTTACCTTATATTGTGCCGTTTATTGCTGATCAAAAAATGCGCACTATGCATTGAGAGCACATTTTATTCCCCTGTTAATAAATGACTTGAAATAATTATGCCACAACACGCTCGCTCACGAAATCCACAGAATTCTCTACAGTCAATTCGTTCAAATTTTTTACTCTGCATTAACTTGGCCGTCCTGCAATATCTTGACTCTCTTCCTGCTTTGCCTTGCCGGAAATTCAAAATATATGGCAAGTTCGAACGCGTTTCAGCACCATTTCTCAGAGAATCTTGTCGTAAAAATATCACTTGATACTAATTTGCACCATCAGGGTCTTTGATATTAGATCATGAGGATTTGAGGCAGTAAATCCCAATCTCACTCACACGGAGGAATGTTTCTGATATTTATCTGATATCTATAAGGGTTTAATATAGATATAATATAATATTCCAAATCCTCAAACCACATCAAACATATTCATGTTTCATGTTCGTATATTCTCTTTGCTCTGATAAAACGATGTTTCGAAACATGCATTCAGAAACAACTATCAAATTTAATGTTTTTCAGGTACTGTCAATAAAACTCGTTTTAACTTTTATATTGGTCTGTAAAAGAATATGTTCCTTCATCCGTAGCTTTCGTACAAACATATATCCTCACCTATCGAAATCGAAGCGAACAAAGTGAAGGCGTTCTGCTACAAGGTGAGACCACCGAGACAGAACAACTTTTGGCAGTGTCACATACACGTTGGTTTCTGACACTGCAACCGAGGGTGGGCCAACATCAGCTATCAACTCAAGCGAAAATGTGTAAGTCCGTCTACCCGAAGCACCCTGACCGGTGCCGCGGAACATCAATCTGCGTCCGGTCAAAGTACACTCATCCACTTGGCATGCTTCCAGTTCCACACGGAGTATAACACGAGAAATTGTTTGCGACCACAGGACTAAAGGATTCAACACATCCATAGCAATACCTTATAAACACACTCTCTTCAGTGCATTGCCCCGATTACATATAATGCCTGTCAACCGACAAATACATTATTCAGAAGACATGTCTATAATAAGCTGGACATAACTCTTGAACTCATATTGCCGCGAAATCTTTGAAAATTTTCCCCTTCTACGGTATGTATCTTTTACATTAGGTAAATTTTCAACAATTTTAATATTTAACTCAGATTCTTGTTAAAAGAAAAATTAAATTAGTTTTAACCAAATTCATATAATTGAACCTTGAGCAGTTAAAAAAAGTGCCTTCCATAAGTTATATGTAGCGAATTCCGGAATAATTAAGGAGATTTGATATTGCTATTATATTTTTTATTTCTATTAAAACCTGATGCTGATGTCTCTTATCAGCTCACTAGTCAAATTCGCGCCATATAATGTCTTGGGCTACGTCAGTATTTCTTATGCAATGATTTTCCAAAAAATAATTAATCATATGCAATGTTTTGCCACAATATCATAAAAAGCTACCAAATTTATCGATTTGTGAAGAAAATTCTGCATTTTTCACCTGCAATGTGTGTAAAATGTAGCAAAAACATGTAAACAGGGATTCGTTCTGTGATACTAATTGAACAGCTGTGCTTAGAGTTATGACCAAAACAAAAAATTGTGGAGGATTTAATCCGCGTGCTAGAACCTAAGCCACAAAATCATAATCCTGCTGAAAATATGCAAACAGGGTGCCAGATTCTAGTTGTTGAAAGTTCTGACAACTGTTTTTTCCTTCTTCATCAGGCCCGTATAGTGTTTGTAAGTCTGGTTGTTTTCACAATGGATTTAAAAAATAACAGATAGGAATGCAATGGAGTTTAAGAGAAAAATTCAGTGGCATTTTTGTCAAAACAGCTGCTGGAATTATGCAAGATTAGAGACACACGATGGGATTTCGATTGTACAGATTGGACAAATTACAACAATTTTAAACGAAAATTCTCAACTTAGCGTCTCTATATAGACAATCACGCAAATATATTGGGCCATGTTATCGCGCGCAAGCCGACAACATAATGCGCCTATGTTCACTCTCTTCCGATTTGGACGCTCAAGAATTCACACGCCACGCCGAAGACGCTCCACATTTTTTTATAATTTCTAGTATTTACAACTACTTGAAGTTTTTTTTAAATAATTTTTTATTAGTTAAATAAATAACGTGAAATATCAATCAAGTGAATTTATTCCTCAAATCATCCACACAACAGAGAGGAGGAATTTGGTCATTCAAGCCAGACCTAACCTCACCCTCTTTCCAGGTAATACAGGAATAATACAGAGTATCAGTCATTCAGGACAGATTCATTCAACATTCATTCTATTTGCTTTAGGTAAAGACACAGTCAACCATTCACGCTATCACGCACGCAACAATCTCTAACATCTTCGTTTACACCCTTCAGGTAACACACTATACCAGGCCAAATTGTGTTTTTTAGCACTGATATGTATATCCATTATATTTAAACCTTTTTTTTAAGTTGAAAATTGTACTTGAAGGATTTAAACAAACATTTTATTGATAAATTTGGTAAAATAAAAGTATTGAGTGCTAATTTAAGTACACATTTCAGAATTAAAATCATCTGACCTATCCACCACAATTCGACGGAATTATCCAGTAAATAAAATACACATTTATTGGGCTTTGCTAGTGTCATCAGCGGCGCGAAGTCGCGAAAAGTTTGCTATCCGGTAGTCTCTTGTAAGAGCCTTGAAACGCTCACCCACGCCCCTCCTAGTGTATCTAAGTGGGGGCACAAGTGAGCACTTTTACTCTTTCTCCCTGCTCTCGTCAGTTGGTTTTCAGTTGCCATCGAAGTGAAGTGCTTCTCTCCTTAACCATAATGTGCGGTAAGTGGCCACGTCGGTGAAAGCCGATCTACTTTCTTTATGTGCTTTTGACAGGGATTTTTTTTTACTTTCCCTTTACTATACTTATAACTATCTCATTACTGGAATGAGATTTTATTTAAAGTTAGCATAAATTAACGCGTCTATGAGCACGTAAATAGTAGGTATTCATGAAGGCAAAGTGTAATATTTTGTCGTTACAGTGTTTGCAGCAATTTAGGTAATGAAAATGCATATGTAATTTTAAATTTTAAATAGAATATTGTAAAATTTTTCGCGACAAACCTTTCGCTGTCATAATAAAATTAATAACGGTCATTTATCGCGTGCCTTTTCCTGGTTTTATTTTCAAAAATCCCTAATTCTTTTATACATGGAGAAACTTGTAGGATCCAGCACAGAGTGCTCTTTGGTAGTAGGTATTGGATTGCTCACAGTCTTATTCACTATATAATACAGCATATCCATATAGTATATACGAACATGAAAAAAATTACCCCTTCTTTCGTAATATTTCGTCATATTTAGCCTCCCTTGCGCTATTTTTTAAGCAATCCTAAGGGATTTGATTTTTTACACGAATATAGACAGATAGGAGCTTTGATGTAAATTACAACTCTAATTTATGTGCTACGAAATTTTTATTTGCTTAACTCAGCAATATAAATTTAAAATTATGTTCTTGACTAAATAAAGATAGTTAATTATCTGCCGAACACTGCAATCTATGAACATCCAAAAGCTCTTTGTAGTGATCGTATACGGAAAATTGTCCAATTGACCCCATCTTTGGAGATAATTCGATTGGGACTCGAACGGTTCTTCCACCGGGATAGTTCAAAGATTTCTTATAAATGTTTAAAATCAGTTTACCTCCTCTTGCCTCACCGCCTTTCCTACAATCATCCCCAATCTATCTTCACCTTTCCTACCGTCTATTCGCCACCTTCCCATAAGCTTTCTGTAGATACCGGGCAAAGGGAAATACACTGCTTTGGTTTTGGCCCACTGGATGGAGGTGTGAGGGGGTGGAAGATGAGAGAGATTTGATTGTGGAAAAAGTGGTTTGGGGAAGGGGGGGGGGGGGAGGTGAAGTAGTTGCGGAAAAGAAGTTAAATGGACAAAGAGCGAAACGGGGGCAAACGGCCCAGTCGCACTTCCTTTCACATTATCTGAACCAGAGGAGTATTGTTTACTTCTTATCATATTGCTATTTCCTCATAAAATTAACAACTTTTGTCACCTTATCTATGCGAGCACTATCTGAAATTAACGTAGGAAAGGTGTACGAAAATATGAGTTATCAGGCTGATGAATAATCAGTCATGGTCGAATCGTGTAACTTCCGCATCGACTTATGAAAAGGTGGTTACCTTGTGAGAGAAAGGTCACCGAAGTATGTTTGGAATTTGTGGTCTGGACCTGTTTCATACTACATAACTTATTTTCCACTCCAATTATCGCTTTTAGGTATATGAAGTTATTCTTAGCTACTACGCTCCATGCAGTCTTGTATTAATTAATGATTTCTTTTATCATAGCAGGAATTTATGAGACATTCTATTTTGGTCAATCTTTCAAAACTTAACCTTTGCTAATGATACCGGTTTTCTTGGGAAGATGAAGCGTCTGAATCAGTCACAATTCAGTCTTTGTAGCTAATGGTGAAAACACAGCATTTTGCTCATACCATCTCGGCTCGGTCCCGTCAGATTCCCTTCAGAATTTTGGTCTGCAGATCAACTTTTGGCGCCTTCACACAATCTGATTTTCTCCACAATTATGACTCATTATGGACGAAATCAATTAATTTTTGAATTTTTTCCACATTATAAATTCATTTCATTGACGATTTTCTCGATTTTCCATATGAAATTTGTCTATTTTGACCACTTTGACATCAAGCGCATTGTCAGACACGTCAAACTCAAATACAGCGCGGGTTGCCCAACGTAAAATATGCAGGAACACACTCGACATAGAAATGTCGTGAGCAGGAAGGAAAATATACGATTCGCGTGGGGAAGAAAGAGACGTTCGTGAACAAATTACAAATGACAAATGCTGTGTTTTCACCATAATTTACCCCTTCATACAGCAATATTGCCAAACGTGTGAAGTCAATATTCAAAGAAATCATTTGACATAATATTTTCTTATAATATATGATAACAATTTTGTCTGTTACAGGTATATTTGCGTATCTCAACTACCTAAATCCAAAAACCCGTCGTGAGGTGCTGGATTTGCTTGTTAACGGTCTCAAGAGGCTCGAGTACCGTGGTTATGATTCGGCAGGCGTAGCTGTTGATTCCAGTGATGGGAATGACATGGTTCTCATTCGTCGTTCTGGTAAAGTGAAAGTGCTCGAAGATGCCATACTAGAGGGTAAGTTTTATTCTGCCTTAAACGTTACATGGGATCAAAATAAGCGATTTCATAAAATAATACAAAAAAATTTTAAAGGTTCATATTTCTGCATAAACATAATTCTTTGGTGAAAACGTTAAAAACTCAGAGCTTCATAGTTTTCAAAGTGTAATCTCAAAGTATCGATTCAAAGTGTAATCGATCATGAATGTGATTGTCGGATATTTCTGCGCATTTTTAGGTTTCTATGCGTATACATACAGATTATATTGTAACGACTTATGGTTAGCTTGTAACAAGATAAATCTTAATCCCACCTTATCAAAATTTCTAAGAGCCAGAAATTCCTTAGAGCCAGGAATTTCTAAGAATGTCTTTGACTCGCGGAGAAAGGGGTGAACCGTCTGTAATAACTGTGGATTGTCTATGAATGTCGCGAATTCAGTTATACTTCTCAGACAGCATCGTATCACGAAAATCAAAGTAAAGTCTTTCAAATTTTTAGTTTAATTGCGTTAAACAATTTATTTTAGTAAATTTGTGGACATTTTTGGTTTCATACCTCATCATCACTAACGGGTTTTCCATCATTATTATTGCTACGGCATTTGGTTTTGAAAATTAGCGTAGGTGCAAAGGGATTGAAGTGATTTCTGAGATGGAATGGCAGAAGAGCAATCCTCAGGTGCGCAAGCAGCGCTATTTTTGGGTTGATATCAAACAATTAAGTTTTAAACTGTATATATATAATTTACCTTGTATTTTTCTGCAGAATTCACTGTTGCCGATGATGAGCCTGCCCGCGAAGTTCACGTGGGTATAGCACATACCCGTTGGGCTACTCACGGAGAGCCTAGTGAACGTAATTCGCATCCTCAGCGTTCGGACGATTGCCACGGTTTCGTGGTAGTGCACAATGGAATCATGACCAATTACAAAGAAGTCAAGACTTTTCTTCTTAAGAGGAAGTACACATTTGAGTCCGATACAGACACAGAGATTATCGCAAAACTGGTGCATCATCTCTGGACTCAACATCCATACTATTCATTCCGCGAAATCGTAGAACAGGCCATTCAGCAGATGGAAGGTGCTTTTGCACTCGCTTTTAAATCAAAATATTTCCCCGGCGAATGCGTGGCTACACGCCGCGGTTCGCCATTACTGGTCGGCATAAAAACGAAAACTCGCCTCGCAACTGATCACATACCCATCCTTTACGGAAAGGGTGAGTATTGTAATATTTATAATAGGGTCAATCGTGAGTTCAAATATTGGCTATAATGCGAGGGAAGTATAATATGGCTAGAATCTATACACAATTTTAACAATTTCTATGGAAAATCCTTAACACTTCCCAGGACTTCACACTCCAAAGATTGTTTATAACTAGTTCAAAATAGACTGAAAACTAACTGAAATCTTACTAACATTCTTATAACTCTGATTTTAATACTTTTGTGACCACATGTAGCAGGCATAGATGATGTTCCTTGGATAATCAATCAAAATTTATTCCTAATGAGAATCTTTCTGGCTCAAAATTTGGTTTTCTCAAGTAAAAATTTGAGATTTTTCTGATTTGAACGTCTTTGGCTTTAATAATTGTTGCCAAAATAACCTAAAAATTATATGTCAAAATAAAGAACAGAATTTATTCACAATTCGTATGAGAGATCCTTCACACTTATAAGAATTCTTCGCAGAGATTTATTTGAAAAAAAATCTGTAAATGAATCTGAAATCAGTGATCAGTGCTTATTTATTTGTTCATTTACCCTCAAAATCAACTTAAATCAATCTGACAACTTTAAAATTCACGTTTTCGTACAATATTTTATGCTGTTCTTTCCCTAAAATTGCATTTTCGCATATTTTTCTTTAATCATAATGTTTGATTACGATTTAATTCTTCAAAGATACCAATTTTTATTGATTAAAAACATGAAATTCTTCTAAAAAAGTGAAAGTACTTTCAGTTTTGGCGCAAGAATTTCTACTTTAAGATATTTTTGAGTCATTTATTAATCTCATATATACTTACTTATACGGTTTAAACATGGCATTGAGAGACACAACCTTCTCCATTAAAAGAGATTATCTAGACAAGTTTTTGTCTTACGGTGACAGATTGTTAGCATGCTGACCAACCATATGTGGTTTTAACGCCCATATATATATATATATATATATATATATATATATATATATATATATCCATTTCTGTTCTCTACTGCTGACCATATTATCTTCCCCTTGCTATGAAGGAATTCCTCGCTTAGACTAAAATTTTTGGAATCATCCTTAAAAATGTTCACACACAATTATTAGCATTTTTCTAAAATTAGTGATTTTATCAAAAGTTTTAAATTTCCATTGCGAACTCATGATCGATCTTTTTGAAGTCAATACACTACAAACATAAAATTCTTCAGATCCTCACTCTATGCTCTTCCCTATCTGCCACTCTGTGTTATTTTTTATGTTAAGTATTCAATAATGTGAATAATTGGCGACGTATAAAATGCAAATGTAGAGCGTTTAAGGTAAAGTCAAATGTGATTAACATGGGTTTCCCATAAATACATACAAAATTGAAACAATGCCAAACACAAGGTACAAGAAGAATGGTGGACTTGTTCAGGCACCTAGGCTATGAGAGCCCTTGTGTCTGTCCTCCAATCTCCTCCGATTTCCATTTTTTGTCTTTTCTTTTCCTTATCTGTTCTATTTTCTTGGATATTCCAGCCTGTGGATTTTTAGTTACTTGATACAATCGCTCTCAAGGTACATCCACAATCACAACCAATTTATAGAACAATTCCGACATTTAAAATCAGTTTTTCTCTAGTTATCAATTGGATTTTCCAGCTTGTGAATTTCAGGTACTTGTTTTCGATCGAGTCAAGTACTTATTTACAACCGTTGTCCATTCTACAGTATGAGCTTGAGGCTTTATCCCAAGATGCATGGTCAATTCAGTCCATGCACTGTTCTAGTCCCTAACTTAATCGTGCACTTTTGCTAAATTTCTAATATTCTGTTATTAAACGATATCTTTTTAACTTTTCTGGACTTATTCCTTTATGTATTCTCTCTTTAACATTTGCAGTATTCCAATGAATTTCAATTCTTATCATTCTGTATTTCCTATTTTTAATTCAATTATCTCATTATTTAAAAATGCAGTTTTATTGTTCTTGATTATGTGTTTATCTATGTTTTTGGTAAGTTTTAGTAACCGTATAGCATAAAAAGTCAAAACTTGAGCATATACTAATTTGGTCAAGGGAACTATTCCACTGAAGTACATTCTACAGTTGGAGATCAACAGTAAATTTGGCTGTTAGCCATTGACATTTGTCCTTTTCCGAGATCAAGTGCATTCGACTACACTTGAGCTCGGGGCCTCTATGTCGCCAGGTGAAAGCGCAACCGACTGCGCTATAAGGCTGCTAACCAGGGTACACAGTAAACGTAGAAATAATTTGGGTGTAATAAAATCGATAAAATACTCTATGATACAAATGATAAGAAAATATAATATATTTAATTCCTTTTTTCTCTCTTTCTCCTGTACAATTAAACACTTTTGTTACAACCCCTTTCACTGTCATCGCATATTACAAACATCTCCCTATATATAACTGCCACAAAAGATGCCGATGGTCCACAGTTGACAGGTAAATATGGATTATCTTTATATCATTCGGTGACTGATTTATTTGGCGCACAATATAATCTTCTCAATATGCATTTCCCTACTCTGGTATATGGCACATGTAACGAAATTGTTTCTAGATTAATATATCAAAATTACTCAAAGCATCGTGCATACTCGCCTACATTCCCTAAAAGGACAATTCAAAAATTTCACTGCCAATTCCTGCCATGACGACAACAGCTTTAAAAAAGCTTGAAGTTATTATTACCAAAAAATAAATCAACATTTTAGTAGATCATTGTTTGCTGTTTGTGTGTAAAAGCACATTAGGCTGAAAATATATGAACAAAACCCGAAAAGTTTAGTCTGCCTAGAGCTGGTAGAAATATAAATCTATGCCTCTGCTATTACCTCCTTCAATACAGTTTTCTAAGTCTCTTCAGAGTCCATTTAGATCTCGACTTGGTCAATTTTGAAAATTTTATTAATGAACTTGTCTGGCACAACAGCTATTATTTTTTGGTTGTTTCATCTTTAATTGTCCCACCCGCTTACGGCCATTGCCGAATTAGTGTCATTATCCAACCAAGTCAGCAACTGTTATATATGAAAGTACTCCAATTCAATCCTCATATAACTGTACCTTATTTACTTTAAAATATCGTGTTGATTATCTAGTTCTTACTTGCATATGCCCAAGCATATGACAAAATATTCATATAAATGACTCTTGAATAGAATGTTAGGAAGTTTAACAGGATTGGCAGATACCTCAGCACATTTCATATGGTGATGGATATGGAGGATGGCGTAGTGTAACTAGCTTTTCATTATTTACTAAATTAAAGTAGAAAGAATTCTTACAATATATCTCACGCAGAACATCGACCACACGGCTCAAGTCGCGATGTACCCATGATGCCGAGAACGGAGAGTACAAGCGAATTCATGCCGTTAGAGGACAAGGAAGTAGAGTATTTTTTTGCTTCGGACGCCTCGGCTGTAATTGAGCACACCAACAGGGTGATCTATTTGGAGGTTAGTTTATAATTAGTGCAATATTATTGAATTGAAGGGGAAGGTCCAAAGACCTAGAGCACCGCGAATGTAGAATTCTATTGTACCCTATTAATAGTGTAAAGCACTTTACGACATGATTCCAGAAGGCTCTTTGAGGTCTGGTGTCTGTGATCATGTCTTGGGCTTTACTTTATTGTTTTGCTTTGTCCTCAAAATAAATTAATTTAAACAAAAATCGAACGTTGCATTATATTAACGTTATATTATTATTTTATCGCGCAGGATGATGATGTAGCAGCCGTAAAGGATGGAGCACTCAGTATTCATCGACTCAGAAAGTGTATGGACGATCCACATGCGCGGGAAATCACAACGCTTAAAATGGAAATTCAGGAAATCATGAAAGGAAACTACAAGTATTTTATGCAGAAAGAGATTTTCGAACAACCTGAGTCCGTTGTAAACACAATGCGCGGTCGCGTAAACTTTGAAAGCAAGACCGTCACACTTGGTGGTATTAAAGACTACATTCCAGAAATAAAACGCTGTCGTCGTCTTATGTTGATTGGGTAAGTTAATTCCGTTAGATAAACTGAGCCATAATTAAATAAATTATAGAGAAACAGCATTTCGTTCACCACTTGATCCACTTAGTCAGTAAAAATCTGGAGCCACTGAACAAAACAAAGGCAATTGATTTTCCTTTACCATTATTTTCGGTCCATTTTTTCTGTTATTCTGGTCAATTTTTTTAATTCAATTTTACTAGAAAAGTTAAGTTTTACACATAAATTCTCTGACTAAGTTGCAATTTTATGCTAACTTAATTGTTTAACACACTGATCGAATTATAAGCAGCTAATTAATATGAGTCGACGACTAATATTTTCCATCAGATTCAGTTCGTATTATTTGCCAAGATGTCGACGAAACCAAAATAACTATGGTTTTTCATATTATTACAAACTATAATTCATTTCGCAGCTGCGGAACAAGTTATCACTCAGCGGTAGCAACACGACAACTTCTAGAGGAGCTTACAGAGTTACCGGTCATGGTGGAATTAGCGTCAGACTTTCTCGATCGCAATACACCCATCTTTCGCGACGACGTGTGCTTCTTCATTAGTCAAAGTGGAGAAACAGCGGACACGTTGATGGCGCTGCGCTACTGTAAGATCCGAGGCGCTCTCATTGTTGGCATCACTAACACCGTGGGCAGTTCTATTTGCCGTGAGAGCCACTGTGGTGTGCATATCAACGCTGGACCTGAGATTGGTGTAGCTTCCACAAAAGCCTATACCTCTCAATTCATTTCACTGGTGATGTTTGCGCTTGTCATGAGCGAGGACAGATTATCGCTACAAGAGCGTCGTCGTGAGATTATCTCTGGCTTGGCTAGCCTTGCTAGCCATATTCGACGCGTGCTAGAGCTTGACGAACGAGTTCGAGAACTGGCTAGTGACCTTTACCAACAAAAATCGTTACTTATCATGGCCCGCGGTTACAATTTTGCTACATGCCTTGAAGGAGCTTTGAAGGTATATTTACGATTATAAAATCCACCACAAATTAGAACTGTTATACTTTTTTTTTAACTTTCTGGTCTTCGGTAATCACTGTATATATAAAGACTAAATATTTGTGTGATAAACGTATAGATCTATGAGATGGATAAAAATATTTACTAATATTTAAAACTTACAGTGATTTCACATATAGTTCAGTCATGGCCAGAATAAATCTCATTTTATTTTATGAGGCATTACTCTTTATTATTTTTTATAATATTCATTGCAAATACCTTACACTTTTTGAGAAAAACTGTACTAACCTTATTTATTTTCTGTCTATAGGTCAAGGAATTGACATATATGCATAGTGAAGGCATAATGGCTGGAGAATTGAAACATGGCCCGCTAGCGCTGGTTGACGACCAAATGCCTGTGTTAATGATTGTAATGCGTGATCCAGTGTACGACAAATGTATGAATGCACTATTGCAAGTTCAAGCTCGACAGGGCAGGCCTATAATAATCTGCGAAGAAGGCGACGATAAGACAATGGGATATGCTTCGCGTGTACTCGAGATACCACGTACTGTAGACTGTTTGCAGGGTATACTCACTGTTATTCCCATGCAACTTTTATCATACCACATCGCAGATATGCTGAATTACAATGTCGACTGTCCACGCAACCTTGCCAAGTCCGTCACTGTGGAGTAAAAAGTGTGCATGAAAACAACTTTTATCATGAATACATATGCATATACATGTGTGTGTGTATTCTTTTTTTATATTTATAAAGCACCTTTAACAACTCTTAAGGAAGTAAATAAATGCCATGGGAAGATTAAAACGTATATTTGACTTACGTCAGTGATTTATATGACAGAATGAAAATATCAGCCCCATTGCCTGATTTATTAGGGTGAGCATTTTTTCGGTGATTCGAACAAAAGAACAGTGGTTCATTATGATTTTTCGTGGTGCTTTAAGACCTTGAAAAAAGTCCAAGATTTCCCATTAAATGCTGAAATCATCTAACCTCGGATTTATTGTAATCCCATGTTGTTTATGTCGAGGAAATGTGTCTCAGGTCTGTAATGCATTATTAGTCGAAGACAAACAATGTTATGACTGAGAATTGGTTTGTGTCTGCGCTTGGAAATATTTATTATACACATAGCATCTCGGCCAAATTTGTATTTTATGTCGGATCGAATTTACGTCAAATCTCGTATTCGTTTGCAATCCATTGCAGTGTGAACAATCCCTATAGCTTTATGCTGGCTCACAAGCACAAGCTTTTGTGGGCGAGTTTGCATCCGCAGATATCTAAGTGTCGACGTCTAATCTTCAGAGTAAAACGGTAGGTTTCTAAGTTCTTTCTTAAATTATACATACTCAATTCTTACAAAAAATAGGCAAGGAAGACTAAAACAGTAGGTCATAAGCGAAAAATATTTGGTTTGTAAATGTAAGTAAAGCAAAAAAAGGTCATTTTCTCAGAATGTACACTTGCATTGTGATACTGTGACCCGAATAGTAATTAGTACTTGTAGTATACTGAAGAGATTGATAGTGTGGATAAAACAATTGTTAGGTTTAGCTTTGAGACAAGTTAGCGGATAAGTGTACGCTTTGCAAATTAATCTCCACAATAAAGAATAAATATAACAGTACTTAATGGCACACACGATTAACGAACAAAGCTTTCTGTCGTTCGGAAAGATGGGTTTGAAATTGGCGGCAGTCGCACACATTTAGAGGCGAAAAAATAACATTATTCTTATTAGTACATCGCCATAAAAGAAAAACTGTTAGTTATATGCAACATCTTGATTTCAACCCTTGCGTTAAAATTAACGTTGAATATAATAGAATTTTGAAAATTTTTGATTGTGGAATTTTTTGGACAATATTACGATGTCACAATTAACATGTTAAGCGGATATCATTTGAGCTTCGGCGCATCGATTCTTCAACTGTCCAGTGCGCGTGAGAGAGGTATTAATGTGAATAAATTACGATTTCTATCGATCTGGTCAAACTTTGAGTCAGTCTATGGCGGAGAACGTGCGCGTTGTGGTGCGTTGTCGTCCAGCGGGTGCTCGCGAATGTGGGAAGCGTCTCATTGTGACAGTAGAGGAGTGCACTGTGGTACTAGAAAATGCCACGGATGCGGGGGTACCACAGAAGGTCTTTCGCTTCGACGGTGCGTACGGGCCAGAAATGGCCACAGAAGTGTTGTATAATGATGTATGTTTCCCAGTCGTAGAGGGATGTTTAGAAGGCTTTAATGGAACTATTTTCGCATATGGACAAACGGGCTGTGGTAAAAGTTTTACTATGGGCCATGGGGGTGTCACGACCCGAGCACTTGAGCACCTGTTCGAGGCAACTGCAGCAGCGGACGCGAACACAAAATATTTAATTCTCGTAAGCTATCTCGAGATCTATAATGATACCATAAGAGATCTGTTGGCTACTGAGCCATCACCACCTGGTGGCCTGCAGCTTCGCGAGATGTCAGGAGAAGTGAGTACACATGATTAGACTTCCGTTTCGTAGAACAATTCTCAGAATAACTTTATCAAAGTGAAAATCGAATTTGAGAGTAAAAGTAAAATTTGAGAAATGTACAATATAAAAGTCGAATTATCTGTAAATGAACGAAATCGAGGTTAGAATAGTTGATTTTGTGTCCTAGCCGGACAATCCGGCCATAAGCGATCGCGATGATACGGATGAATGTAAATAAAGTCACAGCATGTACAATTGTTACTACCCCTTTTGCGGCCATCGTCGTCTTAATGTTGGTGACCAACCTCCGGAACAAAAAGATGGAAAAGTCCCTACGCATGTTGTTTGCTTGCGTGTCCTTCGGTGGCGGAGGGAGGGGGGAGTCGCTGTGCTGGCAGCTCGTGATGCCATGCTGGAAGGAGACGGAGGAGGAACTAATCACAAAGGTTGTTTAACTGTCGGCGTAGAGAAATTTAGTGATCCTGTGAAGCCCTTGAAGAGAGACCTCGGAACCACAAATGGCTCGCCCCTGCCACTGGCAGCGCGGATGAAGAGCAGCTCGCAAGTTACCTCACACCTCAGAAATTAGCCAATTATTTTGGCCACGTATAGATGACGGAATAAGACGATGTCCCATCACAGACATCTCTCAGCACAAAGACTTGGCGCACAAATACACGGATGTTTCTTCTGACGCGTTCAATACGAGGTTTGCAGGTCAGGTGCGAGTCTATTCCTACTCCAAGATACTTGAAATCTGAGACTCGGTCGATCCTCTTGCAGTCATCGAGGATGGACCGAGTTTCAGTTTTCAAGTATCTGGGGATTAAGGCTTGGTACCATGGTTGATAACACAATCTCGTTGAATTGTTGGGATGGGATTTGAATAAAGATGCCTGCCTTTATGCGTTGGCATTCTCCCTCGTAATAGAGAATTTGAGTTCGCCATTAGAACAAGAAGTACCTGCTGTAGGTGGTGATACAAAGATCAGCTGGTACTTCAATTGTTGATTCTTGGTGGAGCGCGAATAAAGAAATAAGAATCCCTCAAATCGCTTTGGTTATGAATTGGTTAGGGATTAACTCCTCCACTGCGAGACTGTCAAATAGCCAGAAAGTGTACAAAAAATAAGAACATTTGTTATTCATGTTGAGTCTATCTGTAAAGCATATAAATATTGTCAAAATATAATACTTAATCATATATCTTTTTCTTACATCCATTCCAAAACCAGGTAAACGTGCTTGGTCTTTCTCGTCACGCAGTTCGTAGTGCAATGGAGTGTGAAGAACTTTTACGGCGCGGTGGTACATCACGTGTTGTGGGTGCAACACTTATGAATGCATCCAGCAGCCGCAGTCATGCTGTGTTTACTATTTGCATTGAACGGTTGAAGGCCGGAATCGTTCGCGGAAAACTAAACTTAGTGGATTTGGCCGGTAGTGAACGACAGTCGCGTACTGGAGCTGCTGGTGAGCGTCTTAAAGAAGCAACGAAGATTAATTTGAGCCTTGCTGCACTGGGAAATGTTATAAGCGCTTTGGCTGCTGACGCATCATCTAAACACGTACCGTATCGAGATTCTAAACTTACTAGACTACTTCAAGACAGTTTAGGTGGTGGAACGCGCACGCTTATGATCGCTTGTATAGCACCGAGCACCGTGGATTATGAAGAGACACTCTCTACACTGCGCTATGCTAGTCGAGCTAAACGAATTTCCAATCGACCACGTCTTAACGAGGACCCAAAGGTGATTCCTATAAAACTTTTTACAACAGAGGTTCCCGCATTGATCAGATAGGAGGAGATATTGTTTAGTCTGACTTACAAAATATGAAAATTGCAACACCCTCATTTTAAATCCACAGACAAAAATTTGCTCCATATCATATATTAATTTAGATAATGTACGCCGAGGCGGCCGTGGTGCAGTCGGTAAAGCGCCAGACTGAGGACATCACGGTCGTGTGTTCGATCCCCATCACTTGCAAATGATCGAACACAGCAGATGCGAAAAATATTAAGCCTTTCAATGGCAAATAAAAAAAATTCCAGCCCAAAAATAAGGTTGCTGTTAAATGTTCCAACTGAAGTAGAAACTTCTGTGGAAGTGTATTTCGCATCTGTCCTTACTTATAGATGGGCACAATACCAGACTGGTGTCGCTTGTAAATAAGCGATATCATTTGCAAACACGCCCAAGGCCAAGCTCTGCTAGTCTGTGCATTTGACTGGCTGACTTGAAAGCCTTGCCTCTGAGTGGGAAAAATCAAAGGATAACGGGGGAGAGGGACGACATAATAAATAAAAAATAAGATATCAATGACAGTCACAGGCCAAAGCTGTACCGTCTGAAAGGTAACTGGATGACTGGTTAGCTTTGGGTCTTGGCTCTTAAGTGGGAATTGCTCCTGATGATGCATAAAGGGTCCGTCAGATGGCCTGGATGCCGTGGAGCAAGATTTCTTGTACCACCCCCATTTTTAATCTAATCTAATCTAATCTAGATAATGTACACTTAGGGCTCGATGACAGTGATATATTTACTGAAACATTGCCAACATGGGAAATAACATCCATCTGAAAAACTATCGACAACTACCCACACCTTTCTCATCATAAGTAGTACCATTGTAATAAATTGTTTATTTTACATTAAAGGACACAATGTTGCGACAATACCGCGAGGAAATTGATAACTTGAAGGCACTGTTGGAACAGGCTGACCCACGACTGGCAGCTGTGCAGGCTGAGAGAGATGCACTTGCGCGTGATATTGAAGCTCTGCGTTCGAAGCCAACTCAGGAATTAGTGAAAAGTATTGCTGTTGTGGAGGGGGCGATATTAGGTGGAGCTGCAGATGAAAATGTACGTGCACGTAGAAGAGAGCGTCAAGCAGCAGCACAGCAACGGCAAGCGGCGCTAGTAGCCGTGCTAGCACGTATAGAGGAGCGCGAGGCTCGAGATACTTTACAGGGTCATTATACTGACATCGAGACGGAATTGCGTGCCACCAAAGAAGCATTGCGAGTACGAAAAGCGCGAAACAAAGCATTACAGCGCGAGGTGAGTGACACAATTCTGGCAGCATTTAGGTATCTTAGTTTTAAGATTCAATTATAATGTTATACGCTTATCTTGGTATAAATCCTTTCGAACATTGTGTTATGCAACTATATTTTTGTTTTCTTTATAGGGTTGGATAAGCAAATATTTGATTTTTAATGCAATGCTTAGAGAATATTCTGAAAATTAAATTTTCATACTTGCAGGTAAATGATCTCCAAGCAGAGTTTCAACTGGATCGTGCTGACTATTTAGATACTATTCGACGTCTAGAACGACATGTAAAGCTCAATGACCAACTATTAACTGAAGCAATGCCAGTTCTTCAACGTGATGGCCGTCAATGGGACGTAGAAGCTATACGACGCACTGCGACGTGGAGTGATGATTCAAACTGCTGGCTTCTTCCAGAAGAACTATTAGCGCGGCCTAAACTTCCGGAACTGCAACGTTGCTCTTCGGCAGACTCTGTAGATGCTCCACCATCACCTGAACGTGATCCCCTCCGTGCAAAGTTGCAACGTAGTGACGGGGCCATTATTGCTGACACCTACTTTCGTTCTCGACGTGCCGTTGAACTTTTGCGACCTCGTGAGGCCTGGCATGATCGTCATCAAACTGTGAAGAGCTTTTTCTAGAAAGAAAATGTGCAATATGCCAATGGAATCTGATTAATCTGTAAAGAATAAACTATGATTTTTGTATATTTATTTCTACTCTTTCTGGGTAAAAGCATTCCGATTTTAAGTACAATAAATCGAAAGGAATGTTTTTCTCATCAATTCTAATAGGAATTTTTTACTAAAAGTAATCTATGTTCTCACTTTGCTTAGTTACAAAGGCAGAAAATGCAATCACGAGTTGTAATTTTAAATATCTCAGGTTGCAATGAAATGTTTGACACGACTGACTTCATTTTCTCTTCGTCAAATCTACAAATTATATCCTGGGAGTTTAACAATCATTAACGATGATGGATTTTGAACTGATTTCAATTATTTGGATCAGTGATGGGATTAGGCTGGTCATAAAATTTCACCATAAACTTTCTGCATTCACTCGATAACATTGTTTCGATTCAGCCTGCATCACTTCATTGACTAAAGCCCTGTCAATAATTTTCGGCCTTTCACTCGTCATCGCAAGCAGAAAAACGATTTGTTTTACGGATGATTTATCCGTTCTGTATTGTGTTTTGCTCGAACTCCTTGTAGCATGTTCGCATAAATCCTGCTAATGTCAGCATAATCATGTTTTTTTTATTTACAGTTTGATATCGCGATAATACAAGCCAATCAGCATAAAAAGGAGACAATACAATCAATAAATACACATGCATCTGTTCAGTCCGAATTGACATCCAGAACGGCAACATAGCATTAGGGCAAGCACAGGAATGTAATGAAATTATTATGATATCATAAGGTAAAAAGGGCCTAAGAAAAGAAACGTCACCCACCAAAGATCTTCGCACCTCAGCACTCAGGAAATAAGGAAAACTACACATATATACCTGTCTATATATCTTGGCATTTATTTATTGTAGTGTAACTAACATAACGCTATCACAAAATATGTATAATATGTTCAATAAAGGAGTAAGAAAAAATACTACTAATTTATTGTCAGAAATATAGATCAGTAAGAAACTGTTAATCAACTTCTAAACATAAATTTCACTGTATAATATTTGGACTTCATTTCAACAATTTAGTTATTATACTTTTATTGCAAATGAAAAATTTCAATTCAGGGTTTTCCGTTATTTCTGATAAAATTCCCATACACTGTTTATAATCATACATCACCTCATTTGTATGCATCACGCCGTTAGCGGCTCGAGCTCCAGTTTGAGATGCACAGATATAAACAAGGGGCCGTTATCGCGCAATATTTTGTTTTGTTTGGACCATTAGGGCGATAACTAGACAGAGATGGTGAGACATGTTATCGCCTAGGATATTGCTTATTCACTTTCACTGCAATGACTATTCGGAAACGATGGAGTGGGAAGACAATTTATCCCAACAGAGAAAGTTAATAAGGACGTTTTGATACCTTTAGCCCACTTCCAGTTACAGTCGTTCATTGGATTCACCATTCAGTTGATCGTTGAGTCGTGGCGCGAAGTGGTTGTGTAGAGACTGTTATAATACAGTCAGTGGTGTTGAGTTATAGTACATGTGACATGAGTACCCAGAGAATTTATAAGTTAAAAATACAGTGAATAAATAGTTTGGACCAGTTGTTAGGTTTTCAGGGCAAAAATATGGCACGAGGAGCCATTATACTGTTCGTGGTAAACCTCTTGGCTGTTTTAGTGGCTTCAGCTGCTGTTAAGGGTGAGTACGAATGCTATGTCGCTAACTTTGTCGTTCGTGCTTTCTGATTTCGAATGTTACCGAGTTAGTTAGTTAGAGATAACTTATTTTCGTCCATCGCCATCTTAATGTTGATTTTATGCTCCCGAACAAAACAACAGTAAAATCCTTCAATACTCAGTATATTGAAGTTGTAAAGTTAAATTTATTTTTATTCTAAATTTCAAAACAAGGAGACATCGTCAAAACCTAAGAGTGTGTGGCGATTGAAGCGTTATAGCTTTAATAAATAATGTAACGCTGCCTAATCTCCATGTTATATGACAAAAAATGAATTGGAAGCAGCTAAACTATAGCACAAAATTTACTTTAATACAATCCAATATAAATACTTACTTATATGTTTCGTGATAGAAGTGGATCTGGAAGGATTTGCGTTTAAGACATATGGCTACATTAATTAAAAAGAAAGAAAAAATGCCCTAATTTCTCTTTGTCTCAAAAGTGTAAACTATTCCCGCAAAGATTGTTGACAATCAGAGGCGCTATGTAGTTAAAATGCATTTCAAAAGATTCCTGAATTTTGAGCTGTTACACTCTGTACATGAGACTGAATTGTAAGGAAGTGTGTTTCAGCGGAGGAAGACTGGCAAAGACGAATGTCACTGCTGAGCAAACGACACAGTACAAATGAGAGATGGAAATGTTAGGGCTTTACTCAAGCATTTGACGTAATGGATATAATACTTCGACCCTACGATCCACCACTTACTTAGATAGCACTGAAATCTCATTGATGAACTAAGTTTTTTTCATTAGATAAAATATTCAGGACAGGTTTATTTTCACGGTTGTGGATTATTACTCCGCTTACCAAACATTTGATTTTAATGTTGAAAACACAGTATTTGTCATCCGAAAATTGATAGAGGTCATCTCTTTTTTCACCACGCATATCGTGTATTTCCTTCCTGCTCGTGCAACATAGTTTGCAGATCTTCAGACAAAAATTCTGAATTAGTCTCATTTAACATATTTCTGTACGCAAATATCTCTTTACTATTTTTGGAAAGTAAAGAGATATGTACCCTAAATTATGGATAATATTAAGCGCGCGTTTAAACAAACAAATACTCAGTTACTGTTGAAATTCAAACCAATACAAAACAGACTGTTTACCCTTTTTTCATTTCAGACAAATGCCACCTTGAGTGCTTATCAACCGGAAACCCGGTAAAATTACAGCCTGGTCATACCTACACATACAATGTTGAATCTGTGGCTACAGTACTACTGGCAGGCGTGGATGGTCAGGAGACACGCTTGCGTTACGAGGCGGAGGCAAAGGTGTTTGCCCAGGACCGTTGCACATTTTTTGTGAGCTTGGCGAAAATTGTTCTACAAGGAGCTGATGAAAAACGTTTCACGCCACCTGATCTCGCTGCTCAATTAGCTCTCCCGACTCGTTTTGCGCTGGGCAGCCCTTCACTATGCGCTCACGAGACGGACTCGCCATTTTCTCTCAACCTAAAACGCGCCGTGGCGTCGTCATTTGTGAATGGAGGTGAAGGAGCCGTAACAGATGTGGATCTTTTCGGGCGTTGTCCAAGCATAGTGAGCGTTACTCAAACTGGCGGTCAGTTCATAGTAAACAGAGCGAGAAACCTAAACCAATGCAGTGATCGCGAAATTCTGGGTCATACTCTCACCGGAAGTGTATTCAACGAAGCAAGTGCTATCAAAAGCACACCAAGCTTGAGTGGTGACTACAATAGTGAGGTTAGGCTGAAAAATGGCGTAGTGCAACAAGCAACAGTAAGTGAGGAGTATCGCTTCCTTGCATTTGCGACAAATACAGCGGGTGTCCGCGCTAAGGTGGCAACAAAGTTATCACTAACGAATACAAAGAAAGGAACCCTTGATAACTTACAAGCGGCAGTAGTGAAGCGAGGCGTGACGTTTGAGACACCCCGTAATGGCGGTGGTAAGATAAAACTATTACACTGCACTAAAACTCACATCCCCATAAATGTTTACAGTCCATATACATAAATTTCAGTTTCTCTAACTGATTCGAGACTTGAATATCTTTTGAAGTTATAATCTAATTTGCCAAGGCGCCTGTATAAGACTTTGGATTATTGAACTCCTCGTTTTTATTGTAACGTTTAAGGCAGTTGTATTTGTAGCAGTACAGTGTATTTATATTAATACAAAGTTTGCTGATTTTGAATCAGTTGATACTCTTTCTAATGATATATGCATTTTACAGTAAAATAGACTAATGCGCAGAGTTCTTATTTCTGCACGGCATATAACATACTATCAAATTATCTAAAATCGCTCAAATTTTTCGCATAGCAATGCTTATTTCGAGTCAGATTCAGCTCTTACAGCAGAGATCATTTACTAACTTATATGGCTTCAACGTCCCATTAAGGGACAATGCCTTCTAAATATGAGGAAATACTCGAGACAAGTTTTGCTGAACAACCATAATTTTTTATATAAAACTTTAGTAAATATAGCTGCTTTGACGTATAATCACAAACATAATTTGTGCCCATCCACAATTTTTAATTATTATTGCCTATTATAGGTGCATCAGCGCAATCACTACGTGATGCTGTACGAGATACTGTGAATAATATGGCCGAAGGTGTAAGCAAGAATGCTACGGCTCAATTTGTAGATCTTGTTCGATTGCTTCGTGATGCGTCGAAAAATGACATAAAGACTACATTTCATACGATAACTACTAAATCCTTGCATGAGCGTAGCGACTTAGCACGGAAAGTTTACCTGGATGCCCTATTTCGGACAGCAACTGGAGACTCCGTAGAAGCTATTATAGATTTGATGCAGTCACGCCAATTCTCGACTGCTGAACAGCGTATTGCCCTGCTTAGTATGAGTCTTGTGACAACTTTAAATCGTGATACACTGCAGTCTGTAATAAAGCTTACACCCAATACACCTCACTTACTGCCAGAAGCTTTAATGACCACTGGAACACTGGTCAGAAAATACTGTGAACAGTTTGGCTGTACAGATGACATGCTTGATCGTTCTCTTGATCGCTTTACGGGACATTTACACCAGTGTAATCTAAGAAAGCGCCGCGATGAAGACATGGCGATGGCAGCTCTTAAAGGGGCGAGAAACACGCATGGAAATCTTGGCAAGAAGCTTCTAGATAGTGTTGTGTCTTGTGCTAATAAGGATACAAAAATGAGACTTCGGGTGGCCGCCGTGCAAGCACTTACGGGCATTTGTCATGCTACTGATGCTTTATTGAATTTATTGGAGGACATGAAACTGGACCCAGAGTTGAGAATTGAAGCTTACCTTGCTTTGACACACTGTCCTACAAATGATATAGTGAAGCGATTGCAAACATTGCTGGATGGTGAAAAAGTTCAACAAGTAGGTGCTTTTATAAACAGTCATCTTGCAGCAGTAAGATCTAGCACGGACCCTAGCCGCCAGGTGAGAATATTATGTACCATTAACATACTTGTTATCATGTATGTCTTATCAGTGAGAGCCTGATATGGTTATCTCTTCAATTTTGTTTCAAAAATCATAACAATTCACTACTAGAATATATATACTATTCTAAAACATTTAAACCTGTTTCTGTGTGCCACTTTAAGTTTTCATTCAGTATGCAGAGTTTTTAAGCCAGTGTCTGCCGCTTTAACCATTTTCAACTGAAAACTGAACCTCAAGGGCAAAGCAATTTCGCAAGCTTCCAAAGCACATTGTTTAGGTCTTTTAATGTAGTAACAGTCGAAACACATATTACTTTGTGGAATATTTGAAGTCTGATGTATAGTCTTGATGTGATTGGTGATTCAACTGTCTCTCATCACAGATTTTATTTTCTTGAGAAAAATTGGATTCATGGACAGTTGCATTTCTACACTGTAATCAAATTGTGGCGAATACAAACAAACAGTAGAATGGGGAAAGTACAATGGGTACATTTAAGTTCAAAACGATGCTGTAATCAATTAAGTAGCATGACTGTAAATATAAATAATAATTTTGAATTTGTATACAGGTACACACAATATTGAGGTATTATTAATTTTTTTTTTTTCATCGCTTTAAAGAACAAAACCCTTAAGTTAAGTTCTATGGAATTATTTCCAAAGTTACATACAAGTAATTGTTATTTTTCTTTCTTTCACTTTTTTAGATGATGCGCAGTGTGCTTGGACGTATTCAGACTCAACGTCACTTTCCTTTTGATCTTCGACGTTTCTCACATGCACGTGAGTTCAGTTACGCAGTGGATAGTCTTGGACTAGGTGCCAGTGTCGATGCCGGTGTGATCTACTCGCATGGTAGTTTCTTACCGCGTTCACTATATATGAATGCCACTGGAGAGCTCTTCGGCAATTCATTTAACCTCTTCGACGCCACTGTGCGCCAAGGAAACCTAGAGAAAGTAATAGAGAACTATCTTGGTCCGCGAGGAATACTCATGTCAAAGTCACCACAACAACTCTTCGACTACTTCAAAAGTACTCTTAGGAAACTTAGGAATGCTACAAGGGTTCGTCGCGACGTGAAAGACGATGTAAAAGGCTTTGCCAAAAATCTCCAACTACCTAATGATGTGACTTCACCTGATTTGGACCTTGATGTCAGTATTAAGTTCCTGGGTAATGAGATGCTCTTCCTATCGCTAGGCGATGACTTTCCCGTTACGCCAGAATCAGTGAATGCATTCATTACGCGAATACTGAACGATCTCTTAGATGGAGCCAACAAGTTCCATCACAATTTCCAAGCACATGCGCTTTTTGTGGATGGTGAGCTTAGTTATCCCACAGCTGGTGGGCTACCACTGCGTCTGGCAGGTCACGCCACGGGTGTCGTGGGTCTGGAGGCTAGCGGTTCAATAAATTTGCGAGAATTGTTTCATGGCTCAACAAAGGCTCCTGTGCAGCTTCGCCTAGTGCCTTCTGCCAATGTTGCTATGGCCGGTTCCATGGTTGTGGATGCTTTCAGTGTAACAGCAGGTCTACAAGTTGAAGGAAGCCTACACTCAAGCACAGCTTCAGATGTACGTGTTGCTGTGCTGAACAGTCCCCGAGGTGCGGACATTAAAGTGAGTCAATAATATACCAAATGCAAAAAAAACTCTTGAATACGAGAAAATATTCAATTTCATAATGACTTCATCCTCATTTCGCTGCGTTTGGAAGCGGGGCATATCTTGTGCGAAACTGATTATCTAGAGGCTTGCTTAAAAGATATTTTGTAAAATTCTATAACAGTATACTTCAAACAACAGAAGTTATCTGAACTTTGAACGCGTGAAACTTTAAACGTAAGTTTTTTTTAACTAATAATCTATGGTTTTTCATATGCCATTTTTATTACTGATTGCGATGAAAATAAGTCATCAGATGAAGCTTCATAGTAACCCAGCCTAGCAGTTTAAGCATTACCGAATATCTATCAGAGCTTATCTTTTTTTTTTCAAGAAATATAAAATTAAAAAGGAAACGTTTTGTGATACAGTTGTGCGTAGTACTAATACTGCTATTTTTTATTTCTAGGTTATGATGCCACGCAAAAAGCAAGAGATTTTCAGTCTAAATCACGATGTTGTATTTTATCAACGAGAACGTGGTCACCAGAGTGTCTCCCTGCCACTACGCTTCACATCAAAGCGTTATGCTTTCAGCGGCTGTTTTGATCAGCTTCATAGATACACAGGCGTCACATTCTGTACTGACTACAATGTGACAATTCCAGGCAACGCTGGTGTAGCTCCGTTTCCATTTAATGGCGCCAATCGTGTGAGTGTGTGGCTGGAGGTAGATAGCCATTACCACTTTGCAGTCACACACAGTGAACGCAGCGATGATAAGCAGTTCCTCAGATTTGCGTTTGACACTCCAAATTCAACAGATAAGCGTTCCGTAACATTTTTGGTGGAATCAGCCACTAAACCTAATATATATGTTCGTGCTGAACTTGAGTCTTCATATCGACATCTATTTGCTGAAGCTGGATTAGTGAATAATGAAAAAGAAGTTGCACTCTACGCAATAGCAAACGACCAAAGTAACAAGTACGAGGCGAAGGTAAATACAAATTATAAAACTTTTGAACACTTATTGATAGTACCTTTGAATTGTAATTTATATTCCTTCATCTGTAACTGCAGAAAGATCTGAAGCGAAATTCCTCTAGAACTAGTAGCAATGGGATTACACTAAAATTACTCTATTTGACGGAAAATACTTTTCTTGCACAAAATGTAGATAGAGAACAATGAGCCTCATTATGCCGTGACGGATTTAAAATCAATGCAGCATTTATCTCAAGTCTAGTCCGATATGGACTGTATGTATAATAATAATAATAAATTTATTTTCTCCTCCTCCGCGACTGCGGCTGCCGCCGACTTCACTGCCGACCTGTCTAAAATAAGCTACTATCTTAAGTAATGCAACGATATTCGTCTGTGGATAAAAACTCTGAAAAATTTTAGACTAGCAATTTGTTCTGAATCAATACGACTTTATTTCACTGGATTGATTTTAAAGACATTAGTGACATGTTCATAAAATACATTGTGCCCCTTAAATTGCTTTCTCCCGACAGTCAAAAATGCGTCAAGTTTAGAGTTAGTTTTTCTTATGTGAAATATGCTTTCTCACATTTTTTTTCTATTCTAATAGGTTGGATTCACTAAAGACATCGCCAAACGCGAGTATAAGCCAATTCTACAACTTACAACTCCAAACAATAATAACGCGCTGGGCTATAGTGTTGATGGAACGATAGGAGTGTTCGACCAAGAGGGCACAACAAAATACGATTTGCGCAACCTGAAGTTAAATGGCGGATACTTTACAAAGCACCCTGTGGTTGTTTATGGAAGTGTGACACAAAAGGGCATGGCCTTTGACATGGACCTGAAGGTAACACATAATAGCGACATCACTACTGTGACGGGCGCATTGCAGATAGATGGTCCACGTTTAAATTTCAACATGGAAGCAAAAGGTGGATGGTATACGAAGGTGGTGTACAAGATGTCATATGAACCAAATGATTTACTTAACCATTTGGAATTAGATTACGGAAGAAATCCTACAGATAGTCAGCATGTGAAGGTGAGATTATTACAATAACCTGAGTATTTGATAATCACATTGACAAATATTAGTTAATCAAACATTTTCCTGCAGAATCATAATTGCTTAGTAACAAATTATCTTCTTTCTGTACAGATAAAGCAACAATGGCGTCATCTGCAGGTGAAATATCACCTAGAAGAGCTTTCCTTTGCCAATGAGCTGGAGCTGAGCCAAATATCACTAAAGACACACTTGAATGGTGATTTTAAAGCAAATTCGTTGCTCAAATGGAACATAAGCTTAGAATATGGCCCACGAGAAATGTCTACGGAATTACACGTATTGCTAAACGAGAAAACCAAAGGTGACTACTCCGTAACAATCACCGGGTCCATTAACCGTCGTAATTTGAGTATTACCGCTCGACGTGTGGTACAGGAGAACGCGTCAAAGTACTCAAATCGCTTATCCACGAGTACAGGTCTTAATATGGAAGCAAACGGTGTGCTCGGCCACAAGATTTCTATGCAGGAGGCGGATGTAGTTCTAGATGCGAAGGCGCAGTTTGGCCATAAACAGCAGACATACTTGATTAAATTTGAATTAAAATTGAAGCCACAAGGCGGCAACACAGAGGGCTCATTGTCATTGGGAAAAACTGATATAGTAACATTTAGGGGAAAACTTAAACGGCAAGGTAGCAGTCAGAGTGGAGATTTACAGATTGCAATTAAGGAGATATTAGAAGCTACAGGTGACTTTTCAGCAACTGGGGGAAATGGCACGGCAACATTAAATCTTGACGTGAAAAAATTGGCAAAAGCGATTAAGATATTGTCCACATTTACCATTGAGGCGCCCACATACAATGTAGCTACAGAGGTAATATATGATGGGAAACGTGCTATTCGCGTAGATTCACACAATCATGCGAACGCACAATCATTCAGTAGTCACAACGACATTGAGGTACTGACGGAGCGGTACGTATGCAATGTCAAGGGATCGATGGATGGCAAAGCGACAGATGGAGTGATAACAGGTGCAGTGGATGTTACCCTTCCTACAGGTCGCAAACTGAGTGGATCAGTCAATCGCGAATTAAAATCCCAGGGTGAAAATGTACGTGGAAGTTGTGACATTCTGTTTAGCGACCGACTTCCAAGCGATAAAACCCGATCATTAGCAATCAATTCTCAACTGGTGAATAGCAAGTGGACTCAAAAATTATTCCAAACAAAGCATACAATCACATATAAAAATCTCAACGGACAAGATGTAACAGTAAAATTGGATGTGAATCACAAGTCAGCCAAAGGAAATTTCAGGAGCATAGATGGAGACTTGATCATGAATGGTAGTCTGTTTACCAGATCGCTCAAAGTGACACTGAGAGTTCCTGATTACTCGCAAGTAAGTTACACTTATTGCAAGGATAAGAATTTCATATAGTAACTAGTACTTTGTATAGTACTGAGCTCGTCTATTGATGTCTATCAGGTATACTTAAATAGTAAACCGTAAAGAGTTATGGAGCAAATCATTTATGAAATATATAAATGGGCTGAATGGTGAAATTTGAAAATATGCAATAATTAAAAAAAAAACTTTCTCCCATGATCACTCGTGAAAATATTCTCGATACTTAGTAATAAATAGTCCAAAATAAACTCTAATTTATCACACACTAATATATGTAGGTATATATATGTAATATATGTACACTAATATATGTAGTACATATATATTGCGCGCACGCAGCAATTCTTTCAATTACTCAGATCACTATTATGTACATACATATGTGTAGGAAGGATGAATTTTAGAAATAATTCGTTATATTTTTCGCAATTTATTCAATCTAGTTTGCAATTTCTAACCCAGGATCACGCAAACTTCAATGTGGCCGTGAAATCGGATAAGGACGGTGATTTTCAAGTGGTTGGACGTTACGTAATTGGCGGTCGTGCCAAAGCAAGCGAGTACGACATATTTCTCTCAGGACACTCCAATGGCAACGTGACACGCACCATAGAAGTGAAGTCTTCAGGCAGCTTTCTTAGTCCGCAAGTGGATAATGGTGTGTATGACACTAAATGGAACATAAGTGTTGTTGCAGATGGTAAAGAATCCGGCATGAGTTTGGCAGGAGTCGCGAACGAGGATCATGCGAATGTAAAGGTAAAATATTTGCACGACAAGTTGACAGAAAAATGTACTTAGGAAACAAAAAGTATCTACATACACATGCTTTTAACTTTGCAGATAGATTTAAAATTGCATGAACGTGATCCTGTATCAGTTTCGCTTTCATATAATCACGAATCTCTGGATGGGCAAACGAGTAAATGCAGCACAGACGCAGTACTAGCATACGCTAAGGATAAGAAGATTCACGCACGCGGTTCATTAAAGCGTAGTGAAAGCCGTGAAGTTGACCTACACTTGATCCTTGATACGCCTTATGAACATGTCTCAAGTGTTGTTGCAAACGTTAAGGCATCTAGAACTACTGAGGGCACCGTTATCACTTCTACAGATTTGACAATCAACGAACATAAATATGGGCTGAATAGCGCACTCGTACTCTCAGACGTCAATCCATCGGTGGATCTAGTGCTGGTGTACCCTAAGCAAGAAGTCAAATTTTACGCAGGCTTTGCGCGAGTAGGTGAACAGAAATATAATGGCAAAGTCAAAGTCACAAATTTAATGGAATACAATGTTGATATGTCAGGTATGCTAATCTTTAGGGTGAAAACATAGTATTAGTGTATTTAACAGACAGTGAAGCTACTCACGAGAAATTGTTTAAAAAACTTCGTAGAATATTGTGAATGAGCAGAATTATTTTGAATGAAATACTATTATCTAAAGAGGTTTCTATATTTCATTCAAACTGTTTCTTTTTTCAGGTGAGATATCGGTGACATCAATTGATAACTTTTTTGCACGCGCAAATATCAATGCGCCCAAGTTTAACCTGAAGAAGTCATACGTGGAGCTTAAAAGTAAACATCAAGGTGGAACTAAAGGTGTTGAAATAATTGCCACAAATGATGGCAAAACAGTGCTTACAGGTATTGCAGATTACACAGTAGATCAAAATCGCACTTTTACTGTGTTTGAAGCGAAGGGGAATGTGAATTACATGGAAACAGAAAGTGCGGCCCATCTAAAATTCATCCACCACACACTAACGGAGGTTGAAAATCAGGAAACAGGAGTGTCATTCATCGTAAATGCACAGCTTGGACCAAAGAGTATTGTGGGTGAATTTAAACTGACCGATAAGAATATACAACTCAAACACACAGCATGTGAAAAGCAACGACAGTGTATTAATTTGGATGTGCAATCAACTATTTTCCAGGTACTTATTTATACCAATAATTTCCTCAGAGAGAAATATGAAACCACTATCGTGACATATCCCGATTAATGCAGGACAAATATCGAATTACTTACTTCTAGCATAATATTGGAGAATTCGTTTTACACTCTGGCTTAATTTATGAGACAAATCACAACTTTTTCATGAAAACCTTACTCGATTTTTTATAAAGTGACTGCTTGTACTCTTTAATTATGTCCTGTTTAGGGTATATTAACTAAAATGCACAGCCCAATTTTTGCTTAAGTTATCTGTTGAATGGCTTTAAACTGCCCTATATTTTATTTTAAAATTTTTCTACGAATTTTGCATTTCACTCATAAAGAGGTTATGGCATTTTTCATTTAACAAAAGTGCTTAATTTAATATGTATCCGAAAGCTACATTAGTTAAATTAGAGCTAAAAGTATTTTTTTTTAATAATATAGTCTGACCTGGACAACTTCCGTCATCAAGTCTTGGTATCAATTGATCTCCGAAAACTCGGCTATTCTCACGAGTTTGGATTGAAAGCAGAGACAAATCGCACGGGAGTGGAACTGGATCACACTATTGAGATGCATTTACAGGCACAGGACAAACCCAAGTATCAATACTCGATGTATTTGCATTCACGCAGTGCAGGTATAATTGTGGGTCTTCCGGAGCGTACTATTGCCCTTGAAGGCGTCTTCCAACGACCCGAAAGCTTCTTCGGTATATGGGATATATCAGCGAATTTGCATCTGGACAAGAAGAATAAGCCGCACGAGGCAATGCACGTGGGACTCAGAGCGCTGACAGCAGAGCCGCGTGAGGGCTCTGCGACCTTCGAAAGTTCAATTACGCTTACCCATCCTGCGGTGTCCAGGAATCTTACTGCTTCTGCAAAAGGAAAATTGGATATGGTGCAACTTCAGGCAGATGTTAATCTCATTTTTGACATTTTCAAAACACATGACAATCAAATAGTGTTAGCAGCTAAAGTAATTAACACGGGGAAAAAACATGCTTTCAACGTTACTACGGACTTATCACTCACTTCCAAACAAGGACTCGACTATCAATTATCAGTCCACGCCGCTATGGCACCGGAAAAACGAGCCGCCAGTTTCCAGGTAACGGAGAAATTTCCTATTTATTCGCGAAATTCTACGTAAAATTATTAAAATTTAGCTAATCGTCACGAAAACTTTGATTTGAAATGCAACTGATGTCACAGATTTTGTATTTCAATTCATTAGAGTTATGAGTTGGCTGTGCAACTTTTCATAACTCGGTCGCGTGTGTGGATAACATAATATATATAATGTAATGATTAGGTGCCACTTGAGTACCGGTATTGTATATACCGATTATTTTTGTTTTTTTTATTATATTGACGAACTTACGTTCTAAAAACAGATAATATTTTAGGGTGGTGTTAACTTCGCTGGTGTAAGCGGCTCTGCATTGTTTTATGTCACGCCCACCGACTTGGAAGCCCGCATGACAGTTCTGGATGAAGATATGTTTGTTGCAACTGCCAAGTTAGAAGACAGTAATCGACTAACAGCATCAGCCACGCTTCAACCAATCAAATCTACGCCTATCAATTTACATGCTACTGCAATTGGCCTCACTGAGGCCAAGGTGAGTTTGAGTAGGGATAAACTCATTAATATAACCGGTGAGTTTGCCATCAGTCGTTTAGCGAGTTTAACAGTAAAAGGTCATCAGGGAGATATTTTCGTGGGTCAAGTAACATTGGATCAACAGCACTTCCTTGCTTCGTCCTACCAAATGAACAGAGATAAAATGAAACTGTTTCTACAAAGTATGCAGGAAACAATACGTGAAGATTTTAGGACAGCTAAGAAGGAAATAGAAACACACTTCGCAAATGCGAAGAAGCGCATACTAAATCAAATTGGCAGCGTGCAGAAATCCATTCCCGATCTTAACCAAGTCGTCCAGAAGTTCAAGCACGAGATTTCGAGCATAGTAAATGAGCTGGAAAAAGATCCTTCAATTAAGCCAGTAATTGAAGTCGTGTAAGTAAACAACTCACTTAAAATATAATTGCATTTCTTAGGTGCGCGAATTTACGTAAATGAACTACAAATAATTATAATTTGGATACAACTAGACTTGAATACAACTTAGCTAGAGGGACATTTGTTGGATTTTACTTTGGGACAAAATGACGAATAATAAAATATTGCTCCATAAAATATTCCGCTTAAAGATCTCAAAGCAAAACTTAGTATTGACAATAAAAACAGAATATATTAAATGTTAAAGAAAAAAACGAATTGTTATATGGAGCAGAATGTGGTAAATCAATTTTTTTTTAATCAATTTTCTTCTTTTTTACCAGTGCTCGCGTCTACGGAGTGATTTCCAAAGCACTTGCCGACGTCTTTCAAGTAGCTTGGCAAAATTTACAAAAACTCAAGGAAGTTTCATTGTCGTTTTACGGAAGCAGTATGGATATATTTAATGAACGCATTCTGCCATCACTGGTAGAGTGGTACACAGCTGTTGAAGACCTCTTGCAAGTTGTCTACTTGGAGACAGTTCAACTAGTGTCTAGCGTACTAGAGCGTATCACGAAGACTCTGAAGGACTATGAGGAGGACTTCAACAAAATAGCAAAAATAAGCACTGAAACCGTGGCTCAGTTGGTGCGGGGCTTAACAGAGTTATTAAGTAATGTAAAACGCGAAGTTATGGATATCCAGAGATTAATTCTAGACTACATGGCTTCACTGCCGGGTGTGAATGGGCTGAAAGAAAAATGGAATGCGCTATTTGCGGAATATAATATCCCAGAACAGGTGATAAGTTTGCTACACGAATTCCGCACTGTGGTACGTGACACTGTGCCTAACAGCGAGGTATATGTCTTCATTGAGAGTATAGTAACGTACATTGAAAAGAAACTACAGCACGGCGAAGTGAACGATCTAGAAATGCTCAGGGATATGTACGCAAAAGGTGTGATAGCGATGAAAGCTATAATACACATAGTGAGGAGTCAACCTAGCGATGTTACAAGTGCACTCAATGTAACACCAGAAGGCGTGACTTTGCCATTTTCACTGGATGTGCTTCGACGCGTGCCTTACGTATCTTCTATTAAAATATCTGCTTTGAAATATTTGCGCCATGAGCCACTCCCAAGCATACGTGATCTCCTTGATGTAGTCACTCCTGGCGGCCGAGTAAACCTGAACTTGCTGCCACCCTTCCCTCTTGTAGGACATGTAGTGGATGGGCAGCATGTGTTTACATTTGACGGACGTCACTTTACATTCCCAGGCTCTTGTACATACATACTTGCACGTGATGCTCTCCACGGTAACTTTACAGTACTGGCCACACTCACAAATGGTCACATGACGGCTGTGACTCTATTACAAACCGACACAACTGTGCAACTAACAGTTGGCGGTGCTGTAAAAATGAACGATAAACCTGCGGATTTACCTATACACCAAGGCGACCTTCACGTATGGCGCCGGTATTACACTGTTACACTACTGACAAACTTTGGAGCTGAAGTTATGTGTACCACAGATCTTGTAATCTGCCACATCAGTGTAAACGGCTTTTATCACAATCGCTTGCGTGGATGGTTAGGTAATGGTAATGGTGAACCGCAGGACGATTTCCAATTACCCTCAGGTATCCAAGCCAGCAATTACGCAGATTTTGGCAATTCTTACAGCCTTGGTACGTGTCAACCTGTCGATGCAAAACACGAGCATGGCCACCACGTCTCTAGCGAACCGTGTACAAGTTTGTTTACTGGCGAAACAAACCTAAGAATAGCAAACTTCATTCTTGATCCGACGAATTTCCATGAGGCTTGTGAACATGCTGTGATGGACGCTCCGGCGGCACAGAAGACCCAAGCCGCGTGCAATATTGTTAGTGCATATGTGAGTGCAGCTCGCTTGAATGGACTGCCTTTGAGTATACCGGATAAATGTTTGCAATGTTCGGAAAATCGTAAACCTGGCCAACAATTTAGTACACGTGCGCCAACTAAACAAGCCGATGTCGTTTTGGTGATAGACACGAGCCAGCCTCATCTACTGACAGAATTCGCACATCAGCTTACAGTAGAACTGCGTAAGGAACTTCGAGCCTTTGATATAGCCGATGTAAATATTGCTGTGATTGGTTTCCAAAACCATCAGCGCTATCCAAGTCTTTTTACACATAATGGAAAACTAGACGTACATGGTAAATTATCGACACCACGAGAGGACGCAACTACTCCACGATGTGATTGGCATCTGCATACAGGTCATGATCAAGTAGATGAGATAATTAACTCATGGATTAATGCCACGGAGAGTCTAATAAATGATTTGGGGCTCTCGTCGGATGCAAGGGCTTTCCAAGAAGCCATGGCCTATCCCTTCCGCGCTAAAGCCGCCAAGATTATCTTTGCAGTACGCTCGGATTCACTATCTTATTCGTCAAATCCAGTGAGTAAAATAAACAGACAATATTTTCGTAGCTGTGATGCAAATACAGTTCCTAATTATATACCTATTGATATGTAATTTAAGAAATTTTACTCGTTACACACACACACACACACTCGGACTCGGATATTTACATTATTTCCCTTATCGTTTCAGAGCAAAATGCTCACTGCGACATTTGCCAATTCTCAAGTAAAAAGGCGTGGAATCCAACTCCATCTATTAACACCCGTTGCCGACTTCACAATTATAGGAAAAGACGTCCGTAATGTAATGGCTAAAGATATTGTGGGCTTCAGTTCACGTACAGTGATCAACATGGAGGTTGCTAAAAAGCGCGTCAACCCCGGACAAACGGCATGGCGTAAAGCTATTCGATATACAGAAGATCTAGGTATGCAGCTTGTACAAGATGCCAACGGGTTCGTGTTCATACTAAACAACTATCAAGGGACTAAGCAAAAGAAACAGTTCGTGAGTGCTGTAGCCACAGCAGTAGCAGATAACACGGCCCGTCATGAGATGCACATGGAATGTGAATGTCGGACAGAATACGGATTACACGCCGAAGAAAAATGCATCGTATCTGAGGTGAAGGTGCTTAAGCAAGTCACAAGAATGGCTAAAGGATAGATTGTTTTAATGGAAAGATAAACCCAAAAATATCTTTTTGTTAAGTTGTGATCCTAAACTCAGAAAATATAATGAAGTTGATGTGATCATTTGTATGCTCATACTCAACTAAAATAATGACATTATAAAATTAGAGGCTTAATATATTGCTAGTCGAATTATCCAGTATGGTCTTATGAGCAGACCAGAAAACAAAGAGACTCAACAGACAAAAATGAGTGGATACATACAATGGTAAGAAACCATGAAATAAAAATGGAATGAAGGCCCGAGCTCAATAGTTCAGTCTAAAAGAGTTCAAAGGGAAATTGTATAAGTTAACTTTCAGTTTTTATTATCGGTAACCATACATAGATCATCTTTATTTTATTATGTAAAATAAATGAGGAAGCCTACATAACTGCCAAATCGCAAAAAGCAAAATCTGATATAAGATCAAATGTTCGGTTTTAGATGGTATTCTATGATTTTCTTTGCGGATTCGTAATACAAAATTATGTTTTATTGAAAACATATTCTAGCAATGACAAACCTCCACTTTCCTAACTAATTATATTACAATTTACCGTTGGGAACAATGTACAATTTCAGTAGAAATATTTTGAACGATTGTATGTTTAATATATGTATATTAATCTCATAGACAAGAACTTTTTATTATGACAAAGCAAAATTACAGATAGTTTTCCCTCGTGTTAAAAAAAGAGAAATTCACTCATGAAATACTCTTTTTAAATCACCATATTCAATGCACGCTAAGTTCCTTGTCGAAGAATTCCGGCATCATATCTTTTAAAAATGACATTTTCAATGCTTTAGTATACAGGCGTGCTCGGCTTTAAAATTTTAATTATCATAAGAACTGACAGTTTAAAGAGTAAGCATTTTGATTTGCTTTTTAAGCACTGTAAAAATTATTTTAGTGGGTTAATTAATACATTTACTTAATGATATATAATGCAACTGGGAATGCCTGTGTTACCTGCGTTGCGAAAAAAAATCCTTTTCACTCTGTGCTGACCTCTTTCATTTCGTCTTCAGTCACCAAAGACAAGATCCTAGAAGTAATGTACTTACTAGCTAAAACGTTATCGTTGTATGGTTTGGACTTTCGGAAACTGATCTTTAAAAGCATTTTCTGTCACACTTCAGATGTATATCTGGGATGTATAATGTTCTGAAAAGACTGCGGTTGAAGAGATTCACAAAGGAATCAACTGCATGGCTGCTTTGTTTCTCGATATCTTCAAAGTATTTCATACGATAAGTCGCGAGATCCTTTTGAAAGAAAAAAAACTCAAGTTTTTCGCCCTCGACAAGTGGCTGCAGCGATTTCTCCACTCATTCTATATTTTGCGTAGTGACGCAGAATATTCGATGTATTTTGAAGAAATTTTATGAGTTCCTCGCAACCATTCACGCGAGGAACTGAAGACTGACATCATATGCCTAACTCAGATGTAGATTGGTATCGATGGACTACAGATGTCTTATCTGAGTGGTTATGTGAAGCATAATGACTACTGTGCTCTACTGCTGACAATGTTTGTGTCAGTGCCTCGATGAATGGACGCTTCCTCACCTCAACCAATTTTGATCATCTCTTCACCAAAAGACGGATACCCCGATGCCCTACAGTAGAGTGCCTTTATCCTTAGTCTCAGACGTCATCACCAACGCTGTCAGAATATATTATTTTTAATGCCTTTTACTCTGCAAATTATTATCTACATATTTTGATAAGGATTTTCTATGTTGTTGTCAAAGTCAGAGTTATGGCGGTTCAAATTTTAATTCATCGAAACTCTATAACTTTGGGTCTGCTTATTCGATCCAAAAAAACTTTGAAAGACTTGTTTGAAAGATTTTGCAATACTTAGATCATCATTTGTTTATTTAACTACTGCTTGAGGTGCTAAAGTCAATAAAAAAAATTCCAATATTTGAAAATTTAAACAATTCTTTCATTGTCAAACTATTTCGATATAATTTCTTCTCTATTTTGATAGTTCAAATCAAGACATTTCTAAAATTATAGGTTTTATTTTCTATCAAAGCTAGAGTACTAAACACGCCAAGCGTGTGCTTATCATGTATTAGAATGTTTTTAATTCTTTGTGCTTTTGGGACACATCAGTCAATGACGCAGAATTTTTTTGTAACTATTTTGTCTTGCTAAGACATCAGTAAATATTGGTGGCAACCGATACCTGGGAACTCTAAAAGTGAACTTGTAGAGGACTCGAGCAGATTTTTAATAATACAAATAAATAATAAACAAATGATTGCCTATTGATTCAGACTATTTTCAGCCAAAATTTGTGCCTTAAAGGACAGGTAAAAAAGAGTACCTTCGAACATCCAAATTAAAATTCATGAGAAAAGTATGCCTGTGTTCTAAGACCTTATACATGCCGAATAAACTGGGATTTTCACATTAATTACACGAGTTCGGAGTTTTCTACGCGCTTACAGAGGATAAAAGTACTATATTGAATGCATTTCAAATTCGTATTTTGGCAATGAGGTAGCATAAAATTGCAAATATGAGAGACTTTTTATTGATTCCTGCAATACTTTGCTGTGTGAAAAATATGACCGATCACGTCACGTTTAGCATTAAAATCGACACTGCCAGCCTTACTGTTCCCCAGGAGAGTGAAAACTCAAAAGTTAAGGCAAAAAAGATGTTTGAACGAGCCCCTAGGGAAAAGCCCACGATTTAAAACGACTCCTCAGACGATGTTGAGTCTGTTCGGCGTGTAAAAGGTACCCAACATATACTTAAAATAATTTTCTCTGAATGTTATGAATCTTAAAAGCTTACACAAAATGAAAACATTTTGGTTTGGTGAACCATAAATTTAAATTGGTAAAATAAATTCTACAACTTTGAGTAGGAGATATCTGAGAACATTGTAACTTTATTCCGACTCGAAAAAATCAATTACACAAAACAGATTTTTTGCCTAATTTACGATGCATTAGTATGCAACTGGTATTGGGACAACGTGTTATTGACATACAGCTCACATTCAATATTTTTTTAAGCTAAATTCTTGACCTGTCTAGGGTACAGGTACTGGCTATTACATGTTGTCAAATAATTTCTAGAGATAATTTCTAAATTCCTATAATTTTTTTTAAATCCTCTTCGATTTGTCACATCTGTCTATGCCCAGTTTTGGCTACAAAGTCTACCTGACAGTATCATCTCACTTGAAATTCGATAAAATCTTTGTACATGTTTATAATTGGATAGAATATATAATTATATTGTTCCTGGCACTGTCTATGGCACACAATGTTGTTGGGCGGTATAACATTGAGGGAAAATTTAAACTGTTCACATCTTCTTTCTTACCGCCAGTTATAACTCTAAATAAATATAACCTCAACCGATTCCAAGCTATACCTCGTCTTTTTTTTATTCACGATGGCGATGAGATGTGAGCTGTGCCCGAGACAGCACGCTACAGTTGCACACGAGACAGTGATAGTGAGTTTGTCGACCACTGTAGCTACACGATACGTCATTCGCCTCTTTACTACACTTCTCACTATTGCTCACCTTTCGGAAACCAGCAAGCCTTATGTACTCGAGTTTGGTGTGCTGCCGCCGATGAGCCACAACTTTGTTTGTGTCAGAGCAAATGAAATCACATTTCAGGCAATGAAAGTGAGATGATTTGTTGTTGCTTCCTGCAAAGAGATTTACAAATATTTATATTTTTAGTATTCCAACAACAGTAGCTGCAAATAAAAATCTTCTTTTCCATATAAAAACTATCATACAACTAAACAAAATTCTGGAATAATTTACAAATATTTCAATAATTCTCGTAGTGGCTAAACTAATTTTTAAAACGACTTGTGAGAATCACCTGAAGGCTTGCTGTAGGCACAATTCTCGTAACCACATCGCATATTTGCCCGATATTGTTTGAAATCATCGCCCATGAGCTTGTCTAGTCTCTCGTGTCTAGCCGTGTGTTGTACGAATCGTGTTTTATCGCAGAAACTATAAAAGCAGTCATGACGGCAACAATGAAAATGTGATTGATGATTCCGGTAGCCACAATTGTTAAATTTGCAGTCCTCGTTGAAACGGAACTTAAGATAACCTAGTGGTATTGGTTCATCCTTCAACATTCGACAACTGCGTGTAACGTCATCATCAAGTCGTGGTAGTTTTGGTGGTGGCACCGAAGTTGACGGTATATCAAAGAATGGGTACAAGTTTTTGTACATTGCTGAGTGAGGGTACAGCGTCATTGGAGCCTCTTCGTTTTTCACTTGGTGTTTAATGCTATGCAAAGTGAGGCGAGATTCCTCGGAAAAAGCCTACAAAGCAAAAGAAGTGAATGAAAATAGTATATTCATTTAATCCATTATCGACTTACCTGATTGCAAAAATTACAATGATGATGAACCTTTTTCTTCAACTTACAGGATGGAAAGTCGCACGTTGATTCGATTTTCGCTTCACTAGGTTCACTGCTATTTGAATTTTCGGGAAAAAACGTCCCGGCTGCTCTCACCACTATGAACAAAAAAGCAAACGCAAACTGTGTAAATTCATTTTTCAAATTCTAGGGTATTTCAGAAAGATCTATAATAAAAATTCTAGAATGACTTGATAATTAGTGAACTCCCATAAAACTTAAAATACTTACCGCTCACTCGCTCATCCGTATCATCGGCCAATTTTGGATGTTGTGACGATGTGGCCGATGAAACGGTGGATGTACACGAAGCAGAGGATGAAGAAGAACGACGTCGCAAACGACGTTCACAATTATGTGTCTGTGCATGCCCTGGCGATTGAAAGGAGAAACCACATCGAGTACAATGAAAGTGGTGCAAAAGCCGCCGATTGGGACATGTCACGTGGCTGCAATCCGAAGTTTGATCATGAAATTCGAACAGTGTATCTGCTGTAGATACGGCAGCTTCTTCACTCGGTCGTAAATTTTTCTCCAATTTAAACGACGTGAAAATGGCTTGCGGTGATTGCGTAACCTGTAATCAAGCAGATGTATTTACTTTATGGAAAGATTTAAATATATCTTTTCATTGAGTTTTGAAAAACGTTACGAGTGAACACTAATACATAATCATTGGCCATCAAATCAATTGGACGAATTGAAACCATAAGCTCAAAATATGATAAGGAAAGCTTCCAACTTAAACCTATTTTACCGAAAAAGAACAAATCTTATATCATCTGTATGCAGACGATCTTCAGATCTACAATAAAGTTTATCGTTCCAATTCTTTCTACGCCTTTATGTGAAAATGGAACGACTAGCAAAGCTCGTAATTCAGTTTCACTGAACCGATGTTTAGGAGCGAAACTCCTTACTCATCAGGTACGTGTAGTGTTGGGGCAAATATTGGTTGGTTGTGTGGGTTCGATGAAAGAAGATAATGGTGTGCAATGAGAAAAAAGGTGGCTAGAAGACAAAAACAGTGAAAACTAGGTAAAAGAAGTGTTTGGAACTGAAACAAATCCTTTTATTGGATCTCCCTTATAAAAGGACACGCAAAAGAATCTCCTCTACTGTTACAGAATGTTTCCTACTGAATGCAGAATCTTCCTACAGAATCACAATTCTCTGAGCGCAAATTTAGTTGAATATAAAACAATGGCAACAAGAAATGTCTTCAGTGCTAGATTTCCAAACGCTAAATTAAAAACTTGAAATGTATAGAACGCCAGATTTCCCTACACGAAGCTACTCTAATATGAAAATCCTCCAATACGGATTTCAGAAAACGGAAAATTTTTTCTACGACTCTAAGAATAAAGATAAAAGTACAGCAATTCCGAAAATACAGACTACTTTTGAAACATAAAGCGAAGGCCTTATGCAAGTTTCAGCCCTCTGAATGTTTTTCTCAGTGCGGAAAAGATTATGGTCAGAATCACGTCATAAGTAGGTCTTGATGTATTGTAGAACTACCAACGCCACTTGGCGCGAATCGCGTGCCAATCAGCGCCATGGATGCAAATCACCCTTTAAAATATTTTCTATAGGTACAATTTGTCAGTGTACAATCTGTGGATTTCTGTTAGATTCGACTTCTTTTTGTTTATTCACATAATCGACTTCAATTTTAAAATCTAATTCAGCTTTAGTTGGCAAACAAATTTTCCTAATTCACTCAGCTTCTTTGGCACAGATCGGCCCTAAATGTCAGTACGTTATAGCTAAGTGACAAGACACCCTCTCCCAAGGACAGTGAATTGCGCGCGTGTTCAAAATTGATGGGAATTACGCAGTGTACAATAATTATTTCTACAAAATCTAGAGCCTTGTCTAGAGATATCAATATATGGTTTCAAAAATTTATAAACTTACGCTCACGCTGTTGTAAACTTCCACAATGCGATTTTTCGGTGGACGACCGCGTTTTCGATTGAAGAAGCCATCAATAGAGGTGATCTGTAAAAGATTTGGCCCTGAATCGTGTGTTCGCATGTGCTGAGCCACTTCCGTGGCGCTACTGTCTACTGTAACACCACAAGCGCAATGGTAATGCGCAGATAAGTTTAGTGGTTCGTCGTGACACTTTTTATCTGAACAAACACGCATCATATCATCCTCATCATCATCCTTGCGACGTGTATCACCGTCCATACGCTCGTGCTTCCGTTTGTGACTAATAAGTTGGCCACTACTATGTAGTACGTATGCGCAATTTTCACGTATGCAGTGAATGTGATTGGCAACCTGTGAGAACCGACAGGACGCAAAACTACAAGCTTCAGTTTTAAGGAATTTCTTGAAGCCATCACGCGTGAGTTGCTCATCCTTGATGTGGTAACTCTTATGTTTTTCCATATCCGCCTTGTTCTTAAACGTGTATCTACAAAAAAACAACACATAGCTTGAATTGAGTTGATTCAACATATATGTACATATCCTACGAGATTTATCAATTCTACATTATAAAACTAAATATAAAGGGAAATAGTCAAAAAGTTTTGCCTAATACATTACATTACATTTATTCTATCTCAGCGGGTACATTCATCACAGCCAATATTTATCACAGCAATATTAAAATAATGAAAAGCCTGAGTTCTTAAATTTCGTGTTTGAAAATTTTTGTGTAGAAAGTATTTTGTGTAACTTCGTGTAGGGAAATCTGGCGTTCTATACATTTCAAGTTTATAATTTAGCGTTTGGAAATCTAGCATTGAAGACATTTCTTGTTGCCATTATTTTATATTCAACTAAATTTGCGCTCAGAGAATTGTGATTCTGTAGGAAGATTCTGCATTCAGTAGGAAACATTCTGTAACAGTAGAGGAGATTCTTTTGCGTGTCCTTTTATAAAGAAGACTATTAAGTATTAATAAAGTTCTTTCTTCTCTAGCCGGATGTCCCATATGGCTCCCTACATATTCACGATCCTCTTCTTCACCACTTGTATCCAAAATGGTAAATTTCTACTTTTGCGCTATCCTCATATTATAATAAATACTAAATAAAAGAGATGTGGTCCTTAATTTTTATTCTGTATGAAAGATATGTCTATTGTTCGTGTAGGAGCAGGGATTCCGTCAATTTCGTTCACTAAACCAATTAAAACGCTCACCTGCACCCGCTGCGACGACAATGAAAGTGTGTCGTTCGTTGTCTGGCGAAAGCGCAATAGTCTGTGTTACATTCTTCAGTGGCGCGAAAACGCTGGAAACCTTCCTGGTAGATGACACTGTCTTTTCGGTGGTAATTTGAGTGCATCTGCACATCGCTTGTGCTAATGTATATCTTGTCACAGTTAGTTCGCAGACAGTGGTAGTGAGTCTGCTTACGGTTATGTGTACACGCTGTGCCAAAGTGGATGGTGCAATCATCGGTAGCACTAAAGCGCAAGAAGCCGTATGTAAGACTCTCAGAGCGCTTCTTATGCCATTTTACGTGTCTGATTATTTCCTCTTTCTTACTTAGACATTTGCCTGCGCAGTGTGTATCGAAGCAATGGTAGTGATCTCGGGTATTTTCCGCTGCACACCGCTCGCTGCCACATTCAGCGTATGAGGAAAATTTCTTTAGATATTTACTAAAAAGGGTCAACGATTGGTTAACTGCAACAATAGGAGAGAAGTCATAAGTGAGATCAGTTTTCACAGATTTTGAATGTTTGGATATTTTGTTTTGCACTTTTCCTACAATTAATGTTATGTAACAAAGTGTAACACCGATTTCTGAATTTTTCAAATATAATTGTCAATTTCAAACTAAACAGGATGTCAATAAAAAATTATAATGTAGATAAGCCTTTGCTTATCCACGCGTAAACGAGCCGGCGGACGGCGCCGACGGAAAATATCGGCGGACGGAGGGGTGGAGTGTTGGATTTGGCAAAAAAATATTCTTTAGCACTGCATAAATTTAACGTTTAACGTTTAGGCGTCACGTGACCGTTTGTTTCGACAGACGGACGAACGGATAGACGAACGACGAACAGATACGAAAAAACAAAAAGTGCCCTCTCCCATTTTCGTCATATTTCGTCATTTTAGGATTATGTGATTTGATTGGAGTTGATTTTGCGAGGTTCGTTTTTTACGCGATTACAGATATTCGCTGTGATGTAAATCTCAGCTATATAAATATAATTCACGTCTGATCACGCCACCTCCTTTTGCCACAAGGCCAACAATACATTCTTAAACATTATCGGAGTATCACACCTTATGACATTCGGCTGTTTCTTTCCCGAGCGCTCATCATATATATTTTTTATTATGGAGCAAAGCCTTTCTATCCGACGGATAGTGACACTTATGGTCAAATTTACGAAGGCAACGAATTTACCTGCTGCAGACGTTGAATGTCTTTCTTAATTGATCGAGAAATCGAAGAAGTGACCGGGAAATCAAGTGAAACCAGAAAAGCAAAACTGAGCAGTCTACCGCCGAGGCACTGTCATAATTATCTTTGAGAAGAGCAGTAATTGAACTATGATTCCTACGAAAACCTGACTGGTACGCAGAGATCTGTTCGTGAAGAAATATTTCAAAAAACTTAGAGAACACAAGTAGAATACTCATAGATCTGAAATCTGGAATCACAAATCTGAAAAGTGTATGTGGTGATCGTAAAATAATAAAGGTCAGTGCGACAGGGAAAGAGGATAGGAAAAAGAAGACCGGTGTAGTAAAGAGAGATATCATCACACCCAGTGGCAATGGACACAACCATATGAGAACCGAATAAACTTGAGGAGGAACATTTGCAAAACCGAACTCTAGCGTAGAAGTACCTGAAGAGGGGGGCAGGAGAAGCCACGGTTCTGTACAACAGAACACAAATAATTATTATGCATCTTTAGGTCGACATCAATCAGTTGAGACAAGTGTTGAGACGTTCTTTAAAGTGCCAGACGGCCAATATTGTACCACAGAGCAGAGTGATAATAATAATAAAAAAGATAAATCTTAAAAACAAGTAGCTTCCCCAAGTATTTCAAAAGTTTAACCGACACTACATCAAAATTAGCGTTTTCTTTATTTCTTAACAATTTCAGATATCTTGTTTTTCTCACAAAAAAATGCTTCATTCGGTATTGTATCAAATCTAGCAACTAAACGATAAGTTGCAGTTAATAAGAAATATTTTAGGTATACGGTACTGCACGGCACGGACATGCAATACTCTCGGCTCATGGAAGTGAGGGGACTTCAGTTCAACTTCGATTCGAGTAAAAAAGCGGCAGCGGGACTTCATCCGAGGGAAGCCACGGCCTTCCCTCATCATTGAAGCTGCATTATTGAACTCAAGCGAGTGCGCGCTGCAAAGTTATTTCCCTTCTAGCTCAGAAGTCGTATTATCGAAATCAAAAGAAATTGGGGGGCTCATTTCTGGGAGAAAAATATCGCTTTGCTCCCACTTTTTCATTCACATGTGCTTTTTAGATAGTTTCGACAACACGAGAGTGTTTTGTAAAATATTCTTCTTTGATGACGCTTTGATAGCACAAAACACTAGCATTGAATAACCCAAAAGGTAGATAAAATACTGGTAAAGCTCAATAATCTGGATTCTTTATACGTTTCTCATAAGTAAGATATATTTCCTCAGTTTTTATCAATAATTATATATATTATTATAGTATTTCGTAAAAGGGGGTTTGAATGAGCACATCTGCAAGAGGTTCAAGAAAAAATCTATACATGCAGAAAATATGCAAAAGCTATGACTGAGAGGCATAAATAGAAAATATTGAGCGGAATTCTAACACCAAGATCAAGATTTCGGGACGATTTGGTACTCCAACGCCAAGATTCCAAGATAAAAATGTCACTTTCTCACTATTTTTAAATCTGAGACACCAACCTGGGATATTTTGAAATTTAATATTCTGAAGTCAAGATATATAGATTTCGAGACGAAATTACCTTGGAATTCGTAAAATATTTGAAGCACCTCTCCGAGGTGCTTTCAATATTTTAGTTGCTACTTTATACATCAGGTGATAAAGTAAATTATAGAGCAAAAAGCGGAAAAAATGAATAAGTTATCAAATGGTGAACGGAAATATGTGACACAGACAAAGACAATCCAACAGATCTTACTCATCTTAAGGGGACGATTTTCGGGGTTATTCATAAATGTGTTATTAAAAATATTCAAACACTTTATTCGGCACTTTTTAAAAGAACAGTTCTCTTGCGAGGGAGGCAAAGAAGTCTCACATTGTGGGCTGACTGATCTGGAAGTGTTTGGTGATCGTAGTTCTCTGAGGTGGGATAAAAAATCATCCCCCACGTCCACGGGATTGATGTCAGGATGAGGAGAACTCTGGACAGGCTCAGAAAATCCTCGGCTGTGAACAGCAGCAACGCCGTCAATTTCCAAAAACCCGTGTAGAGAGCGAGTATTTTTTTCTCCAAGGTGCTCGATCGTGGCTTGGTCGGCGACATGGCATCCTTGCTCTACTTATTTAACACCATCACAATGTCCGGACGCCCGTACTGCAACAATGCGTGGCAGATTTGCGTCGATTACTGCTCATACAGCCGATCGCAGACTTCCTTCATCTCCAGGAGTATCGTGTCCGCTGCTGAGAGTTTGTACAGCTGTTCCTTGGTCGGGATTTAGATGAGAACCCTCTGCTGTTGTTTGAGCTGGGAAGATTCTGACGAGTGCGATGTCTCGTGAAGCGACAGGATGATGAATGGAGGAAATGGTCTTGCTGAAGTTCTAAAGCAGACGAAACAGTCCAAATAGTCAGCTCCCGAAAGAATATTTCCTTTTTTAACTTTAACGGAAAAATCTTGATGAAAGAGTATAAACAAATTAATTTTAAAGTTATGTGGTTCTGCAAACTTACCAAAATATCTGCATTAATTTGGTGAATTGTGCGGAAATGCATTTTCTCCCATTCGTGGGAGGTCAGGCGATGCAAATGACCTCAGAATTGACAACACAGAGTTCACAAAACGGCTTTATTTTCACCATGCCTTTGCTTACACTTGAATCGCGCGCATTTGACAGAATATCCCTTTCGATCAGCATTGAAAAGGCAAATTATCACATGCACCAAATTCGACCAACAATGTAGCACAGTTCAAAATGCCAAATCTTTAAAAGTTTAACATTTTGATATTTTGGACATTATATTGGTGTCAGAATACCGCCCAATATTTTTAAAATAAAGTGGCAAAAATACACACAAACACACACTCACTCACATACAAAGAACAGTAATAAAACGAATATTTGTATAAATTGCGCGAATGCTATGCGTGTCTTCACTATTAGAGTATGTTTTAGCTTAAGTCGACACTTTAGCCATCGGCAGCTGGGAGTTGCAATATTCTCCGGATTAAACCGCATATAGTTCCTTTCCGGCTTAACAGACATAATGCTTTTCTCATGAATTAAATTACGTTGAAATAATTAATTGCCAATTTCAATTGGATTCTGTTCAAGACAAGACTTATGGAAACCGAACTTAAGGGAACAATTCGAACGCTTGTCTTTGGTTTACGATTAAAGGTCCTTCCTGCTGGCAAGAAAGGCGAATTGAAATTTACTCATAAATATTTGAATTAAAACCGATAATTGAATTCTCCAATTCAATAGAAAAACAAACATGTGTGCTAAGTCAAACCGTGGTTCTGAATTAAGATAAATTTATGTAATCGAAATAAAATTTTTGCATGACTACAATTATAAAAAAAAAAAATCTTTAATTGAGATAAAAGTAGATTTTTGGAAAATTTGCTTTAAAAGCAGTGCAAATTTTTGTTAAACCATAAAGTGGTTTAGAGAATAGTACAAACAACCCTATTCATGTTCGTGGGAAGAGCTGTTACGTTCCCCATAAGCAGAAAAATATGAAAGATCCCCTCAATTGCGTTCAATTGCTACAAATCAGTGTTGATGGAATTCCCACCGAGCGTCAATTGGGTGGCTTTTATTGGGCTCAATTGTTCTAAATCACCCATCGTGTCCGCTGAGTGCGCGATTAAGTAATCACAAGTCGATAATGAGATATGCATCAAAGATGCCATGCATCTATTAATTGATGTTCGATGTTTTTCACGCTCTTGTGGCGAATGTGTGTTAATTTTGAGACTGATCGCAGGGTGACCCATTGGAATTTACAGCATCTTGGCAGAACAATTGAATGTCACTCAAAGGGGGAAATATCTTCAATTTCATATGGTAAACTTATACACGTACAAGCTAATGTCTGTGTTTTGACTTTGTGCTGTAATGAGCATGAATTTTATTTAAAAAAAAATCGGACAAAATTTTAGACTTATCAAAAAATAAAAACTAGCAGCTCCCTTTTCATAAATTTGGAAGCATAGTATTTGGGTTTGAAACAAATTTTACTGAGATATGTTTTACTTCTTTAAATTACCAAAAGGAACTTTTTTAAAACTTCTAGTTCTTTCTGGTTGAAATATGTCAGTGGTTCTATTCGTGTGATAAAACGTACCGAATATTTAGAAATAAAAAGGTTTTTATTGACTCAATAGACAGAATTAGAGTAATTTCCACATTTCATGAAAAATCAAAAATAAGATCTTGAAGGGTTTCTAAGTTAGGAATACGTGTTCATAACAAATTTTTTCATTTATCTAGTGCATCTTGGAATTGACATATATTTTTTGAAAATTCATCAGATATATATGTTATTAAAAAATTCAATATGGTTCTTTTCTAGCACAATGTTTAACTGTAATATATATATACCTGGTTTTCTGTCATCTGGTTGTTCTTTGGAAGCAGAGGACGGTGGTACCGTACTATGCGGTGTCACGGGAGGAGTTGGTGGTTGCGCCAACTCAAAAGTGGGTGGTCTCAAGGCGGTCGCTTCCTTTGTAAGAGCTTCTACAATGTCACGTGGTGATATCGAAAGCCCGTATAGATTTAGTAGCTCTTGCATTGTAGTCATTGCGAATTCGAAGCGTGCAACATCGGGTGGTGGAGGTGGTGTATCTTCGACGAGGCAGAATTGCGATGGTAATGGCGATGGTGATTTGTCGGCGGAGGCCAAGGGCATCTGCGATGGCGAAAAGTTTTTACGCTTATTTTTCGGCGTATCTTCCATGGCTCACTTTTCTCCCTCAATAACATTCAGCATGGCGGAGAATAAAGGGTTGAATTATGGTGAAAAGGGTTGAGTGTCTTGCTGTATTCCCACGGGTATTTCGATTTCTTAACAATTGTCATATGATTTTAGGAGGGAAACTGATGGTACTACCACAAGTGCCACTCACGCACGCAGCACACCGCGATGTGCGCGCAGCCTCCGAAAGGACACTAACGATGTTACTAATGCGACTGCCATTCGACGACTGAGTCGACATTCGCTAAGGCAAGCGCGCGAGCGCATTAGGCTGCCCCCACTATGCTTCAAATCTCAACCGATTTGTAATTATTCTCAACAGCGAAAAATTCCCCTCTTACTCGTCCCGATTCATCATCAATTGCTCTCTCCACTCTTCCCAAATTTTTGATTTATAACTTACTCACATGATAAATGAAACAAAATTTGATGGAACTATATTCAAACACACACTATTAAAACGTGCCACAGTGGCAGATAATTAGTTTAATCAACACCACTCTGGATATAACTTCAAATTTGCACATTTCCCAATTTTTCATAACATTTTCTGCATATTAATGCGCAGAGAAGAGAGAAACAATAAATCGCTCTTTTCACATATTTGATACCTTATATGCTTAGCACAGGAAAAAATCCATGTTCACGTACATTGAGACTATTTATACCTTATGCAGACACATTTAAACTGAGATCAGATCAAAGCTAAACCCGATGTAAAAACTTTATCTCAGATAAAAAAACCCGTATTCATTATAGTCTTTGGCGAATAGAAAGAGGCACAAGTGGTTCGGCTCATTTCGACCAGATTTAATTGAAAATTGATCGTTTTTTCAACCGGATGAGCAGTTACTAAGATGATTTTAATGAGAATTTGAGAGAGTGTGCGCTTGTACATGTGGATCAACGCATTTCGTTTTATTCCAAATTTTTAGTCCATGCCGGACTTCAAATCACATTTGATTCTGGATTAAAATTCTTGCCCTACGATGTAACAGCCTCATTGTCTATGTGTTAAATAATTCTGTATGTAAAGTTCTGCGCCGAAAAAAAGTATTGCGGTCATGACGTTAAACAATAAATGAGATCATATTGTATTAATTAAATAATTTTCCTAATTGGTCGTTAAAATAATATTTTTACTAATCTAAATATTTATTAATAAATTTAATATTCAATAAGTTTATAAAATGACCAAAGTAAGGATCAAATGGAGGAGACTTTGATGGCAATCAAAGTTTTTAACACTTTGAAGTGAGCGAAATGCTACAATTCAAGTGTGTATGTATTTTCAGTTCGATCCTCATTCTCTCCTGTACAATAAGGAGACGTCTGGAGGAACTGAGATGCTGACTGCTGTTATGTAGTTCAATTACACAATTCCACGGCGAAGACATTTATATTTATATTTTCCTGACTAAAATTCAAAAATAGGAATTTATTGGATGGCCACGATGTGATTTTTACTTATTTTAAATGAATTTGGAAATGCGCTCGCGTTGATGATAGATAAAGGGCGGGCTGTGCGCAAAGTAATGTCAATTGTCTCCATAAAATTTTACTTTGTTGAATTTATGGGCACACTTTTTGGGTGAGAGTCAATAAATATTGAATGGATATATTCATAACGTTGATCAGTTTATTTCATTATTCTGAGTTCGTCTCTGCGTCGCATTCAACTTTTTCCTCTCCTCGTTTTGCTTCCCCGTCACTCGATTCAATATTATTTTTCATATCTCGAAAATTACTCTGTAGCAGAAATCACGATAATTCTTTTTATTCACATTTTTCAGCCTCTCTCGTTTCCCTTCCAAACCAATTCTTCATATTTTGTCGACGAAGCCACATTTTTACCAGTGTGTATATATTATGAAAAAATGATTGATACCATCTCACTCGCTCATGTGCAAACTTCAAAAGCCATGTCCCTGTCATTCAGAGTCGCGGGTCGGCTTCTAAGTCTCTTTGCCATCCCGATGAAAATCGGAATACAATACTAATGGGTGAAAAAGCGCGCAAACACACCTTTTTTCTTTCAATCATTTGATTTCTTGTACAGCAAAGATATTTGCCATAAGTGGAATATTTTGTATTTTCATATTCCTACAAGCGTACATTACATACTTCTTCCAATCAAAATCAAGCCTGAAGATAAATTCCTCAATCATGTGAACCCATCAAATACCATTCTCTTCGTTACCAAAAAAAGGAATAAAATGTTTAATAAAAAGCAGTCTGAGGCTCTTCGGGTGGGAGAATAGATCAGTTAATATAAATTTCTTCAATTACAAAACTCACACCAAAGGTCTCTTTTTGTTCCTTTGGCCATAGCAAACCTTTTTTGGCCATACACGATGTAAACCGAACACTCGGAAGTCATACAAAATTCGAAGATCTCCACATTTTCATAATAATCAAAATATTATTGCCAGCTATCAACTTTGTACGCGAAATTAATACTTTTAATATTATTTGCTACACAGAAAAATGGCTCCATTGAACGATATGGTACAGACTTAGGAGTAGTGATCAACATCACGGCAAATATCTATTGTCGCTCGAGAAATGCAAAATCACCAAGTCCAACACCTATATATGGGGAATTATTGCATGTGCTCAAGAGACACGACATTTTTATTTTCATTTTTTTGTCATCCGTGTGTCGTTCCTTCCGTCGCCACATACAAACTTCTAGCGCCAAAACGGTTAGATATATCAATATGCGATTTGCACCAAAGAATCAAGGTATGCGGTGTTGTTAAATCAAATTATCCTACCCCTCCTTCCGCCATTTTGAGAAATTTATTTCACCTATTTACTGATTGCCTATGACATGGATAGGCCCTTAGTTTGGTACATTATGCCAGCAATAACTTTTACAACCTATTAAACTCAATAGTTTTGCACTTTTTGGAAAGGCCTCCCAAAGAGATATATTTAAATCCCACATAACAATTTAGCACACAACTACTGGAGGCGCAAAAGATAGAAAAATATATATAATAAAAAATAAATGTAAAAGGAAACTTCTAAAAATCAATATCATGTATCTCGGAACAAAATTTTTTTAATACTATAGCCGAACTCAAGACCTTCCCCACGATATTCCATTTACGGGACCTGACGTTTTGAATGCAGAAATATAAACGATCAAACTACACACTTATACCAACCTATACTTCCGCTATTTTTTGAAAAAAATTTCAAAACGCCTGTATTTCGGCAAATTTTTGATATTATGATCTGATTTGTATACATTTTGGTCTAGGTCACCATGTCTCTACAGTTATGTAATAACTTTTCACTAATGAAATACATTATGAGTTCATTTAATTATTCATTTCATTTATTCACAGCCGTTACTGTGGTGCTTGTGTGTGTACTTCAACATTCTATATTAGCCTATGGCTGTCGTTATGCATGTGTTTGTACTGCTAGAAACGATGACTCTATGATCGGTGTAATCGATTTGTGCGAGCCCCTCACTGTTTAGCTGGCGTAATACTAGGCTGGATCTTAAGATTAACATGCGTGGCGACATAGAATATTGGTTCTGCTGACTCTGTATGCTAGGATTTGTTATAAGAATAGAGGAAAGAAGACGCGGCCCAGAGTGTCAACAGTGCTAACCGGGCAAATATATGAACTTCCTCACTTAGTATTGACAGTGTGCTTTAGACCGCACCGCCTTCGGGTCTCTAAAAGTTATAAACCTTATAAGTTATTATATTGAACACACTATAGAACTTTGACTCTATTTGTCCTGTCTTTATAATTTTAACCCCATGATGCGGTAAAGTCAGAAAAACAGTACTTAAGTCGTTTTTAAAGTTGAGCTATTTTACATAAATGTGATAACTTTTCCTATAGTCATGTCGTTTTCAACATTGAATTATATTTTTCTCTCGAATTTTCTGCCGATGTCATAGAGCTAAAGATATAATGCTTAAAGTTTTTCACATTTCGAATTAGTCATAATAAGTTGGGCACAGAAAAAAGCACAATAAATCCCAGCTCTCCGAAAAGCATACGCGAAGCATGTACTTTACAACATTTTTGTCTCTCTTCGTGCCATACGTTATGTGATTGTCCTTCTTATTCATTTTTAACGCTGAATCACCAGAGTCATCTCTTTCTCTTTTATCCGTCTACTAGAGTAAAAATCACGAGAATGTAGTATTTCGAAAAAATTATCATATTTTTCAAATTTATTCAATGTGGACAAAGTTTAGAGTCACCCTTTCATACTAATTTACTGAAATGAGATCAATGAGAAATAAAAATCAACAAGTTAAGGGTGAAAATAAGTATGAAAAAACAATAGATTTGCAAGAATAAAATTAAGACTTAAAAGTGTCTAAGCCTCCAACGGTCTCGTGTGTCTTACGTGGAAAGACATCATAAAGAGATGCGCCCCTTACACAGAAAGTGAGGTAGAACGTATTTTGAAAAGTCAATAAATTCTACCCACTTATCGATAAGATTTGCATTAAATTTCCCTTTTTACACAATTTCAGGGTAAAAAAGGGTTAATATAGACTAATTAGTACTTAGACGATCCATTTCAAAGGTTTCGAATCTGGCCTAGTCGTAGCTTACAAGTACATTTCTGTTGGTATAAATATGATCGCGGAGACCCAGTTCAGGAGCGTATCTTTTTTTTTCTCATTTGTTTCTTTATTGCCAGCAATCTGTATTATTATTACAATCAGCTTTCTTGTTGAATTGAAATTTTGACAGAGAAAGAGGGATTCCAATTTTGAAATCTCACACAGAAACTTTACAAATACTTAAAGAGGTCTGAGGGCTTTATGCGCCTTAGTCTTCTATGCTCGCCAAGGTCAATAACAAGATTGCCTGCAGCATCATTAGGGTGAGAGAGAAGTCGCTCCCTGTAGTTTCTGCTGAGTTTCTTTATCTCATCGGAGACCGTGGGCATGCAGAGATCATGGTGTAGTAAGTCGTTGGAGACGTACCAAGGCGCGCCCACTATTTGTCTGAGAGCAAGGAGAGTATCTGACATAATTATGAAATGTTATGGGTAGCCGGTGAATTTTGTCAGCATCCACACTGCAAAAAAGAGCTCTGCAATAAAAGAGAACAAAGGAATAAGCATTTCTCGAGCAGGAAGTCGAGTATCGTAGGGTGTGATATCCCAGCAAGGTCTGAGGACATATGGAGAATAATTGGCCTTGTAACAACGAACGTTGGTTGATCAGACCGAGTCAATGCCGAGTTAAAATTGAGTCCAACATATTAAATGTAATCTAACTAAGATATTGATAGTTTCACCGTTAAGAAGAAAGAAAATATAATGTAATCTAGCTAGTTTTTCAGAAAAAACCCTGTGCTCAACCAGAGTAAAATCCTCATTGATGTGCTAAACTGCAGAGGTGGAATTTAGGGATTGCCTTCAATGTAACATTGGAGATCATCCACATATATATGATACGAATAATCCCGCACAGTGATGTAGCTAAAAATGGCAGGGGGTGCTGTCGAATCCCCTCAGGACAGATGGTTAATCAAATCATAAATGAATAAACAGAGGAGCAGAGAAATTTCGCGCGTAGATCGCGACACCACCGCCCTGGCGCGTCACCGTGTCACAACGAAAAAGACATCGGGCTGCAAAACTGATTGGAATGTGAAAAATATAATGAAATAAGATTTAAGAGCAATTTTGACCCTTCTTTGTGAAAATAAATATCTAGTATATCTTGAATCTGCGTTGCTAAGTAAATTTCTTTAGACGCCTGTTAGTAAAGAAATAAACATTTGACTCTGTGTGAGTCAATAGCGTAACAATGTAATGCGAAGTTTCATCGAATTTGTTGATTCAAACGATGAGTTTCTGGAATGTTTTGCAAATGTCTGCAATTTTCGTTATCTCTTCTCCCTAAACGAACTCCTCGAATCATCACAATTTCGGCACTTTTTAGCAGCCACGGAACAACAACGAAAATATTCTCCCCTACCCTTTTAGCAATGTGAAGAGGGGCGAACAAGAGAGTTGATAATTCTATGGCTTTAAAACGTGAACGTAGAAAACTGATTTTTCAACCCTTTTTTCACTAACAATATTCGTATTTTGTAGGAAAAGGGTGTCAGAAAAAGTATATATATATATATATATATGTATATAATATATAATTTTGCTTCCAATTTTACATGACATTCAAAAATTTGCATTTTCTCAATAGTCGCTTCCTCACGCAAATATGTAAATACATTTTACTCGTTCATTATTATTTTCATTTTATGGGGTGAGGGTATGCTAATGAAGCTGGATAAAATTTGAGGCTTGAATGCAGTGACGAAATTTATAGAAATCGTAACGTTTCATTCTTTTAGGTTAAAACTTCGAAATATCCTCGTTTTGTCAGATTTTGCACTGCTTTTTTCAACCAATTTTATTCCATTGCCCGAAAGAGACAATAAGAGTAAGAATATATAAATGAATATACTACATTCCATATATCATATAAAAAAAAGTATTATAGGTTTCACGATCGTTTTTATTATGTTTCAGATCATTTTTAAATGCATCTCAATCAATGAGTACGAAATATCTAAACAGACCTCATACTCAAGATGAATTAATGAAAAATCTAGAATTTTGAAGGTATATAAATTTGTCTTTCTTAGCTTTCTGAGATGAAACATCCTCAAACACTTCTACAACCATGCCGCAACTTGTCGCACAGCTGATACACACCATGCATAGAAAGAATGGCACTGAATTGCATAAATATTTTTGTGCAACACCGATTCATATTTTTTAAGTCTCATTCATTCCAGGAAAAATTTAAATAAAATAATATTTCTTGAAATTATATATATATATATATATATATATATATAATATATATATATAGTGATTTATCTTGAGAGTAATCAGCACCAATGGTGGCGGTTTATAACAGCGCTGAAGACCGATGCATTTATGCAAAATCTTGTCATGACTCAATGCGTGTTAGCGCATGGTGAGTGTGTGTGTGTGATATGTGGTAAAATAAATGGGGATTGCGAAGATGCTTCATTTTAGAAATGTTTGAAAAAGGAAAGTTAAATGCCTCAAAAATTCTCCTAGAGCTTCATAATTTGGTTGATATGACAATAATAAATTTATTTATATGATACTATAAAAAGCGAAAAATACCAAAATATAATATAATATCCTTCATCCCATATAAAAATCTGACCTCTCTATTGCCCTTATTACACCTTTAGACATGTATTATTGAACGTCTCGGGTATGAGGCCACCTCTATATATTAATTACACCGTGCATCTTAATTTTGTGTGTTAAAAATACTGTTACCAGATTCGTTAAGATTCGCGCCAAAATCAAAAACGTATGCGATTCTACAGAGCTCATCCTTAGCCTACTTTTCTTTATTCTGATCAAGATAATGGCTGAAAACAACTATCCTACCATTTGACTTGCCTAGTCTGGAACTTAGGGTCTCTAGATTAGTATTTCAGCGCACTCCCACTATGCTACAAGCATTAATGAGGACTTCACAGGTTAAGGCTTATTCGAGTCAAGAAAAACATTCCAAACAATTAAACAACGATTTTAACTTAAGTAGATATGAAGTATAACAATTACTCTTTAAAAAGCTGACTTCATAGTGCAATCGCTACCACTCTCGCTTGAAGACATTGTGGTTTCGGATTCAATCCTTACATAAAATGCTGTGACCGAATACCCCGGTAAGAGAAAAAATACATTTAAATGCAAACAGTTGGATCTGTGTGTTGATTTCCAACTGAGGTAATTATCTTCTGTGTAAAGGTTTTCCACGGCCATGAGAAAGTATGGGAAAAGCATTTATTCATGTGTTGGAAATTTTGTGGTCAATAACACTCGCCAAACACAAAACATGGAAAGACCTTGGACAAAAACGAAATGAATGCAATATATAAAGGGAAAAAAGTGGAGTAAATCAGAAATATAATTGGAAGCATTTTCTGGATAATATCTTAGATGCACCAAGATCGAGAGCCTAACGGATACACTTATCAGCAGACAAGGACGCCATTAGAAATCAGAAACCCAAATATAAAGGACAATACACGCTACTTGCTCGGCCGGAATTGACGTCTATGAGATTTGCAACACTGTAAAACGCAATGGAGAAAATAACGAAGTTTTTTGTAAAACATCGATTCGAAATCACGTAATTTTTGCATAATTCTTTCCCGGGTCGTATAAGAGGTATATCGTGGAAGTGGTCTCGACCTTAGAAAACAAAATATTAAGAAAATACTTTGGTTCTTCTGAATTATTCGATAAAAAAATTTCGAAAATTTGTTGTTCTACAGCGCCCTAAAAGGTGGTTGTATCAAGTTATAATCTCAGAATAGAAGATGGTCCTTCCGCTAAGTTATTCATTCATTCATTTTTATTTATTCATCTCATTATACAAAGGAAGATGCCTTTTTTGATTTGATAAGCAGATCAGCAAAAATTTGCAATGCTGACTAAATAAATAGATAGATAGACTAGATAGACTAGATAAATAGGTGTGTAAGTAATTAGATCAAGAGTTAGGATAGTGTTTAATTTCAAAATTTGAATTCTATACCTTATCTTTTTATTTCTTTTGTGTTATAGGAACTGGGGAAGATAGCTTATACAAACTGTCGAAGAGCTTTTTCATAGTTTTGCCCTGGAAGTTGGTCATCAACACTCAGATGTCGGTGAACGCTGGATCAACACTTACAAAAGCAAGTTGCAACGAGTCAAATAAAAATATATTCTATTCATATAATTGATTCTGAAATCTGGGTCCATAAATATAAGACTAATATGGACTAAAGACAACCTTAGTCCATCGATTTTAACTACATATGCTTATCCTCACATTATGTTAAACTTTGTTGAAATCCATTGTCAAAAACTTATTTGTCGATAAGTTTAAACCAAAGAGAAAGATGATGGGATATAATGCAGATTTTGTAGGAGATATATTTCCCCAGAGTTTTCTCTGACAAATACTGTACAATGTTATAATTCTAAGTTTAATAAAACGCTTTCAGGTATTCTTTTTCAGATTATATTTTTGCATTTTGCACATATAAGTTATTTTACTTTTAATATTTGCTAAATTCAGAGGCACCCTGTACAATATACATTTATTTCAAAAGAGACATTTTATACTGTTACGCAGTTTAAATCGTCGCAATACGGTGTGATTGCGTTCAATTGGTATGAATGTGACTCAATTTCCCAATAAATGGAATAATGAGTTTGAAGATGTTGAATGCTCTAGAAATATATTAAATCTTGTGCGAGATTCGTAGCGCTGAAACTAGTGGTATTTTGTGAAGTATGAAGTGGTATGAAGGGTAAACGCAAGAGAGAATATTATACCGACATGTCAATGAACAATTTTTTCTATAACCATTGCTCTCCATTTGCATTTTTTCCTCTTCTTTCTCTATCACACTTTTGGATTTCCCTTCTCAAATCTTGCTTTTTATCTTCACATTTGTATATTCCTCTTATTATTTCATCGCTGTACTCTCTTTATTCACATCTTTTTATATTCTCCAGCTATTCCTCATATTGTGTATTCTCTTCATTTAAATCCAAGGCAGAACTTATTTTTTCGACGGTATACCAAATACTTTTTTTTTCTCATATTTATCTCACAATTTTTTATTCAAACCCTTTTTTCCATTTTATTGTACATTCGTTCTATTTTTTCTTTATAATTTACTCTCCTAATTCGTCCTACGTCAACTCATGTGTACAGGTTATTGACCGAACACGAAAAAATATGTATACGTACATGATCAAACACACTGAAAAATTACCAAGCGTAAATCAATTCAGGCTATTAGATTAATAACATTTTTTCTTTACTTTATAAAGCGTAAATGCAAAATGCAAAAAGTAAAGTCAATTCACGTGCGCCTGAGCAACGACCGGAAAAGTCAATTTTCATTCATACCCAAAATCACTGTCATTTTTTTCCATCTTTGTAGCACAATTGAATAATTTTCTGTTTGCCATCATTATTATGGTGAGCAATTGTATTCCAAACATGATTCGTCGGTAAGTCATTTGCATTGATGGCACGCAGATCAAATTGTCAGCAGTTTGGCGTTTAAGACTCAGAACTTTTCTCAAAGGTTCTTTTTATCTCTTTGTGAAGCTGGTTTATTTCAGTCATTTTCAAATTCTCTTTAAGACCTGGACCATATAAAAACCAAATGTGTATCTATAATCAAAGCCAGCTCAAGAATTTTTAATAGTTTTTTTTTCATCCAATAACTAAAAAAAAGAAATAACTTCGTCCCGGAAGTAAGCAATGGAGGCGCCCAGGACTCACAAGTGCCTTCCAATGCAATTCTTACCATTTGATAGAGAAAAGTCTTGGTTCTGAGACCGAATAATCTACCCAGCAAGTATAAGGCTTCTCAGTTATAAAGCTGTAATATACTTCATAATGTCGTCACTGCTCCTTGCATATAGCTCTTGCATTTCGAAAAAACTTATTATTTGCAGTACCAACTTACCTCAGTGACCGTTGCTATCTAGTTATTATGTCTGGAATATGTTGCAGCAATACAGGAAAAGTCTATTAAATGCACTCAAATGCAAATACGTTTGAGATATTTTCAGCAATACTGCTTTTTTTGCTAAAGAAGTTTTTTATTGAAATTCTTCACTGACCACATGGGGTTACCGCATTGGTCAACATCATGCTTTGACATCAATACTGTATTACATACAAGAAATGCACTTTGGAACAGAAGAACAGAAAAAGTCGTGTTTAAAAATAATACAACAGGAGACCTATTAAATATATACTTCAACTGATCAAATTTACTTACTGTCAGAGAAATAAATATGATATTTTAAGAAATAGATTAGATTTGCGAATAAATTAGATGTATAGTAATTTTTTGCTGACATACATATTCCTTTTTGTCAGCAAACTTTAAAAAGGGAACTCTTTTCTTATAAATTGTAATCTCTAAATTTAATAAAATAAGGAAAATTACTTGATTTTTCAATTTTTGTGATGTTTTTCTTTATATTTTTTTCTACTAACCTACAAATACTTTTAATCTCTCTGGCATTTTTGCGTATAGCTCCTCCTTGTTATCGCTTCATTTCTTTCTTTCTCAGCTTAAAACAAATTGAACGACTCATATCATCGCCTAATTAGTTGATCCCTGTGACAAATTAATTAATTGTTTTAATTTCCTATCTTCAATTCATTCTTCTTTGTGGAAAACTACTGTGTTTATGCCCTAATTATATATTCTCACCATATACCGTTTTTGTACTTTTTCTACTTGAGCTTCTACCATAGTTGATCGAAAAAGGGTAAAAAATTTGTTTTTCAGCATACCAATAAATAATTTAGCAATTTTTACATGTTGACTATCGAAAAAATGCAATGCATATTACTTTTACTATTCGATTAAGTTCCGTGTTATAATTGTTTTTACAAAAAAATTAACTTAAAAGTATTGTTTGCACAATATTACCAAAAAGGTGAAAATTTTATAAAAAGTTTAAACTTTTTTCAATCTTCTTCAAAATTTGGGTATCTGTAAAATACATACTAGTAATATTCCTCCATAACTCTGCCTCTATTACAAAAGAAAGTAAAAAATTACCGAAGCCACAACACGTAATAGTGTTTCTATGCACTTCATGATTTTCCTTTGCTGGCTTCTATATCATTTGTTACTTAAATTCTTGTCCTCGTTTTTGCTTAAATTGCAAATTAATGTTTCAAAGAAATTTTTTGAAAAGATTGTACCGCACTTTTCGAGTAATTAATACATATTATCTTCTAGACTATTCGTAAAATATTCTCCCATATAGTAATATCTTTGCATTTTCTTTTCCTTTACGATTGTTGTGAGGAAAGTATAAGTCGAGGAATATCTTTTATTTTAAATATTTATCTCACCGTCATTATCTAATCACGAGCCTTTCAATTTTTTTTCTTTTAATTTAAGGTTTACAGTGTTGCCACGTGATATATGGAAGATCCTCAGATGTATTCATTAGTGAATTTACGTGTGTAAATTTAAACAACTAATTATTATTCTTTTCCCCACTGTTCAGCCAACAATGTTTTTTTTAGCTGCGGGTTTATAATGTGAAACAAACTAATCAACTTAAGAAAGGAAAAAGGTTTCTGATATGACATTTGACCCATAAAAAATGAAACAAAGAAACTATTGAAAGTATTACACGCTTCCTAATATCAACCTGCTCTAATACCAACATAAAAAAGTATTATTGACGTGAAAATAAAAACTGTATTAATATATTGACTGACAAAATAAATCTAAATCAAATAGAATTACAGCAAATTTATCGGTTGAACTTCCCTATATTTTAAAATTTTTATACGTTATTAAGCTACTAAATATACCGATTTTAATCTATTATCCAAAAATATTGTTATCAAAAAAAAAAATACAATACAAATTATAAGTAAAAATACAATGATGTAAAATTAGTTGGATTCGAGTAAGAATACCTGACATTTAGTCTCTCTACAAATTTTGTGTTAAACTAGAGGTTTTAACATTCCCGTCAACATGATGAGTAGAAACTATTTGTTATTTCAGAATTCAATTATTAAACTCAGAAAAATTAGAACCTCAATATGATAATCATATCTGAAGGCGAAAACATTTAGTTAGCTAGAACTATGGTAGCATTTCACATTTGTATTATTGAATGATTGTACGAATTTTATAAGGTGTTCCTAATTGTGAAAACACAGCATTGCGTTTATAGATTATTCTGAGACATATTTTTGTCTCTCTCTCTCTCTCTACGCCATGTGTTATAATAATAATAATAATAAAAGATATATTAAAAAATTTATAGGGTCTGCCACTCGTGTTAAAATCAAGTTGTTCTGTTATTTTCCTTCTTGCTCTCTTTTATGGTTTTTCTTTGGATTCTCTCCCTGCCATATACCTTACTAGAGCAAAAACAATGAAAAGAGTGAGGAAAATTATATGAAATACATTTGGCATTGAGAAAAATGCTCCATAAAATCTCAAGCAAAAAGTTTTGTAGTTATTTCGAAATTACTGCTAGCTTGGAGGTTAGTAAAAATTCTGTCTTCTCAACAAAATTTTTGGTATAGCATAGTTCAACTGGAATACTAACAGAAACTTTTATGATATTTATTTTTTTCCGAATACATTGTTCGCCATTGACTATAATTGTTAATAAATTTTGAATTTTGCAAATTTGGATATCTGAATGACCGATTTCAACGTACTTTACTTTATCAAATATGAAGAAAGAAGAAAAAGCCTCCAAAACATAGTGCGGACAATAAATGAGTAAATAGAATTCGGTTATTCTGTCTTTTCAAATGAAATCCCCCATTGGCTTTAAAAACATCTTACTGAACTGATAATCACTGTTTTTCAATGCTTCAGGGGTACTGTAAAGCCAACATGAAAATAAATTATTGTATTTGAAATGACCCGCGTTACATTAACTGATATAAAAGACGGGTAAACAGCATTACATATGACAAACGAAGACTGTCTCCAATCCCCTAGACATCACTATATTTGTAGCAAAACAATCAAGTTAAATCCTTGTCATTCGTCTCTATTGAATAATTTTCGGCTGCGAATTCTTTTTTAGTATCAAATTTCTTTTAAATTCAAACTTTACTGCCATATGGTTCCAGCCTTCAATGGAAAATAATCTCAAATTAAAATGTTATGGTCCCAAGAATAATTTTCATATCATTCGTGAACAATTAACTTTGTTACTCAATTTGATATCGTCGACAACTTGCATAAATTCACCCACCAGCCAACACAAAAAAGGGATTCATTTTGAAATTTTTATTTTGTTGAAATTTATTATTTTCTTGATTATTCGCATATAGAAAAGTCAATACGAGTCGAGATGCACGTTGTCCAGAGAAAAAAATGTGTTCAGGTTATATTGATATATTAATGTGCCAGTGGGGGCAAAAGATAATCTGCAGTATAAAAAGACAAACAGACATATTTTCGAAATTATTATCAATAACGAAAATACGGTATTCAAGGTCAAAAATGATTGGCAATAACAGGTTTTATATTTTATGGATTTTCATTGTTATTTGAGTTCAAGTAATCTACTTTTATAATAAGGGCATTTTCGATCTCCATTTCAGAACGCGCAAGTTTTAAAGAATAGGAATATAGATATGAAAATAGGGCTCTTGGAGTCGTTGTTCCTGATCTACACGAAGCAACATTTACCACGAAAAAATTTTTCGTTGGCACAAATGTTAATCTGATGCGTTGCGAATAAGAATTGAAGAAACATTGCTAACAGATTTTCTTGATAGTGTATCAACAATAACAGATTCTAGTTTATGTATGTGTTTAATGGCTAGTGGGTTGTTTTTTTTTTGGAAACACAGAATTGTCGAATCCTATTTACTCATTTGATGCCCACACACAACATTTCGGAGGCTACATACGGACATTAAATAAGTATATATAATTTAGCCATTCCGTCATCTCAATGTAACATATTCGAACTATCCATTAGTTTCTTATTTGCATCAATAGGGAGCCAAATATTCCATATAAGTAAATAATACAGAAAAACCTTATATTTGATGTAGATCTAAGAAATATTTGAAGACTCGATAAGGTGAAGTGTAAATGTTCTACATCAGAAAATACTTCTTACTCATATTTATATAAATTTTTCAGTTTTTCTTTTCTATTGATTTAAATAATCGTTGAAGGTAAAATACATTATAAATGCTATAATAATTTTCCTATATTATTTCGATTTATCCCCGACTTATAATTAGTAAAAGTCATATGCTGTTTTACGAAAACAAAAGATCAGATCATGATAATCGGTATCTGGAATATAATTTCTGCCATTTTCCTTCTGAAAGATGACATTATACCTAGAATGTTATGATTTTGCCGAGGGTTGATTTATTTTTGATTCATTTCAACATAATTATAGTTGATTGTGATAAATTTTACTTCGTCATACTAATTTTTAGTAACTTTTTTTTTACCCTTAATTAATCGCTGTGCTTGTTTGTTTTCCACTTGGTTTCTTCTAATCTCTCATTTTCACATTTTTTTGCACACTAAAATATCAAAAAAATTATCACAGATATTTACCTAAGAATTCTTTATATGATTTTTTTCCATTTACATAAATATATATCGTTACTTGTTACTTAATTGTTTGTCGTTACTATTTCCCAAATAATGAAAGAACTATTTGGATTTTTCAATTTCAAATTTAGGCAAAGGTGCGATGATGGTCACCAATTCACTTATTTTTCATTCGAGATTTAAAGTTTTGTACGTTAACCAAGTTTAGTCAACAACGTCATAATTGAATTGCAATGACTATAATTAACTTATGTGGTATTATCAGATATATAATTCATCTTATAATCAATATTTTCTTTTTAATGTACTCTTAATGGACTTTTCATCCAAATTTTTTTTCCTTGAATCATGTGATCTTTTTTTATCTTTGTAAATTAGTTCCGTTGGTAATGATTAGCAATGTTTAAATAATTCTCCCATTTAGTGCATTTCAACATCATACAGTTCTTTTATTTATTTTGTTCCAAATATACTTCTCATTTTACTTACTACATTAAATCAATTTGTTCCAATATATTCATTTTCTCAAATTTGCGCCTGAATCTTGGAAACTCTAGATCTACAAAAAAAACTTCTTTTCTGCACACAATTTTTTTTGTTTCTTTAGCCTTACATTGTTACTAATATGCCCTTTACATTTAATGTTTTTATTTTTAGTTTTCCTGGATAGGAAGGCTACAATTTGCCATCTGTTCTACAACAGCTTTAAATAGAGCATACACACATATATATATACACATAATATATATATATATATATGTCTCATATTCATAATTATGCATGAATTGTATACACATAAATGCATATATGACTTTATACAAATTTGAAATAATATTATATGCGCAGTATCTGAAAAATGTCTGTTTGTAACATGAATACTTACGAAATGAAAGAATTAAAACTATGTTTACTTTACATTAACTGATGCTCACTTTGTATTTTCAGACTTGGGATTTACATTACAGCTACTATATGTTATCGCTTGAGGAACCCAAAATCGCCGATTACCTAAGGCAAGTTTTGTTAGAAATGGTCAGTGGACACTCAATTCAAATTTAGTTTTTTTACGCCTTTTATCGCAACATATTGACTACTAGGGCCTAAATAGTAAGAGATACAGTTTATACTACAGGCTTAATGTATGCAGTAACGCATGATGTTGTCAGATCCAAACCCTTACCCCTAGTCTTAACTCCGGTTATAATTATCCGACCGGAACGGTTTTGTACTTCTTCGAAAGGTCTAGCAAAGTACCATTTAGTACCGGCATCAAGTACCATTATTTCGCAAAAATGGGTTTAAGAACTAAAAAGTTAATAATTGCTGAACAAATAATTTGCCTCTTTAATTGAAATTTGCTGTAGCTGAAGTAGACACCTATTCAACGAATCTTCATTTATACGTCATGATGTTATAGGAGCAAAGATATTGGTAGCAGTTTTAATACTTATATAATACTTCGCCGCTGTTAGTCATCTTGAGCTCGTTTGAAAAGTTTTGCCAAACTGTATGACCACGTAGAAATACAAAAGTTCATGTGACGCTAATGCCAATAATAATACAATCAACATTTAGAAATTTAAAATAATTGGAGCAATTCAGAGTCACACACAGACATGGTATACTTAACTTAATAACATAAAAAGTTAGCATTCAAAGTGAAATAGGAACAACAGCTCTTGCTTTTCTCGTTCAAACAGTGTATATAATTTTAAAGTGAACCCACAATGTGTAAGAAAAGAAAAATGGTGAAATTTGCGAAGATTATTAAAAATCAAGTAAATAATTTGTTAACCCGTGATAAAATGAATTTACTGTAAACATCATTAATGTTCATGCTTGAAAACTAAAGCCACAATGGCAGATTTATCCGTATTTGAAAGTTATTTTGCAACTTCCGATCTGTCACTCTGCTTTTAACACATTCAGTAAAACAACCTTTGGAGGTAGTGTTAAAATTACACATTTGAATGTCTGCTTTAGCAGTACAAAGTGATTTAACACATGTGGGCCAGAATAGCAAATAACACAAGTGGTGAATTTTCTTACACAATCGCCATTACAAGTGTAACTCAGAATAGCGCAAGGCGTATGTTGAACCAATATAATACTTTTTTTTACATTTTTTGTGTGACTGAGAATTGCTCCATATATTTCAAGAAAAGTTATTTGAATAGAATTTCTTTCATATTTGAGAAAACCAGGCAAAATCGTTTGCAATATAATTATATCAAAATTATAGCTACCAAAGCCACGGAACTCAAGCTATACGCTTTTAAAATTATAATGATATTTTGGTCACATTCTTAGTATTACTAGCATATGTACGTCTAGCATGTACATACAATTTTTAGAATTATTCGAAGTATCTACAATAAAAAAGTAAGATATTAAAATTACTGTGTTTTCATGTGTTATCTATAAAGTATATCTTATAAAGTATAAGTATAAAGTATAAAGTATATCTCTTTAACCAGGAACTAATTTTGAAAACTATTTCATCTTACAAAAGCAATGACTTTTCTACGTTAAACTTCGTCTTCCAAAATGAAAGCAAGGTGTAGAGCTATTCTACATATCACATAGAACGACTGTATGTATTTACGTAACGAAATATTTCGCATTGAAATGAAAAAAAAATCTTAACCATCATATGCAAAATATTACATCATGTTACTTAATTAACCAAATCTTGCGAAAATTAAATGTAAAATGAGCAGAAAATTTTCAAGTAAACAATAAGTATTTTCAAAATCTCAATTTTCAATAGTAATGGATAGTTTCATTTGGATTGCCTAATAAATTACGTCACCTCATCAACGGCATAAAAGAAATGTTTATCGCATAAATGTATATTAATATATCTAATATATTTCCTTAAAACTATGAAATATTTGATACGGTAAAAATGATTAATAAAGTTCAAAGAAATAAAATAAAAATTCTTTTTATCATTATTCATGATCGTTTTGAAAAAGTTTGGCTGACTATAATTAAATCCATAATGGTGCGCATGTAAAATTATTTTTGTATATAGCATATATGCAATGTTCCAAATATAATTGCGGTCATAAGTAGTTCTGACGTTGTGCCGAAATGCTATTGCTTTCGTCAAAGTAATATGATTACTGTTTCACTATGCATGTAAATTCATAATTTCATAGCTCAATTGCATCTTTTAGATGATTATTACTGTACAAGTATGATATTAAATTAACACAAATTCGATTGTAATTCTCAATCTAGAAGAAACCATAAATTACTCTGTGTCATTTCTTATTTCTGAACAAGTCGATAGTCGCTGAATGATATTCGAACTGCAGCTGCTTTTACTGCATGAAAATTGTTAATACCATCATGTTAATATTGTCATGACGGTCAAAGATGTAACACCTAAAGAAACATCAGTAATTATATAATAACTGAATGAATTGTCAAATAACAAAAGCAATAATATTTTTCACAGAACACCATTTCATATGACCTACAAGTGACTTCAAGAACCTTTATATATATATATATAAACTCTACCATTACGATTACAAGATACGCGACAGACACGCCTGATCCTATGTTTATTGTTGAACAGCGGCTGTCTGCGGTGCATACGGGTAGTAAGGAGTGGCTTGTGGCCCAAGTTGATACTGTCCGTACGGAGCTGTAAAACATAGAACAGGATTAGAGCATGCCAATAGTGCCATGAAAGTATTGCGAAACCGAGTTTCAGTTTTCCCATTCACTAGTTTATCAAATGTTGTAACGCGTGGACCTCGTAATATTGACACCCTGTTTATATATGTATATATATTTATATAACACAGTGTGTGCATAAGTGTGCTGAAAAATTACGTCTGTCAGTCACTCACTCATGATGTTAGATATTCCTGTTGGATCTATGAGGAATGGTTGCTGTGGCGGTGGCATCTGATAAGCTTGTGGAGATGACGGGCAACCACCACGATAATTTGTTGGCGAAATTTCGCCACCCGGGCGTGTGCCCATATCAATCGTCCCACCACTGGTACTAGACGCCGAGCTCGTAGCTTCATCGAATGGTCGACGGGGCTGAAAGGGCGTCGCAAATCGGTTTTGAAAGCGCTGCTGCGGCTGTTGATAGAAACGACCAGGTGCGCTTCCAAAACGTGTTGCCCCACTAACAAACATTCCGCCGCCTTGATTCCATGCTCCGGGCTGAACGAAGCGCGTACGAGTGGCCGTTTTGGGTGGAAACTGCTGTCGTGGAGAAAAACCGGGCTCCATGATGCCATTCTGGAGACCCGGCATGCGTAATGGTGTAGCTTTGGGTCCTCCAAAACGCGGCGGAACTATAAGGACAACAACAAAAGTTTAGAAATCAACAATAAATTAGTAGTACAGCATAAAAAAAACATTAGACCGCATCGATGTATTACAAATAAGACAATGGTAAAACAAATAGAAAAAAGTTAAAAAGAAAAATTGCTCTGAAAACAGATCATATTCACTTTCATGTTTTGTGTTCAAATTTATTTTTGTTTCGCAATTCTCCCTCTCAATCACTTCTGTAATTCTCTCGCGAGCCTTCTTTCCCACTTTCATTGTTTAATATTCCGCAGCGAAATATCAAAGCAAAATGTTAAGTTTTTATTATAAATTCAAATTGACCGTCCTCACCTTCCAATCCTTTATGGTGCATAACTACCGAAGGTTGCTTCGGTTGAAAAACTGGCATCTTTTTTCCAAGCATTGGTGTCTGCCAACGAAGACGCACCTTTGTAGAAATGCCTGGACCAGAGCGCTGAGCCATTTCCACTAGCGGTTGTGGCGGATTCTGCTGAGCCTCTTCAAGAACAGCAATCAACTCACGTGCCTGTCTGGCGTTAGCTGGAGTGAAGAACGTGTAAGCTGTGCCTGACTGATCGCACCGTCCAGTGCGCCCTATACGATGGATATAATCTTCCGATGAATTGGGATAATCGTAGTTCACCACATATTTCACATCTTCCACGTCCAAACCACGTGCAGCTACGTCAGTTGCAACTAGAATTGTGCACTTGCCAGTACGGAATTCCTAAAACAAAAGAAAAGCTGTTAGAGCCTAGAGTTCAACAGTTTACAGAACACTAAACACTTTGTTTTGGAAAGGTCGTGAAATATTCAATAACAAATATTATGTAAATCTGTAACTGAATTGCAAAAGTGTAATTCGTGAGTTAATATTAATGACCAGCAAATTAAACTAAGTCAGTAAGCAGTAAAGCAGTGAATATGTGAATAAATGGTTCTTTTTCAGAATATCAAGTCTATTTCATAAATATTAAAACACAGAGATGTTTCACTCTATTGCTAAGTTGAATTTAGTTCTATGCGCTTTGGAAATACAAAAATTCTTTGTGTTACATATCAAACACGGAAAAAGAAATCCTAACTTAGACTCACCTGTAATACGAAGTCACGCTCTGGTTGTGATTTATCGCCATGAATTGCTGTAGCAGCGTAACCCTCCTTCACAATTGCCCGAACGATGTCATCCACTTTTTTCTTCGTTTCCACAAACACTATGATCTTATTGTTGCGATCCGATGCAATATCCTTCAGCAGTCCACTTAGACGACTTTCCTTCTCTGTGTCCTGGCAAATGTCTACTATCTGTCTGATATTATGATTGGCTGCCAAATTGAGACTACCGATGTTAATGTGAATGTAGTCACGCAGAAAGTCCTCAGCCAAAGTCTGCACTTCCTTTGGCCATGTGGCACTCCACATTAGAACCTACAATAAGTATATATATAGGGGAGAGTGGGACAGATTGGGACACAGATTTTAGTACCGACATTGAGTGCATTTTCCATTTCGAGGCATTTTGTCCCAACCTGCCCCACAGTGGGGTAGATTGGGACAATTTTGTGGCACATTTGGACAGTATATGTTTAGTCTCATTAATCAATAATTAAGCAAAATTTTGCAACCCAATTGCCACAGCCTCTGCAGATAATCTTTCAATGTTGTGAAGAGTGATCTTCTTCTTGGGTTTTATTCTTATATTTTCTCATTATTGAGCTGTATTAGCAAAATAACGACATTAATAACAATTCAAGGGCAATAGAAAATCATTTTTTGGCGATAAGAGTCTAAAATTCACCAATAACTTACTTTTCCGTGATATTAGGGACTTTGGACTAATGACTGACTGAAATTCACTTTGTCCCAATCTGCCCCATTTCTTTTGCATGAGGGTAATATTTTGTTTACAAAAACCACTTGGATTTTTCACAGAACCGATTATGCCAAAACGTACCCTAAATATGTAAGAAATCATTGGAATATTTTCATTGGCTTTGTGGACAATGTCTTGTGAATGCTGAGCAAGAAACTGAAATCCCGGAAAGTTTGAAAATCGGTCGATTTTAAACGAATTTGGATAGTTTCTAAAATATTCTTCCAAGACATTCCGTAATATCCGTGTTATTGGAGCCTCCAGAGACCTTTGATTACGCGATGGTTTCATTCTTCTGCCTTTCATGGCTTGGATAAAAAACGCTCTGTATCAATCTGCCCCACTCTCCTCTCTCTCTCCATATATATATAATATATATATAATATATATATATATATTATATATATAATTATATATATATATATATATAATATATATATATATATATATATATATATATATATATATATATAATATATACGCATAGAAACATACATGATGCTATAATATTATTAATTTCTTTTCTTTCTTTACCTGCCTGTCGGGTCGAATTTGCTCAATTATCTTGCGAATTTGCGGCTCAAAACCCATGTCTAACATACGATCAGCCTCATCAAGAACTAGATATGTGCAGCGTCGCATATTGGTTACACCTCGTTCCAAAAAATCAATCAGACGACCTGGCGTAGCGATGACCACTTCCACTCCACGTTCAAGATCTCGCGCCTGCGGGCCCTTTGGTGATCCACCTGCATTAAACAATAACTATTATTTATGGTTAACAAATTCCCTGGATCTTCGTACCAAATATACAAGTGTTGCGTATGTGTGGCTCGCTGTGCACCCCAAAGTCCGCAACAACAGTCTGGATTTGCTGGGCGAGCTCACGCGTGGGTGCTAATACAAGCACGATAGGCCCTTCGCCACGAACGAGGCGCGGCTGATGACCAATATGAACGATTGCCGGCAGCATGTAAGCCAGAGTTTTTCCAGAGCCCGTTTGCGCAATGCCAACCATATCGCGACCAGATAACGCGATGGGCCATCCTTGGGCCTGAATGGCTGTTGGTGCAGCGAAACCCTTGTAAAAAATTTAAAAATGTATTCTATCCTAAACTCATTATTGTTAAATTAATTAAAATATTCGCAACACAATCAGAATTACACTAACAGCAAATTGAGTCCTACAGGGCCATGTGACTGTATTGTAGTAAAAACACTCCAGACCAATGGAGATAATGTAAAATGTTGAACCGTTGGAGAGACTGAATTCTTAAATTGATTCACAAAATGCGACACCTCATACAAGAAGATATCCCGAATATTCCAGGCATGTTCCGATGCTCTCACATTGTTTCTGGTTTACACAAAAACCAGATTCAGAGTAAATAGATTTTGGCGCAGACATACCTGATTTGCAATTTCACGCAACACGTATTCAGGGAAGTTACCCTCGTCAAAAGTCTGATTAGGATGAGGCACACGATTTCCCGCAACCGTAATTTCCATTGTGCGCCGATATGCGGCAATTTCTGCCTCCGTCCGAGACTGTACCCTAGCATGGGGTACATAGAAGTCCTTAGGAAACGGAGGTAGATTCTCCCATTTAGGCTTCTCTAAAGCCTGACCCGGATTTTTAGCGCGAGCGCTCTGTACTCTTGCGCGCTCTTCCTTAGTAGCGGGTTTCGAGAATGAGCGTGTTGGTAATCGAGGAGCTCCTCTAAAATTATCAGATGGCGGATAAGCTTTTGGTCCGCCGAAGTCCTTTTTTGGTCCGTAACCACCATACCTGCGCAGAAGACAGAAAGAAAGAAATACCATTTTGTATAAACAACCTATGCAGAATATATAAGTTGATGAAGAAGTGTATGAAGAGTTGAAAGAAAAACCGTATGTATGTCTGGAAACACGGTAATACTGCTGTTGGGCGTAAGAAATAGAATGAGAGGAAAATGTCTGCCAACAAGGAAAGTGTCAACTGACACTATCTCCCTTTTAGTAATCCCCAGAAAATAATCTCCAGCGAATACTTTCTATTTTACTTCGGAACACGTTGTTCTTTCTGAGACATGGACACGCATGCACGTACATACTATCAATCACTCTTTCTGAACCCTTGACCCGCTAGCCTTACACCATTACACGCGGAATCGTACATTTTCTCATACTCTTTATATCCAGATGTAATGAATTATTGTTATTAATTCTTTACCAGTTAATAAATATATGAATTCGTTTTGACTCTCCTGTAATTTACTTTAAAAGTACAGATATATTAGCCTGCGTATAATAATTGTTCCAAGAAGTACGATAGAACGAGTAGTATTTGAAGAGTAGTAAAGTTGCAAAATTTGATTTACACTTTCGCTACACTTAATTAGCTGAAAAGCTATGGTATTGTTAGAAGGGAAGATTTTACTTTAAATGTCTTCGTAAAGGACTGAAGTACATTTTTTCTAATAGACAGATATATGAATAAATATTTTATATCATTATTCATAATCCATGTATTAAAGAGCAGTAACCCCTTAAGCTGCTAATACACAGCTATGTATATGCGACTAACCTGTTGTTGACCATGTCATACTTAGGACGTGCACCATTTTCGGGCCCACGCCGTTCGAACTGATCGTAGCGATCCACACGGCGGAACCTGTAAATAAAGGGAATCTTAGCCTTTCAGTGAGTAAGGGGCCTAGAAAAAATTACATGGAGTGCATGGGATGGAGGCCTGACTGGTACTGCATCGAAGAAGGGAGCACTATTTTCACCTGTCTCAGAGAACGCAATGGTACCTGTAAGTAAAAATCCGATAACTAAAGCGTGATTTGGGGGTGCTATTCACACCTTTAACACTAATTTTCTGAGTCTGTCCACCGGCGAACAAAAAAAAAGCTACTGAAAATCTTCTTACTCCACCACACACTGTCATGTCATTGACAGCGGGACTTGTACATGCCAATAACTGTCATGTTAGATCCCATCGAATTGTCTTACAATTTCCATTAGACGTTTTCGTTTAATGTGACAACCGAATAAAAGTCAGTCGTTCCAATTTTAATTAAAAAAGACAAAATTGCCTCTCGATTCCTCTTATGATGTATTTTTTCGAACGTTTTGAGAATGAGGCCACCTCTATATACTCATCATTCCCTGATTTAAGTTAAGCTGAAACTGACGAGGCATATTTAATGTATTTCTTTCTAACTTGGAACTACTAATGACGAGTTACCTCACACGCCATGTACTCTGCAGAAAATTCCACCTATTCAGAAAGTTTTTGCTTGTAAATCCTTATCTGGACCAAATAAAAAAATTATTGTAAAAAATATAATTAAGTCCTACGATATAGGTAATTAATGCTTTGGGAATCGTATCTTATAATTTTATTAGGTGAAATATACATCACAGCTGATTTCTGTAATCGCACAAATAATCGAACCTCGCAAAAACAACTCCAATCGACTCAGATAACGGTAAAATGTGGAAATATGATGAAAATGGGAAGGGGACACTTTTTTGATTTTCATGTCTGTTTGTCGTTCCGTCGTGACAAACGGCCTTGTGGGGCCTAAACGGTAAGAGATATGCGGTTTGCGGCAAAGGTTAAAAGTATGCAATGGTAATGAACTTCTTGTTTGTCAAATCCAACCCCCCACGCTCTCTGTCCGCCATTTTGAACACCGCCAAAATACACTTTCCTCAATTGTTCAGCCCCTGTGGCATCAAATGGGCTCAAATTCTGGTATGTTACAGCTAACTTGAAGACTTTTCCAACGAACCGTCACTTAAGGACCTAGGACCTCCCGGACCCTAGCTATAAGGGTTCAAATTTCAAACATTGAAATGACAATAGCTCCGCTTTAAATTAATTGATAGGCATGATTTTGTACTCATTAGAAAAGTCTCATAAAATGCCATCTCCCACCTGAACAATATAACCTGATAGGACCACCGCTAGAGGTGGTAAAGTCGGAAAAACCATTTTCGAAATTTCGAAAGCGAATAACTCGAAAACGAAATCATAAATTTTCTCAAAATTTTCATATGTTGTAGCTGAGATCGAGTCCTTTCCAACGAACCGTTACTTTTGGGGCCCCTATTCATTAGGAACGAAGATATAGAAGGTCCAATTTTACACCTTTACCGGTCCATATCTCCGCTGTTTACCACCGATTTCGATAATTTCTTCGCCATAATACGTGTCTCAACGCCCTTTAGTAGGCTATATTTACCATTAGTCTGTGATGTCATAAGGAATGACACCATATCGAAAAACCTTTGAACACCTGTATGTCGGCAAATAGAGCATAGATTTTTTTTAAATTTCAGTACGTTGTAGTTCAGGTTAAGACATCTCTAAAAATAGATTATACTTTCTCGTGGATGCAATGAAACCGGAGTTAAGGCGGTTCAGACTTTTAATTTTGAATACGATATAACTTCGGTTCTATCTACCCGATCTTAATAATTTAGGACTCGTTGGTAAGCTCTTGTAAAACTCTACGACTATTTAAAACAACAGAAGTTTATCACACTACTTCTAGAGGAGCTAATGTCAATAACAAAATTTTAAGTAAAAATTTTGTTCCAAGTTTACACTACTTTGAGATAGTTTTTAAGTATTTCAATAATCCAGATCAAGGCGTTTCCATAATGACATCAAACTTTTCTATCGAAGACATAGAACCAGAGTAAAGGTTGTTTGAATTTCATATTGCATATGAAAATTTCCATGCTTTCTTCCCTTCTAACTAAATCGAGTTGGCCAGGGAAGAGAGACATTTGTATATCCCAGCTAATATACCACAATTTTGTACTTACGATTTTTAAATAGTACATTGTGTGTGGTTCCTTTTCTTTTGCTTCATTTTGTGTGGTTGAAATGACGCTTCAGCAGCCTCATTGTGTCTTGGCCTCAAAAAACCAATCACCATCCAATTTTTCACGTGTTGCTGATTTCTGGACATCTGCTAATGGCATCTTTTTACCCCGACGTGCTCTGGAGGCATTGAATAGGTAAAATATGGGGATTACACAATCTCCCTGGAGAAAGCTAATTAAGAAAGGCATTGAACTTCTACATAAGGTACATTATCGGCCTTCGCAAGTTTAAAGACAGAACATACTAAAATATATAAAATTCCTTTTTTATTTCTCAAGGGATAACAGTCACTGTGATGCAAATCCTAGATTTATGTGTTTACCGGTCAGTTGTTGGTTTGATTCCAGAACGAAATACGGAATTTTGCTACCCGCTTGCTTTATTTCCGTACGACGTTTCTGAGGATTTTTCTTCCTTCCATAGGTATGAAATTTTAGGGTGGATTTGGCCACAAATTGAGTTTACTCTGCTCGATGCATTCCAGCGAGCCAACATTGCTGATTTAATTCTCTGCATTCTGAAACATCGTACGGAAGAAAACGAGTGAGCAGCAAAAAAAATGGCCATTTCGTTTTTTTTAATTATTTTTAATTTTAAATAAAACACTTTAGCAGCTTCTTAGCTATTTTTATTTATTCTCTTTATTTTATATTTGTCGTCCAAATACTCTACACCGCTTATAGACTTCGCTATAACAGTTAATGTTACAATATAGCTTAAAGTATAATTTTGAGATATAACGATTACTGCTAAATCGTGAATAGTATTCATAAATTGATGAATTATGTGTCTTATGCATTTGCATTTTTTCTTTTAAGTAAAGATAGGTCTAGGAGAGGATCAGTTGCAATATTTACAAACAATTAATGCTATGTTAGAGAATGTGTGTGTTGATATGATCTGCAGAGGCTGTTAGATGATCATTAGTCCCGCGCAGATCAGAACTATTTTTTCGTATTTGGCTTCGAGTTCTTATTGCCATCTGCTTAGGCCACCATATTTTAAATAATGGCACAGATTCAAGAAAACAAAACACTATGTACAAATTAGGTGCCGCCTAGCATCTTTCAAAAATTAAAAAACAAGATCACCTACCGCATTAAGATCACAGAATATATGTATAAATCAGCCTCATGTATTCCATCGGCAATAGTCTAACAATCAGAAAATATATTTATAAAACTAAATAATAAATTGTATAAAAATGCTAAAACAATTTTTTTTGTTGATAACCCTCAAAAAATATTTTACAATAAAAATTTATGACAGTAATAGCGTTGGAATTCATTAATATTTTGTGGATTTCTGAATAACTAGAAAATTCCTATAAAGCATCGAAATATATTTATTTGTGGTCATAATAACATTCTTTTGCGAGCGTAGGTTGCTTTCATTGATGTCTGAGTCACAAGTTAACAAAATCCATGGAAAGTACAATTTAAGGATTTTGTTTAGTATGTTTTATCTTCTCTCAAGTTTATTTAGCCATAATTAAATTATGAAACGGCGATCTCATATATTATAAGAATATTTATTGGTATGTTTAACGGTTAGTGTATTGTTTGATTCAAGAACAGAGTGGCCAATTTTATTATCCACTCGCTGTATTTTCATACCACATCAATGTCTAAGTGTTAACAATCAACCTCCAGAGCAGAAAGGTGGTAAAGCTCTTTATTATTTTTTGTATAAACTTTACTTGCAAATGGATGTGTATAATTGGAATACTTATGCCCACAGAATAATGAAAAGAGAATTATGCATTGGATGAGGACAAAATGGCCAGTGAACCCTTAACTTAGTTACGCTCAAAGGAATTCCTCCTGCAGCAGGCATTAATCAAAATGTATTTCACAATATTAAAACGTCCCTTCAGTGAATCTGAGTTAAGGATTTTACTGGTTATTCCGTAATCACCCGATATTACCATTTCTGATTGAAAAATATCAGAGAACGATCCATTGCCATAGCCAAGGATGTTAAACGTACATAGTGTTGAAAATTAATTACCAAAATGTCGCTAACACTATGTAAATCTATACGACTAAGTCATTCATTTTGAATTTCAAAGTGTAAAATTTAAGTTTAGGATATCCTCTTTAAAGTTATAGTAGGATTTTAAAACAAATATTTTAATTTAATACCCTAGGAGACGAGTAGTTTTTCGCGTTGTAGTTATCGACACTTTTTGACGCGGATTACGTTTTGTTTCAAATCAGTAAACTTTTCTTTAGGTAGTGATTCAAAGTAATTACGCAACTGAAAGAGATTAAAATGAACTAAAATCATGAATATAGTTTCCTAATTTTATGAAAACTCATAGAGATTCATAGATTGTTTCCAATTTCAACACTAAATAGACTTGATATAGTGACCCAGTACCAGAACCATGTCATGTTTCAAAGGGAACAAAAATTGCTTTGTTATGAAAAAGAAAAAAACTTAGCAAAATGCGAAATGTCACGGCATACATATATGTTGTAGAGTTATTAATACCTACAGCTAGTTACATTTAGGAAAATACAATGCTTAGCTAAATAACTCAGTTACGTCTCACATTTCTTATCAAGACCCTTTTCGTCATGTGTTGCAATAAACCTGCACATTACAGCCGTGCATTATTTTCTAAAAATTATTATGTACAAGTATGTCTGCATACTTAACAGAAAGACTGAGAATTTAGTGGCAAAACTACTCTCATTTTGCTTATTTTTCACTCTTTGTTGTACAAAAGATAGACTAGTCTAAAAGTCATAGTTAAACTACTTCTCTTTTATGAAGTTCAAAGTCTACATACATCTATATACACTCATATATACATTATACATATAAATATATATAAGCATTATAATAATGTTGGGCCTACTTTGAGGCAGAACTTCCATTTACGCACTCTTCAGTTGCACTCACGCGTCCAGACCCACTGTTAAGAGCCATTCGTTGCATTTGCCGAATCACTGTAGCAGCGTGGTATGCTTGCTGCAAAAAACATTTTTTTTTCTTAAATACACAAAATATCTTTAACTTTAAAGTATATAATACAGATAATAGTAAAACCATTAGTAAATTCGTTATGTCTAAATTATTATTACTAGTATTTTATTAAGTTTTAACTCTAAGCTTAACATATGCAGTAAGTAAATAATTATCATTAATGATGTGAACGAATGTAAGGCTGATTTGTAGAACTGGCCTAGTTTCTTAAATATAGAATAGAATGAAATGAAATGCAATGATGTGGTTGAAAACCATTTGCGAGCGACAAGAAAAAGCAACACCAGAATTTAGTGTTTTTTTTAACGGCTGTACATAATGTAACGCAAACCAGAAAAAATACACATGAATAGACTTAAAATAATTTCTTTGTTCATACCTTCCAACGTGATTTTGCATAAGTTTTCTTAAGCTGCTCGGATACAGTACCATGAATATCCTTGCTACTCGCCGCATCGCCTGAGATCCATGGGTGGGCAAGAGCCTGTATGCACGTGTAGCGTTTCTCAACATTCACGCACATTAAATTCTGAATGAAATCCTTAGCGCTGTCACTGATTTCATCCCAATACGGTGAGTCGAATTCATACTCACCCCTGAGTATTTGCGCAAACAGATTGGAATCATTTTCGTCGTAAAACGGAGGATAACCGCATAGAAGGATATAACTAATCACTCCAATGCTCCACACGTCTACTGCCTTCCCGTATGGCTTCTGCGCTAGCACTTCAGGTGCGACGTAACCTGGTGTTCCACAAGCTGTAGCCATTATACCGGACTCTTCCATCTTAGATAATCCAAAATCACTGATCATTATCTTGCTATCTTCGTCAGACGAATAGTATAATAGATTTTCGGGTTTAAGGTCGCGATGGACAACACCTTGTTCATGCATATACGCGACTGCTTCCAATACCTAAAAACAAACAAAATTAATAGGCAGAAATGTTGATAATCACATGCTTTGCTTGTGCTCATGTGCGAGCTGGGACCTATTATAGCTTTTGTTGCTATTGATAACTTGAAATGTGGCCATTCAGAAATGTAGTACTAACTGTAGTGCATAATACTGAAAATATGTTTTAATTTTCACATGGAGAATTTAAACCGTTATAATTACATTTATATGGCCTCGATATAACACTAAAACCCCATTTTACAAACGTCTCAGTCTGAAGTAACAAAATATTTGAGGATATACATTACAGTAACATAACCTTGAAACAAAATTTCTGAGGTTCAAATTTAAAAAAAGCTCTGATAGACACCTAATGAAAGAGGAGTTCACCTCCGAACCGTCGGTTTAGGAAAACATAGATTATTGTTTTACAATGGCCATTCCTAATATAAATCAACTATTCTTACAAAAAAAATAGCAGTTTTTCCTACATAAATCTCAGAAGCATGATCTGAGGAGACCAAGAAACTAATGATGATAAAAAGACTTAAATTCTTGACCCGGTCCAAAACGGGAATTAAGTTCATCCGTTAAGTCCATATGTGTATATATATATATATATATATATATACGATGATTTGTAGTGAATTGTCAATTTTCCCAATGTACTTTGTAGCATATGCGTACATATGTGAACTGTGTTACTTAGAATATACATTATATCGTTGAAATATGACGACGGGAAGATTGAGGGTGATGTAAATGGCAGATAATGTATTATAATTGTGGTTATTACCTGTTTAATGAGCCCAGAAGCATCCTTCTCTGTATAACTACCCTTCTCAACAATTCTATCAAACAGCTCACCACCAGTGACCAGCTCCATAACCAAGTACACCTTTACTTTATCCTCATACGTCTCCAGAAGCTGAACAATATTGGGGTGCGAGAGCCTGCAAGCATGCGAGTTTAGCTAAAATCTACAGATGAGGCCTAACCCCGAACCACCCCCTCACCCGTTGATCACTCCATCGCTCTCACATTGGTTGGCACTGAACCTGCGAGGGAAGAAACAATGGGTGGCGTGAAGCCAGTGTGTGTGTGTGTGTATGTGTGGGTGCGGATGGGGTTGTGCGGGGTCCGGGGTGCTCGGGGTGGAGTGGCTGGGCCGGATGTGTCTGGCCTACCTCCTCAGCACTTTTATCTCATTCTCCAACGAGTCCTCCTTGCCTTTGAGCGCCTTTTTGTCTATAATTTTTACGGCAAAAAGTTGTTCAGGTACATCTCGTGACTCTGCGAGGCGCACCTCGCTGAATGCACCTGTACCAAGCAACTCCTTCAACACGTACTTGTCCTCTATAGCGGGAGTACGCTCATCACGCACATCGCGACCACCCTTAACTTTCTTATTTGAATCTTTCTTGCCGAAAAGCGGCATTGCACAGACTTTTATGCACGCCAATTACTTAAGCTCACCGCATTAAGTATGAAGCACAAGGTAACAACTTTCCTAGCGAGTTTTCATAGACAACAGAATTAAGTTTATTAGAATGAATATCACTGACACCTACTGTCAGAATCTGTCAAAACCCTCCAATGCCTTTCAATTAGTGGTCTGACGACATTATTTGCGTATGCGCGCTTGATGCTCGGATCGTCCATATAGTTCAGACACTGTACTGTTACTGTTGTGTTACTGTTACTGTACACTATACTGCTGCACACTTTAGTGTGCAGCGCTTCAACTCTCCTAGAGTTTTGCTGTTTTACTACTCCATTCCTCTGTGTAACACACTGGCTTCAAAAGTAGAAAAGTTAGTTTTCAAGCAACTTAAATTGTAAGGCCACGAACCAGAACATGTAACTAGTTTTTCCCCCCAAATGGCATTTTCGACCGAAGAACAGAGCTTTCTGCCGTTTGCTCGGGGAGATCGGCAATGAAGCCTGCGGCAGCCGCACACAGAAAAGGATGAATAAATTTATTATTATTAATATTATTATTATTATATTATATGGTTTACAGCAATTTGAAGCCTGGACTCTTTAACTTGCTTTTTTATCAAAATCTTGCAACAATTTTATCCATTATCTAATCGAATTGCTTGAATGTGTGCAGGTTCAAAGGATGTGGAAGTGATTTACTCTCGAATCGACGAAAAATAGGATCAGTCAACTGAAAATGATCTTGGAGCGTGAAAAATCAAAATATTAAATATTAAATCACTGATTAATTGAGGATGATCCGCATCTTTTTTCACTCAGAGAGTATACACTCGTTGCGTCATGACTGCCGTTCCACACACTGTCAAATGATTCAGCAAATTTCGGTCGGGTTGATCTTTCGTCAAAACTGTTACGCTTTTTTGCTGATCTCTTCTCAAAGCTGAAATGGAATGGAACAATCCATGAACACGCAAGTCGCTGACCTCATTCATCATAGGGAAGTGCGTTATCCCGAAGTATATAGTAGAGTGTGAATGAAGAACATTTGATTTTCCGCGCTTTGTGTTTTCTGATTATAGCAATTGTGAAATAATTGAAAAACAATATTGACCTTTTTGTATATATATTTTTTATTATTTCTCAATAAATAGCAATAAATATTAATTAACATCGGCTTTAATTATTCCATGTATGTTCACGCGTATTTCCGCTAATATTTTTTTTTCTTGGTTTCATCCATATTTTTGCCTTAATGACTATGACTGAAAGCGGAACTGATCATCATTCTAACATTTTCCCACAATGCATATTCATTATTACTTATTGGCTTTTGAGGATTTTTTTCATTGCAATGTGAGGTATGTAGATTTTAGAGCAGAACAATGTATGCTTTGAGATTGCAACTCAATGCAATTTTGGGCATCATCTGTATAGATAAAATCTTAATTATATTTTTATATTTTCATCCTTCTTCTTATTTATCATTTTAAATATAAATAATACCCTAATTATGTAAATATAAAAAGGAGGAGAATAAACGACATGGATATGCGTTATAATAAATTTTATTTCTTCCTTTCCGTACGATTTTTCTTTCTATTCATGTTTTTTTTTCTTTAATATGACTAGTTCTAGATATTTCTTATCTCTTGCTTCCAAGTGAATGTATTTTCAAATAAATAATTCAAAATTAATAAACAAAATTTAAATAATAAAAACGAATAAAATTTTCATGAAAAACAAGGAAGCTTATACGGGAGTGTTTCAAACATAATTTTGAGTGCCAAAGAAATTATTTATTCACACTATCTACTATGGTAAATTGAGTTGTTAATAAATTACACAAAAGTCATAATGGGTAACTAAGACAAATTTACCAAAGTACTCTAAATTCCTTTCACGGAATTAACGGGGGTTTTAGGGCATTTATATATAAAGTTATATTAGATATTCAATGTTGTGCATAGTTCCAGAAAATGTGATATTGACATTCCAAAATCGTTTCTGACATCTTTTCTTAACAAAAGATTTCAAAAAATACTTTGCGAATGTTACAAAATGTGATATTAATAACTACTTTCACCACTGTATTTGCGAGGATCGAAGAACCGGAAAAACAAAGCAGAAATGAGAAAGGCAAGTGAGTCTATTATTCTCACTAGTTATCAACTATATTTCATTTTTGAAATGTCTTTTAGTTAAAATCTTAATTGGATTCTCCGTAAAAATTCTAACTCACACGCTGAATTTACAAATACTCCAACATCTTCTCGTTTACCTAAATAATATTATGGTCAAAAGTGTTTTTCTTTTTCCTCTTTCCTTACACAACAATAGTCATTCCTCATAAGGTCGCCCTATTCGTGGTTATACTTAGTAATAATCTTTTTTTTGTTTTATTAAAAATGTCTCCCTCTATTTAAGAAATGTGTTACTTTAATGTACTGTTTATTTTTTCCCCACGTTACATCATATTTAAAAGTTAAGTTTTTTTTATCCATTTAAACTCACAAAGAGAGAAAGAGAAAGGCAAATTTCAATAGATAATTTATTCAATATATTACTATTCTTCTTCAGTATTAGGAGCAGCAGGAGAATCAATATTATTGGAACAGCTTACCACATTTCGCAATATAATACTTTATACAGTATTAATTAAAGTTGTGGGCAAATAAATGTGATGACCTGACAAGAAATTTATAATAATAATAATGAACTTTCAGTGACGAATATGTGATTATCGTCTTTGATGACAAACAATTATTTCCTACTTTTGTTTTTTTATATGACAGCATTAATTGTTGTCTCAATTTAGTACCCTGATTTTTTAATTCTGCTTTCACCAAAGATGTAATATTGTATAATATACAATTTAATTATTAAATAAACTATCAGTTCCAACACTTTCACTCTTCTGAACAACCCCCCCGCATTTATATAGAGAATAAGTCGCATACACTTAAGAGATCATACTGAATTGTACTTAAGTGTTAACGATACAAAGAAAATAATCCATAGGATAAGTAAGAGCACTGCAAATAAATATATTTAATATTAATTTTAATATTCTAAATTTAATTTAATGACTCGAATATTTTTGCACACTAGGAAAATTCCAATCTGAAAGATTTTTCCAAAGTTTATGTACTTTATAGAAAACAAAATATATTGAAAAATAACTGATTCGCTAAAATGATCTCGCATTGTGACGAATATTGCCATATATTCGCTGTTAATATACTCTCATTATATTTCTATGAGGAAGCGTAACGCGAATAGTAGCTTTGGTAAATGTTTCAGTATTTCACCTTTCAATACGGAAGAAAAAATCTATGACAAAATTTAAATGTTTATTTTGACATTGAAGCAATATGAAGTGAATGGTTAGTTGAAAAATATAATTATTGTGCAACCGGCACAATTGTCTTTTCCTTACAGTTATTGTTGTAACTGCATTCGTATAATTTATCCATGTTCATAACATTTAAAAACTATGAGTTCTGTCGATACTTTTAGATTAAAAACATGAATAAGCTGGCTAAATTATGTTTTCAGTATATGGATATTTTGCAAATTTTTCCGCAAGTAAACTACATTCAAACCAAACATACTCATATCAATTTTAAAAGTTATAGTCTACGATTTTGATACGGCACTAAGTTTTTTGTATTATTATTTGTGTTAGAATTGGAAATAGCACATTTGTTATTACGGATAGAGGAAGTATTACTAAGTAATGAAAATATAGAAGAAACTATTTAGAAAATTATAAATACATATTTGCAAGTTATGAAAATCTTCTGCACAACAATTCAGTGTGTTCTTTAGGCATCCTGGTAAGCTCTATATCGATAATAAAATGTTTAAATTTTATATGTGCTTTTTCGTGAATATTAACTGAATTATATTTTTTTTCTTTAATAATCACGGAGTTAGGAATCGTTGCAGTTGCTGAAGTGACAATTCGATATCTATTTTTTCCCCGAGCTGGAGTGAGAAATTGAAATTTAAAAAGTTTCGTAGAAAATTCCGCTCTACTGCAAATTTTTTTTTAACAATTTGAACGAATAAAATTTTACACAATTCAGATTCACAGCGAATTCAAAAATCGAAATTGGGTAGATGTAAATCAATTTTCGTACATAAAAAGAATCGCAATTTTACTTTATCTAAACAAAAGCGCCAATTGAATTTTTTTTATTCAACATTGAAGTGCACATAGAGATACGTGAGTCTTGTAGTGTTGAAATGATATTTAAAGTCACTTTTTCTGTTATTTCGCTAAAAACTTAAAAAAAACGTGTATTGTAAAGCCAAACATGAATCCTGTATTATGCAAAGTGGTTAAAGTATACACATGATTTTAAAATCAGATAATTTTCTTTAAACGTTCTCCAAGCCAGGCTTTTACACGACCTTGTATTGATATGCAGTTAGATGAAAGCGAATAGCTTGATATAAACTTAAGTATATCAAGAAAATAATACTTACACTAAAAAAATTGTTAAATCCAGTTACTTAAATGAGTATGGCATCAATGAATATATTTACTTCTATGTTATAATAAAAATAATAATACAAAATTAAAGTAAAGACATGTCACGTACTTTATATAAAGTGTTATCTCCTGTTAACAGAGGATTGTAACCTTCTCTTCAACATTATAATATATAATATATATTATATATATATATATATATATATATTATATATATATATATATATATATAATATATGTGTGTGTGTGTGGTGTTGTGTGTGTGTGTGTGTGTGTGTGTGTGTGTGTGTGTGTGTGTGTGTAAGAATAAATTAATATCTGCTATCAATTTCCAACTAAAATGAAAAATAGTTATTGCGAGAGTTTTCTAATCACTCAAATAGCACTTTTTTTTAACCCTAAAACAAGTTGGTCACTGCGTTGAAACAGAATAAATATATTTTTGCAGTGTTTCTTGAATCGCTGTGCTCAAAAATAATTTAGTTACTCTTTCTTTTCTGCTATTTACTAATACCTCTCCAATGTCAAAAAGGATGTAGAAATTATGTCATGCCAATTACTAAATACTTGAATTTTTTATCCTAGTGTTTCATATATGAAATGTGTTTGTACAATTATGTAAAAATGACTTTATATACTAATGAAAATTGGCCATTTGGCAAGTGTCAATGTAGCATTGTTTTCCGAAACGGATCATTTCATTTCAGTTCTTCATGATTCATAGAAATCAGGGGTTAGATAAGATTTAATAAATCAATGTTTTTATTTACACCCAATGTACTAAGCAAGCATACAATTTCTTTTAAGTCTATCGCTCAGACCCTTGATTTCCTTAAAGGACCTCTAACCCTTTAAGGACAACAACAGTCTGCTCATTATCTGCCCAAACTGAAATCTATCTGACTCATAATACTTAAAAAAAAAAAAAAATAATAATAATAATAATAAAGCAAGATTACTGTAAATTCCGTAATTTCGTATTTGAAAAGTTTGGTTGCAATTTGTTTTTCCCTAAAAAAAGAAATTAGAAAATATTTCGCGATTTATTTCAAAAACAAATTATAATATTCCAATAGTTACCATTCGCGTTATTTAGCAATTTCCTCAAATAATTATTATGAAAACTTTTTATTTTTCAGTTAATTTCAAGTCAAATTGAATTTCCCACATGATTGAATTATTTAAGTTCGGATACATATATTATGTGATGAACAGTGGAAGAAACGTAAATAATTGTAACTTACTATTCTCATAATCTTTTTTTCAGTTGATGAGGGATATTTTGCCTCAACGAACTCTTATTAATCTATTTCGAGCACATAGTTTTCAATGTCTTTATATATGTAAATTTAAGAAAACTCTTATTGAAAACGTTAATTTGCAAATTGTGTCTATAGATGCATAATGTTTATCATTTTTACAAATCACCTCATCATTTTAGCTTTTCAAGTATTGTGGCGTCTCAGAAGGCGCACATTCTAAACAGAAATACCGTCACAAATACAAACAATCTAAATTCTTGTTTTATGGTAATTTCATAGTAAACGTCACGCTCGTAGCGTTTAACCGCAGCAATTACCGCAAATTGATAGTGATGAATTGACCACTTAATGTGGTTCCTTTTACTTTGAAGAGAAAAAGAAAGGAGATCCGCCTGACATGTTTGTTGCTGTGCTGCGATGGAAATGAACATTTTGCCACTTGTTGTCGCGCTTGTGCCACACTCTAGTCTCCTCTGACTGATGTGTGTGTGCGTTCCCTTGTCTGAAAAGTGTCATATATGCGAAACAAATATTATTATGTTGTACAGCAGATCTATCGAGCAGAAATTTCATGAAATCAATATTCCATATTGTCGCTTTCCAAATGAAACTTTTCAGTTTGTAAACAATTGCCAATGCTTTAATTTTCGCTAGAAAATTGAAAGGAGTCACAAAAATTTGCTTTGTATCTTAACTTTTTAGCTCAAAAATTAGACCAACAAACGATAGAACAAACAACAACACGCAATTACTACTAAAATAGAACAAAGAAAGAGTGTTAGGTTTAGAGAAAATAAATGTACTTACTTATCAATGTACTGTGTCAGTCGAACGTATGCAATACAAGCTGCATCTTCGCCCAGTAAATGAACATGTGGATTCAGAATGGTCGTGTTAATAGCTTTGCAGTTCTTTCCAAGTACTAGATGAAATGAAAGAGAAAAAATATGGATAATAGAAGAATTTAATTTCCACGATAACTGCAGAATATTCTTTCTGTGACGGTATTCCCTTATAGAATAGAGAAGTCTTTCGTGTTTGCAGCACAAAATTTGTGTTATATCTCTCTCCAACCATGCTTTCATCCTTTCTTTCTTTCTGTTTGCATTCGATTCAAATCGTATTTTTGCTTATGCGTAAAGAAAAAGAAAAAACACACACAAAGCTCACGGCGTAGACAAAAAGAGACATAGCCACGCATCAGAAATCTTTTTTCGACCCGTAAAATATATCAACTAATAAAAAAATACTGCAATTGAAAAACGCATCACTAATCAGAACTCTTTAGAATGTTGTTCAACATTTACTAATAATTGGTAAATACCAAAAACTGAATCCAAAATACAAAAATTGATAGTCAATTGTATGTGTAATTTATAAATGTGCTAATATATTATGCTTGGGTAGAGTGTCTTAAAAATTGTGCACAATGTTTAGTTCAATTTGAATTTTGCACGAAGACATAAGTAATACTTGTTAAATCATTTTTTTTTTAATATTTAAAAATTGTACATTTAGTATACTGTTATAACTAAGAATGTGTTAAGCCAAACAAAAACACACAAATTTTACCATTTTCGAAATAGAACTTGTGAAAATCCATCCCTTCAACTAGATTACCCAAAGCTTCAGGTTCGAAGGCAGTCAGATGTGGATCACAAATTTTCCTGGAATGGTGTTAAATTTTGTCACAAGGGTGATCACTGTCATTAGTAGTGTATTGTGAACTTACGTGTATGCATCGAAATCACCGTTGTTGATTGCCTCGATTAATTGCTCTGTCATTTTAATGATTTCTTGCCGTCGAGCTGAAATAAACAATATGAAATCAAATCCATTTTAGTAAAAACAATTACATCCTTTAACAATATACTTAATTGTCTTTTTGACAGCAAAAATAATTAAGAACTCGATTTGAAAACAAATCTTAAGCGACTACAATCACTGACAAGAAAGTGATGCACTTATATATTAGGGCTTTGGAAGTATCTTAAGGAAGTTTACATTTTTTCTGCGTTGATTTAAAGGATAAGAGATGGAATTGTGACACGGAAGTTCATTGTGATATTATTAAGTATAACATGTGACATATAAAGGTCTCATTTTGCTTTCTCTCGATGTATAAAAAAAATAAAAAAAAAAACAAAAAAGGAAATAAATATAAGAAAAACTGCGACAACTAAAAGCAACATGCGGGTATTCTAGTGATATCTAAGTGTGGTCGGAAAACAGGGGAAAAATATTGAAATCATCCTAGTCTTGCAATTCCATCCCTTTTCGCTTGCCTGTGACCGTTACCCAAATTACCATACGTTTTTGTCGTGGACACCGACTTTTCGACCAAAGTTCAGGCGTATGGCGGTTACATGAGGCCAGTTTAAACGATATGAGGGTTCTATAACAATTTTATACATGGGCGTAGGCAAGTTAGGGATTTTTTTTTACTGCAGCATACGAAGAATATCAATAAAAAAAGGTTCAACCGCAGTATAAGGAACTCTACGCAGTGTGATCATGATATTATGAACCTATTATGAGCATAGATAAAATTTTTGTGGGGTTGAGATCATAAGTGTCTCGGGAAAACATTCATTGTATACACGCATAAGAGAGAAGACAGTATGTGTCTTTGGCTTACATCTTCTCATTTTTCTGATTTCACTTCTTAATTTCGTTTTCATTTATGATGTTTTGGGAGTATTTGGTAGGCGTAGAAAATGGAAGATGAATTGTTTTTCGTGGTACTCAATTTCATCAAAAGCGAGCATATGATTTTTCATGATTCAGCACTGAGCGGTCTTAGCCTTTTCAAACCACAAGTCCGCGAGCATATTTGCAATATGAGTTCCTTAGACAACATTTTAACCAAAATTCTTTACATAACCTATATATCTACAGTCCTGGTTATTTTTTTTTATATGACGCAGTCCATTTCTTTTCCTTCATCAGAATTCTTGCAAATTATGAAATAGTGCGACATTTGAAATCACATTACCTTTGCTGGGGAAAAGTTAGTCAATTTTTTTGCTACCTATGTCAGTGAGGCTGTTTATATCGTAGACAAATTATCCATGATTATTTTTAGGAATCCTGGATGTGTATGCTTTACCTAAAGAAGATTATAATAATTGTTATTTGGATCGATTGGAACAAAATTTTTTAACGCAGTTTTTGTTTAATAACTCTCAAAATTCACAGAACGGTTTTCACACTGGAAAATTTTTTGTAAGTGACGTCATAGGAGACACGTAAAATTATTCTAGAAACCTGAATGCCTTGAAATGAGATACAAGTGGAAAATCAGTTTTGAAATTTTAACGGCGTTTGAGTAATCTCCAATACTCGATTTGTTTGAACTCCATGGATTCATTGCAATCCATTGAGTTTATTCCGTGTACGCCGAGACATAAAAGCTTCGGTCTACTTCGACTGGTTTCTACTATTGACCAATTCGGTTTCTAACACGATACTCAGTTGCTGGTGCGAGTTTAAATAAGGTGGGTGAGAATTTGACTGTGCGGTTAAAAAAGTGGATTGAAAGCATAGCGTCTGGTTCAAAGCTGTAATCCAAATCGGATTAAAATCACCATTGATTGCGGATTTAGATTTGACCCATTGCGATATAGACAGCCTCTATGAAAACTGATTGACTAAATAGGATAAAATCATTATACTAAGATACTGTTACTTTTTCTTGTCAGTCAATCATGTCACAATTGTGGAACTCATTTTCATTTTTTTCACGATGCTTCCCCTATCCCTCCTAAGAAATGAATAATGTTAACATGAATCGATTTCACATGCTATCAATTGTGCTACTTCTTTAAGCTTAATATTTCTCAATGTGTGTCTGAAGTTGTACAGTGTGCCTAAAATATTATTATAAATGATCCGTAATTTCTAATGAAATAAAGAAATTTACACTTCCTAAATGATTAAGGGACTTAGCACACATTGACTTTTCTCCTACTCCAATCGCAGAAATTTGGATCCCAAAGTGCCTTTATAAAATCCCAGATTTTTGTTTAGCCAAATTGAGTGGAAACTTGTCAATCTATTAATGCAATTTAGGCGCAATTGAAAGAAGTTTTAGTGAGCTAAATCATGCTCGTAGCCACTAAATACACTGCGGCTTTGACTATTTTTAGCAAAGCTTTATCATAAATAGCTCATAGCTTTATCAAAGCTACAAAGCCTTAATTCAAACTTGGACTTAGATGTGATTAAAGTGATCAAGGAAAACAGTAATGATAATTTTGGAACAAATATGTTCCTTATTTGTACTTTAAAATGCGTAAAAATATAAAAGTACATGTTAATGGAAACGACCTCTATAGTTCGAACACAATTTCTTCTCCATACGACGTTAAATAACTTCATTTTCTCTTCCTTTGGTCTTTAAACTATGTAGGAAAAGCTTAATAATAAAAAATGTGAATGAGCCGCATACTTTGCCTGTTTATCACGATAGACGGACAGCAAAACAGACGGGAAAAAATTTAGTGAGTGTCGATTTTTTGCGCGATTATAGATATAAGCTGTAATATAAATCCCAGTTAAATAATATAAAAATATGAATTGACAATAAGTGATTTCATATGCATGGAAAAGTTTGAGCTATATATTTGGGGCCGTTTCCATCAACTTGTACAAATTTAGTTGCCAAATTTACCCACCGGCCAAAATATGAATTTAGAATTTAAAAGGCTCTTTTGGGGACAATTCCAATGTAATTAATCATAACTCGAGAGCATCAACACACCTGTGTTAAATATTAAATATTCTATTTGTAATGAATTTCTGTGATATTCAGAAAAGATTTTTGTGTTCCCTTCAACCTATCCTTTTTTACTGGTCAATTTGTGTTTTAAGCCTTCGGATTAAAACTATTTTCAACTGAAAATAGGGTTGGAAAGAGATATCTAAAACAGATTTACATATATATGAAATACTCAATAAGGTCATACTCATTGAATATATCAACAAGAAATATGCAGATGTGCTAATGAACTACGACTTCAACTGAAAAATAATTATTGGTTATTAAATTAATTATACATATTTGTTTAAAAAAAAGAAAATGCACTTGTATTTTAAGATTGCTTAATACGTCTGACTGAGCGCTCATATTTCATTTCATAGTCGTAATATCTACAGGATAAGGTTAGTTTCTTACGAATTTTTAACTTTTGTCAGTATTTCTAAACTTTTCTACTAGTCTTTCAGTCAAACAAGAATTATACAAAATCAGTATCTTAGTACAGTAAATGCAGGGTGGTGAACGAAAGAGCTAATAGAGAAATACTTGTGTGAAGGGAGGACAAGATGTTCCTCAATCCAATATTGTGCGGCACTTTGACATCACCCACGGCAGTTTCAGTCTAGCCCTGAGAATTTTCGTTTAACGATAAATTAAAACCCATTTTGCCTCTGTTGAATCTAATATTACTATTTTCATGGACAAAGTCCGTAAGTTTAAAAATTTTATGTTGAAATTTTCTTTATCAGTAATTATTGAATATTTCTTTAAACTCTGAAGTAAATTGGTGTTCCAACTGTTATAATATCATGAACTACACCTATTGCCTTATTTCTCTCACCACTGGGCAAGACAGTAGCTGAAAAAAATTATTCAACCACTTATCTTGCCCGGTCTCGAACCGTGTTATAATATCGTTTTAAGAACATTGTTCTGGAAGTTTTCATCCTTTCTAGGAAAGAAAATCAATGATTTAAATAAGAAAAAATTTGTAATCAAAAATTTTGTAAATAATTTTTCACTGATGTTTCTTAAAAGTAAAGAAATAAAAAAGAAATTAGGAATAAAATTTAAGTAATCAAAATTTTGAAATTTGATTTTTTAGTAAAAAATTATTTAGTACTAATAATTTTATACTAAAACTATAACTTATAAATCTTGTAAAATCTTGAGAAGAGAACTAAGTTTAGGTAAATGTCGATTACTGATAAATTAAAATATTTTTGTTGTTTAATACACTACACATACATTATACATAACATATATATATATGAACACAGTACTTTTTTTTGGCCTTTTTTCTCTACTGCAAGCCTGACTACGCCCATGTTTTGTGGTCTTGCTAGTGTGTTTGATTTCTTTAAAGAACGATTAGAGTATAAAACAGTCGGTATGCCATTAATGTGATCGGAACTTATATCATTAAGTTGCAGAACAAACATCAGAGCTTGAAGTTTAGGACAAACAGGAAGTATATGGGTATTTGGTATGAAGTAGATAATATTTTTTACGAAGTAGATAATATTTTTTACTAAGTGCATTATTCGCCTGCATATCTCTGAAATATCCCATTTATACATACTTTTCTTGAGTTTGACATTTTAAATTGGGATATTCAATTATATAAACATACCTGAACACTGAGAGTTAGTAGATAGTTGATGACATGCCTTGGCCGGACATACAATCCGTATGTCTATATTAAGTTTAATAATTGATTAATATAAAAACAATATTTGTATTTGTCAAAAGCATTTTACAAGATTGAAAACAACATGATTTTTAATGTACGCTATTCACTCTAAAGTACTCACTAATTCTTGTATTATAAATAAAAGTGTGTTTGTCTGTGTGACTTAATTTTGTCCTTTTATTCTTGAACATGTATATATATATATATATATATATATATATATATATATATATATATATATATAATCTGAAGACTAAAATCTGAACTGAGGATTTTTTAAATTGGGGAAAAGGAAAGTGAGGTAAGTGTCAAAGTGTTCTGTGGGGCTTTAACTCACCGACTTGAGAATGAGCCCAAAAATCCCTCTCCGTCGAGTCGTAGCACCACCTACAGTCGTCGTCATCGTCACACGTCAATTCAATGTACCCACCGTCTTCTGGAAGAGTCACTTAGCCAATATATCGCTTTTATCGACTCCCCAAGTATTAGAAAGTATATGTAGAAGTCACACGGCTATCAAGTTTTTCTATTTTCATAGTCTTCAATATAGTCCTATCGAGTAACAGCTATTCATTACACAGTCCAACAATGGTTCTTGCTTATTTATGATTATTGGACAGTTGAACACCCATTGGGCCTAGAGTAAAACTCCGTATAGAAAAGTTTTGCATTTATATGTATTTCGATCACAGTTATACGATCACAGTTTATAATTGGTTCGAGTTGCGGAGGAAATTTTTTTTTCAGATTTTCCGCAAAAAATGCCAAAATCTCCTAAAGTCCTCTTCCGATCACTAAACTTTAAAAAATTATATACTTTCCTATACGGGGTTTTACTCTAGGCCCAATGGGTGTTAAACTGTCCAAGAATCATCGAGAAGCAAATACTTTTGTTTCATTTTGCGGGACTGTATTATCTTAAATACATACACAATGCTGTTCTTCTATTGTTCAAACTCATTATATGGTTCATATGTATTTTACCATATTTGATCAAATAATCATTTGCTTTCAGTTATCCATCAAAACGCAAACGATAATACATTTGTTTGCATTGACTTCAGAACAAACTTCTATCCTGCTTGCGTGGAGACTCGTCTTTTGGGATGGGGAAGTGTCAATGCTACAACGTTACTTATGGTCAGAATGGCGAAAAAGGGAGCAATTAAAACCCATCTAAGTAAGCGTACATGAAGGCGACAGAGGTGCAGTGGTCGGTAGAGTAACGGACTGAGAACGCCACGGTTATGTGTTCGATCCTCATTACTGCTAAATGATTATCAATTACAACCAATGCGAAAAAATATTAGCCTTTCAATGGCAAAATATTTCTCAGATGAAGACCGCCCAACGTGGGGTAAGACGACTAGAGTTTCTTAATTTGTTGTAGTCGTAACCTAGATAATTCATATTTTAAAGTGTGATAATTCTTTTATACCTTGTCACTTTGAACAACTGTGCAAAGAGAGACTTTTGACAAAACCATTTTTAGTGATGCGAAAAACCGTATGTATTTTAACAGAACTGAAACGAGAATGGAGCAAAGAATTAAAGGGGAAGTAAATTTTAGTCTTTATTGCAGCAATTTGATCACTTAAAATCTCAAAAAGCCCCATTTGGATTTACCTAGTAAGAGTAGCTCTTCGGTTTCAAATATATTTGAAATACTAATAAGCCTAACTGAAAATTACTCTTAAACTGTCGGAATGCATTACCGTTTGCGGTTTTTTTTGTCTTTATCATTTTAAAACAAGAACATTGCTTCTTACATTCTGTTTTTACACACATAAAAAGCATTGTACATATATCTCAATTAGAGCAGCGTCCAACTAACAAATAATGTCCAATATTATTGTTTCTAAGATCTCATATCCTTGTATATGTCGGATCTACACACATTAACTATTAGACGAAAAATTTTGTGAGTGCAGTTTATTCACAATCTTTCCGGTATATGCGTCAAAAATGACATTTAAAAATCGTGGCATTTTTTCTTGGGACATATACACTGTTATACTGTAATATTTTATTAAAATTGCTTTATGCAAAAAAAATTTTGGATCAGAAGTTAAAAAATACTTAAATACAGAAATCCATGGACAGTGACAGGATACGATTGAGGATTGATCAATAGATTTCCATTACTCAGCCTTCACCTAACATCAGCGAGTGCAGATATGTGAGTTTTTGCATTTTTTTTCAGTCAACTGTATGTTGTTATTCTTGATGTAAAATTTTTTCTGTCTCGGGATTGTGAGTTTCACAATAACTTTGTAATTTTACTACATGGGCACTGAAGAAAGTGCCGAAAAGCTCAAAACGTTGACGGGAAATTTGGCGGAAGAGAAGAAATAGAAGCAAGCATAACAGACTGAAAATTCGCTTTTTCGCAACCTGTCGTATTAAAAACGATCGAAATTCGACGCTTGTGCTTAATGGGTTTTAAAAGTTGTGCACGGAGTGACGGGGATATGATTTTACATTACCAAACTGTGGCATGTCAGTGACTTCTGACTTTTGGCAAAAACCGCATGACGATTACTCTTCCCACTTAAAGGCTAAGGGTTCAATTATAACGGAAGACTGACGAAAAATGCCCGATTTTTTCACGATTTCATTATATATAGTTTCATTGATACAATTTTAATCCATTACAAAAGATTCGATTTATTGTATGATCACAAGAAGTTTGGTTCACGTTAGCTCAATGTGGCTTGAGTTAAATTTCTACCAGTGCGTATGAAATGTTTGCTGTTTGCGTTGAGTTGCTTCGTGCAACAATACGAAATCTCATCGCATTAATTATTTTTTTCCTGTAGTTACATACTTTTTATATCATTCTAAACTAATGTAGTAATATTGAAGTCATTCACTCATGAAAAAATTTCAATAAAACGAAATATGAAGTGTAATGTTTTTCTGTCTCATCTTAATAAGTTTTATTTGTGTAGTTTGTTTTTTTTGTGAATCCTGAATTGTCATAATCTCGGATAAACGACTAAAAAATCTTTTATTTCTTTTATAAAATTACGCACCATTTTATAAAACCTATTTTTTCTTTCTTCGTTCAAAGAATTTTTTCTACCTCATGCAAGGCAAATTACTAGGAACAGCTTTTCACTGATTGGAATGGCACCCAGTATTTATTACTACACACAGTTATAGCAGTTATTTTTATCTTGAACAATTTATATTTTAAAAAATATTATATGAAACGAATGGCAATATATGTTTAGTTCCGTCTTTATTTTCCAACTCACGATTTTGGTTAGATTATTAGAATATCGACTAGAAGAAGCAAATATAACTCAAACATTGGTATAGCATTGATCAAACGAAATTGCATGATTAAACGGGGAAAACATATAAATTGGAGTGAAATGAAACGAATACACGCGTCCGAAGCAAAAAGGACCAAACGTGCACCTTGAACTGATTGGAGTAGTTCTGCACCTGGCCGTTGTGTTGCCTTCGTTACCGCTACGAGATTTTGCAGTCTCTGCAATTGCTCCGGTGGCGCTGTTGTCGGTGATGACGGCGCTGCATGTGTGATTTATTACCAACAGTAACGGAAAAACACTCAATATAGATCTTTTATCTTCTCATTTGTCTTTTAAACCCTAATTCATTGCATTAGGATTTTAGTCCTTAATTCCCAGCTACCCTTTTACTCATGTGGATGTGACAGTGTCATGTGTGTGACCAGGAAGAGAAATAAACAACGAAAAAAAACAAATAAAACAGAAAATAAAAATATTGTTGTTTTTTCTCTTTACCTTCAGGATCTTTGGCAATAACAGTTGAGCTGCGATCAACGCCTCCCTTTTTATCTTCTTTACGATTGAATAATTGTGAATTTGCGATTAGTATGTCAATCATTTTCCGGTCATTTTCATATTGAGAATTCGTCATGTTGGTTTTATCCAATACCGCAGAACACATTTTTTAGTTCGCATTGGTTTTCAGTTTTGATTCAAAGTACAATGAAAAAAATAGACAGAAGTAAGATCATTTTAGACAAACTGTTCTTTTCATAATGCCTTAAAATTTCACATATAACACATGATTTCCCTCAACCTAGTATGGATTATAATGCCTACAGCAAGAAACACAACGTAACTACAGATTTGGGAAGTGGTGAGAGAGGTAAACAGATACAAAAGACAATAGTATATGGTACATATAACAGAATATGTTGATGTGTAAGTCTATTGAAGGTGACGAATTCAAGTTAATGTTTCATGACTGGTTTACTTGCTGGCATAGGTTCACTAATAAAAAATATCAATTTTATATTTTATGTGTTTTCTTAATAGATAAAAAAAGATAATTAGTATCAAAAGCAACTTCCAGCGTCATATATTGTACAATCTTCATGAATTGTTTCATATTGAAATAACTATTCCACGATCACAGGAATGATTTAGTAAATATGAATATGCTTAAATCGTGAAATCAGCTCCTGCATTAGGATGACATCCCTATTAACATTTTCTTTAAGAAATTGGTAGATTTTTGTAGAGAGCATGGGAAAATTGCAATCCAAAGCCAATATATGATGAGAAATTAGAAAGATAGTTTTCTAATTTTATATTTTGGATTACCACTGATAAGATTAGAAACGTATAAGTAATACGAAAATAGTTATGATGAGCAGGCAGTTTGATTGCACAATTGTGCTATTGTCGTAATCACGTGTCAAATTTATTCAGCAATAAAGTTACATTTTTTTTAACACCTAAAAAGCGGAAGATCGAATATTCTGGTGTGTTAACATAATACTTCGAGAAGAAACATTGGCTACAATAAGCAAAAATCGACAGAGGAAAGAAACGCTAACAAATCTTTCACAAACTACTCACGATCATTGATTTCACAAAAAAATAATTTGGCACCACATTTTTAAGATGTAGAAAAATTCTGCTAGATGAAAAAATGCCTATTCTATACTATATTTTATAGATTTTTATTTAGATTATTTTTGCATCACGATAATTTTTTAATATTAAACTAATGTTAATAATTTTTTATCATTTTGAAATCTTTGAATTTGATCAGATGGATTAAACATTAGAATTGCCTGACGCCAAAGGTCTGTGCAACGAGCTGGTCACTATGACAGATTCATAATGATTTTAATGTAAAATATTGAGAGTAGCGATTATTAGTAGCAACTTGTGATGATTTTTTTCGACCTTATTTCCACGATCATAAAATACATTTAGCGCCTCTAATGTCGGTTGTTACATTCAATAGAAAAGTACGCCTTTTTCATTTTCAAATTGATAAAAATGTCTAAGAAAATTGCAACAGCGGAAAAATTTCTTCTCGTTAATTTTTTAATTCACTATAAACTAAAAACTAACTTCCGAAGCATTTGTAATCATCTGGACATAACCAAAATGTTAACAAAATTTGTCTGAGGCATTTTTAGTGTTATGTAAACATAAGTAGGTTTCATTCTAAATTTATCCTTAATTGTTCTGCATTTTAATGAATATTTGTGTTGGATTCTAAATATACATAATAGTTTTCCTAAAACGGATTATTTCTAAAAGATATATTTTCAAAATTTTTGAGCAATTCTGAGTGAAAAAATTAAATCTAACTCAAAAAATCTTTTTTAATTTCTTAGAGCATTTGGTTACATAAAAAAATATCGGATAAAAACAGATTGACATAAAAAAAATTACATTTTGTAAAATGCACAACTGGACAGTATAGGAAAGAGGCATACAATTTGGATCTTTATATTAGGAAAGTTAATTAAACAAAACAACATTTTTTGGTTACGTGTTTTAATTGACGTTGAATTGACTTGTTATTGCTGCCGTCTTTGTTTTGTTACGAATTCAGTGTATTTAATATATGAATATATATTACACTCAATACACAATAGTGAAATAAATACGAAAAAACGCATAGTATTATGCGTTTATTTTTTTTTTAGGAGAATAAAATTGGTCGAAAAAGCGTAAAGCTGTGATGATTAAATGAGGAGATACAGAGAAAGCCACTAACATGAGAATGAGTCACAGCGGTTAAGGATAGATAGAAAAGGGATGCTTAAGTATTTTACGACATACCTCGAACATCATCATCTTCAATTGTTGTACTAGAGTCAGTTGATTCCTTCACTTGGGATCCCTCGCCTTTCTTGGTAATCATGCTTTTGCCTTCATTTGCAGCATTTTTCACGTTCACGCCCGCAATTTTGCCATGGCAAAAGAAGGGGTAGAAAAAAGATGAAACTTTAGTGTCAATATTTTTGATTTTTTGAGCAATAGAAATAAAAAGTTTGATCCTTTATATATAGTTATATATGTATATATATATATATATATATATATGTCACTGTTTAGAAGTTAAAAAATCTTTGGTCAAAAAAATTTAAGTAATATGAATAACAATTTACATAGGTTTTTAAAATAATAAATTATATATGATTAATCATATATCGAAATATAAAGCAATTTAATAAAAAGATTGACAATAAAAAATATGTGGGTAAGCTGGATGGGGGAGCTGGGATTTACACTTGTTTTATTCTTCGGACAACTTGAAATGTGGCAATTTCAAAATGTACTTAAACATATAATGTATATGAATTTCATATTAAAAATTTAAACATCTATAGCTATCAGAAAATCAATGATTGGAAACACATCATAGATATGGCATAGAAAATCAGTGTGCAGAAGCACGCGCTTTGCGTGTGTCTATGCTGAAATTGAGAGCGTTGTGTAAGGATGCACCCTTTGCAAGAAGTGTGCAATGAAAAGCCTTATGCTCGGCTCTGGGAACAAGAGGTCCCTGAACCCTGATAGAATCAATCCTAATCGAGAGAGAGCTCAAATACCCCGACGGGTTACCGGTAATGAACATTCGGTCCAAGAGTTGTAAGGTTCGCATCTGGAGAAAAGAGGGCGAGTTGCAACGCTCAAGCACATCTCATTGTGCGCAAATGTAAAGTGTAAACAAAACAAAAGTTTTTTCTTTTATTTTCAAAATGACGAAAAGCAAGTATGTGTTCGATTCGGCAACCTCATTTGTACTACTACATACTTTGAACCATTTAGGGAATTGCATATCGATATCTCTTATCGTTTCGGCGCTACAGAACAAGTTATGACGGAGGAAAAACGAATGGAAAATTTAAATTCACGTGCTACTAAACGTATGAAAACATTATTTATACTTAGTTTTTCTGATTTGGTAATTTTGAGTCTCTCGAACGATAACAGATAGGAGCTGTGACGTAAATCTCAGCTCTGAATAGTTTTTGTAATGATTGACGCTGAATGTGATGCTACATAATCTACGTTTTCACAAAGCTTGAACCCACATTAATTTATTATATGCATTTTGAGCAGTTTTGCTACCCTAATGCACTTGGCGAATAATAGAATTTAGTAGATTCGACACTACGTGATTAGATAATGAGAATCACCAAAAATCGCCTTGTTTACCCCACTCAATGCACTGGGAGATTCTGAAATATGGTTACTGAACCATAAATCGCATGATATTTTAAAACTGTAATTTAATTCTAATATTCTATTACATACTTGTTTTTGGATTATTTGAGCGAAAGAGGCAAAGAACTGTGCATGATTAAAAACGCCTTGTGCATTGCGCGTAGCTGCGCAATATTGTGTGAGGTTATTAAAAAAGATTTAGTTTCTTGTTGTTTTCAGATGTTGCCCAATGTGGATAAAAACAAAATAAATATGTATTATGTGATAAAGTCTAACGAAAAAACAAATACAAGATGTAGAAAAAAGATGATATGTTAGAAAGCTTATGTTAAATCAAATGGAAAAAAGAGGAGGAGGATATGTTTATATCAGAAAAAGTGGTAATCACTTGTTTCTTCATGAACTAACGAAATAATTAATGAAGCCTTTTTTTTCAGGAAAACGCACTGAAAGTATCCAAGTGTTACAATCAAGAGATGCCTTCACATATAAGTCCAAAACGAGAGAAAATTAATAAACAGTAACATTTAATTTTTATCAAGAGAAAATATTGTGTGAACAACGCCTTTATTAGAAAAAATAATGCATTATCCAATATAACAAAGGTTAAAGTGATTACATCGGTCCTTGTGACCAAATGTCAAAATATTCTTCAAATAGGAACACTTTTCATAAGCTTATTATATCACAAAAGCTATCTAGACTGCGATGTCTCAGTGACTATACAAAAAATTACGATGTAACCCTGAAAATAGATTTTTAAAGAGTTTAGGTATATGAAAGCCACTGAGGAAAATTGTATTTCTTTTGCTAGGATATACTATTACTTGTACTAATATTTTCCGAAAATAATGTTCACTTATGAAATCAGCTATTTATAATATGAAGAATTTTACTTTCTAGACATACAGTAGTAGATGGAGTTTTAAGCTCAATAATCTCTATGCATTTTTTTTGTTTAAAGTTAAATTTTAATTTAAACTAGTATATGTAAACGAAGTCAAAGACACGGAAAATAAAACTGAAACATATGCGTGTTTATTTCTTTATATTTTACGAAATTTTAACTACAATTCATGTATGACATGCAAATCCCTGCTCCTCCATCACTTATTATTTTAGAGTATCATACCCTTATATGTTTATGTATTCAGTTGGCAATGGTGTTAACGAATAAATGCTTAAACGCTTGGAAAAGGGTGTGACCGAATAGTTTAGTCGTTTTGTGAATATGAAATGAACGTAAACGTAATATTGTGTACAAGGGAAAATAACAGAAAAGAGATAAACAAAAATAACGAGAGGGTGTGAGAGGAAGGCTTAAAAATATTAAGAACGAACAGAAAAAACATAGAGGAAGAAAATAAAAAAATTCTGCTTACCACTTTCTAGAGAATTGACAGGAGGAGGTAGTTTTTTGATTCGGTACAGAGTTGTTATATATGTGATAAAGTTTCTATTTTAATTGTTGTCTGTTTCTTCTTAACATTTCATATACTTTATGACTAATTTTCTTAACCTGATTTTTTTTAATAATAAAAATAGGGTAAAGGAATGTAGGGGAGAGATAGAGAGATTTACGAAAAAAGGGTAATTTTTTTTAGGATATTCTCGTCTTTTCTCAATAAATGTGATAAAATGGATAGAATCGTAGAAATGTTTTAGTAATTTTACATCTATATTTATTCAAAGATTATATTTTTGTGAGAAAACACCAAAATATATTCTATTATTTATATGAAATTTTTAAAAAACTAAGAATAGGATCATTCTCATTGAAATGGATACTTACTTGAGAAATTCCTAGTAGCTAGCATCGTGGTGAGAATGGCAACCTACAAAATAAAAAAAAAAATTAGAAAGGGCACTTTAAAAAAATATACACTTGTAATTAACTATTGCAAGCTCAGTAACTGACTTTTTGAAGTATACATAATATACAGATGGATCTTGCATTAGTTATTCCTTTTCATTCCCTTAGTATACCTACACTCATTTGGTTTCGAAATCAAAATATCTAATCTTGTAGCATTGAAATACCAAATGGAATAACAGCAAATGAAGCAAAATAACCCAAGTTGAATGAATTAAAAATAAACTACTACATTTTTTTTGTCGAAGATATATTTTCTAAATGAGCACTGCTACTCTTAAAGCTGTAACTGAATTCAATAATGCTTATGATATACAGTAGCGAAAATTAGGTTAGGAGACCTATGAAATTTTGGCCATTTTACCTTTTGGTGCTCTATGATGAAAATGTTTTCTAAACACTCAAAACTCATGAGTTAATGTGATTTTCCGAGGTAGTTTTATGATTATAAAATGGATTTAGAGAAAAATAGGCAGTGTCCAAACGTAATTTTCTCTGTACTTATATGCACAACTCTCTGCATTTTCCAATATCTCGGCCCCGAATTGAGATATCGCCATGATCTCAACGCCATTTGAAAGATCATTAAATTCTCATAAATTTTTGTCTTAAAACAATTGTCTCGAAAACTAAAGGAAATATCGAATTTTTAGCATCAAAAGGTAAAATGGCCCAAATTTCATAGGTGTCCTAACCTAATTTTCGCTACTTTATTTTTTTCACCGTAAAAGCGTGCACTTAAATGCGCTTTTTGTATTTTAATGATGTCATATACAACAATACAATGCAATATATCATCAATGAAATTTGTAATATTTTTGTTGGCCTATGAACCTATGAAAATTAGCTGATTGACAATGTTTTCTTATACGCACCTTTAGTTTGCGTCTTGCGTTGAACTTCTTAAGACAGTCAACAGTCTCCTGCCTGTGAACAACTGATGCCACACGTTCTCGTTGCTAGTGAAATATAGATAAACGTAAGGAAAACATATGTGAGAATACAGACTGGAATATTTAGTTTCAAATTTTGACTTACGCAAATCCAAGGATGTTTAAGTGCTTCACTCGCTGTAATACGCTTATGCGGATTCACGGTGAGCATCTGATTAATTAAATTTTTAGCATCGGGTGTAACTGTATCCCACTCTGGCGATGGATACTGCAAAAAATATTGAATAATATGATATAGTGTGTAGTAAAAAAAAATTAAATACTTACATCATAGGCGCCGGCCTTTATCTGAGAGTATAGTCTGTGCTGATCCTCATCCCAAAATGGTGGATATCCAACGAGTAGGATGTACAGAATAACACCTTGATGAGGAGAAAGATCATGAGAAATGACAATACATGACATCGTGTGCTCACACATAAAGCACTACACAACTAGAAAGAAAGAATTTTGCATCTACTGTGACTCCGAAGGTTGTGAATGTCCGGTCGTTGAGCTGGCGACACAAGCGATGGAAATCCCGTGAAGCCTTAATCTACAAACTAATATTTTTCCGGAAAGTAACTAGCAATTTAATCAATTGTGCACCTTCGATGTCAAAACATTCAGGCAAGAAGGCAAAACTGCCAGACTTTCATCAAAATTCTACACATCAACAAATAAAAGTTAAAGTGGACAAGGTAGGAAATCTCTAAAGCACTATGAAATTATGTCATACGTCAATTTCATCAGCATAAGTTATCAATGTGTGGGAGGCTTATAAGCCCTGAGATGCACAAGAAACTTTGAAAGTCAGTAATGAAATCACTTCAAGAAGGGAAACGATTTGAGAAGCCACACCCATCCAGAAATTTTGCTAATGTACATTATTCATGTTTTGGAAAAACATGAGAAATAATGATATTTTAGCTGATGAAATTTGAAAACCCTTTGCAACCGCTCTGATGGAATGGATATCTGTGGCATTTTTCCGTATACATGGGATATGGACTACGATGGATCTGCTCACCACACGCCCAAATGTCAACAGATTTGCCGTAGGGCTCCTTCTTCAGCACCTCAGGTGACAGGTATCCGGGTGTGCCGGCGAAGCCAAACCACGCCAGCTGCTCACCCGACACCTCGATGGCCAATCCGAAGTCAGCCAACTTCACGGCGGCTCCCTTCGCCTTGCTCGCCAGCAGCAAATTCTCCGGCTTCAGATCGCGATGGACGACGCCATTCTGATGGCAGTGATTCACTGACTCGAGGATTTGTTGAATGCAGTGGGATGCGTCCGCTTCGGAGTAGAACTCACGCGCCACGATGTCCTCAAACAACTCACCACCAGTCACGCTGATTAGGGGCATTGCCATTGGCCACAGAAAAATTTCAGTTACGATCGCATTACAACGCCAGGCCAAGTGAAATTCAAATACTAATGGATTACTCACAGATCAAATACAAGATAATGATAATTCTCCTCCTGTATGCTGTCATGTAGACGTACTGCAAATAAACGTTGAAAAATAATATAGTTAACTTAGTACGAAGATATTTGGTGGAACTTGCCAGAAATCCTGATTATAAACGATTACAAAATTTTTTTTACCTCGATGATCATCAGGTACAAACTAACTTATGTACTTACTCAGGTGTCAATGGCACTTCTTAATAGACCGAGCCTTTTCCATTAAAGAAAATGCAGGACAGAATTGTTTTTTTACGGAACATTTTGTCACTTCGCCGACCAAAACTCTGGCTCTAGGGTTCAGCCTGAACACAAAGTTAATGTGCGAAAGACAATTCCAGTGAAACCTACTGTTGTGAGCAGCAAAACCCAAAATCACCCAGAAATACATCGCGCGTTAAATCCGCGGATTAAATCTCAATACACACTTAAGGCTTATAACTTTATGCAGGGATACCTAATACCTAATACCTACAACACTTAAATGTATTTAAAATGTATTTGCTCCTATCAAATGAAAACAACTAAATCATTTGTAGGTGTTGTTAATTCTGTTATCTACAATCTTTGACACGCCGTAAATTTACGAACAAAACGCGGGCAGTTACAGGCATCGCAAACTCCAAACAAAAACGGCCATGCGACTCTCGTGTCCGCGTCTCGGAATACTATCCGACATTTCAATGCAAATTTTAAGATTCGAATCGATGTGAGAATAAGCAATTCTCCACATGTGAGAGATAGAAATAGTGAAAATTTTCGTCATGGATACGGCAGTATGGGACATAGATAAAAAAAAACGACCAGGATATTTAAATCCTAACGGGTAATTTACTTTGACACCTGCGTTATAAGGAACTCCTTACGCGTGAGCTCGATTGATTTTAAATCCCTCCGATTGAAGGTATAAATCAGTAAGTGCTAAATCCCTCACTTTGTACTAAATGTATGCACATATCGTCTTCGCTGAAATACAGATTATATAAAAACGTAGTTAGAAAACTTACCTATATTAGGGTGCTGCAGTTTCCGACAAATTCTCGCCTCACGCTCCAATTTCTGGAAATCTAAACAGATGATATTTCTTAGCTAATTATCGGGTCGTTGCTACATTATGGATTTCAGTTTGTTGAAGGTTGCAACTTTGCGCTTTTCATAGTTTATATTGGTGGCTACTTGTGTAAAGTGCGAATGAAATACGGACAAGAAGGCGTTGCAAGGTTCAGTGGTGAGTTAATTTAATACCAATTTCAGATGACATGTGGACTTCAGGCGTTAGTGTTTGAAACGTTTCAGGTCAGGTCTCGTATAAGGTAAATTCCCCACTTTCATAAATGTTATGAATTGTAATCTTGCAACGCCTCTTTGACGAATTCATATTTTTGACAGATTATTAAAAAAAAATGCGACCCGCATGTTCATGTACTATCTGGAACTTACCTCTCGAAGTTAGCTTTTTCGTATTTATTATTTTGGCGGCGAATTCCAGGCCCGTGGATTTCTGAACGCATCTTTTGACAATGGAGAAAGCTCCCCTTTTACGAATAAGAAACATTTAATATGAGCTGCCACTAGTCATGATGTATTTATACTAACTTTCCCAATTCCTCCTTGATGTCATAATTATCGGAAAAGCGCGTACAGGCCGCCGGAGCAGCCATTGCGACGGCGGCAGGCGCGGAAATTACGGGTGCTGTATTTTAAAAAGTAAACTGCGTCTTTTGAGACCTGTAATGAGGCGAGAGCAATTGTTTAGGACCACGAAAAGCCGGTCACACAAGATTACTCAATTGGACTAATATACATTTCACAATACTTTCTCAAGCATAACAATAACTATATTAAGTTACATAGATTTTTATATAGAGAAATGCTGTGATCGAACTCTTATGTACTATCTGTGGAACAAGAAGACACGGTATAACGGTGAAAGCCAAACTGTGCGATCGCTGCGCCATAACTTTGGATTTCGACCAACGCTGTGAGATTTTCTCGATTTTCTGCAATGTTTTCGAGCCCATCGTCAGGGCTTGGCAAAAAAAACAATTGTGCATATAATTACTTGAAAGTTAAATTAGTTCGTTGTACTAAGGTTAAATTCTGTACATCAAAATTTAAGTTGTGGTAAAGTTTGGTTAACACTTAGTCACGTATAAAAATTTCTTGAATATTGCTGCTATGTCAAAATGTTAAGATAGCCGTGTTCGTGAGTTAGTTATATTCGATACTGGCCTACGAAAATTCTTAATTGGTCTCCTATATGCTAATGTTAAAATTAATTTGGTATGTGCATATTGTTATGACAGAAATATTCTGTGCGTCCGCCTATCATACAGCGAGGAAAATTGTGTTTCGAATTTTTTCTTTTCGAACACACAATTCAGGACAGTGTCCCTTCATGCGGCCACAGAAGACTAGTGAGCCGACTGTGTGTGAAGGAGTTCCGCTACAGTTCAACCTCGAGGGGCTAAGTAACGATCCTTGAGGGAGTTATCCCACGAAGTAAATTCTTCCCAAAGTCGTAATTTTCTTTTTTAACATAATTTCAGACGAAAAATAGAACTAATACAGAGTGATTAATCATTAGACTGTCGATTACAATTATTTTTCGTATTAAAAATTGATTAAAAGGGAGAAAATTACGGAGTTCATATTCAAAAATTACGAATTACTTATCGATATTTCAACATGATACAATATGCGCTTAAGATATTATTAAATATTTAATATGTAATAATGAAATTGTTTAATGAAATAAATAAAAATTGTATGATTTTCCAAAAAAATTGGTTTTATTTTACTATGAGAGTGAGAGAATAAAGTGCATATGTTCAATTATAATTTTTTTCCTTAATCTCACTAATCACAACGTTTACAATATTATAAAGAATATAGCTTTGATCGAAAGATATCTTTAGCTAACTTGCTATCTCAATTTATCAATATTTGCCTCAAGAGAATATTGCTCATAGCGTTCAGGTTCGAAAAAATTCACTGAATTTATATTTTAGAGTTTATATGTCGAGTTTGAAGTACTATTCCAAAACACTGAAGTGCGACATGGTTTTAACGGCAACAATCTATGTCAGATGTTGACAACTGACCAAAGAGAATAGGCGACTGCTAGACAAATTGAAGGTGATAATGAATTCACCAAATCTCACCTTCGAAATTTTAGGTGATTAGACTTAAGCGAGTGTCACCATACAGTCAGTAATTTTAGCGTTTGAAGACAAAGTATTGATGCTCACTGTTTGTGATGCAGTAAAAGATAAACGCCATTGGTAATGGGAGAATAAATATATGATTATACGCCAAATTTTACCTGAGTAAGAAAAAGCGGTCAAAAATTGATTGGGCACATCGTGTCTGTATATAGCGCTGCTAACCAAATTAGCGACAGTAAGCCTCTAAGCACAATATCACTTACTTTACTGACAAATTTAAATTACTTTATCGCTTCAAGTCGTATGCAGTAACCATGAATATGTGGGGCACAAGAGCACCTTTTTGACAGCGCGCATAAAGTTTCCCGAGAGATGTCATGCGGTGGCGCTTGCGCTGGAAAAAACGGTGCGCATGCGATGGGAAACTTTTCAGGCTAGGCGGAGGTAGGGGCCGGAAGGCTCGTTTAATTTGCCATTGTAAGCAGGAAAATACTTGCGTGGGGTGCTATACCCTTGCTAATAAAGCATAGGACACATTTACGACTCTATGAGACTCTGCTGATTTTCCGCCTTTCTCTATGTTACCTTGCAACAACGATTGCTGTACACTCCACTTGGCGTTACTGTTTAAATAAATCCTTGCTGTAAAGTAACAATGTATTTCACAGATTGTTGCAATGTAACAAACTAAACCAAATTCACAGTGTCGCTCAATACCACACAGTTACGAATGGTCCTTAACTGTAGCTAACATATTGAGTGCGCATGACAAAAATTTGTCAGTGTGACACAAGATGGGATATTCATTCGCTTGAAGTTAATCATGAACTAGGAGCGAGTGAGGATTTAATAACTCAAAAACAAGGAACAACATGAATTTTCATGGCATATGACAATGAAAATGTTTTACTGGTCACTATGATCAAACCCTATGGTAAGAATACAATATTTTGCTAAGGCAATAATTTTTGGCTCTTTCTACGCAATGTGATCCGTCTATTTTTTATTTTTCTTTTATACGTTTTACGTAAAGAAAACCATAAAATAGCATAAGACAAAAATACACGGAATTCATGGAGTAGAGAGAGAGAGACAAAAAAAGGGATTGCTCTGCAAAATTGAAAAGCAAAATGCTGTGTTTTCACCACCGGGTCTCCAGCTCAGGGGCTCGCCATAAGCTTATTTTCTATGAGAAACGACAGAACTGTGTCGTAGAGGTCGAGTTCGTAACAGCTTTTATGCCAAACTGGTCTCAACAATAGAAATTTCTTTACAACTGTTGTATATAATTGAAGCTTCAGTTTTTGTCCAGGTTAAGAAAATAAACCGCCGATGAATATAAACTATCTATGGATTTCTAAAAATGGTCTTTAAATTCGCTTACGCGTTACTCGCTTCCTGAGTCCGCAAAAACCGCAGAACCGCAGAGACTTGTAGAAAATTATTAAAAACTAGGATAAATTCCTACAGTTCTTTAGGTTCCATAGGCATATATTTTGTGGAGAATGTCAAATTGAATTTTTTTCTTTCTCAAATTATACTGGAAATTACAGACAAGAGGTTGGATAAATTTTTGACAGTCACTGTCTTGGCTAAAATGAGGGTACGAAGGCTAAAGGTTAGATTTTTTATCTGGAAATATTTTAAATATTCTGAAAAATATGAATGAGATGTCAGATGCCATATCAAATTTTCGACATTATTTGTATGTCTACAAAAAAGCCATTGCGGAGGTCGCTTCAACCGAAACCTTCCTAAACTTACAAACTTAGTATACGTGAATTTTTCATTCCACATGAATTTGAAAGAGTTGTAGTCAGAAGTGCACAAACGGAAATTTTTGTTGCCGAAAGTGGCGCCAAATCTTTTCTCCTCTTTCTCTGTCGTGTCAACCTATTTTTACTTCACACTTTCTTCTCCTTGTTCTTCTCACAATAAATTGTTAAACAGCACACAATTCTGAATGATCAGTTACTTCAATGGTACTACTTCACTGGAAAGCAATGACTGTCAATACTCTCTAAAATTTCTCGAGTATCTTATCGAGAGTACAAATAATTAAGTGGTAACAATGCATAGCGAATTTGAATCGAGCTCGTGTGTGACTTATGATGCTTACCTTCATGATGCACACCCGTGTCTCTGTCAGTCCACTGAGACGCACTGGGACGCCCTCTTGAAGTCGCAGAATCGACGCACCCAAATGAACGCGTGGCTAGGCCTTCATTTCAGAGGCCTGATGGTCGTGCGGTCTAAAGCGCTGACCCATGGCGTCCCCAGCACTGAGTTAGGGAGTTCGAATCTCGCCTCGGTCGGCATTGCCGACACTCTGGCCCGCGTTTCCTTTCCTTTTTTTTCTTCCATTCTTTTCACAAATCCTAGCATTCAAAGTTGGTAAGATCGACATTCTGGGCGGTACGTATCTTATTAAGATCCAGCCCAGTCTTACCGGCCAAGTAGTGAAGGGGTTCGCACACAACGATATAATCGATCATAGGATGATCCGGATGATCGCTTCGAGCAGTACACAAACACGTGCACCAAGACAGGCTATAGCTAAAATAGAATGTTAATGTACACACACAAGCACCACAATAACGGCTGTGAAAAAAATTAAATAAAAAAATGAAAAATTTTGGCTGTGCGCGCCAAAACTGAATGCTAGGATTTATTCTAAGACTGTGAACCTAACTGTTACTAGTATTAAGTGGCATACACAACCAATTAACCGAGTTGTTGACAGTGACTTGTGAACGTTGAACCAGACACAGTTCATGAAAATTTTCAAAATAAAAAAAAAATTTCAACTAATTTCTCTCATAAAAAAATGTTTCCACGGCATTCCATGATATCGGTTTTAATGTAATCTATAGGGACGTTTAATTGCGTTGGTGTTTTTTTTTATTCCGCTGTCTTTCATGGCCTGGATAAGAAACACAATGTCCAAGTTTACCCCTTTTCAAATAGATTTTAAAACTTTATTGGATTAGCACACCTAACTCCTGAGATGATCTTCGCCACTGCTGCCCGCGGTAGACATGAACCGTTTGTGTTGCCAAGACCCCTGTCCGAGCGCTTTAAGGGGTCGTTGAATTTCTCCGCGCCGACAATCCTCAACAATTTGCTACGCGAGCTTGGGCCTGCCGCGCTCGGCAGAACCGATGTGAGGGATTGGCTTCGTACCGCGGATCTTACACAGATTGACCGTGTATGTGGCTCTCGCTATGCATAGCGGCGCTGGCGAGCGGTGTCATCGCTGTAGCCTGCCCCCATGTTGGAAAGCAGGGTCCAGGAGCTCCGAAAGGTAGACTTGGCCTCCTGAACCCCTCGTTGCCTGATGTTAAGCCCATTCGGAGCCAAATAGCCTCAGTGGCTAGGTTTTCCACCCCCTCCAGCGTATATTTTGAGCCGCCAGTTCAGAGTCTCCCCCGCACCGTGGGATTAGTGAAATATAAAACCAATGAAGGGATCTTTCCATCGTTTTGTCCTGGAGGTTGGTCAATAATACTAAGACAGCGATGGCCTCAAATGAAATCAAATGAAATTAAATGAGGCTGTGAGAAATGTACCCGCTGTGACCCAAAAAATGTAATGTAATGTAATTGTTTCGAGGTGAAAAACTAAGAAAATCCCGAAATCGACGAAAATATGTGAATAACAATACATATAAATACACAGATATTATCTGGATTAATGGTGAATAATAAATATCTATCTATCTATTTCCTAGACATCTGTAGAAATCACTTTAAATTGGTTTATTTATTGCAATTTTATTACGAAACACATAAGGTGTGTTGATACCATTTAATACTAGATTAAGTTTTGTGGTCAAATTTGAATCTCCTGTTCCGCTGTATCGTCTGGCTGCATATATGGAGTTCTGCTTCGAGATATTCGTAGACAATAAAAAAGAAGGTCAGACCATGCCACCGAAATGGCACTAGACACCTATTGGTCTATCCACTCATAGTTCCCTTCTTCACCTATGTAGTGGAGCTCTTCTTCTACGCTAGCATGCAGACCCGCGATCAGTTGAGAAAGACATTCAATTCCTGGCTAAGATACGGTCATGGTCTATGTAGATTTGATTATGTCTCTCCTTATGAGAGTTCGATACTGGATACGCCAATCTTAAGCTCGCGGCTTCATTTTACTGGCCGGCCTGGCTATCTCATGGAGCTTAAGGCTCCCGAATCGTCTATCAAGTCATCCTCTCTCTATCTCTCTATGTGCCGAGATCGAGGAATCGCAGTCATCACGATGCCCTCTTTGTTGAGGGAATTGCTCCAAGGAACGCGCTGCCGCGCGAGTGAAAAGGGGAACTGATACTCCGAAGTACCGTCACTGCTCCTCGCATATAAGTGTAATGTTTGCATAGTCAATTTTAAATTTTCTTCTCTCATTGTTATTAAGCCTGTATCCCAGAGGACAACTAATCCTATTATTGGAAATAAATTATACGTATACTTGCTTATACTCATTTGTCGCGAAAATACTAAGAAAGTTATTTATTGTAATTTAAATTCGCAAAAGACACGTTCCTCAATGTACAGGAAAACCCAATTAGAACGGTAAAATGCAATAATTGAATTGGAAAATAGTGTCTAGATACTCAATAAAATTGACAAAAGTCGTGACAATTTGCGAAATATCCCTACGACAAAGTATAATTCCTCTTTTTCGCTATATCTCGTCATTTAAGAACACAATGGTTACAATCTAAGCGATTTTGCAAGATTTAATTCCTTCCGCGATCACAGATAGTAGCTGTGAGTTAAATTCCAGCGTCAGATTTTCACAATGCTTAGGAGATTTTGGTTTCAATATTAAGGAATCTTGATTGGAACTAACACAAATGGTCTTGTAATTGAAATTTACAGAAAATAAGGAAATTTTGGAACGAGAAGTAATAAAATCAAAATTGGAACCGATTAGATTCCTAAAATTCTGATGTATAATATAGTTGCATTATAATTTTTTTTTGTTTTGAAGTCATCGTAAATGATAATTACAAGACCGTGAATCGTTGTCCAATATACGAAGTCCACACATGTTGTCAGAGATTTGTCAAAGTCTGTGACATGCATTTGTAAGCAATGGGTAATTATTTCATTTCTGGGTATTGCATGTCTTTGTTGTCAAGATGGCGTCAAGTTGGATAATTGACATGAACATTGGTGTGTAGAGAATATTTGTTTGTTGTGTCAAATTGTGTGCAGAAATTGTTTTTCCGGTGTGGCAGTGGGCTTGCAATTTTAGCATTGGTGATCGCAGAAATTCAAGGTAGTAACAAAAGAGGCTCGAGGTCAGAAGAAATCATTGCTTTCTGTTAAGTGAGGGCGCTTGCCGGTGACATAGGAAAATTTATGCTTATGGTTTTCGAGAGTTACTTAGGTTCAAAATATATAGTTTAAGAATTCTAAAGTTTTTATTTGTTCTGGTAAAATTTATGAACAGCTTGTTGATGCACTTCTGCAAGTTCTGATATCTTTTTTCATATTAGTAATGCTCTGATAGGAATTATTTTTTCTCACTTATAATTTTTTTAAAATAATTATTGAAATTCCCTGAAGTATCTAGTTGAGTATTTTTCATATAAAAACATACTAATTACTCTTCAGTGGATTTTTCAACAATATTTCAGCCATTTATATGACAAATATATTACTGAGAATTACGCAGGCGCCTTACTCATAGTAGTCACATATGTGTATGCCGGACACCTATGTACCTCATTTTATTAATGCAATGTAGAAAAGACTTCACAGGCTACTAGTAGTTTATTGGATGACATAAATCATGCTGCAATGCTGAATTAAGATTATTCTTTACTGATTGTTGCATCAATTCCCAGTCAAACACAGGCATGTTAAACTTTAAATATGTTTAATTTTAACCTTTACAGTGAATAAGGAATAAACAACCCTTGCTATTTTCTTAGTGTTTTAAAATTTTAAGCAATTCCTCATTGTGGAAGAAAAGAAAAATTGTGTAATTTGCGAAGATTATTAAAAATCAAGTAAATAATTTGTTAACCCGTGATAAAATGAATTTATTGTAAACATCATTAATGTTCATGCTTGAAAACTAAAGCTACAATGGCAGATTTATCCGTATTTGAAAGTTATTTTGCAACTTCCGATCTGTCACTCTGCTTTTAACACATTCAGTAAAACAACCTTTGGAGGTAGTGTTAAAATTACACATTTGAATGTCTGCTTTAGCAGTACAAAGTGATTTAACACATGTGGGCCAGAATAGCAAATAACACAAGTGGTGAATTTTCTTATTATTAATTTTTGCCAATCACTAAACGTGCATAATATTAAATAACAAATGACTGTTCTAAATAACTATGAAAAATTTTTTTGTGTAGCTCAGTTATAGTGAGAATTACCCAATTGATGTATACACAGCAGTGGTTAAATTCGGCCCTTAATAAAACATCACCTTCAGACTTATTTCCTTCATTCTAACCCATAATATGGCAAAAAACCCAGCAACTTGTCTTTATGTGTAGATTTAAAATAGCAAAGAATACTCAATCGATTTATGGCATAACGTTAAAAATAACTTAAATAAGTAAAAGGAAATGTCAAGGAGACCGTTGACAGTAAATAACTCAGTGAAAACAATATTTCTGTATATGTTTGGGACCATTCAAAATCCGCCAATATCCGCTAGCGAATTTCTCCTTAGCAAATATAATATAGTGGAATACTTTATCAAATATCCTGATTTAATTGTAATTTTATTGTCGTCAATCTCAGCTCATCCGTCCATTATAATTCTTTGCAGATTGTTACCAACATCCTCAGGCAATGATTACCTGGTCAACCTCAGTCAATTAAACACCTTCCAGGATCATGTCCGAGAAGAATGTAATATGTACTGAAAAGGCGGCATCGTCGCATAACATGGATGAGAAGCCCCAGGAAATATCAAAGAACAAGTATGAGTTTGTGTTTGTGCGCCCTCCGGAAGCGCCTGTATTCAGACCCACTTTGGAAGAATTCAAGGATCCATTAGCCTACATAAATAAAATACGGCTAACTGCAGAGAGATATGGCATCTGTAAAATCATTCCTCCATCATCGTGGTCTCCACCGTTTACACTGGATGTAGACAGAATGAGATTCACGCCACGAGTTCAGCGACTAAACGAGTTGGAGGCGAAAACGCGTATCAAGCTCAACTTCCTGGATCAAATAGCAAAGTTCTGGGAATTACAGGGTAGCATGTTGAAGATTCCATTAGTCGAGAGACGCGCACTCGATCTTTATTCACTGTATCGCGAAGTGCAGGCCGAGGGTGGGATTGACGTGGCGTGTCGTGAGCGAAAATGGAGCAAAATTGCTAGTAGACTGGGATATCCACAGGGTAAAAGTGTTGGCACCATCCTCAAGAGTCATTACGAGCGCATTCTCTACCCCTTTGAGTTGTACACAACAGGAAAGAGTGTGGATCTGGTAAGTCAATGCAATGCTAAACTTATATAGCGTTTGATAAACCGACGAGCATATTTCAAAATGTTAGTTTTGAATTTCATCTCTGTACTCGAAATTTATTAGGGATTAAATTAAGATAAGCTCGGTCTTTAATATGATATATTCCTTATATGTATTTTCACAAATTGTTAAAACAATTTTTCATTACACAATATAATCAATATGCTCGTCATTACGCGTTATCAGTAAAAATGAAAGATATGACAGAGTAGAATACATATACGATTTAAATTGTTATGAATTGTGATTCACGTATGTTATATATCTTCACACACCTGTGCACAGAAACTGGAACCAGACTCCGAAGATTGTGATTACAAACCACACGGGATTGTTTCGCGCCAGCAAGTAACACCGCCGCTTGAAACTACAGCACGCCGTTCAAAACGTTTCATTCAGAATACATCTACCGGTAATGGAATTGTAAAGGAGGAGGATTCACTCCCAAAGCGATACCAAATGACTCCTCGAATGCGGAGAGCGAAGCCAAAACGTGATGTGACAGTGGATCCACTGGCCAAGTACATCTGTCTGAACTGTAATCGTGGGGATGCCGAGGAAGCTATGCTGCTCTGTGATGGATGTGATGATTCTTACCACACTTTCTGTCTTATGCCACCCCTTCATGAGGTTCCCAAGGGTGATTGGCGCTGTCCCAAATGTGTCGTGGAAGAAGTAAACAAACCAATGGAAGCTTTCGGGTATGTTAAAGCATAAGTTAAAAAAAAAATTCTTAGGCACTCGCATACTATTACAAACACATCTATCCTACCAAAAATATAAAAAGGAAAGTCACAGCAGCTGCTTTACTAAAGAAAGGTTTTTCTTCTTTAAATTGTACCTCGAAATTATTTTTGACAGATTTGAGCAGGCGCAGCGCGAGTACAATCTTCATCAGTTTGGCGATATGGCGGATGCGTTTAAGAGCGATTATTTTCGAATGCCCGTAAATCGCGTGCCTGTGGATTTAGTTGAGTATGAATTCTGGAGAATTGTGTCATCAATTGATGAAGACGTGACAGTGGAATATGGTGCAGACTTGCATACAATGGATCATGGCAGTGGCTTTCCCACACGCAGTGCCCTTTATCTTCATCCGAGTGATCAGGAATACGCAGAGTCTAGCTGGAATCTCAACAACTTACCGCTGCTCGAGGACTCCATACTCGGTCACATCACAGCTGATATCAGTGGTATGAAAGTTCCGTGGATGTATGTTGGCATGTGTTTTGCCACATTCTGCTGGCATAATGAAGATCACTGGAGCTATTCGATTAATTATTTGCATTGGGGTAAGTTATCAATTAGTGCATATAATCAATACATGTACCTTTACTGCGTTTCCTTCGGAACAGCTGGCATCATTTTTATTTAATTCAGTTATTTCTAAATACACTCGAGTCCTTTACATTCTGGTGCCCTCACCGTTAGGGCCTCGAGCGGCGGCTGTCGCCAACATTCATTACTGCCACAGCGGGATTTTGCAATGAACTTGACATTAAATCAAATCAAAACGATTTTACCGCATTCCAAGGTGACCAAGGTTCCAGCTCGTCCCCTTGTACCAAGCTACGCATTAAGCTCAATATTTTTTTCTTATCCATATGTTTAAATGTACAGTAATTTGGGAACACGAGAGATATGACTGCTAAATGAAGTATTTTCACATATGTAAATATTTGTGTTTATTTAGTACCTAATTACTATTCTTTTGGTATATTAGGTGAGCCTAAGACATGGTACGGCGTACCTGGTGCTCAGGCGGAGCGCTTTGAGCAGACAATGAAGCGCGAAGCGCCAGAGTTATTCGCTAGCCAACCAGATTTGCTGCATCAACTGGTGACTATAATGAATCCAAATGAGTTAATGAATAACGGAGTATCAGTGTATCGCACTGATCAGCACTCTGGCGAGTTTGTAATCACTTTCCCTCGCGCCTACCATGCTGGATTCAATCAGGGTTACAACTTCGCTGAAGCCGTTAACTTTGCACCCGCTGACTGGCTGAAAATGGGCCGCGAGTGTATTAATCATTACTCAACTCTGCGCCGGTTTTGTGTTTTCTCTCATGATGAACTCGTGTGCAAGATGGCTCTGGAGCCTGATAATCTTAACATGGGTATTGCTACGGCTTGTTTCCTTGACATGGCTGAAATGGTGGACACAGAGAAAAAATTAAGAAAATCATTACTTGAATGGGTAAGTTATTTGCTGGTGAAATACGATAGTATTTTTTAATCCTTATTGCTGTTTATGCTGTATTCACTTAGTTTTATGTCAATTTAATTTATCCTTTAGCGAATGACTTGATTCAGAGATTGAGATCAATGCAAAATGTAAATTGAGCTCGACTATTTATTTTACTTTTTCCTTTAGATTTCGCCCATAATCATTGTAATTCATAAGTAGTGATTGATGAAACATTTTGTTTTTTTTTCAAATGCAGCTTTCTCGATAGTTTATCATTGAATATATTTGTGCACTAAAGATTTTTATATATTTATTTATAGGGTGTCACAAATGCTTTGCGTGAGCCTTTTGAGCTACTTCCCGATGACGAACGTCAGTGTGACAGCTGCAAGACCACCTGTTTCTTATCCGCTGTCCAATGCGAATGTACGGGGGCCTTAGTTTGCCTTCGCCACTATTCTGAGCTGTGCAAAAAATGTCCTCCTACAGGACATACACTCAAATATCGTTACACTTTAGACGAGCTACCGCTGATGCTGCGACGACTTAAAGCTAAAGTGGAGACTTTCGAACGTTGGGTACAGCGCGTTCGTATTGCTATGATACCTGGTGGCGCAGAAAAAATTACCATTCAGAACTTGCACGCGCTTGTGACGGAAGCTCGTGAAAAGCATTATCCACAGTCAGCCATGCTCGATTGCCTCGTGGAAAATCTTAACGAGGCGAATAAATGCGTTCGAGTGATACAGCAGCTTATGTATTATCAAGTAAGTTGGGGAGCTGAGTTTATATAAAATACATCCTTTCGTTCTAATCTTACTTCTTGTTCTTACAGGAGCGTGCTCAGATAGCTGACACACCCTACAGACTCACGCTCGACGAGTTAGACCTGTTTGATCTTGAAATTCGAAATCTTTGCTGCACAATTGGTGACACAGCCATTGTGCGTGATCTGCACAAAACAGGCATGCTTATCACACAGCGGGCACAAGAAATGCTTACCTGTCCACTTAGCGACATTGACCTTAATGATATTCGGACAACCATTGATGAAGGAACTGCAACGTGCCTTGATCTGCCCGAGGTAGAAAGATTGCGATTGCGCTACCGCCAGGTGAGTTTACATTACGTATTATGACTTTCATAACTTACCGCGTAGCATATATAGATTGATTTTTGGCATTTGTTAATTCAGCACTTAAAAACATGGATTGGTAAAAAAAGATTTAATTGCGTCAAATTTTGTGAGAAGTAAAGTATGTGGACAACAATGAATTTATTATTTTGCAATTTCAGGTTGATGTGTACGCTCGAATTTTAGCTGCTCGTGAAGGCAGTGGTGACCGCGTAAGTTGCCTAAGAGGATTGCTTGTAGAAGGCCTAGGTCTAAGTCCGGAACCGCAGTTGGAGGAGCAGCTGGTAAAGTTACAGCGCGAATTGCGTGTGGCAGAGGAATGGTTAGATGAGGTGCATGAAGTGCTAGAGGGTAGTTCTATTGTGAATATAAGCCAAGTGAGAACTCTCGTAGAGCGTTGTGATGGTCTCATGGATTCCACAATGAATGCACAGCGTCTCTATGAGGCTTATCAGCGCTACCTCAAATGGAATGAATTATACGTGGGAATGCAATCAAAGAAGGAGTATCCATACCTCAGGAGTATTGAAGAGGCCGTTGTAATGGCGTTAGACATCTCATTTCGGACTTCCGATATTCACGATCTCATCACACACTTTAAAGCAGCTCTAAAGTGGAGAAAATTCGTTAATAGGGCATTCGTGCGTAAATCTACTACTTTTACGCTTATCGATGTGTTACCGCCACGCACAAGCGCAGTAATGCCGAGCATCTTAGACGCCGATGGACGTGAGTCGACCAGCATTAAAAGTACTACTGTTATTTCAAAAATATTTGATTTTGGTTTTTCTCAGGTGACAATGACGAGCGGGAATGGGGTGTTAGCGACGAGATGACACCTGCGGAGGCAATTGAGTCATTTAAACGCGGGGAAGAGCGTGAATATTTAGATATGAAGGAACTGCGAGAGCAAAATTCAACAAAAGATCCAACGCGCGATAAATATTGCATATGTGGAGCGGAGTTCAGTGAAAAAACAATGAATAGGTGCCAGCTGTGCCTAGACTGGTTCCATTACACATGTGTGCCAGCAGCACGCACAAAGGCGTCACGTGAATGGCCTATTGACCCAAGTATGCCGTCTACTTCGGCAGCGGCTATGCGCAGTATGGGTGCTATTGAAACTGAGGTAAGGCTAAAAAAAATTCTATACAAAAATTTATAGATCAGAGTTTCTATTCAATTTTCAATTAACTTTCAAATTTACAGGTTCGCTTTCTATGTATGTCATGCCAGCGTTCACGACGACCACGACTCACATGCATATTACGTCTGCTACAGGCTCTCAAGGATATTCCTATTCGTATACCGGAAGGTGAAGCTCTGCAGTATCTCGCAAAACGGGCTATTGATTGGCAAGAACGTGCAAATAGTGTATTAGATAGTGACGAGGTAATATCCGTATTGAGACAAATATCAGCAACTGCGCCTAAAGAACCAGAGTCCGATACTAAAGATAAAAAGGGTCGGGAGATCGAGCATGCCTATTCTGTACCCACTTTAGATGCGGAGGTAAAACTTAGCGCTGATACACTACAACAACTGGATAGTTTGTTGTTTGAGGCAAATCTAATAGAAGTCACCACAGAGCAGAGTGTTCTCATATGGCGGATCCTAAAGCGAGAGAAAAAAGACTCGTATAACTCTTATTATAGTCCGGTAAGTCGATCAGTTTTATTGACTTCCACTATCGTTAGATAAGGGAAAAGATATTGTTGCCAACAATCCCGACTTTTTCATATCAAAATCTTGTAACTAAGTTTTTTATTAGTGTAAAAATGCCTTATGACTAGCAACTATATATATTATATATATATATATATATATTTTATATATATATATATATAATATTTATATATATATATATATACATACATACATATATTATATATTATATATATATATATATATATCTTTATTTATGCATACATTTAGGAATACGAAGAATGCGAATGGGGCTCTTCTGGAAGTCAAAAGCCATGGAATGCCTTGGAGCGTCCCACACGACATGGAAAACTGAAAGCAAGATTGCGGTTTACAAATGATGTAACAACGGTGGTGGCGAAACGAAAACGCACTGAAATGGCAAAGAGAAAGGCGGATAAATCTAAAGTTAAGGGGCAATCGAAGAAAACAATTTCCGATGATGACGACGAAGAGGGTGAATGCAGTGCGCCAAAGTGTATTAGACCAAATGGTTTGTATGAAGATTTTTCAATGATAATTCAGTTAACATTTCGAAATGCTTCGTAATCACCGTGACCAAGTTAGAATTATTGCTTCGAGATAAGCCTAATCAATTAAAATAGATTTCATTTGACGCAAATACAGAAAACGCTATTCATTTATGTTGCTCTATAGCACCGAAGTGTTGATCTGAATTTGACTAAATTAAAAATGAAGTTATATTAATGACTGGAGATGTATATGTTGAGTAGAAAATCGGAGGGGCTGTCTTTTTATTCCGTAGAGTTTATTTCGTTCTGTTAGTAAACTTTTGGCCAATATATCGGCAACAGGCCAGTTTTTTTTACACTGATGTACTTTTCACACTCTAGCCTGATGATAGCGATATATTCACCGAAATGTCGTTGGCAGGACGAAAAAAATGCACCTGAGTAAAAAGACTGCCGCTCCGATTTTCTACTCAACATGAATTAAATAGGATTTATTGCGAAACTTTTATTTGTACTTATAATCTTATTCTAACTTCTGATAGAGAGAAAATTTGTGGACTGGGTGCAGTGCGATGGCGGATGCGAGAAATGGTTCCATATGAAATGTGTCGGCGTGCACAAGACACAAGTGACCGACGAAGTGGACTTTTATTGTGGAAAATGTACTGAAACTACAAATACGCGCACTGAAGAAGGAAATCACGATACTGGAGATATGTTTGAAGTGCGACGTGAACTGTCATTTGCTGAGTACGTGAAGATAGACGAGGAGGAATCAACGCATCGGTCACCTTGCAGTTACGATGGTCTCTTTGGTTCCGACAGCGAGCTAACTTTCGAGGAAGAAATTAAACAACTGAAAGAACTCACAAGGAATTGTAAGAGTCGACGAAAGTTGGAGAAAAAGTAGTTAATGAAGTAATTAAAAACATAATTTAAGAGTTTATTAAACAGTGGGAGGTCACATAGAGGCAAATTATAAAGCAGTGGATTCCATATTTCGATATTAAATTTTAAAGTAATAGAGTTCATTATACTTTCCTAAAGAGAGAACCAGACATACCAATGATTGTACTCGACATAAACCTAGCGGTTGTTTTATAACTATACAGTTATTTTAATAGAAATGTAAAAACTTCGTCTACAAAAGAACTGTTAATTGAGTAAAAATTTACCACTGTCCCCTTTGTATTGTTGACGCTTTTGACTACAGTATGAATAATTAATTCAGAAAGTAGAGGTGCCGAATTTGACAGTCCAAATTTGGGTTATACACATTTATGTTCAATAAATTTAGTATATTAAAGACTAGTACCATGAGAATAACAGATCAGTTTTGGCGTATTGCGCAATAAACAATATCTCATTGGTATGGTAGATATCTGATATAATCTGAAAAAGTAGATCGAAATTACTAAATGAAGGGATAAACAACTGGCCAGTCTTTCATGACGCAGTAAGCAAAAAGAAATCGTGATACTCGCATCACTAGACTCACATTACAAAAAAAGAAAAATAATCTGCAATTCATAAATACTTAATAATCGTTTGAAATTTTTCAGTAGTCGATCAGAAATTTTTGCTAAACAAAAAGCTGAAATGCTGTCCATATTATTTCTTCCCAGGTTATTCATCATCCCTATTGTGTAACGTAATATTCATAGTTCAGTTAAGAAAGTGGCAATTCCTTATATCAAGTTTTTTGCAAATCAAATTTAAAGTATAAGTTTTATCTGATACCAAAAGAAGGAAGGAATAAATTTTTCAATCCAATATTCAAACCCAATTCAATAATTTTTTATATGAAAAATATTTTTATTTTATTTTGGCATTTAGCGAAAATATTTTGCAAATTATTTTTCAGATTCGCGGAGATTTTGAAACATATCATGTGTTCTTATTTCAATTTGAATAATACTTTAGTTTCCTAAATAGTAATCCTCATATTTACAGCTTGCCATGAACTGACGAAATTTCGCGCAAATTATGGTTGATCCAGTTGACCACTTAAATAATAATAATATTGTAATATCATTCTAAACAACGACTCTGAAAATGAGCAGCCAAAGGTACGAACCAACAGACGCCACATGTCCACGACAGAGCGACACACAGCAAAGCTAAGTGTATCCTCTCTATGCGTCTAGCCTCAAGTAATAAAATGTAGTATCAAAGCATATGAAATGCTTAAGTATGCTATAATTCTGAGGTTCTTCTAAATTTTCAACATCTAAACGAAAATCTTTCTATTGTTTTTTAAATGTTTATCTCGCACTTTGCTGTATTGATAATGTTGCGGGTAGAGTCTTGGGCTTGGGCTATTGATTGGCATAGAGATCGCCAGAAAATAAAAATTATTATAATTATTATTATTTATTGGCACACTCTATCTAACAATACAATGCAGTTTATATAGTTTATACAGTGGTAGCGGGAATGAAAAGGGCCCAGATCCGCAATGAATTAAAAGGCAGAGGGAAAAACCGCGATCTTGGTTCTCAGGGAACACGTGCCGATCGGGTATGGCAGTTCAACTTAACACAGTGTTAAGGAATTTCACTTACACTAAAAATACTTATTTCTAGATATTAATAAATTTCATTTTTGAATGAGCCTAAAGCTTTTGACCAATGGAGGGGAACTAAATGTCAATTCTTAATCTTCATTTTTCCACTTTTTCTTTTGTCATAATTAGCAAATTGTAAGAGGGATAGGCCCTAAGTTTTTGCTCATGCAATAAATTGAAATTGAAATTGAAATTAAATGGAGATTAAGGACATGCAGATGAGTCCGAAGGCAGACCAGGGAGAATCACAAAGAATTGCTTGACCTGGAAGTAGCAAAGATAGGGTTTAAGATGAAAAGTCGCAGTGGACAGCATTCGTATGGAAGAGGTTAAAAATGGCAAATTCAGCATAATACAATAAAATAATATAGAAAAGCAGATAACAAAAATATGTTGATCATGTAGTAAATTCAGGCGTATAATCGAAAACCCACCGATTGAAACCTATAGATTGATGACATGAGTTGTCATCAGAGACTAGGTCCTCATGCAAACGGAGAGAGGGTGACTCACTTGGCTTTCGGTGCTGTGAGTCAGTCTCCTCTGAGTGGTCGAAGTTCGCCTGTTGATCCGCACCTTCGGGAGCCCATTCTTAGGAATTAACCCGCACTATCGAGCTATCGCGAATTTGCTACAATCATGAAAGACAGGGGAGTAGAGACCAACAGAGTCGGCTCGACATATACAAAGAGAGGGGTGTAGGAAGCCAACCGAGCCATGGGCACAAGGCAACCGCAGACGTAGGATATAGGGAGCAAAACGTGAGTGAATGTAAGGCAGGGCCTACACTGATCAAAACATGCCAGTGATATGTGGGTTCTGGTGGAATAGACACACACCCCCAAAATCACACTCCCCGACGTTCAGGCATCACAAAGCCAGATATCTACATTCACCAAGAGGGTAGCACAAACCAATCACTCAAATATCAATTGCTTCAATTAATTGTTTAAGTTAAATTAGTTCATTTATAATCCTCGATCAGACAAATGTTCTTCGAACTAAGAATTTCTGAAAAACTGAACGGAACATGTTCCAGCCTTGAAGTTGGCGATAAATCTTTCAAATATAATAAAATTCAGAATATCTCTGCATGGAAAACTCAGTTTCGGAACCAAGATTTTTCTCGTGAATTGCAGCAATGGAATCCAAAGACTCTGTTGAGTCTTCAGGACTTAGCTTCCTTGCTTTCTGAATAAATTAACTCTTTTTTTTGGATCATCGAATTTTTCGGCAGGACTCTACAAATTGTTCGAGTGTCATTGGCAGAAAACTTATTTTATCTACATGTAGTTGAAGTGTAAAGAATCCAAACATTAGGTACTTTTATGCTGCGTCGTCCTGATGCATTACTCTCTCTCTCTCTCTATTTCTCTCTCTGTATCTATCTTTGTTATTCTATTCAAAATAATAATATAACACACAAAATAAATTATAGATGCCTCTCCACCTCCCAAATCCAATTGTACTAAATGTGAGTAGATTTATGATGACAAGTATTACCTAATTTATGTGAATAAGAATATGGTGTAACTGATAAGTAAGATGGTCGATGTGTGAGATAAAAATCACCGTAAAGTGATCTATTTTAGAAAAAAAACTGTCTTTTGGAATTTACGTACTATAAGTAAAACAGATTTTTTTAAAACATACAGATTAATCAATTTGTTTGAATTTTAACTTCTACGTTGAAATTTTCTATTTCAGGTGAACAAATATGCAATTATTTTATGTTTATTGTTCTATTCGAGCTCTTTTCAGTACAGAAAACAAAAACGTTTGTATAATTTGAGATTCGAATTTTTGTCTGACTAATTTTCAGAATTTCTATTCCATCGAACCTTATTAGAGGTCTGTTTATCTTATAATATGACAGATTTTCACTTATTTATTAATTATATCTAGTTTCCAGTAATTTCAGATGAAATTATTTTGAATATGCAATGTGGAAAGAGAATATATTCATTACACTAACATCCCTTTCTTTAGTATTTAGATTTTCTCCAGTTTAAGAGTTAATTTTTTAATGACAGGTTTGCAAGTCTGCCGTCTTCAGTGGATGCCATTGTTTATTGTCACGACAAGTGAGGGACGCAATAGTTCAGGACTACTATGAGTTCAATAGACAGACTTTCTTAGAAGCATCTTTGTTACAGCCGATATTCGTGACCACCATTTCAATGATTGCGCCAGCTTAGATCGAGTTACATAAAATTTATGATTAAATGATCAGGAGAGAGATCTATGCTGCCGACCAAAATTGAAACAACCAAAGAATGTTAAAAAGTAGCTTTCACTGACAATTCTATTCTACATAGTCCACTTAAATACGCTGCGAATGAAAATAACCTCACACGAGCAGAAGAAAGAACTGAGCACTGAAAACTAAATTACATGTGGGAGTGGCGTGAGATATTGCGCCAGCAGGTCTCACTGTACATTCCTACTTTTGCCTGCTTGCACGCGCTATCAATCTTGTAATGTTTTCCATCTTATATATTGGGACAGATGCAAAAATATAATTTCACAGAAGTTTCAACTTCAATTGGAACACTTAACAGCAGCCTTATTAATAGGCTGCTCGCATTTTTACATTTCACATTCGAAGTCTTAATATTTTTCCGCTTCTGTTGAGTTCGATCGCACTACGGCCGCTGCGCTAAAAAGGTAAATTAATACCACAGTGATGCTGGTTGTCAAGGATTGACATTGAATTTGTAAGTATAAAAAAAAATTCATACCATTACTTTGCACAAATGCATGAAAATAAACAAGTTAAAACGCTTTTTGCCATGTATTAAGTCTGTTTATTAGAGAAAAATGTATGACGCATAGCTTAACATTAAGTCGTAATTGCTTAAGTAAAATGTTTTGCTACGGAATTATTTTAAGATCTACATTGTTGGCCTTGCGCAAAATATACAAAATCATATATGTTTTTAATGGATAGCGCTCAAAAAAGGACAGGAATGCATTTATGATATGTACAAACTATTTAAGAAAATGAGTATAAAATTCTTTCAGTTCAGCCAATGGAAGGTTTTCGCATTGCATTGAAACAATATTTTAGAAAATAAAATATGGTGTTTATGCAATTATTTCATCACTGTACGTACCTATTGGCTAATATTATGACTTACTTTATACTAAAAAGGAAACTAATAATGTTGTCAAATGGAACTGGGACAGTGTATTAAAAAAATCACATTGAGATTTCAACAGAGATGCACTCATAGAAATTTCTCCAGGTCAAATTCCTACAAATAAATATACATTGGAAGATATTCCTCGTTCACTTGCTCAGATAATCTCAAACATAAATCAAATCGCGCTTATCTCAATTGCTTCTCACTCACTTTTGTACTTAACTGAGTCTCTTTCTCATTTTTGCGTTGCGAGTGTATCTCAAGATTAATACTAGATTATTGTATCCAATTGTCTTGCTTGATGTAGAATCTTTTTTTGATGTCCTACCAATGTTATTCCCATATCAGACAATTGCTGTGCTGTCAATCGTGAGATCTGTAGGATAAAAGAATATGGAACATTAGTAAATAACAAACTAAATTTAAAAACTTACAATAAGAACATTGATTTAGCTAAATTATTGATTTGTCACACACACTAAAATTACACTGAAAAAGAGTGCAGAGAATTCCAGAAAATACAGTTAATTGTTGAAGTGGAGTAAGTAATGATTTGGAATTGACCCAATTCACCCATATCTTATACCTAACAAAAGAGACAAAAGCATTACCATACTAGACAATTAATGAGTGGAAATAGGGGAAAATTCCGTCTTTTTTTCAGTAAACCACCCATTATCGGCGAAATACACCGATACATTTATCAATAACTAGTTGAAACACGGTCTTTAAATATTCTCTGGCAATAACGGAAGAATTTTTTCCTTAAATTTATATATCTAAGCCACCATTCCACACCTGTTGTGCTGTTACGAGGTTGGCCTCTCTGAAGTGCTGTGAATAACGTGACATCTTGATACTCTCCAGCCACAGATCGGTGGTAATAAAATTTTCTGGCATTCCAGGAATACTACGAACGTCCACGTCGGGTCTTTCTGGAGAGTGTCTGGAAGCTAGTAAAGCCAGAGGTTGTCTGGCCAAGCTGTCCAAAGTGGCCACAATGCTAGAAAATGTAGGTCTGTGCGTACGTTGCTTTTGCCAACAATCCAACATCAACTGATAAAGCGCTTCTGGACAGTCCATGGGTGCTGGCAGTCTGTAGCCTTTTTCTATCGATTTTATGACGTCCTGCACAAATATGTGTACATGTAGGAGAAAATATGCAAATATACAAATCATCAATGTAATAAGCTTATATCATCAATGATTACGGGTTTCGATTGCTTACGTCAGAATTTGGTACTAGTTAAATTTCATATGAATTGCAGTATTTGTTACCTGATTACTCCAGTTCCAATAAGGCCGCTCACCGTAACTCATGACCTCCCATAGTACCACTCCATATGACCACACATCACTCGTGGATGTAAATTTACGGAATGCGATAGCTTCCGGAGCGGTCCAGCGTACCGGAATTTTTCCACCCCGTGTTGTGTAGGCATCACTAGCGTTCTCAATCTCGCGCGACAGTCCAAAATCAGCGATCTTGCAGATGAGCTGGGCATTGACTAGGACATTACGTGCTGCCAAATCGCGATGAACGTAGTTCATATCAGCTAGATATGCCATGCCCGACGCAATTCCGCGGAGCATCCCAATCAGCTGCAATGTCTGGAATTTACCATCATTCGCCTAAAAAGAATATAATACAATTAGAAGATAGTATAGACACACGTATACGCTTATTCTTATTTGGGAGCTGAAATTTACTGTACCTCTCATCCGTGACCAACTTTAAATGTGGAACTTTTTTAAAATACAGTAAAACAAAAAAGGGGCGGTTGTGGCTCATTAGTCAGTTAAAGCTTTTGATTTTCAACACTACAGTCCTGTGTTCGAACGCGACTGATTACAAATGTTCGAACACAGCAGAGTGCGAATAAATAAAGCTCTTGATTGGAAAATTATAGCAGCAGAAGCGGTTGCTGTAGAATATTCCAGGTGAAGTATACACTTTAACTAGTATTGTCCTTTGCGCTCTGATCAAGAACCTCGTGGTGAAAAAAATTCGGCATTAACTCTCCGATAGGCCAATTTGTCAAATTTCATGGTGGAATTGGCTTCACGACGTATTTCCCCTTTTTTAACTCATTAAATGAGAAAATAGGCAAGTCAAAGATTTTCTATTTTATGAGACAAGCCGATTTGAATTAAAATTGTGTCACACATTCGTTCAATGTATTGTAAAAAGAAAGACTAAATAATTATTAGTTTGCGTTATGGGATCACGAAAATGTGGTCAAGATTAGGAGTTGGATATATCTTTTGAACTGTTGTCTTGGCTACGATGAGGGAAATAAAGCAAAAAGTGGGATTACATAATGAAAAAAAAGTAGCTCTTGTGTACATACCCTGAGGAATGTGTCAAGGCTTCCATTCTCCATATACTCAGTGATAATCATGACAGGATTGGATCTAGTCACTACGCCTTGCAGATAAATTACATTGGGGTGATCGAACTGACCCATAATCGAGGCTTCAGTGAGAAAGTCGCAGCGCGCCTTTTCAGTGCTTCCTGGCTTCAGTGTTTTAATAGCCACATCGATGTCTTGCACAAAATTTGGTGGTACTTTAAGTCTTCCTCTACATACGTCACCAAATTCACCACCACCAATGATCGCCTCGATTGTTATATTACCCGCATCAATTTCACGTGCGAACTCGCGAATCGCTTGATTGGGGTCCTCATATGTGTGGGGATCCACGTAGCTACGATTCGCACCGAACAAAGGCGTTGTCACTGTTTAGACAAAAGAGTAAGAGCTCATTTTAATCACTGCAATGCACACTGGAAAAATTCGGCGACATTTGTAACAAGAGCATGAAACTTAATTACCATTGCTTTGAACAGTCTTCACAATAGGTGTGGTGTCCATGGCGTTAACTACAAAAAGGAAAACATAGAAACAAAAACACAAGAACATAAAAACAAAACACTTGAAGAGAGAAGACATGTACATAGATACATATATAAAAGGAAAATTATATAATAAATATGGCAAAGTAACTACAAATGGAAAACAAATGCAGAAAGCGCCAATATCTGCGAAAAATCATTATCACTTACTATATGTCACTACAAGTCCTTTATAGAATGCAAGAGACAAATGATTTAAGAAATAATATGTAAGTTATAGCTACGAGGGAAAGTTAAAATCACACACAATACTATCAGTGTAACCTACCTTCATTACTAGCGTAGTCTAACTGTAATGGCAGGTGATTATTTGTCTTTTTGTCCAGATCATCGTGGTTCTTGGATCGCAGGAAGAGTACTGTTGCCACAATTACTGTAAATAAATATTACAGTCTACTTTAGCATTGTATTGAAAATTAAAATAGGCAAAACAGTATGTTAGTTGTAAACTGCAAAACGATAAAAAAGATATGCATGTTGTATATAATTCTGATCGCTTCGCTTCTGTTCAGTAGTCGTGCATGAGTTGTGTGAAATAATAATAATTATAATAATATGGTTAAACTACTCACAGAGAACGAGGATGAAAACAACCGCCACTCCAACACCAGCGATGATTCTCACCTGCACAGAATCATCGTAAACAGGAGAGACACTTTGATGGGTTTGGGCGTAAACAATATTTGAGAATGTGCCCCAACCATTGACAGTCTTGCATCGAACCTAAAAACGAATGAAATGTATATATATTTACACTATTTCATTAGTTTATACCATAATGGCTTACTGACCTGAAATCCATACTCGGTATTCTCAGATAGATTGTCAAGATAAGCACGTGGCTCCTTAGTATTGAGTGTTGTCTTATTCACGGAATCTACCTCGGATTTTGGAAACCATCGAACCTCGTAAAATTCAATGGGAATTTGCATACCATTTGCTTCACTCGACATTGGCCGGTCCCATGTTAGTTCAACATCTTTACTGCTAATTGAGGTGACCCGTACATTGAAAATGGCGCTGAGTGTTGCTGATTCAGTGGTAAAAGTGATCTCTGCAAAATCCGTTACCAGCTGGCTCTCGTCAGCCAGTAACGCAGAAATGGCCACATTGCGTTTCTCCTCACTTATTGTAACATTCACATCATCCTCTGGCAACAACGACAAGGCTTGACCATTCAGGCTATGAATTTGGATTGTATAAGTGGTTACTGGTTCAAGATTGTTCAGTGTTAGCTTCGTATCATTGAAGGTCTCGGTAGAGGGCGTGAATACAACATTCGAATTGCATATGGGACATTTCACTTTGAAAATTACTTCACTTCTGCAAAAAAAAAAGAAAGAAAACAATTGAAATGTGGATAAGGACACGCTTCGCGTGTACTTGTGGTATCTAGCTAGGATTTGCAATTGGTTCAAATCCAATTGATTTTGCGCGGTTCGATTTTATGCGCGATTACACAGATATTAGCTGCGCTGTAAATTCCAGCTAGATTAAAAACAATTGGTACCGTGAAAGAATGAATGATAATTCACTTTATCTTACTTGTATGCAATGTTTGCTGCATCTGGAGGCCTCTGGGGTGCATTCCAAGCAAAAATTGCACTTGTCTGGTCTAGGAATAGTAGAGTGAGGTTAGTTGGAGGGCCTGGTGGTCGGTAGCACGGCATATGCTTTGCATCACGTTGATGACGATAGAAACCTGACAAACATGGACAAAAGGCGCTGCCCAACACAGGTGTGCGTGAATTTGGTGGACATACAGTACATTTCGTTACTTCAGCAGACCGAAAAGTACCAGCTGAACAGACATTGCAAACCTGAAATCACAGTTTAGGGTTAAATAAATTTTTAGCTTGTTGGAATGGTGACAATTGAACATAAGTAAATCGTTTCCGTTTAACAGGAAGCATCAAGTATGACATTTACTGTAAATTTACTGATATTCTTTGACAAACAGAGAAATGATTGCATCTCAGAATTGAACCACAATTGTATTTGTCACACTGACGAGTTAAATTATAAAAATATTTAGAACTGGGACCCCATCCCAGATCTAAATTCGCCTCTAAAATTCTGCATAGTGCAGGAGAATAAAAAGAAAGATCAACGTGATGTTTAGCTCACGGGTATGAGCTGGGTTTTGCCTCAAATTGAGCTGACTCAGTCTCAGTCAGGTAGTCAACATTTTTTTGTCCTGATTTGAAATTAGATTTATTGATGTTTCGCACGCATGATGCTTCATTTATAGAATTGCAAATTGCACAAAACAATGCAATGTAATTTTCAACATCATCATACCTGACGCTCGTAGTCAGGCTCGTATCCCACACGACAACGACATCCGCCGGTCAGAATGGTCCATTTTCCATCGCCCTTGCAGAGGTATGTGGGTGGCTCCGTAGTTTCGGCATTAGCTACGCATGAGCCCATTTGTTGTTCAATGATAGTCACCTCCCGGCCAGTGGGAGTTTCATTGAAATGGGCAAAGTTGATTGTCACAGTTGGACATGTGATGTAGTAGACTTTCACGGCTAGGATACTGATACAAGCGCCCTGATCTCGAAACGCGAAGTACACTCCCTTTTTTGTCACGGCAATACTTTTGACTTCAGTGTTAATGTCCACATCGGCATTCTGGTTAAACCGACCTTCGCCGGCGGCAATACGAGCTATCAGCTTGTAGCTCTCCGGTTGCCATGGTGGTGGCTCACGCGTTGCAGCGTCAAATTCATAGAATAGAAGACTGAAAGTCTCTTTACAACTGAGCGTGTTACCCGGAAAGAGACTGCAGTCTCGAATAGTAAATTGGATCTCGATATAGAGTCTATTAGCGGCTCCGCGATCGATGAAAGGCGACCAAAGCCAGTTATTTACATTGTGATAGGCCACATCACACACAACGTAACTGCGCCAGTTTATACCCTTGCCAAAGTTGGTGAAGGACTCTTCTACCCACTGCAAAAAGAAACTTTCATAAAAACTCTCGAAATTTTTTTAACCATATAGTATAAGGATAGAGCTATTATCTAATGCGCTTTGCACACATAGGCTAATGCAAGAGGAACCTTAGTCTGTTCATAGCCTCATCCAGTTCTGTATACAATAGGAGCTTATAATTTCAGGTATAAACAACACTGATATGTTTTCACACTGGGATTTCCATTTAGAGTTCAGTTTCCGCTCCTCTTCTGTACGTGACTATGAATTGGCTATGTTTCCTCTCGTAATAGCCTACTTGTGTGCAAAACATTTAACACTATTGTTTATTTCACATGTTTCTTTGATTTTATTATATTATAATTACATATTTAGAGATGCTTATCGGTTTCTACACTTCTCTCTCATTATATGGCAAAAAATTGTGTAAAAGCCGCTTAGGTACTCACACCAGGCGTCTGAGACTGAGGCCCGTATGGGTATCGTGTCCACTCCAGTGTGGCTTCTTTCGTAGTGTCTAGAAGCACTACCTGATCCGCCCGGACGGCGGCCAGTAGCACCACCGCAACAAAGAGGGTGGCCATCATTGGCGCCGTCCACTTGGCACTGTGGAATCTCTGTGAGAGACACTCTTATGAACTAGTACAGTATCCGCGAGAACCATAGCACGCGGAGCATGAGAAACACTATTTTAGAGACATTCTCAGATTATACACGCACTTTTTTACTACAGAGAACTGTCATGCGCAAAGGATTGACATTCCCAACTGACCATGCATGCCCTGGAATCACACGGTCCTTCGCGTCGTATTCTCATACGAATTCATATTTGATTCGTCCTATACAACATCCAACGCGCGATAAATTGAAGACGATTCGTACAAAATGTCGTACGATACAATGAGGAATGCAACACAGACGGATCATTCCCCCTGGCGCCGAATGTTGCCTCCACTAAAATTTGCCTTCTTTTTGCTTTAATACCTCTCTCTCACTCTCTCTTTCTCTCTTCGATTATGTTGTTCTTTAAAGGCAAATTCTTGTTCCCGGACCCCAGATTCCGTGGGTAAATCGCAACATTCTACTATTTATCAAATGCCGCAAATATACTTACAAAATATGAAAGCGTAGAGGCTCTCAACAAGGTGTGCTGTTTTATTAAGTCTGCTAAGAAATATAAATTTCCACGACACCCTGCCCTCCAGGAAGCTCTGCGGAAATATTAACAGGCTTGGGCTTTGTACATCGGTGTGTGAATCCGTTAATATTTTCTTTCTACGGACGAACAGCTTTTTTTCTAACATAATCTTATGTTAGAATGTATCTTAATCTTATGTAATCTTAACATAATCTTATTCTTATAACATAAGACGTTCATTTACACGTTAGTACAAATAAAGTGGAAAAACGATGGATATTGTATGACGCGTAGTTCCAGAGATTTCTTACTGGGGAAAAACCCTATAACACAGTGTCTTTCATCCCTAGAACCGCACGATCAGTCACATATTATTTTATGAGTTTACATATGATATGTCACACACAACATTTGTTACACATGTAACAAATTGAACTTTATTCATACAAAATCTCATACGATACCATGTGGGGATATTTCAGACATGATATCATGTTTTTTCGTGAGATAAATCGAAAAAATTTTCCATGTCGCCATTGTACATATTTGGTGCTACAGCTGTTAGAGTGAATTGAAACATCCAGAAAAGTTGAAAATATTCCAGAAAATGTATGTAAATTTTTATTATTTTATCAGGAAACCATTCGAAGTGTTCTTACATAGTGTGTCGAATGGAAATTACAACGAGATGCATTATAATTTAATGTAAATTCAGACGAATGATTTTGTGGCTAAAAGCCAGTGTTTTCCGTGGAATTTTTGGAGTTTTTTGTCGAGTTGCGCTGCAAATTTACGTGCAAAAGATCTGCGCAACTCGATCAGATCAGATAGAGGAAGCTTCTGAGATAACCCGATGTGTGTACTTCGGGAGGAAACTTCCTCTTTCTCTTGGAAGTGTATTTGTGGCCAACTCATTATCTGTGGTGTCCGGGAGTGTCCTCTGTTAATTATTTCTCACTGAGGGCTTTTGACTATTGTTCAGCATAAGTGTCGATGTTCATGAATAATTTTTCAATTCTCGAAACCCAATTAAACTGGCCAAATTTGTGATAGTACTTTGTCTTTTCAGTGCCTCCTGAGGACACCAGAGCATAGAAATGCCGGCAACAGACTCCTGGACATCGGCAAGGCGCAGGCAATGCATAGAGATCCGAAGTGCGAGGCGAAGGAGCTAAGAATGCGACCTCTGGATGATCATCTCGACCACACGGCGACAGAAGGAAAAATGTACATTTTTTTTTTAATAAAATTTGGAAGCGTACTTTTTTGTTTTTATTACCGCTAACGTGTGAAAATCACACGTTAGCGATGTATCACATAAAGCTTCATATGAGGTCCTCTTCAGAATGTAGTGCTCATTAGGTACTTTCATTTACACTGGGCCGTATGATAAGTGTCTTATGTTGTCTCATGTGCACGTTGGATTCACATAGTTTTTCGTATGTTTTTGTCCTTCTCGTGTTCTGACAAACACGTATTTGGATGTCATAGGACTCGCGGTTTCAGGGACGTGGTTTACATATGTCAAATTCATATAAAATACACAAACGCCAAAAGAGCTATGAGGCAAAAAAGAATATCGTTAGATTATGTATGAAGACAAATATTACAATGTGCAGGAGAGGAGGTATTTTGAGCTACTCTGGTCTGTTTTACCCTATTTCAATTTACTCATGGAAAATCTCTCTTAGACTCAATGTATCATCTATTGCTGCGTTCAGTATAAACTTCTCCAACCTGGCCAGTCACCACTTCCAGATCTGTCCGATCGTAATCTTATCTTTGTTAGACACAGCGTTTGCGTTCTGAAGCCCAAGAATGTACATATATGTTGAAATATCATGATAGTTAGAGTCAGTAATTAATACTCGATATTCTGAATAAAATTTAGTGCCAAGGAGTTGTGAAATACATGAAATCGTACTTAACCGTGCTTTTAATATTTGTACTTTATAATTGATTTCAGCAATAATCGGACTATTTAAATGAAGAAAACACAAAAATATATACAGCGTATAGGGAGATTCTCGATTTTTTTTTCCTTATTGCAAACAGTGTTGGTCAAACAGCTTCCTAGTAAGCTAGTACCACACTCTAAATTCTTATTATCGTGCCCTCCTGAACAAAAATCCCTCCTTGTAATCTCCCTTTGGGACATCAATATACATCCAGTGATAGGGCTTTTCCATCGTTTTGCCCTTGAGGATGGTAAGCAACGCTAAGACGGCGATGGACGCATGGGGGGTGGGGTCGATAATAATTGAATAAACTAAAACTAAACTAAAACTAATTTACAAGTACGGAATGGTAAATTTTTTATTCTCTTAATTTATTTCCGTACAACATTTCGGAGGCTTGTTCGTACAGTACATTCTGTATTAACTATTGCCTGTTTTGATATGGAGTGTGCGTGCTACTCGAAGCGATCAATGTATAATTGGAGTAGTTATCAGTTCTGCTGACTTTATATGCTAGGGTTTGTTATAAGAAAAGAGGAAAGAAGACGCGGCCCAGAGTGTCAACAGTGCTGACCGGGCAAACATATGAACTTCCTCACTCAGTGTTGGCAGTGCCATGGGTCAGCGCTTTAGACCGCACGACCATCGAGTCCCCCTCTTAGGGTATGAATAACTTTTGGATTACTGCAGTCATCGTCAACACCCATTATTAGAATTGTATTACTTGGAGGTTGGTCTTTAACAATCTCTGAGGGCTCTTGCTTGTCAAGCAAGGGAGCAGTCTTCGTCACTGGTCGACTGTGTATCCCAATCATGGTCCTGATGTCTGAACTCTGGTTCTCGAAATACGACAATTTTACCATAATCCCTTTGCAAGAATACTTACCTGTTCATAAGGTTTCAGACATGTTCTACGAAGCATGTTTCAACTCTCGTTCAAAATTCATGAATATTTGAATCATTGATGTTTGATACCTTATTTCCGAGTTGCATTTTGAATCCATTGGAGTATCATCCCATTGATTTAAGGTATCATGTTTAATTACCGACATTTATCGATGCGAATTGCATACAATTCCATTCGTTTAAAACAATATTAAATTTATGTAAAAAGGAAATTGCCTGCTAATCGTATCGATCAATGACGATAACTTCAACGCAAAAAATACAAGTGTTATAACTGTTGGAAAATCTAAATATTATTACAAGAGGAGAAAAAATAGGAATTAGTACCATAGCATCATTTACAATAGCATTCATCACAATAATATTTTCTATCATCATTTTATCGAGAATTTTACTTAACAAGAAATTTATGATCTATTCTTAAGGGTCTGAAGGAAGGTGATTGTTCGGATAAAATAGAAGAAAAAAAATTACATATTTTTTGCTCAATGGTTGTGTATTAATCCTCTTAAAGCGCAGGGAACAACATATGATGATTCATAGGATGAAAGGGCAATGAATAGAAAGGTGGGCAGAATTTGTGAACGTTGTGCCTCGATTATCCCCAAATTAAAACAACAAAATAACGTTTGCGTTGACAAAAAATCCGGATGTTGATTTTATGACAGAAGTTGGGACTTTTGCAGACTCGACAAGTTACAAATCTGGTAATACACATACAAAAAAAAGTTGTTTTCAAATATAATCAATATATATATATATATATATGTATATATGTTGCATATAAAGTATAGAGAATGTCGATATAGAAAATATAATAGTACTAGCATATAAAATGGAACTGTATGTTACGGACAAAAATATGAATTTATCTCTTCTGTAGCTGATACAATTCTTAACAAACAAACTTAAATTTTCTAGACACGCAGATTAGCATTTTAAACAACGGGGGAAAATAAATAATATATGGAAAGGGTAAAAACAAATCCCAATTGACAATGTTCGACTACACTGAGACTCTGACTTGCTCACAACGTCGATAAGACTTGTCAAAACTACTAGTCATCACAACCAGTCAATTTGGAGGTAAACGACAATACCACGACTAATCCTCTTCACTTTGAAATGCTGAGTCGAAACGGAGTCACGGCGTGAGCGCCGTGACTGGGCAATGTAAACCATCAGTCCGTCCACCGCCCAAATGAATAAATTAGCATCCGGTAAAAGGCCAACTCCTACTTTGTTTTCGTATAATACGATGGTCAAGGTTGAACTAAAAAAAAACTAAGAAAAATATGAAATAATTTTACGGAATCTTCCGAACAAAATGTTGAAAAAGAATGCTAAATATTCATAAAATCGGACAAACTATTGGTCAGTAGTATATTGCTAGATGCGCGCTAGAAGCAAGTGTGAAAAGGAAATTATGATCGACTCGCAACTGACAATCGTAAAGATTAGTCATTTTGGAGTCTCTAGGTTGCCTAGGTTGGATTCGAGAAATCATATGTTTGACATAAAATTCTCCAGTACTCTCTAATGACTTCTTTCCACACTACCGTGGTCTTTTATGATGGAGATATCAGAGAGTTGTCGACGCTTAAATTGTCAATTGGGATCACTATGCTGTCGTACTTCAATGTAAACCGCCATGCCTCCTCTGCTATCACGGTTCACTGGACTGCTGCTGTGGCGCCAGTGTTGAGGATCATCATATTCTTTATACTCGCCACTTCGTTTTCCAATCGTGCTAGTTGTGATTTGAGGTGGCAGTTCTCTTCTTCTTTATCCAGGATTCCCACTACACCAACAGCCAATGTTGTTGTAGGTCCTGTACCACGCCGCAACCATGCTTCGCCAGATGCACTTACGCTAATTCCGGAGTCGCGCTCATCGCTACTTCCTTCACCTGAAATATTTCATTACAGCACTCAATATGCATGCGTAGGCCTAGACACGTTTTTCAATTATTCAGAATACACAGATCCAGTTTCGCTACTCACCGTCGGCCCATGGTGAAGACGCACGAAGAGGCTCCTGCTTGATGTGGTGGAGCGCTAACAGAGCACTGGCAGCAGCATCCTTGTCCCCTAAATGGCTCTTATGTCTCAATTTTAACGGCAGGTTGACATCTGTCACGGCAATAGCGGGCACCTCGCAGCAATGATCATCGTCTCCACTAGCCGTACCACTTGCGCAGCTCCCGGAAGAGGCGTCGTAGGGTGAGGCGGCACGCCGTGACAGATTAAGAGCATCTTCTGGTTTGGGTAAGTTTGGTACCGGCAGGGGGGCTGGATAAGACTGATAGTGTAGTGGCGGGTGCAGATCCTCACGCTGTGGACTCGGAGGTAAGAGGGCGGGATGAAGGGATGGTGGGTGATGAGCGAATAAAGACGGGGGATGAAGTTCCACCGGCGGTGATTCTGTGATGTTTGTGCCAATATTGCGCACAGGACTCCCAGCATACATTTTGGCGCGCTTCGTAATAGTCAGCACTTGCTCCGCATTTGGCAACGTCGCCATTATTTGATCGACACTCACCTGCAAAAACTCACAATTTTTAGTAAATGAATCATACATATTCATATAAATAATAAATAAATATTATTGTTATTATATACCATTTCTAACTGTTGCAAAATTCCAACTGAAGTACATAATAATTTCGTACATCAGTTGGAATTTTTACTTTTATTCTGAGAGAATTAACATAAACATAATTCTCAGAAACACCCAGCAAACATATTGGCCTCTGAACTTAACCGTGTCTTTCAACTCTTTCTCAATTAATCGATTATTAATTATTGCTCATATGCACAGGCTTTTATGAGCATAGATTGCAGCCAGGCGGTGAAAAAAAACAACTCTTTCTCAGGTTATACAAGCCATACTTTCCTAGGTCATGAAGAAGAAGAGCAAAGGGCGAAAAACTAGTTTATAAGCCAGAAAGATTTGGATTAACCGCCACTTGATATCTCTAGGAAGTTCATTCCAGAAAATCACCTCGTCAACAAAAAGATCGGGGGCCAGGGTAAGGGCCGACGGGGTAGGCACGCCGGTGCTGCAACCGTACGGTAACCTGCCAAGTTCTCATGGTGCCTCCACGCGACGGCCCCCGGGTAATGCAAAAGTCATGAGCGCTCCGCCCCACATAGGGTGGGTTTGGCGGCCGGCTAACAACCGCCCCTGTAAAAACCCATTGTTACGAACATCGAAATAATGCCTCGAACAGGACGGGATTCACGGCAACGACCACGGCGAAGAATAAAGGACTTACAATTTAGCGAAAACGAAGTACATGGTCACCGGCGACGGAGCATCCAGATTCAGGCAGAGTCTCACCATGGACGATTGAAACTCCCAAGTAGTACACGACTTCAAGTACTTTGGTTCGAATATGACGTCTGGCAACGAAGTCCGAAGTGAGGTCGATGAGAAGCTAGCGACGGAAAGTAGATGCTACTTCGCACTCATGTCAGTGTTCCGGTTCAGAAACGTCTCATAGTCAACAAAGGTCAAAATCTACAGAACCATCGTGGAAGCAGCACCACTGAACCGTACGGAGGAGAGAAAGCTGCAGACTTTTGAGAGACGGATTCTGAGAAGGATATATGGGCCGACCCAAGATGCGACTTCGGGGGAATTCCGTATCCGGATGAACCACGAACTGGAGGAGCTCTATGGGACCGGACATTGCCGGACATTGCCGGACATTGCCGCCTCTATTCGGGCAAGAAGTCTGGGATGGCTTGAGCATTTGCACCGCATGCCAGACGACGGAATGCCCACGAAACTGTGGTATCTTGCCCCCTTTTCGGGGCCTAGGAGAAGAGGCCGGCCCCGAAAAAGGTGGACGGACGTGGTGGACGACGTCCTCAGGGCCCTGGGTGTGGTGCATTGCTGACGGGCGGTGGCGGCGGATTGCGAAGAGTGGAGAGGCATTGTGGAGAAAGCCATGGCCCTTAAAGGGACGTAGGGCCACTTAAGTAAGTAGTAAGTAACAAAAAGTTAGTTTCGGAGGATGCGGCTCCGCGATCTCGACACAACGAGACTCGAAGACCTGACAGACCAGCCAGGCGCGAGTAGTTCAGCCAAATAATGAGACTGATGCAAGCGAATGTAATGAAGTAGTTTATAGGTCAATGTATTCGTTGGATAGTTTTTTGAAAAATATATATTTTGAATAAAATTTAAAAGAGACATAATTATTTTTAGTTCAAAACTTACCAAAGTTTCTCCATTGATATTATATTTTTCTTTAATGGCCTCCAATTGTGCCTTGAGCACGTGGTTTTCTTTAGTAAGCTCCACAACACGTTGTTCTAGCACCATATCGTTGAAACGCCGTTTCTCACGCGACCTCTTAGCTGCCTCGTTATTTCGGCGACGACGATCCCAGTAGCTATCGTCTTTTTTATTATCCGGAATGAATTCCCGCTGTTTCCGTTGTGTGAATAATTCTTTTCGCTTCACACTCAATTCATAGGACCCATCATGGACGTAGGCTTCTGGAGAATGTGGTGATAAAGGAGATACGTGCTCAGGGCCGTACATTTCTGGTTGCCCCATGGGACCTACATGATGGATCTCCCCTGCAGGCGAGCAACTCTGTTGCCTCCCCACGAAATCAGCCACCATCATGCGCTGCCGCAATACACCTGCCGTAAGTAAATAGAGTAATTTAATTAAATTTCTTTCCCACTGCGGTAACATATGTAAGCAAAGGCAGAATCACAATTAGATCTTGGTTAATGGGTTTATCACTAATCTAAGTGGCTCCTAAATGCGCCCTTATTCTATTATGTTTTTCCTTTTTTTTAAATTAAGAAACAAATGTGGAAAGACATACTTTTCGATTATTGATTACTGAATCCTGAGATTTTTTGCAATATTTACTTGACTACAGTGCGGTAGTAACAAATGCAAAAAATTTGTGAATCAGTTATTATGGGACCATTCTCAATACTTTGTCAAATTGTCATTGATTATGTTTCCGAATCCAACTCGTCTTTATCGAGACGGCTCAAAGTTCGTCTTTGAATTTGAAAGCTACCGAGATTCAAGCGTAGAAAGTTAAATTAATATGGCTGCATGAGTAATTATGTTACAGACTAGTGGCGTATGTAACCCACTAAAGGACGTCAAGACACGTCTTTTCGGTGCGATGGTTGTCTCAAATTATGGTTTTTTTTCACCCTACCCTCTGGCCTTTACAATGAGTATTCAAATTATGGTATTCGAGTAGAAGATGGTACTTGGTGCGGTATTCGAGCAACACATCACTAGTTTATCCCGTCAATCATTTTACGCCACAAACTCAAAGCAGGGCAAATTTAGACAGTTTGGAGGCTAAGATGAAAACGCAATACTAATCAAAACCGACATTATGTCAAAGCTAACAGACGTGAATTCTGTATTGCAGTAAATTTATGTTTAAAGAGTGAGTTTTCTCGTTTTCCTAATTATGGTAAAAAAACCAAAAAGTCAATTGAAGGTGGAACATAATAACATATCATCTGAAAACCTGAGCTATAATTATGTAATTAAGTTGCTAGTTAGTGTCCGGTAAATTTTTAGGGTTATTTAGCTGAAAGAGCCACATTGTATATGTGACGGAATATCACTGGTTTATTGTTTCACGCATATAATGTTCTGATAAATGTTTTTTTTGTGCAGTATTAGGAAATTAAGCACTGGGCATTCCGTGTCCTTTCCCGGATTAATACTAATTGTGAAGTCTCAGTAAATTGTGTATAGATTTTTGCCATTATATTTCCCCTTGAGTTCATCAAAATTAACCAGCAAACAATTAACTGGTATTTCTGTGACGATATAAAATTTTTTCCGGCATATGCACATAGTGCTAATAGTCTATGCATGACAAATATTATAAAAAAGTCTTATTGAGAATAAAATGCAGTCGTGGTAAATGTTCGATGAGGTATTTTGAAATAATATGTAGGTCAATGGTATAGGCCATTTAGAACTATAGAATTGTTTAGATTGAACTCCAGTATTTTGGTACAATAGTTAATAAAATAGAATAGAATATTTATTTCCACGCTCATAACACAAACTTTTGTGAGCAAAGACTGCGTCCACCGACGTCTGAGTGCTAATGACTCCAGAGAATCACCCCGTCAACAAAAAACTAATTTCGGAGGATGCGGCTCCGCGATCCCGGCACAACGAGACCCAAAGACCTGACAGACCAGCCAGACGCGGGTAGTTCAGACAAATAATGAGGCTGATGTAAACGTTCAGGTACCGAATCAAAGACGCCAATATCAGGTTCTGGTCATGGTAAGTCGTTAAATAAAAAATATTTTAAGACACTTTCTTGACTAGATTGAGTGAAATAAAGTTTCCGCAACAAATCATTTATCTATTTGTAATAAAAATACGTTAAAAGCATTCATTTTATATTTTGCTGAGTAATAATAAGTCAATTTAAAATATGTTACATGAAAATCATTTTGGTGACCGTGAGTAAAAATGTATACATTGAAAATTGCGAAAAATAGTGCAACTCCGTAAAGTGTAAATTCATTGTATAATTTTGGAGGGGATATGATGTCCTATTTATCCCGCTTTCGTGAGAGAGTATTGAAAGATAATACAAATAAAAGACGTTGCTAAGTGAGACCTGCTTTGGACTACTTTTTCCATCTCGAAAGCATCATTAAATAATCGCCTTATTGTGCTTTCACTTGAGACTAGTTTCTCTTCACGTTCAAGAGCACACTCGCGACTCTTTTGCAATTTTCTTGTAACTCGGCATTCGCGCCATAATGATCGCAACGATGTTGAGAGCAGTGTCACTTTTAGCACGATGCACATTGTGTCATCGTGACTTTCTCGTTAAGGGAAAACTTAACAAAGTGTCACATGTGAAACATGATCCGATAAACACGGAAGGTGGAGAAATGGGTCACTTTCTCCGTATAGCTCTCTCGAGGTAAGCGCGCACATATGGGCCATCCTACGCGAGAGGAAACTTTCTCTCCGGTGAGAGGATGACATAGATGTTACCTCAGACGCATTACTTAACGCTTACACGTTCGTGTGCTCTGAGAAGCAGATATTAGAAAATTATGTGTAATTTAAAATATCACGTATATCATAAAAATATCATTAAAGTATTGGGACAATTAGAAAGTGCACAATACACAAATATAAAAATTATTGCCATTGCTTAACTTTGATTAAGTGTATGGTAATTTTGTTTAAATTTATATGATGCGCAAACAATAAATAATATTTGTAAAAGACAAAACACACACACACATATATATATATATATATATATGTGTGTGTGTGTGTGTGTGTTTGTGTGTGTGTGTATGGGTTTATTTATAAGCAAAAATTATATGCGATTCATTAAAAATTTTTTTTTTTAATTTGTCATTTCAAACACAATTTTGGGGTTAAAAATTCAAATTCAAAATCCGTTAAAGTACATGATATGCGTGTACTAATGGGGGAACTGTGATTTAATTTAGCTTGTTTCTGTGGTAATTTGTAATAAAATTCAAAATGTGTTAAAAACCTAACTCCATTTTGGAAATCATTCAAAGTTAAGTAGTTGCGGAGATTTACAATACCTTCCAAACAAGCCAAACATAGTTAAGACTGAACAAATGCAAAGTAAGATTTCTTAAGGTTTCGAGAAAATTTTTGATCTTTTTTAAAATTTCCGATTTTGAAATTTAAGATATCACTCTTTTACAGTGGAGATCGTATCGATTTATGTTATCACCATGGGTTTAGAAAGATTATTTTAGAAATTACAAAACGGTTCCTAACAGTGTATAGGAATCGGAGTTTGAGTCGTATTAATTTCAAAGTTTGAAATCACATGAGATTTTTGCACTTCTTTAAAAAATAAACATATCTTTTAAAGATGTTTAAATCTTAAGATGACTTCCACAACAAACTCATGTATATTAGTGTTTTTTTTTATTCAGGTTGCTTTTATATATTAAATAAAATCACATATGTTATTCTGTCACAATTCTTTCATTCATTTACTCCATATAATAATATTTGGTTAGTTAGAATATAGTATTTGATTCTAGATTTTAGAAATAAATTTTTGAAATCAGAAAGATTTCATATTTTTCGGAAAGGTCTCTGTATTTCCACCACAATAACAATATTTAGTTTACCAACGCTAGAGACGGTAAATCCTAAGAATGTTTTTCGAAACTTTGAAGCCAATTTTGATTATTTCTTCACCAAACGTTGTGTTGCGACGCCTTTTAGTATCCCTTAATATTCACCAATATCTTAAAAATATTCACAGCAATTATTTATTTTGAATGCCTATAGATCTTGGTAAATTGGTAATAAAATTTTAACATTTCGTGCTCAAGGTAAAGTTCATCTGATTCACGCTTGACGCACTACTTCTTAATAGTTAAAAAAAACTAAATTCAAAAATTTGGTTCTAAAGTCAAGCGATTCTGATGTCATCATTGGACATTCTAATTTGAGTCATATTTTTAAAGTATTTAACTCTTCCATCAAAAATACAATACTAAATCTAGGACGCTCAATTTTTTAATAAAAGATACTAAACTGTAGTAAAGCTCTGTACTCCGTGCAGAGAATGAAGGCAAAAACATTGGGTGACTGTAGTGAATCATGGAGAGCAATCCTCCGAAACATTGTATAAACTGCAATAGACTGAATAAGAAAATTGACAATTTCTAATACATTTTTTTTTTCAAATTTGTAAAACTGTTTTCAATGGAAAAGTAAAAACTTCATTACGAATTTACAAAAGAATTCTTTTGCGATAGTGAATAGTACAAACTGTTACAGTTGATAATATTTTTTGAGAGCACACCGAATATTGTGTCGACGATAACTTGCTTGCAAATGAAATTATTCTTAGTTTTTATAAAGAAAAAAAAACTTTATATTTTTACATAAATAATGCTAAAAGAAATGTATAAAAGAGCAACAAAAAAAAGAATTTTTTCAAAAATTCTTGGTACATCTATGCTGCGATAACGATAGACACCTTCGGCTATGTCATTGGACTTCGTTTCACTCTCTTTGTCCTGTAAATGGCGCGTCTGTCTTTGTTAGCTGAGTTGAGTCAGCGCATGAGAAGATGAACTTCTATTTGTCGTGTTTGTGCGACAAAATATTGCACAATTCGACGCAATTCCTCGCGAGACAAAGAGCGGGACGGATCAGTGACATGTGGCAAGGCCGCACAGGGTGTGTCAGTGCACCCTGCAAAATGCATGGGTCACCTTGTGCAATGCCCTTGAATCCGACCACTCAACTATTGGCGTGTCCAAAAATAGCCCAGCCACGCTGTTTCGTCATGACATAATCTTTGCGCGCTCAGTGGCACCCCCGACAAAGACGATTTCGCGGGTTGAATGAACTAACGACCCCCGGAGTTGCGGCGGTGTTGCGAGCCGTCTATTTTCTCTTGGCGACGTCTCCCTAAATAACTAATCACTAAATCTCTAGATAATATAAAGCATATGCTTATTCAGGATTTTCATAAAGATGAAACTAATCTTTGACCCTTCTACACTGTTCAATAAAATGTCAATAACCTAACATTTGCAAGACATAAATAAAAAAAGAAAAGAGATAAAATTCAGTTGACGTCGTACCAATTCTTTTAAGTGTCCAAAAGAAAATAATACGTGATGTTTTTCTTCAACACTAAATGCAGACGTGTTTAATGTACTTTTTCAGGAATTTTTCAATTAGCAATTTAGAAATTTACGTAATCCTCGTGTGCACCATTTTGCGATTCTAGTTCAAATGCCCATCAAATTAATGTGCAAAATATTAGAATATAAACAAAATCCTCTTTTTCTCATTTAAATAATTTACATTTAGGTAATTAAAATGCACTGCAAATTGAAGGAACCAATCAATACATTTTGATCTTAAGCTGAAAAAAAACTAAATGAGTGTGCATGAGATAGAACAGAATATCCAATGCTTATACTCCTTTTCATCGCAATATGCTATTATTTTGGAGAATATTAGACCCTTATTATAAAAACGAGGTAATTTGTCGTTTTTCTAATGTTGCTCTACATTGTTAACTTTTCTGGGCTACGAAATGATAATTTCTTAATAAATGTTGCATTCGAAAAATTAATCTTAGAATTATGTGAGCGACGAATAAAATAATCTAGCTCTCATCTCTAATATTAAAAAAAAAATTGCCTCATGTCACATTGTTTTTCTCCGCTAGTCTTCTCGCGACTTGTTTCCGCGAATCACAAGATAACGCATACACACACACACACACGCACATGCAATCATAAAAAATTGCGGAAAAATAAATACGAAAAGGTTCACTACTAGTTCGACGTGCACGTGACTTTCGAACCTGTAGTGTCCCGCGTGAATACAAAGGAAGTAATGTTTTAGTAATGAGAAGGATAAGAGAAAGATTAAAAACTCCTAAGCAGGAGGAATGGTGATCACAGTATAATTATCTCTTTTTCTGTAACCAATGCGCAAATATCAAGAGTGTGCAGTGACCCAGTAATTTCTAGGGCGCAATAGAAAGTAGTGAAAATACAGTCTCGCTTACAGTATGTGTGTTGGATAAAGCACACAAATTTCACCACATTCAATAGCAATTTCACCTGCCTTTCACATAAATTGTCTAAACTGAACCCACCTGGAGATGCTGTAAAAATAATTCCCGGATCAGGGTGCATGGTTCTTTCCTTATCCTTGATATATTCGCACTTTAGTGTCTCCAAGTAGATGCACTGTCACACAATTTCTTAATGTTCGCCTTGTTGACAACGAAAAACACACTGTCTTGATCGCGAAATTGAGGGCACGCACGCGCGATCTTAGCGTTCCACTCATGTGCAATGTCAAGCAATGTCTGATCGTCTGCTCGCCGCGCAGTCAACAAAGTGTGATGTCGAACACACGTTGGTGGGGATAACGGAGCACCGCCATCCATCGTACAGACAAGTAAATTCTCTTCAAGCTCAAAGTATAAAAGCATTTATCAACACTATGCGGATATACCGCAGATCATTGAATAAATTACTAATTATTAAAATGAAATTTTCCAAAAATTTATTTCAAAGTATTTTCAATACTCCGTGCAATCCTAAAAGATAGCAAAAATGTGAATAATCACACGATTCGCGTGTGCTTATGGGGGAGCTGGGATTTGCTGTACCTTTTTTGTCTGTGGCCAATTTTAAATGCGACAATTTAAAAATATAGTAAAACGGGAAATGTGTTCAAATTTTTACATGAAAAATATAAACCAGTATATAACTTAAGTCCTTTCGTTTCGATAAAAAAGTCTAAATCCCAATCAACGGGTGTATTTAAGACTATCAAAAATCGTTTTTTGATAGTTGACGTCTGTTTTATTTTTGGGTAGATCTTAATGTGTTCTATTACGTGTAAAAATATTACATGGGACATATCGGCAAAAATTTAAGAAATACGATATTTCTGAAAAACCTCGATGTAGAAAAATTTTCGATGCTACGCTGTAAACAATAAAAAGTCGACTTTTGATACTTTACGAGTTGATTTTTACGAATTGTTTCGAAGAAAAGTACACGAGACTCTATTCATAATATTTCAAAAAATATGAGTGGAGTAACCTAGGAAATATTGCATAAAAATAGAGTAGAGCAATATTATCAATTTATCGCAAGATACCGGGGAGTTTATGGAAAAATTAATAAAATTTCAAAGCAATATCAACTCTCAAACTTCAAACCGCTCTACTGAAAAATTGCGATTTTGACTTTTGATAGTCTTCGAGGCACCTGTCGATTTATAAACGTCTTGACCTGGACTACGAAAATACTTGAGAGGTTATGCATAGTATCTCTGTAATCGCGCAAAAACAACTCCAATCGACTCAGGTAACGATAAAATGTGGTAAAATGGGAGGGGACACTTTTTGATTTTCGTGTCTGTTTGTCCTTCCGTCCGTCCGTCCTTCCGGCGTGACAAACGGCCTTGTGGGGCCTAAACGGTAAGAGATATCGACACGCGGTTTGCGCCAAAGGAGGTTATAATAGACTACTCGCGCCTTTTGTTTGAGAGATGGGACATCCTGCCGCTCCGTCATTTGTGTATGGACAGGATAATTGTCTCATTCCTAAGATGTGGAGTGACTTGTGAGCTGCTGTTCGTGTGTGCCGCCCGTGGCAAGGGTGAGTCATTCCTAGTTCCGAGGCCTCTCTCCGAGGCGTTCAAGGTCGCTGAGTTTCTCCGCGCCAACGGTGCTGAATAATCTGATGCACGAACACGAGTCTGATTCGCTGAATAGGGCGGCCGCGAGGGTCTGGCTCTAGACCTTGGACTCAGGGGAGATCGACCGGATCTGTGGATCGCGCTATGATTAGCGACTGCGGCGAGCACTGTCTTTACCGCCTGCCCTGTGTCATATGGCCGAGCCCAGAGGTTCCGAAATGTAGACTTGACCTCCTGGGCCCCTCGATGCCTGACACCAAACCCCGTCCGGAGCCAAACAGCCCTCGCGGCTAGGTCCTCCGTTTCCTCCAGCATGACGTCATGAACGGCCAGCGCGGCGCCCCCCCCGCCCCCTCCCCCACCGAGGGACGCACAAACATACAAACTGCGAAGGGATTTTTCCATCGTTTTGTCCTGGAGGTTGGTCACCAACGCTAAGACGGCGATGGCCGTAAGAAAGACTGATATGTACGTGCTGTGATGAAATAAATCTAAATCTAAAAAAGTATGCAGTGTGAATAATCAATTTTTTTTGTCAAATCCAACCCCCAACCCCTCCGTCCACCACTTTGAGCATTCCAAAATACACTTTCCTCAATTTTTCAGCCCCTATGGCATGAAAAAATCCCAAATTCTAGTATGCTATAGCTGACCTCAACACCTTTCCAACGAACCCACACCTAAAAATCCTTGTTCTTCCAAACCTTACAAAGAAGGGTTCGGATTTCAAAAATTAAAATGCCCATAGCTGCGCTTCTAATTAACCAATCGATATGATTTTGTATTCATTAGAAAGGCCTCAAAAAATGCCATCTCTCACCTGAACAACATAACTTGGTAGAACCACCCCTAGTGGCGCTTAAGTAAAAAAAAAATCATTTTCGAAATTTCGAAAACGAATAACTCGAAAACGAAATCATAAATTTTCTCAAAATTTTCATATGTTGTAGCTGAGATCGAGTCCTTTCCAACGAACCGTTACTTTTGGGGCCCCTATTCATTAGGAGCGAAGATATAGAAGGTCCAATTTCACACCTTTACCGGTCCATATCTCCGCTGTTTACCACCGATTTCGATAATTTATTCGCCATAATGCGTGTCTCGACGCCCTTTAATATGCCATATTCATCATTAGTTTGTGACGTCATAACAAATGCCACCATATTGAAAAAATTTGAACGCCTGTATCTCGGCAACTAGATCATAAATTTTCTGTAAATTTCAGTATGTTGTCGTCCAGGTTAGGACGTCTCTAAAAATAGGTTATAGTTTAATATATTTTGAAATAATTTTATCCATCAATGCGTATAGCCCGACCATCGATTTTCCTAACTTTTACTAAACCGTGGAATTTAAATTGTTAAAAAAAACTGCTGTGTTTTACGGCCGGATATTCGAATCTGCAACTCAAGTTCAATTGGAAGATGCGAAAGACGCAGCTTGTTAAAGCGGTCGAGTTAGGTGGTGATTTGTAGTTTATGACCAGCTTTTGCCCCAAAAATCCACACACCTGAGGAAGGAGGAAAATATATCTCCGAAACGTCGTGCTTGCAAAATTGAGTTTAAGCTATTTGGCCGTTTTCCGTACATAATGATGTTTAGGTGGAAGATAGTGTTGGAGATTACTCCAACGCCTGATGTATTTCAACATAAAATTTTCATTCATTGCTAAGTTGATTTTGCAAACTGATGCGCTGATGACATGATGACTTGGTAGGAGAATTTTTCCAGAGTGAGGTCAGAGGGACACGTAAATTTTCCAGAAGATTGATATGCCTGAACTCAGAAATTAATGAAAATTTCAGACTGAAATAGTAACGGACGTTGGAGTAATTTCCAACAGTCTTGATGCCTATTATATTGACATTTCGAGCCGACCTGTTCCATAGGAGCTGAGTAAATTAGGAAAATGTGTTTGCCAACTGATGCTGAATTGAGTTTTTCAATTGGAGTCGATTATGTGAAAGAACAAGAATTCTCATAAGTGAAATCTAACAGAAATCCACAGATTGTCCACTAACAAATTTTACCTGTAGAAAATAATCTAAAGGGTGATTTGCATCCGCGGCGCTGATTGGTGCGCGAACAACGACAAGTAAATCCACAATACATCAATACATAATTATGACGTAATTCTGACCAAAATTCCAAAAGTCTCTCTTTCTCTTCCTTTTCAATATATTTATTTCAAATTATTGAGAAGAATAGTTACAAAAAATTGTGTAATTATTGACTGTAATAATTATAATGTATAAATATTTCTCCTCCTCAACTGTTGCGGCTGCCGCCGACTTCACAGCTAACCTCGGCAAAAAACTTGCTGCTGGTTAGCAGGAATGACTAGCGGAGATCCTTTTGAGCCGTACGGCATCTTCAGAGGGCACGTGATATTTCTATTGCCGCTCACTTGCACTCTTATTTCCGAGCCGCGAATCTTCTCCCTCGTCCGATGGTGAACTTGAAGCAATTTACGGCCTCGCACGAGTCGAAGCTGTTTTCCTTCTGCATCGCGTCGTTTTCATCTTCTGTAGTTTTTCCACCTCTTCCTCGCTCGACGCATGGCTTGGTGGCGGATTAGTCAGTTGATAATTCTTCACCTCATCTTCTGTTCCAGCGTTGGGTGGGCCGGAATGACTTTGGAGCCGTACGGCATCAAAGGATCTCCGCTAGTGATACTCATTTACCGCTGACTTTTATTCCCTCTTAATAAGGAAATACCTTGCAGCCCACTTTTTTCTTATATTCTCTCCATTCTCTTCAGTAGAAGTATCGCCGCAGCCGACCTTCTGTACAACCCCACACGTGCTTAACTGACAGATGTCAAAGAGATGTCATATACCCAGTTGCGGTTGCACATGTTACGTAAGGGTTTCAAGAAACGGATACGCATCGGTAGTGGATGTGAAACTCTTGCGGATTTGTATCCTGTTCTGTCTTCTGAGTGCAATCGGGGAGCAGTAATACTTATTGCGCTCTGACTATGAACATCATGCGAATGAGAAAGGTTTCAGATTCTGATTCCCAACAAGAAGTGCTTTCGTTCTGGTTTCGCAGATCAAACATGTAAAGAATAAGCCACTGGTGTCCCTGCAGTATGGCCCAAAGAAATTTCAGACCCTCATTAAATTTACCCAATTTTCGGCACTCTACCTGATTGCCCTCAGAGGAGGAACGAGTAAGATCAAGTAATCTGAAAATTTCTGAATGTGATGAAGAAATGCCTCAGTTTGGCATCTTTCGCTGATAATCCGTCTCCATCTTCTTCTGCTGGGAGTACTTCTTGTTGATCGTGAGCAGTAGTTCAAGAACAATCTTTCTGTGTGTTGCAGACTTGTTCGAAAGGAACAGAAAACAGCTTTAAAACTCTTTTTGCCAGAATTTCTAGCTAAAAAAGACTTTTTCACAGCAAAACTAAGAGGAATAAAACGCGAATGAAGCTTATTCTCTCGACGTGCAATAATCAATGCAATATTCTTAAACTCTCCTGACAAGAAAGTGTAACATCCGTAAAATCTGAACAGGAACTCTAAAGCCATCCTCAAAACTTTGAATGTCTTTAATGTTGTGAATTGATCAGCCGGATTGTGAATGAAAATTTAAAACGGAACGGCCTATTTCTTTGCTCACTCTATTTAATTTTTTTCCTTCGTTTCGGAGGTCAATTTCCTCCTTCTCCAGGGAGAAAAAAAATGAGGGTGAGTAATGTCGCCAAAAGTTTTCGCCACTCTGCACACTCCAACATTCTCCCGACATTCTTGCCATCACTTTTTCTAATAAAAAGTGAAAAGGAGGAAATTGACCTCCGAAACGTAGGAACGAAATAAAATAGAGTGAGCAAAAAATAGGGCATTCCATTTTAAGTCTTTAATGTTTTCCAAAATATAATCGATTGGGGCTACAAAAACATGGAGAATGTTCCTTTACGTAACGATTTAGAATTCTTTTTTTTAATATTACTGACCCCTTGGTAAAATTGTTTATTTTAAGAAAATATAGTTTTACTTTGATTTAGGAAATTGTAGTATATGAAAGTTGAAACAATACTATTACATCGGTTAGAATTTATATACCAGTGAAGAAAGTAACATAATTTATAATGCGAATAACTTGTGAAATTATAAGATAAAGTCATCAGGAAATGAATGTATTACATTTTTAAACAAAAGAATTGTGTTATAATTCCGTTAGTTTTTAAAAATATGAATACTTGTTATACCGCGGCTGAAAGTCACTTGAGAAAAGATTGACCAAGAGGGAGAACGTGAGTTACTGGAAAGGAAATAATTTATTGATTAATACAGATTAGAAATTAAATATTTACAGGAAAATTTAACAGAAGATTGAGAAAAGTGAAAGTGGTGAAAATTTTTGGAGAAATCCTGAAGGAAAAGAAAGAAATGTAAGATGAAATTTAGGTTAGCGTCGATGAGAAATTAATTGAAAACGTTTTGACTATCAGCCGCAAATAAATACAGTCCACAAATAAAGATCAGATTCTAACAAATTGCTTCCAATTAAAAAAAATTCTCAAAATTGTTATAAGCAAGTTTTTTCTGGTTTTTAATTGAGCAAAAAACTTCTTGTATTTTTTTATATTAAAAAAATTCATGTATTTTTGATATTCTAGATTGATGTGAAACAGGTGCCACTGGGAAGCAGTTTTTTTTTTGAAATCCTGTGTTATTTCTTTTTTTCGCTTGGTCACAGTTTCCGGCTTTGAATTGTAGTTCGCTGGTCAGTAGGTTCTGAATTTAGAGACTGACAATTTGGAGTAAGAAATAAAATCAAAGCAGTTTATGCACTAAAAGGTCGTATTTAATTGAGCAATATAACAGTTGTGTATGAATTCACCCACGCAGGAGCATACGCAGGTAATTAGAATAGTGAAGACGCCTTAGAAAATATTTAATGAGAAGGATGCGAATGTCTCGCCTCGCTTGCCGACAGCCTTGGCTTGGTATTGGCCCACATCTAGTGACGAGCATCTGGTCACCTCAAATGTGAATTTGTTGCCGTCCTTTGTAAATCCATAATTATTACTGTCTACGTTCACGGGCTTGCCATCTTTGAGCCAGTTAAGTTGTAACGGCGCCTCCTGGAAGCTACACGTAAATTTGGCCATCTCGCCCTCTGCGACAGTCAAGGAGCTTGGGAAAGTTTTAAAGACAGGGGTCTTTTCTTCTTCACCGCTCACAGAAACGTTAATGGTGCAGGAGCTGAAGCTCTCGCCAACGTCGTTGAAGGCCTCACAGGTGTAAGTACCACAGTCTTCTGGGAAGATCTCCATAATGTTCAATTTGTAGATGTTAGCCTCATGTGTGTATTGGAAGTCATTAGATGGTTTTATCTCCTTGTTGTTATGTAGCCACACCACATCAAATTGCTCTGCACCGATAATTCGGCATGCCAGAGTCACGCTCTCACCATCTATCACACATCGCGATTCGAGATGACTAACAATTCGTGGTGGCTTGTCACTTGTCACAGAACGACTTGGGATGCTGGTGTTCATTGCTGAGAAGTACAAATACAGGAATTAGTACTTTAATTTTATAAAGCCTGCATAAATTCTTAACTTAAACCTCACTATATCGACTATTTTGCAAACAACGACTTATGTTTCGAGATTAATTCAACTTGAAAATAAGTTATTTCAATTTGTGAAACATCACTCGTCTGAAATCTTTTACGATGACACCGTTAGAAATTGTTCAGAGTGACCAGCTGCTCCAGATAAATACTGCTCTAAACTATCGGAGTGTTAAGTAAATTATGGATTTTACAAACTTTCACTGCCCTAGAGCTTTTACTGTATTACATATCAATTGATTCATGTGCTTCCGTAAAACGAAGTTTAACCTTATCCCTCATAAATTAACGGTAAATAGAACTAATAATGTTATCCATAAACAGAATATATAACTGCATCACTACTGAAAGTAAGCTTATCATTTTTTTGTCAATGAAAATTTACTACATATATGAGCTTTTCCGAGAATCTGACATGTGGCAAACAATTATTTTACAAGTTTCTAAATGAAATCTTAAATCTCCTACACTTCATTAATCTAACGTCTTCCACATCGATTGAACTTTAACATACAATATTCTGTTTTGAATACACGCAAATGGCTTCTCAATACTTACGAATTACAGTAAGCTTGCAACGCGTATCAATTGAACCAATTGAATTAGTAGCTGTGCATGCGTAGACGCCTTCATCTTCGGGAAAGATTTCATTGATGCTAAGCGTGGCGACCCCATTTTTGTATTTCAAATCCAGGATCTCCGATGATGACAGACTCTTGCCATTCTTTGTCCATACAATCTGAGGATCTGGGTCCCCACGCACAGAGCACGAGAGTGTAAGTGGTTCACTGTCACGTACTGCAAAATCACTAAGTTCATGTGTAAATACTGGTTTGCACATCAGCGAATCATCAGGAGGCAGGATCAGCTCTTTGGTTGCACTTCGAGATCGTGACGGACTGCCCGGAGCATCAAGCTTCGAGCCGTATTTCTTCGGTGTCTTCTCATCTGAATTTGAAATGCACGTAGTTGGAGCAGTCTATGAAAATAAATGTCAGACTTAATATTTGTGAATTGATTCAATTATTTGTGAATTACCTTCGAAATTGAATTTACGCTATTTGAAGCATTTATTCGACGGTTATTGATAATGGGAGGCGGGGCCGGCTTTATTGGTTGTTCAATATATCGGCGATCTGAAAGAATGAGTGAATAAAACATAAGCAGAATTTCAAAGAAAATATTTTTAGATGTATTGCTGCTAAAACTGTTGGCAGGATTTATCTCGTGATCAAAATCAGCAAAAATCAACTCCGTCAGCAATTGGTGTTTTATAAAAGAGGATTATAAAAAAAATTTATAAAAAAAAGTTGGTTACTAAATTTTATTGGAACTCAAAAAGCATCAGATTTTTGCAAATAAATGAAAGTATATGCGGATGTATATATGAAAATTTCTATCAATTTTCTAACATATACATTTGCATGTACACATGCTGTGTAAAATATATATCGATTATAATTATGTGGGATGGTATTTTGAAAATTAAGTTGTTGTTTACACAAGGAGTATAAACCTCTCAGTGTGTAGAGAGGAGCGGAAATACAACAAAAATATAACAAAAATCAGAGCAATCTCCATTTGATTTGCATTGGGCTTGTGACGTCACATGCCACATTTCCGCTCCTCTCTACACACTGAGAGGTTTATACTCCTTGTTGTTTACACGTCACATATCCCAGAAAGGTAGATGTACCCTTGAATTATCAAGCAATTCGCTAAATATCTTGTTCGCTTTGAAATTTACAGAAATAATTGGAGAAGCTTTCATTTTGCATAAACAGCACAAAAAATATTAATTTTGTTATTTTTTTTTTAATTTGCAATCAAAGAAAATGAATTTCTTAAGCACTTGTCAACTGGCCAGTGTGGCCTGTCAAAGTAGGCAAAATACACGGACGAGCGAAGAAATTGAATCTGGGGACTTAACAAATTTGCGAAAGTTGCAAGAGAATTGGCGAAAAACAATCGTCTATAAAATTTTACGATAGAAATGTTTTTGATTGGCCACACTCGTTCGAAGGGAATTCATGTCCAGTGCTCTCTAATGTTGGGAAAATTGTTTTTAGCCAAAAATCGGCATCCCAAATCGATTTGATGAAATAGCCGGTTCATAGGTTAACAATTATTCATTATTGTTGTTAATGTTATTATTAGTAATGTGATTATTTAACATAATATTTATTTCAAGGCCAAAAAGAGAACTGGATGCAACTAAATGATTAATTTTAGTATGATATAATCCGTCTGACTAATAGATATGAAAAACGACAGTTGCATCGAAGAATAAAATTACACTTATGCGGTCTATTTAATTACTTGTGGTATTTCTCATGCATGAAAACTTTTTCAAAATACAAAAATAATAAACGGCAATTCAAGTCACTGTCTAGTACTAAAAGAATGAGAATCCTTCCTCAGATCTGAAATAGGTTTATACTACAACTACCTAATTATTTATTTGTTATTACCTCCAGAGTAGAGGAGATTGTGGGCAAGCTGAGCTTGCTCCGCTGTTCCGCCCTCGCCTATTAAAGACAACCACATAGCCTATATTTAGTAATTACGTAGCACATGTGACGTCATAAGTGACAGTGCTGTCATATTTTTTAGTTCAACCATCCTTCCTTTGCCAATAAGAGTTAAAGGCCACATAGTATATGTATGAGTGGCATATAAAGTTACACTTACCTTCTACAATCACTACGCACTCCGTTTCATCAGTCCCGTGACAATTGGTTGCCACGCATCTGTATTTTCCGGAATCTTCCGGTTTACAGTCAACGATTTCAATGGTCACTACACCGTCTGCTTGTGTCATTGAGTACTCATACTTGCTGAGCTCACGGCGATCCTTGTACCACTTTACAGTCGGAACTGGTCGTCCGGAAAGGCAGCAGAGCAGCTTGCAGGTGTCACGGGCTTGCATCACACGTGGGCGTAAGAGGAATGTGAAACTGGGAGCCGATTCGCTCTCTTCTTGCCACATTTGCACTGACAAGGGCTCACGACGACGAATCTAAAATCACGGAAACAAACATATGATAATAAAATGGTAGTTTATATTTTCTATCCGGTTCAATTTTTTTTTAGTACAATCTCTACGATAGAATACAAATGTGTGTGAATACAAAACTAACTATCATGGCGATAATTGAATTCTAACATAAACAGTGAAAAACTTGCGTTAAACATCTTTTTTTCAATTACAATCCCGATTTATGATTTTGAAAGAACAAAGAAAAAAAGCACTTACCGGCTGTTGTTCAGCCTTGTATTGCGGCGGCTGTTTAGGTAGTTGATGTACATTTAAGAAGACTACCTCCTCTCGACTGCCATAGTGATTCTCGGCGCGTATTATGTACTCACCGCGATCCTCAAGTTTAACACGATTAATAACAAAGTAATAGTCATCGCTTACATATCGTTTCATGAATTTGACACTCTGTCGCAGTTCCTGATTGCCATGCGACCATGTAAGCGTAGGTGTGGCGATAGCAATTACGCGACAGTAGAACTTTACACTTTGGCCCTCGTAGCAGAACTGACTCTGTGGCTTTATCACAAAACGCGGTGCTGCTTGACGGCGATCAAATGATGTGTCTTGAATCTTGTACTTATCCACTAATAATTTACGTAGCGATGAGTATTCGGATAAACGCCCAATGGGCAGTGCAAAGCCCTCGAAGTCGTTATAATGTCGACGGATACGATCTCGCATCGCTATGTATCGTGATGTATCAATGGCTGCAGTACGATCACCATGATCACCCATGAGCCAAGGATGAAGTAAACATTCGTGAGCTGTCATGCGCTTCTCTTTGTTTTTAACAAGCAATCTGCGAATAAAGTCGCGCGCTTCCTCGCTTACATTCTTAAATGCGTCTTCGTCAAAGTTCCAATCACATGCTTTCACATTTTTTAGCGTCTCCACGTCCGTTTCACCAGCAAATGGAGATAGGCCACTTAATCTGAGGAAAGATATATGAAACATACTGTATCAGCACGAAATTAAGAAAGCTACTATAAGCATGTTGTTTGAACCCAACGGAAAATATCTTCCAAACTTATTCAAGACATCTGTTTAGCAACTTATTTTTTTATTATGTATTTAAACTAATCTAAAGCGCTTATCCCACTATGTTGAAATGAATTGCCAGCAATTTCCAATTTTTGTCCCAATTTTTCGACAGTCTAAGGACTAATTGGTCCGTATCAGTTCTAGATATATCGTCTTAAATTCCGTTAAATAGGAAATTGCACGCATTTCGTATCGATAAGTATCGGTATAAGTAGTGGAATAATTCCCTAATTGAACTCTTGTATAGTATAAGACTACTCACAATACATAGCTTAAAACGCCAACAGCCCACATATCTGTGTAGAAGCCCACTGGTTCGCGCTCCACGATTTCCGGGGCCGCAAATTCAGCTGTGCCAGTGCTAATCTTCACAACTTCGTTTGGATCCAGACGTGTAGCGAGTCCAAAATCAATTAGTTTTATATTTGTGCTGGCTCGTGTTTGACACATGATATTCTCTGGCTTAATATCCAAGTGGATTATATTCTTTTCGTGCATGTGACGTATGCCCTCGCATATCTGTCGCATGTAATTAATTACTTCAGCTTCGGACATAACATAACCGTCCGCCGTTATACGCTCGAACAATTCACCACCAGATAGGAATTCAAATATCAACACCATTTCATCATCGTCCTCAAAAGCATCGTGCAAATTAATTAATTTCTGGTGATGCAATTGATTCATAATGTCAATTTCACGACGAATGAGATCTTTTTCCATTACGTGAGCGACTGGGATGAACTTAGCTGCAAAAATATTACCGGTAGCACGTTCACGGCATCTGCAATATAAAAAAGCGCAAATTTGATGCTTTATATAGGAAAAATACATCTTTTTGTAAAATAAAGAAAAAAAATTTATTTTTTTAATATTAAATAATATTCCTGTGAATATGCTATTTTTCTCCTTGTTTGTTTGTACTTACCTATGGACCACTCCAAATGCGCCTGTGCCAATTTCTTCCATAATATCGTAACGGTCGTAGACAGAATCGGTAGATATCTCAACAGGCTGAGGTATATATTTTGAGTAGATATCAAAGACATATTGGTCATAATCCTTTATAGGTCCATCTGCTTTTCCCCTTATCTTCTTTCCAGTCTCATCCAGCTCGTACGTGTGACGTTTCTGCACGCGTTTACCAATTTCGCGCGTTGTAATAAGAGTAGATATTTCGGACGCGTCTGAGCGCCCGTAAATGTTCTCAGCAAATACGCGGAACTCATATTGGTGACCGGGTGCAAGTCCACTAACTGCCATAGCAGTAAACCGTGTGTTACCCACGCGAATCCATGTGGCGTTGGGCGGCTCTCGCTTTTCTACTACGTAGTTCGTAATGGCGCTGCCGCCGTCCCAAACGGGTGCCTTCCAACTCAGTGACAATGAATCTGTGCCGATATTTTCCACCAAGGGGAAACGAGGTGGGTCGGGACGGTCACTGATTTGGATACGAATGACAACAGAATCCTGCCCTAATTCATTTTCTGCTTGCAGTCGATATGGGCCGCTGTCCAGTTTTGAACCATCGCGAATGGTTAGTATGGCATGCCTGTCTTTCACTTCACAATGATAGTGACCTCCAGACTCAATAGCTTCTCCCTCACGAATCCACATTATACGGGGCCGTGGATGACCGGTGAAAGACACTTTGATTACAACATTTTCTCCCTGAGGAAAGAAAAGACAATTTATATAAAAATATGAAACACATTTTGTATAACTTGATCTTTGGACTCATTCAACATATGCGTTTCACAAGAAAACATTTGCTAATTATATACATACATACCTTGTCGAAATAAGCCGTGTCACGGAAACGTGGCGGCACACTCAACTTAGGCGGTGTCATAATTAACAGCTCTGCTCGCGTAGATTTCACGCCGCCACGATTCACAGCCCTACATACATATTCATCCGCATCTTCACCGAATACGTCTTTTATCGTCAGAGTATGCACGTCACCTTCCGTATATATGTTATAGCGGGTGCCACTAGTAATTTCACGCGCTCCTTTGTACCATGTGATCGAAGGCTTTGGATGACCGGTTATGGTACATTGGAATTGTGCATTGTGATTCTCAATGCAATTGGTTGCTCGCAGGGGCTTTACAATTTCCGGTGCTTGAGTAGCCACTGGATCCACTGTTTTCACGCTTGTACTAGACATACTGGGCTCTGAGATGCCTGCTTCATTAACAGCCATTACACGGAACTCATATTGCCTGCCCTCAATAAGATTGGCACAATTAATCTGCGTCGGTTGGCATAGAGCCACGTTTACACGCTGCCAGGTAGTGTCGCCTTTTTCACGTTTCTCCACCCAATAACCTTGTATGCGAGCTCCACCATCATACTCAGGCTTTGTCCATTCTACGTGCACAAAGTTAGAGCCTACTTCGAGAATTGTAGGGACACCAGGTACACCGGGTGGATCGAAAGGTTGACGTGCCTTCACTGGATTCTGGCCCTCGAGTGCCGCACCTACGCCATTAACATTTGCCGCCGCCACACGGAACATATATTCCTGCCCCTCTGTAAGACCCTGCACTGTGCAGTGCGTGTCACGCACATTACTTAGCACACACACCCATTGATTGGATGTCATGTCTCGTCTCTCCACCACATAATGCGTTACACGATGGCCGCCATCGTCTAGAGGTGGACGCCAACTAAGAGTGGTGGTATGTCGAGTTACATCAGTGATGTCCAGAGGTCCCTCAGGTGGGCCCGGCGGTCGGGTAACACGAACATTGAACGCTCTATTGACGCTTCCTGTAATTAAATATAGTGATTTATACGACAAATGACAATATCATTTAATATTAATCATGAGCTCTCAGTACTAAAATAATAATTTAAAGAAATGCTTTCAACATAAAAACGTTAAAAGGGTTTTTACCATGAATGTTTAAGTTACACCACTCACCATGTTCATTGGTTAGCTCTATGTGATAGAGTCCAGAATCGCTGGTAACTGCATCTCTTATATAAATCGCCACTGATTCATCAAACACCGTGAATGAAAGACGTGTTACAGGCTTGCCCTCACGCAGTAAACGTGCCTCTATAGGCTGATCACCACCGTAGAAAATCTTGACCTTAGAATTTTCGTGTTCCGCCAATTGCACTTCATCCGGCATCTTGTCAATTCGGGGTGGCATACCCACACGTAATTGAGCCATGGTCTGTGCGCTTCCTAATGTATTGCTGGCTTCACACACATATTGTCCCTCATCCTGGCGCTGAACATCTGTCACTATGAGTTTAAAGAGGCCATCACGAGACTCCATTGTATGACGCCCACCCGTGAGTTCACGTCCATTGCGCAACCATCTTGCCGTCGGAACTGGTTTACCACGAGCTTCGCAGGATAGCTCAAGTGTACGGCCCAACGATACACTGGTATCAGTCAGTGGTCGAAGCCATTGTGGTTTTTCACCACCCGCTACTTCACACACGCGTACTGGTGAAATAGGCGTACTTGGTTCTGATCGACCAGCCGTATTTACAGCACATACGCGGAACTCGTACTCAGTTCCATCAAAAAGATTAAGCGCTGTGAAGTTAAGGTCTGTTACATTGTACTCATTACAGCGAATCCACAGAGCGCCACCAATTTCACGCCTTTCAACAATGTAGCCACTTATACGAGCACCACCATCGTGTTCAGGCGCAGTCCAAGACAGGTCTACATAGTTTCTACCAATGTGCACAATTTGCAGTGATCTTGGCGGTGACGGTACTTCCACGCGCCCCCGAGCTTTGAAGCGCTGTGAAGGAGCAGAGGGTTTACTCACACCCGCTGCATTCTTAGCGCGGACACGAAATTCGTATTCGCGACCCTGTTCTAGATTGAACACATTGTATGTGGTGTCTTTGATGAGGAAGCCTGTACATTGCCACGTTGTATCTTGCACATCACGCATTTCAATCTATAAAATAAAAGTGAATATATTATACAATAACATAGAATGAATTGCATAGAATTTTCCTGAGTGATGCGTTTAAGTTATATCCCAAACCGTACCTTCTGTACCATCCATGGAAAAAATAGAGTAATATTACATTCAAAATTGCTATTGTTCGTGTGGAAAGTCACTCATTATTTCAGACCTTTAATTCTCTGATTGCATCGTTTATTTTTTATTACTTATGTGATATTCCACATTATTTAGAATCATTATTTCCAATATCCAATTTTTATGGGGTTTGGCGCAGTGATGGTAAAGATATTTTGCGATTTTAATCCTACTTAAGAAAAGTGATGCTTATTTGTGGACTGTATTTAATTGAACTCTATCTTCATGCGAATTGAGCAATCCAAGTGGTTGAATCTACTCACCTTGTACCCCTGAATTCTTGATCCGCCGTCATATAGAGGTCGGTCCCAAGTGAGTGTGGCTGAGGCATTGTCGTATTCTGTAACTCGAGGTGCGGAAGGCGGGTCGGGCACAGTGAATGGATATTTGGCCACAATTCCATCCGCCATTACAAGCGGATCGCTGACACCATACTGATTTTCAGCACTTACACGAAACACGTAAGTCTTCTGCGCCTCCAGGCCCATTACATCATACTGTGTGGTACGTACGAAAGAGCTTACTTTTACCCACATGCCGCTGTGATCTAATTTCTCCACCACATAATTCGTAATGGGGGAACCGCCGTCATCCAGCGGTGGTCTCCATGTAAGCGTGCATGTGTCTGGAGTAATGTCAGTAGCATCGAAAGGTGGTTGTGGCATACTTGGTCGATCAACCACCTGCACACGACATGTGGCCGTGTCCATTCCCTCGCTGTTTGTCACATGAATCGTATGCGGGCCAGTGTCACTCCTCTTCGCGCATTTGTTCACCAACACAGTTTCGTGATCTGTAGTGTCTACGTGCCAGCGATTATCTGTTGCTGGGGCTCCGTTTACCGTCCATGCGCAGTACGGTCTCGGATTAGCTGTGAATGGCACAGTTATACGATACTCTTCTCCTGCCATCACAGTAATATCGCGAATACTGAGATCGCTCGTGATCTTAGGCGCTGACACTGGAGCGCGGGCTACTAAGACATCTGATGAACCACTCCACATACCCTGCGAAACACAAGAAAAACTTTTTTACGTACTGTTTTTATTTACAAAGATAATAGGTGCACATGAAAAAACTTGAGGTGAAAAATTAGCAGGAATTGTATATAATTCTTTGCGCTTACCTGGCCCGCTGCATTAATAGCTGCAACACGAAATTCATACTCATGATTTTCAATCAGATTTTGTACACGACACTGCAGTTCTCCAATATGTGCATGCGTGGCTTTTGTCCACTTATCATCACTGAGAAGTCTCTTTTCCAGAACATATCCGGTCACAGGAGAGCCGCCGTCATGACGAGGAGGAGTCCAAGCCACTGTAATACTATCTGCAGTACTTTCCACTCCATGAGGTATGCCTGGTGCAGCTGGTGGATCGAAAGGATGGCGTGCTCTAATTGGATGTTCTGTACTACTCGGGTCCGATTGACCATACTGATTCTCTGCCATCACGCGGAAGTCATATTCACGGCCAACCGTAAGATTTCTTATACGTACGAAGGGCGTGGTAACATAACCACTAACGCGTGTCCAATTACTCTGCCTTGCTTCACGTTTCTCCACCACGTAATTGCTAATCTCAACTCCACCATTATCTCTGGGCGGATTCCAATAGAGTGTCAATGCCTCGCCAGCAAATTCGTCGACTCGCAGATTTTCAGGTGGTGCCGGGCGATCTAATACCTATAGATTGAAATGGCAAATTTATATGTTTTCGATTTGCTTTTGATAAAAATCGACAGACAAATTGTCCCTGCCCATTATCGCGATGGAAGATTGCAATAACTTACCTTTACGTTTACAGTGGCTGTGTCGAAGCCTGATTTGTTGCGCAACTGTAATCTGTACTGACCAGTGTCCGTACGTTTTGAATTCTTCACAACAATGCTGCAAGCATCGTCTGTGAGGCGTTGAAAGCTGCGAGCGTCATCAGGTTCTATCATACGATCATTACTATACCACATAACCACAGGTCGAGGGAAGCCCCTGTAGGGCACGTGAATACAAAAGTCATCCCCGGCACGCACGACAATGTCACGAACCGCACTGAGGTCTAAGCACGGCTTGTTGGGCTGCTCCTCCACTAATACAGGGGCTGAAGGTCGTGAGGGCGCTGATGGGCCTACTTCATTTTCAGCCCGCACGCGGAATGAATATTCTTCACCTTCGCGCAGTTGTGGAACGATGTGGGAAAGTCCGGTAATAAGTTTGTCATTAACAGGTGACCAATCATTGTCGCCCTTTGCCTTCTTTTCCAGTACATATCCTTTTATGCGTGCCTTGCCATCGTTACGCGGTGGTCGCCAAGACAGTGTTACACTGTCACGTGTAATGCGATCCGCCTTAGGTGGTTCAGGTGCATCGGGTACAGTGCGCTGCAACTGGGCAGTAATGGGCTCTGTTGGTTTACTCGGTTTACCAACACCTATGGAATACAGAGACATGTTGTGAATTGAAGCACAATTCGAAAGCTTTTTTGTAAATGCCTTCTAATATTGTTAAAATTTTTGTCACCAAATATACATAAACAAATTTTCAAACCTATTTTTAAGCATAAATTACCTGCATCATTAACCGCTGCAACGCGGAATTCGTAGCGTTGTCCTTCGCGCAGATCCTGTACAGTGAAGGTTGTATTTGGTGTGGGGTAGTTGTTGACACGATGCCAATCTCCGCTGCGCTCCTTCTTCTCCACATAATAGCCAGAAATAGGACGTCCTCCGGTATATTCGGGAGGTCGCCATTGAATTGTAGCGGAGTTCGGAGTGTAGGATACTACGGTTGGTCTATCGGGTGCTTCCGGAACATCATAAGGACTCTTCGCGAGCACCGGTTTGCCCAAAAGTGGCTCGGAAACACCATAGATGTTCTCGGCGCGCACACGAAACTCGTACTTTTGACCATCCGAGAGACCACGTGCCGTTAAGGTGCACCGAGGGCAGTAGCCAGGCACTGTACGCCATTTGTCAGCTCCTGCCTCAGTCACTTCTACGATATACCCACTGATATCGCCACCACCATCATCCTGAGGTGGTCTCCATGTCAGTGAGATACTCTCCTGTGTCGTTTCGCTGTACGTGATTGGACCTACTGGAGGTCCGGGCTTGTCTACCACGATCACGTCCACATCACCGCTGTCCTTACCATACTCATTAATGGCCGTGACCGTGTAATGGCCTGCATCATCACGCACGGACGCTTCGACACGCAGAGCTGTGCGCTCCCAGTTGGTCTCAATCGCTACTCGACCAGTCTCCGCAACTTTAGTACCCTTACGCAGCCATTCCACAGTTGGCTGAGGTGCTCCGCTGATTGGAATTTCTACATTAATGGGCTCACCAGCACGAACCTTTACCTTACGCCCGAAGATCGCATCGAGTTTCAATTTTGGCGCCTCACGCATTGGCCTAGCCATGAATGCAGCGGATGCATCGCTGGCCTTACCTGCACCTGCGGCATTTACAGCGGATACTCGGTACTCATAGTGATGACCTTCCTGCACACGTTCATCAGTGTACTCAGGCAGAGGTACAGGTTCTTTCGTCAACTACAGATGATTCCGTTACAGAATAAATTAATGTTTCTCTCAGATAAAGTGTGATTGAATTTTGACATTTTCATTTAAACATTTTATTATAATGTATTTGTGGAGAAAAAAAACTCACCTTAATCCATCGTCCTGTAGCTACATCCCGCCTCTCTACGTCATATCCCATTATTGGTGAACCACCATTGCTGATTGGTTTTGCCCATTTAATGGTAATGTGATCCTTATCGCTGTCTACAAGTTCCGGTTTTCCGGGCCGTCCGGGCACATCGTATTGATTGCGTGCTACCACTGGTTTCTCCGTCACCAATGGATCTGAACGTCCTTGTAGGTTCTCTGCCATTACGCGGAATTCATATTTAGTACCTTCTTGAAGTCGCGGTACCACCGCGTGCGTCTTTCGTGCGTTCACGTGTGTCACAGCTGGCACCCAGCCACCGCCGTGTGTAAGATCACGTTTTTCAATTACGTAACCAGTGACCTCAGATCCACCATTGTCCGTAGGTGGTCGCCATGAAAGGGTTACACTCTGAGCTGTAACTTCCTCGTACTCCAATGGTGCCTGAGGCGGACCGGGTCTGTCTAGTACGGTCACCTGGAACTTACCCTCAGCTTCGCCGTTCACGTTTGAGAGTCGGAGGTGATACTCACCCGAGTCACCTCGTTGGCAGTTTACTGTATGTACGACTGTGTGATGACCCACAGATGTAATAGTTGTACGTTCGTTTGTTGTAAGTGGACGCAAATTTGATGTCCATACTACCGTTGGTGAAGGTTCGCCTTCAAAGCGTATATCTACGTGAAGTACCAGACCCGCTTTGAGTGCTATATCTGTAAGTGGTGTAATGATGCGTGGTGGCACGTTTCGTGCACGAGCAGTGATCTTGTCACTAGCTTCACTGGGTTCACTCTGGCCGGCCTTGTTTACTGCAATTACACGGAACTCGTATTCTTGACCTTCCGTGAGTTCGGGGACTGTGCTTGCACAAACGTTAGTCGGCACGTGGCATGCTGTCACCCAGTATGGACTGCCCTTTTCCTTCTTCTGCACAATATAACCTGTGACAGGTGCACCACCATCGTAAGGTGGTGGTGTCCACGTCAAATCTACATGATCCTTATCCCAGTCCGCAAATACAGGTTTACCCGGGGCTTGTGGCTCGTCACACTCATTTTTCGCCACAATACTTTTAGCTGCCTCAAGTGGTTCACTCTCCCCGATGGCATTTACTGCTTTCACGCGGAACAGATATTCTTTCTTGTGCACCAGACGCGTCACATCATGATAGGTGCCTACACTCATGCCAGCATCACTCCATGTGCCACGCGACATGTCCATTTTCTCCACCACGTAATGGAGAATCGGCGATCCACCATCGTCTTTTGGCACATTCCATCGAAGGTGACACCCTTCCTTATTCACACCCGTTATCTCGAGTGGCCCCTCAGGTTTAGCCGGCTTATCCAGTACAGTGACATTTGCCGACGCTGAGCATGAACCCAGCTCATTCGTTATAGTGAGTGTGTAGTGACCCTCATCTGCACGGACGCTAAAAGGAATTTCAAGAACAACCTCTTCATTTGTCTGTTGTATGTCCACACGAGTGCCTGCTTCTAAAGTCTTTCCATTTACTGTCCACTTTACTGTGGGACGCGGTGAAGCTTCAATTGGTACTGCATACTTGATTTTTTTGCCTGCATGCACAGTCTGATCTTGGAGTAGATTCTTAGTAAATCTCGGTGCGACAAAGCGTGATCGTACTACGATGGGGGTAGAGGCGTCCGACGGTTCACCTAGACCACCCTTGTTTACGGCTGTTACACGGAATTCATACTCCTCACCTTCCGTGAGATCTGGCACAGTTGCACTACATGAGTCGTCTGGTACCTACAAACAACCGAAACAATAAACCATATTTCCTCTAATGAAGCGATTTCTTAGTAAGTACAAAGTGTATTTGTTGAATATATAAATTCAATCTTGACCAGTCAAGGCATTGGCTGTAAAAAGCTATCCAACTACTTGTCTTGATCTAATCAAAACCTAGTGTTAACTTATCCCGTCCTTTAGTATGTGGTTTTGGTAATTTTAGGTTACTCAAGAGATTACAGATACTAGCTGTGATGCAAATCCCAGCTTTTAATACGTATTGTATGTTATTTATACACCTAATAATACTCGATCAATACTTACTTCACAGGCTTTCTCCCATGTACCAAAGCGCGGGCGCTTCTCGATCACATATCCTGTAATAGGAGCTCCACCATCTTTTTTCGGCTTCTCCCACACTAGATCTACGTGATCCTTGTCCCAGTCTGTAACCTGAGGTGTGCCAGGCTTCTCGGGTCTCCCGAAGGGATCTTTAGCAGTTATAGATTGACTTGTAACTAGCGGGACACTCTCACCCTGCTTGTTTACAGCCTTTACACGGAAGTTGTAGTCGTGTCCCTCGATGAGGTTATCAGCTTTTATGTGTGGCTGTTGACACTCACCAATGGGAACCCAGCGCATTGTCTCAGCATCCATCTTCTCTACTATGTAATGATTTATCTCTGATCCTCCGTCATCTTTGGGTGGTCGCCAGTTAAGGTCAACGCTAGACTTGGTGACATTCTGCGGCCTGAGTGGTCCCTCTGGAGGCCCAGGCACATCTAGCACAGTTACTGTGACATCCGCCTTGTCCATTCCATTAACATTGCGCGCTACAAGTGTATATGTTCCACTGTCTGCTCTTTTGGCGTCGATCACGCGCAATTTCGTACGTCCTTCTTCGTGAACTACCTTCACACGGTCTGAATTAATAATCATATTTTCACGATGAGACCATTCTTTAGTTGGAGGAGGCTCCCCGCTCACGGGCACATCGAAGTCAAAGTTCTGACCCGCACGAATCTTGATGTTCATCATGAACTTGAAATATAAGATTTACATTCCATTAGGTAAACTTATCTTCCCCCCTTTGATTATTTAATATCTATTCATATTGCATATACCACAATTTATATTAAAGTCATGATTGGAACGATTCTCGCTCAAGCGAAAAATATAGTACGAAATATCTTACCTTCCTATCGATCTTTGGTGGAAGATTCTTTGCTCTCGCAATATGTGGACGTGTTGCAAGACTCGGCTCACCAGGTCCGGCCTTGTTTATAGCCCTCACGCGGAATTCATATTGTACGCCTTCTACGAGTCCTTCCACTCGACCTGCTGGCACATCACCCTCCACCTCAGCCGCTTTGTCCCACTCGTCACTATACTTATCCCGTCTTTCAATCACATACCCAGTAATTGGAGATCCACCATCTGCTGCGGGTCGTGCCCATTCCAACTGTACAAAGTCCTTGTCAAAGTCAACAATCTCTGGTTGCCCTGGGGTGTCAGGTGGATCATAGGGATTCTTCGCTTCGATGGCTTTATCTGTGCTCAACGGTTCTGATTTACCATGCTTGTTCACGGCACGCACACGGAACTTATACTTATGCCCCGGACTGAGACCTTTCACCACAGCTGATGGTTGTGGTCCGTCTGTTTCTTCTGCGGTAACCCATCGGCCGGTAGCCTCATCCAGTTTTTCTACAACATAGTGATCAATCGGAGCTCCGCCATCATCTTCGGGTGGCTTCCACGTGAGCGTAGCCCCATTTGCATGCACATCATCTACCTTGAGAGGACCTCTTGGAGGTGCCGGTTTATCCAATACTGTGACCTTCACATCCGCCTGATCACTGCCATTCGCGTTGACTGCTGATACGGTATATGTGCCGGTATCTGCCCTTGTAGCTTGTCGAACTACCAACTTTGTTGCATAGTCCACGTGTGTGACTTTTACACGATCAAATGACTTTACATCGTGTTTAGCATGTTGCCATTTAGTAGTAGGCACTGGTTCTCCAGTAACCTTCACGTCGAATGTGAAGGACTGACCCGCCTTAATTCGAACTTCAATAAGATTAGTACGATCAATTCTAGGCGCCTGATTGCGCGGTTTGGCGGTGATTGTGCATGTGTCCGACGGTTCACCTGGACCTGCTTTGTTCACTGCACTCACACGGAAGTCATAAACCTGTCCCTCAATTAAATCCGGTATTGTAACTTTACACTCCGTGGACGGGACTTGAGCTACCTGTTACGAATAAAATGATAGAGTTGGTGAATTTGAGATATAGAATAGAAAAAATCTCGGAATTTTACGGAAAACTATGCGGATATAGCCAAAGAGTGAGTATCAGCAGAAGATGACTCATTTTGTGGAAACGGAAAGTCTTGTGAAAAAAATCAGTCTGAAACTCGACTCAATATCAATCAAAACGTGTCGACTTAAAGTCGTCGAGTCAATTACTACATAATTTATTTATTTTAGGTTGAAAACGAAGAAAACAGAAATGGATAATAGAGTAATCATGTATATTGTTTTCAATATTATTATTAATTATTTAATTATTGCCTCATTTTAGGTGAACAAAGAGCTTCTTTACTCCAAATCTCTTTAAAATAGCCGATTTTCACTTTTCCGTTCTTATGAATTTAAGAAGTTGCTGTTAAATTTAAATGAAGTGCATATTATGCGGCGTGTACCGATATATTGACCTATTTTACCATTTTTCTATTATTATATTCCTTGACATATTTGTAAGAGGGTCGCTCCCTATGTTTTGCACTTACATAACTTTTAAACAAAAAAACAAACAAATCTGTAATGAAAAATTACCTTTTCCCATTGTCCGTATTTATCACGTTTCTCTACCAAATACGCTTCAATACTGGCTCCGCCATCCTCTAACGGTGGAGTCCACGCCAAATCGACATGATCTTTATCCCAGTCCGTTGCACGCAAATCATTCACCTTGCCGGGTTCGTCAAACGGATTTTTCGCCACGATTGTCTCTTCCGTCTCAAGAGGCTCACTTTCTCCTTCACTGTTTACAGCACTTACACGGAATTTATATTCTTTCCCAGGTGTCAAACCTGTTACATTTGCGGTGGGTTCAGTGGCACGGGTCGCAGGTACCCAACATCCTGTTTCAGGATCCATTTTGTCCACCTGATAGTACTCAATAGGTGTTCCACCATCATCATTTGGACGTTTCCATTTCAGTTTGCATCCCTCCTTGTGCACATCCGCCACCTTAAGCGGCCCCTCGGGCTTACCCGGTTTGTCCGTAATGACTACCTGGATTAGTACTTGATCTTTTCCACTGCTATTTGTTGCTGTCACGCAGTATTCGCCAGAATCAGCGCGTGTCACGGGTCTAACTGTAAGGCGAGTGCTATAGTCTGGTGAATCTATCGTCACTGTCTTGGATGCTTTCAATGGCATTCCAAGGAACCGCCACTCAACCACAGGAGCTGGCTCACCCGATACAGCAGCATCAAACTTCAGTGTACTCCCAGCAGATTGAGTTACATCTCGTAAATGTCGTCGATCAATTTTAGGAGCTAAGAAACGTGCCTTAGCCGTAAACTGTTTACTAGCATTCGACGGTTCACTAGGACCTGCTTTGTTTACAGCAATGACTCGGAACTGATACTCATTACCTTCAATCAGTCCATGTACAACTGCTGTAGGTGTGGCTGTTGTGGTTTCACAAGCCTTTTCCCACATTGGGGAGTATTTGTCTTTCTTTTCAATAATGTATCCTGTGATGGGTGTTCCCCCGTCCGATGCTGGTTCGCACCAAGCCAGCTCCACATGATTTGCTGACCAATCTATTGGTTCTGGAGCACCCGGTTGACTCGCAATAGCTGAAATGAAAAATAATAAAATTATTTTGCAAACAAACTGAATGGATGAAATTATATGCTTATATAAATGCCTTGGTATTACACCGTATTAAAATAGATCCTCTTTATGCCGGGCCAAGTTAAATGCTGCATTTATCATTAATGTAGCATTTAACAATATTCGGCTTTATTTTAGTCCATGGCGTTGATACCGGGACACACGCGCTTAAACTGAAATCGAAACATGTCGCAACGCGACGCGCAGTCACGAATGACGTTCAGTGAGGATGTGTGTGAGAATTTGACAGCTCACACGCATGCGTCATCGCGCAGTTTGAGCCGACTTTTAAGTCCATGTCGGACTAGCTTTAATATAAATGCTGCATTTATATTAAAGCCAACACGGCATAAAGAGGATCATAGACGTAAGTTACTTACTGAATGGATCTTTAGCCACGATGCTGCCGAATGTCTCCAAAGGTTCACTTTCGCCCTCTTTGTTTACCGCCTTCACTCGGAACTTATATTCATGATCAGGCGTGAGACCGTCCACTTTCGCTTCAGGCACATTCCCTATAGTCTTCAGCACTGGTAACCAAATTCCAGTTTCTGGGTCAAATTTCTCCACCACATATGCTTCAATAGGCTCACCGCCATCATCCTTGGGCTTTTTCCACTTAAGGGTGCATCCGTCTTTGTGTACGTCCGACACCTCAAGCGGACCTTCAGGCTTACCTGGCTTAGAGATTACCTCAATTTCCATTTCAGCCGTATCAGTGCCATACTTGTTGGTTGCCACAATTTTGTATACTCCTGATTCACGTCGCTCAGGATTATCGTTAAATAGCTTAGTGGAATATGGTTCAGACTCAACACGGCATCTGGTAGCTACTTTGAGACTCTTGTCATTTACTGTCCATGTAACCTCTGGTGGAGGTTCTCCAGAAACGCGAATGTCAAGGTAGATAGGTTCACCTTCGCGCACTGTCATGTTCCTAACATTCTTTCTGTCTATTTTGGGCGCCATTTTGCGACACTTGGCTACTACACTCTTACTCACAGCACTAGCATCACCGGGTCCGGCTTCGTTTACTGCACGCACGCGGAATTCATATTCCACGCCTTCTTCCAAATTTGGCACAGTTCCTTTACAATCAGTGACTTCGGCACCTTTCTGCCATCTTCCCACGCCTTTTTCACGCTTTTCAATTACGTACATCGTTATCGGCGAGCCTCCGTCATTTTCTGGAGGCGTCCATTTGAGGTCCACATGATCCTTATCCCAATCGGTAGGCTCTGGCTGTCCTGGAGCGCCAGGTGGATCGAACGGATTTTTCGCTACGATTGAGTGGTCCGTTTCCAAGGGATCACTCTCACCCTCGGCATTTACAGCGCTGACGCGGAACTTGTACTCTTGTCCAGGCACAAGATTGCCTACCTCCATTTTGGGCTCCTTACATCTCCCAACTGGTACCCACCGGCCCGTCTCTGTATCTTGCTTCTCTACTACATACTGTTCGATCGGCGCTCCACCATCATCCATAGGTGGGTTCCATTTAAGAGTACATCCCTCCTTATGCACGTCCGACACCTGGAATTATTATACATTACACTTCAATACATGTGCCACAAAGTATTTTGAAGTCTCACTCACCTTAATAGGACCCTCTGGCTTCGCCGGTCTGTCTAATACAATGACCTCAATACTTGCTTCATCTCGCCCTGATTCATTTTCCGCTTTAATCACAAGTCGACCTGTGTGTGACCGCGCGCAAATGGGAATATACAGTTTTGTGCGATAATCTTCAATATCGATGGTGCACTCGGGTGAGCTCTCTAGACGTGTCTTATTGAGGTGCCAGCTCTTCTTAGGGGGTGGTTCGCCGCTTACCTTCACGTCCAACCGAATGTGCTGACCAGCTTTCACGGTGATGTCCTTTAGGTTTGTGCGGTCGATCTTAGGTGCTGCAAATCTGTCTTTGGCTGTTAATGTATCTGACGCCTGACTGGGTTTGCTTGCACCCGCTTTGTTAACTGCTTTTACTCGGAATTGATATTTTTCTCCTTCAATCAGGTCCGGTATTCTAGCCTCGCATTTGGGGCCTTTTGTTTCCACTACCTTTTGCCATTTTCCAGTGAATGGATCTTTCTTCTCCACCTGATATCCTGTAATCGGAACTCCACCGTCATTTTTAGGTGGGGCCCATTTCAGGTCTGCGTGGTTTTTGCTCCAATCCTTTAGCTCTGGTTTACCAGGAGCATCAGCCACATCGTAGGGATTCTTTGCTGTGATAGCTGCATCCGTCTCCAGAGGTTCACTTTCACCTTCACTATTCACCGCTTTCACACGGAACAGATAATCTTTACCATCATTCAGTCCTGTTACATCTGCTTCGGGTGTCTTTGACGTTGTCACAGGAACCCATCTGCCAGATTCTGTGTCCATGCGTTCCACGACGTAGTGTGATACTGGTTCTCCGCCATCATCCTCAGGCTTATCCCAGGCTAATTTGCAACCTTCGGCGGTTACGTCAGCTACTTTAAGTGGTCCCTTTGGTTTGCTTGGTTTACTTAATACCTGCACCTCAACCTATTTGAATAAACACAAATGTTCATTTATACAATATTACTGTAAAATATATTCAAAAGTTAAATTAGAATTCAATCCCCTTTCTGGGACTAGAATTGAGTTCAAAACAAAAAAAGGAAATTGCCCGCAATTCGTTACGATAAATGGGGAGAACTTTCAAGATAAGGGAATAAGCGCATTTTACGCTATTTTCTGGCTCCTTTATGGAGTCATCCATCAGAGAGTTGTCAACGCTTAAATTGACAATTGGGATGTAGAATAGAATAGAATAAAAATATTAAAACCAACCTCCACCACGTCTTCTCCGGAGTCGTTGGTTGCTGTGACTATGTAAGTTCCTGAGTCAGAACGCACACATTTTTGAAGCACAAACGAAGTCTTGTAGTCTTCAGAGTCTATTTTAAAACGATCATTTGACTTCAACACTTGGTCTTTCAGCTTCCACACCACCTTTGGCGGGGGTTCACCGGTTACATCTGCATCCATGCGTAGCATCTGTCCAGTACGCACCACTTTTTTCTGAAGGTTTTTCCTATTTATGTGTGGAGCAAGATGACGCGGCTTCGCCACAACAGTTCTTGAGGCGTCAGAAGGCTCACTTGGACCGGCCTTATTCACTGCAATTACGCGGAATTCATACTCGTGACCCTCTTCCAAATTTTCTACATTTCCTTTTGTACGATCTCCTGGTACCGTAGCTGCATCAGTCCAAGCTCGGCTAGCTTTATCACGTTTCTGGATTATATACTTCTGTATGGGTGCTCCTCCGTCATCCTTAGGTGGTGTCCATTCCAAGTTTACAAATTCGCTGCCCCAATCGGTGGGTTGGGGTTTGCCAGGTTTACCAGGTTCGTCAAATGGATTCTTTGCAATAATAGTTCCCTCTGTTTCTAATGGTTCGGAATCTCCCTCCTTAGTCACCGCCTGTGAAATATATAGTATTGAAATTTACTTAAATAAGGTAAACTGAATATGCAGTGACCAAGCCACTAATTACCTTTACACGGAATTTATACGGTTTGCCTTCCTGGAGACCTGTTATATTAGCCTCAGGTTCTGTACTTTTAGCACACGGAATCCACTGCCCTGTGAGTGGGTCCAATTTTTCAATCTCATAGTACTCGATTGGCATTCCGCCATCATCCTCAGGCTTTTTCCACTTCAGCTTGCATCCATGTTTCGTGACATCAGACACATCTAATGGTCCTTTTGGTTTACCTGGCCGTCCTAGCACTGTGATTTCCACATCAGCCCGATCCTCTCCTATCTCGTTCTTTGCAATAATTGTGTACTTGCCCGTCTGGTTACGCTTCGCACGCATAATAAAGAATTTTGTGTTATAGTCAATGTTATCAATTCTTATATTGTCGTCTTTCTCAATTTCTTTTCCGTTGAAAAGCCATGTCACATGTGGTGGTGGTTCACCGATTATGTTCACATCTAGTGCCGTGCCCAGACCCGCTTTTACTGTCACCGGATTCAAGTTTGTACGATCAATGCGCGGCTTAAGGAAACGTGCTTTTGCTGTGTGCCAATTCGTTGATTCACTGGGATCACTGGGACCTGCTTTGTTAACAGCACGCACGCGAAACTTGTATGCTTGTCCCTCTTCTAGCTTTGGCACTACACCCTCACATTTATTACCAGGCACTTCGGCTGCTTTTACGAACTGTCCTGTATCTTTGTCCATAACCTCGATCACGTATTCCTTGATTGGTGCTCCGCCATCCCGGATCGGTGGTTCCCATTTTAGTTTCACCATATTTTCAGACCAATCCACAATGTCGGGCAATCCTGGTGGGGCTGGAGGATCATAAGGGTTCTTGGCTACGATGCTGCCTTCTGTCTCTAATGGCGGCGACTCGCCTTCCTCATTAACTGCTTTAACACGGAAGTTATACTTGTGACCTGGCTCAAGGCCTTTCACATCGTGCTCTGTAGCCGACGGATCCACTGTACCGCATGGCACCCACCTAAAATAAAGCAATTAAATTTTAAATGTATGCAAGAATGCTTAAAGTCCACGTTTATTGCACCTAATAAGTCGTGTAACCTCTCTTTTTGCAATTGTGTCTAGTTATCTATATATTTTGTTATTATTCTGAAGGAAAAAGGGCAGTAAAGTAATTTTTATTATCCTGTACTACAGAAGTGATGTCGTGAATATCGCAAGTTAAATATGTAACGGAGTAGTAGAAAGTCTCAACATTAAAGTAATTTATTTTTAAAGAAAATAAATATTTATACCTTCCTGTTGTGAGATCTTGCTTTTCCAGCACATATGCAGTGAGCGGCAATCCTCCATCGTCCTTAGGTTTCTTCCATTTGAGCTTACACCCTTCCTTATGGACGTCTGATACTTCTAGCGGACCCTCAGGTTTACCCGGTTTATCTAATATTGTCACCTCAACAGTTGCTTCATCGCGGCCACTGTCATTTACCGCTAAAATTGTGTATATGCCACTATTTACTCGACTTGTATCCGATAACATTATCTTCGTATTGTAATCTTCATTCTCAATACGACATCCTGCACCTGTCTCCAGTTTATTTCCCGCGAAACTCCATGTCACCACTGGCGGAGGTTCACCTTTGACATCCACGTCAAACTTTACTAGCTGACCTGCACGCACACGTACAGGTTGTAGCTTCTCCCGATTGATCAGCGGTTTAAGGAAGCGTGCCTTGGACACGTGTGGTTGACTTGAATCACTTGGCTCGCCAGGGCCTGCCTTGTTGACTGCTCGTACGCGGAATTGGTAAGTTGCGCCTTCACGCAGTCCCTCGACACGTCCCTGTGTCTCTGGAGTATTTGTAACAAGCGCTTCTTCCCATGTGGTCGAAAACTTTTCTTTGCGTTCCACTACATATCCCGTAATGGGAGCTCCACCATTGTTCTTCGGTTTCTCCCACACTAGGTCCACATGGTTTACATCCCAGTCCTCGGGTCGAGGCGTGCCGGGCTTTCCTGGTGCCTCATAAGGATTCTTAGCCGTGATAGCCATTTCAGTTTCCAGAGGTTCGCTTTCACCCTCCTCATTGATCGCCTTCACGCGGAAGTGATAGTCATGACCTTCAGTTAGTCCCTTAACGTCTAATTCTGTTGCGTTGCCATCAGTACGGCCCACTGGAACCCACCTTCCTGACGCAGTATCAAGTTTTTCCACCTGATACGCGGTGATAGGCTTCCCTCCATCGTCTTCAGGTTTGTCCCATTTAACCTTGCATCCATTCTTTGTCACATCTGTTACTTTAAGAGGCCCTTTAGGCTTAGCTGGAGCTGACAGAACTGTGATCTCTACTTCTGCCTCATCTTCGCCGTGCAAATTGCGTGCAATAATTTTGTAAATACCTGTTTGCTTCCTCACAGCGTCCGTAATGCTAAATTTGCTATTATACGGCACATTAACTATTGTGACACTTTTACTTGGCTCTACGTTTTCCTTTCCATGTTGCCACGTTACATCTGGCGGTGGTTCACCACGGATATTAACGTCGAAGCTTACTGATTTTCCAGCACGAATGATTGTTGTTTTCAGATTTGTGCGATCTATACGTGGTTTCAGAGATCTATGTCGGATTGTTTGCATCTTGGATGGGTCTGAAGCCGGAGATGGGCCTGCTTTGTTTACTGCCACCACTCGGAATTCGTATTCGCCGGTTTCACGCAGTCCATCTACCTTTCCCTCGGTTTGATCTCCTGGCACCTCTGCCGCCTTGTCCCAATCCGTTTTTCCCTTTTCACGTTTTTCTATCACGTATTTCTCTATCGCTGCTCCACCATCGGATTTCGGAGGCGCCCATTTAAGCTGCACACTCTCATTGTCCCAATCTGTTACTTCTGGGGCACCTGGTTTTGTGGGTTCATCGAATGGATTTTTCGCCGTAATAGATGTTTCAGTTTCCAGCGGCTCTGAATCACCTTCATTATTTACAGCACTAACGCGGAATTTATAGTCACTGCCTGGCGTGAGACCAGTAACCTCCATTGTGTTTTCATCTTTATCATTAGCAGGTATGCGACCAACTCTCATCCATTTGCCGGTGGCGGTATCCATCTTTTCAACTTCGTACTCCTTCACAGGTGTGCCACCATCGTCCTCAGGCTTCTTCCACTTCAGCTTGCACCCATTTGCATGCACATCTTCCACCTATAAATAAAAAAAAATTAGAAAATCAAGTAGTGACAAACAAACAGCAAAATCTTTTCCTAGCAAACTTCTCTATAAGAAACTGATTTATACTCCAACAGTGTATTTCCTCAGGGTTAAATTATCATTTAATAATTTGTGATATTAAGAAAGTTACTTAACTTAAGTGGTCCCTGTGGAGCACTTGGCTTGCCCAGTACACATAGCTCTACTGTTTCCTCATCTTTTCCGCTTGCATTTACAGCCTTAAGTGTGTAGCGTCCAGTATCACGACGTTGGCAGTTAACTATGGTGAAGTCCGTGTGATAATCAACATTCTCAATCTTGATGCGTTCCGTATTCGTGAGCGCAATATCGTCTCGCCAAATCCATGTGAGTGTTGGCGGTGGCTCACCAGCCACATCAACACTCCATTTATGTGTACGTCCTGCCTTTAGCGTAATACTTTTGAATGTTGTGCGATCAATACGTGGTCTGAGATTTCGGTGTTTGCACAAATGAGGCATTGTGGCTTCACTTGGTTTACTTGGACCTGCTTTGTTGTGTGCTCGTACACGAAATTCGTATGTCTGCCGTTCCTTCAAACCTTCAACTTTCACTTCAGGCTCAGGTCCTTCCGTGCGTGTTACCTCCTGCCAATCTGGCGAAAACTTATCTTTCATTTCGACGGTGTAATGCGTTATAGCTCGACCACCATCACTCTCAGGTGGAGCCCATTTGAGTGAAGCTGATACATTATCATAGTCAACTATGTCTGGTTTACCCGGTGCTCCAGGTTCATCATATGGATTTCTCGCAAGAATAGGCTCTGTAGTTTCTAATGGATCACTCTCACCCTCTTTGTTTACTGCCTTTACGCGGAACTTATACTTTTTGTTTGGAGTGAGACCTTTAAAGGTGAAAGAATCATCGTCCGGACCTGCTTCTCCGGCCGGTATCCATCGTCCTGTCTCCATATCCATTTTCTCAAGTATGTATCCTATGCGTAACAATATGGCAACAATTATTAAGTTTCGAGTAGTGTTTGCAATGGGTTACCGTATTATATGTACTCACCTGTTATATCAGATCCACCAGTGTCAGCAGGTTTCTTCCATTTCACCTTTACATGGTCTGCACGTACTTCTTCTGGTACTAGAGGTCCTCCGGGTGCTGTTGGTCTATCGAGTACTATCACATCAGCAACAGAGTCGAGTGTACCCGAACTGTTTGTGAGCGTTAGCGTATATTTACCCGTGTCGGGTCGGGCGCTTTTTCTCACCGTTAAGACTGTGTTCCGCTCGTATTTGTCTATTGTAATTCTCTGATTAGCGTCTTCCGTAATTACCTGTCCATCTTTTAGCCACTTCACCTCTGGTTCTGGCTCACCGCCATACTTTATGTCATACTTGATAACCTGATTCTTCTTCACAACAATATTTTTAAGACCATCGCCCACAATGAAAGGCTTCACAAAACGACATTTGGCAATGATAGGCTTAGTAGTGTCAGAGGGTTCACCTGGACCTGCTTTATTTACAGCTCGTACGCGGAACTCATATTGCCCGTTCTCTTTTAAACCATCAACACGATCCTCCAAAATATTTGGATCACTAATTTCCTTAGCCTTGGTCCAGTCTTTAGCAAACTTTTCTTTTGCCTCTATGACATATCCCGTGATTGGAGATCCACCATCTGTCTCTGGTGGCTGCCACTTGAGCTTCGCATGATCCACATCCCAGTCTACCACCTCAACATTTCTCGGTTTACCAGGTTCATCCCATGGGTCTTTTGCCAAAACAGGCTTCCCAAATGCTGCAGGTTCACTATTGCCGAGTTTGTTAGCAGCACGTATACGAAATCTGTATTGTTTCTTTGGTACTAGATCTGTGCACTTGAAAGTGAGCAACTTGGCATTGGGCTGTAATTCGCCTACGCCATCCCACCCACCCTTAAGGCTGAGATCTTGACGCTCTACCAGGTACTTCGTAAGTGGGGACCCACCATCGTCTTCGGGCGGTTTCCAGACTACCACACACGAATCCTGGAATACATCTTTTACTTCAACACTGCATGGTGGAGAAGGTACATCTTGAATTGTGAGCTTAACGTCCTTCACATCCTCACCCTGAGCATTACCAATGCGAATCTGGTATTGCCCGGATTGATCTCTAGATGGTTTTTTCAACTTAAATGTAACCTTGTTTTCACCGATCTGCACGTCTACATCTTTTGTAGGAAGGGTTTTGCCATCCTTTACTAATTTCGCCTCAATAGGACTTTGTTTCGTGCCCTCCACCTTAAAAGGTACTTCCAAAATTACAGGTTGACTCACAGGTGCTTCCACTTCATTAGGGAAATCTATAATGGGCCGTGATTCTCCCTTCTGCACTGTGAGCTTACACGAGCTGCTCAGCTTGCCTGACTCACATGTAATCTCACCATCATCTGACAATTCGAGTCCATTGAATATCAACTGGTGTTTTCCACCGCCCAAATTTTTCATCTCTATGCGATCAGATGCGGTGATTGGTTTACCGTTAAAACTCCAATCGGCCGGTGCTGTTTGATCTTGTAGTTCCACCTCCATTACGAGCTTTTCACGTTCCACGGCAATAGTATCTTTCAGTTTCTTATTGAATTTGTTCATATAATTTATAACGATCTCTGCTTTTGTCTCGTCAGCATTAGTAGTACATCTACAATGTTAAAAATATTTACAAATTTTATCAAATGCTTAAGTGATTTTTTTTCTTTTGACGATTATTCGTAATAAAAGGAACTGAATAATTATCACTTGTGCTTGTACTTACTTGTAGAATCCCGCATCTGTCACCTTGGCGTCCTTAATGACCAATTTTCGCTTGCGGCCATCTTTATGAGCTTGTATACGCTTATCTGGCTTTATCACTTCATCACCTTTGTACCAAACCACTTCGCCACGTGCATCGTCTAATTCACACGCAAGCGTTACAGTATCCTTTTCAACCAGTTGTTGCGACTTAAGAACTTTTGTGAACTTGTAGGGATATTCTACAAAAAATACGACATAATAAAATTTATTTTGTTTGCACACACTCGGTCAACTCACCAATGATTTTAACACTCGTGTCAGTGCGATCAGTTTGCTTCTCGATACGACAACTGTAATCACCTGAGTCACTGATCTTGCAATTCTTAAAGTACAGTTTGCAAGCACCTGATAATTCTTTACTTATGGCAAATTCATCACCATCTTCAAGTCGCTGATCACCTCGCCACCATGATACAATTGCCATATTGCTGCTCACACTGCACTCCAATGTAAGATCGTGCTCGGTAAAGCCGTCGTACTTCTTCTTCAATGGTTTCGTAAACGCATAAGATGGATCGGGCTCGTCAACGTTGAGGAAAGCAGTGGACACAACATTACCTATTTCAATTGTATACTTGCCCGTATCTTCCACCTTTGGTGTCATTATGATTAACTGATACGAGTCTCCTTCGTTTTTGAACTTATACTTAGAGCCTTGAAAGAGCTCCTATTCATAAGAAAAAAAGAAAGAGACAGAAAGATGAGTAATTTAATAAACATTCGTTTTGTGTCATATTTCTTATTTAGAACTTAAGGTGTTGTAGAAATCTGTACACTTACATCTTTGCGACAGAACCACTTTGGCTTACAATTAGGTTTGCTAAAACCAGCATCGAACACCACCTTTTTGTCTTTCCCTTCCTTAGCGTGTTGATCAATGAGAGGCCGAAGGAATGTGTCTTGTTTCTAAATGCCACAAAAAATACAATACAAGGATTAGGATCTGAATCGAAAAAATATAATGCCAGTGCAAATAATGAAAAATAAGAAGATATTCAGAGTCGGACATGGGAAAAATTAAGGGACTCATCGGCCCAAGTAAAGGCTTATATTCTTTTAAAAATATCTACCTTTACATAAAAATGTATGTCTCAACACAACTGAAACAGAAAAATGTGATTTGTATTTCAAAAGAATAAAACAAATACGATAAAACTCTTAACAAAAATAATCACCACCACCTGCAAAAAATTCGAGTGGAAAACGACGAGACCCAAAAACTGCGAGATTGTCGAAAAGAAGAGAAAGGTAGAGAGAGAGAGAGAGAATAAATTTGTTAGATTGTTCTATACTACTGTAAAAAGGCACTGTCTCTCGCAATATACTTGAAATATGCTTTTAATCGTAGTAGGCTCATATAGAGAGAAACATCTACTAAACCGACTCACTACAGTCAAAAAGCTACAAATACTCACACTAGGTGGAACTAAGAAAGACTCAAATATAACTGTTCAATAAATTTAAAAAGTCAATATATCCAAAAGGCTATTAGCATTTTAACTACGTCTCTCTCTTTTTTTAAATTTCAGCTAATTGCATCCTTCTTACTCGGTTTAGCAGTTGCTTTGGTTCTCCAAAACTTTGAGAGACAGTAACCATGGAAGAGAGTTAAGAGGGATATATAGATTTTAAGATAGAAATAGAGAGAATAAATGTGGCTTTTGACAGACCTCTTGACGTTGAAATGGATGCAAAGTGGGCCAATCGGGTATTAATTCAGCCAATGAGGGACGTCGCGATCCAATTGCCTGTGCATCATTTATCAATTTGACATTATTGACAGGGCTAAAATAAGTGTACTGGGTGGAGGACAGGAGAGAGACGGCTGAACTCTGTGTTACGTACTGACATACAGAAACACAATAGTACAACGATCGCCGTCCTCTCTGTTGAAAACACTCAACAACAACCAAATCACACTCGTAACGCGCCAAGGATTTGTCGTAGGATATCTTTAGGTTTAGGAAGGTTGTATTTTTCCCATTACATTGCTTTAGTTTATATCGCATGGTTTAATTTGAATGTTTTATATGAAAGAGAAGGTGAAACTGCAATTTGGGAACTACATAATATTTAGTGTTCAATTAATCAGTTTCTCTTTCTCATTCGTCGTTTATTAATGATTCAGGCGTTATTAAGGCAATTAATCCCATTTTTATTCGTGACACCGTCACATTAAATTAAATTTTGATTTGCTTTATTGCCAACCTTCACTTTAACAGCTTCTATAAGTTTAGGCCAATCAGGAATTAATTCCTGCAGCGACGGTCGTCGTCGTATCTCGAAAATATCCTAAAAGTAGTTATAAAGGGCGTAATAAGAAAACGCGAAATTTAGTTTATGGGTGAGCTGGGCCGTCCGACAAACTCTAATTGTGGTACACAGTCTAACCGATGTGAAAAAAGACCAGTTTCAAGTGATAGTTTTCAACAGTCATATCTCCAGGTTAATATTTTAATCCAGACTGCAACCTACTGAAAAATATAATCCACATATTGATGTTGATTGCTAAGATACAACATAAGCACTGAAATATTCATGATACTTGAACACGTCTTTCAACTAAAGATATAGTCAAAATCTATGACCATACGCTAATTCACAATTTTTGTGTTCCTAATTCAATAATAATAATAGCAAAGTTCGTCAAAAATTTATGTCTTATCAGTGACATACTAGGATTGAAAGAACAGAAAATTAGGTTTTTTTTCTCTTGAAAAGACTGTGATCGTGCAGCAGAAATATTGAGAATATCTATTATTGCGTTTGCAGTATGACAATCTTATTTTAAAGCGCAGAAAGGGATGGCAGCTGAAGTAGTCGCTTAAGCATTCAACGAAGTGTATTTTGAACCACCGCACAAAGATGTGCGGTTGGATTTGACAAAGAAAAAAAAAATTAGAAGACAACGGATTTTTAGAAAGAAATGTATATACAATTTGCACCATTTGCTTGGTGTGAGTATTTTAACGATGGAACACAAAAAAAATTCAGTATCGTTCTTCGTCATTTCTAATATCCTTAGAACCCGTGTTACTGCATGGATGTTTTCTCCTGAACGACCGTTGTCCTCGAGTGTGAAACTATTGATTGGATGAACAGTCACAGATAATCTTTGTATATAGTTGTCAAAACATAGAACCAACGCTTACTTTTCCATTCGTCGACTTTTAATCTAAAGGGAAATTCTATATTTCACTTAATTTTTTTTTTTGTATGTAACCACAATAATAAGAGCTGTGTTTTGGCCCAACTCAAATTTTGTATCATATAAAGAGAGGAAAACGAAACCACCATGTCATTTCCGTATTTGTTCCGAACCTTGAGCCATTTCCAGTGCGACAGTCCACGCTTTCCAGCTGGAACTCGCGCAATCTGCTGCCCTTCACACAGTATTATAACATACTGATTCCCCTGTTCATCACTCTCCTCCAAGTAGCCCGTAAGATGGCAATCCAATTCATCACACTAACAAACAGCCATTCATTCCACAAAAAAAAGAGAATGGAATCAATAGATATGGAATAGAAGTCAGAAAATGGTGTGAAAGGGGAGCCACAGTCAAATCGGCAGAGTGTGCTACGCTGGACTGAAAGTAACAATATTTCTGGAAATTCATGGACGTGGTCAGAGATTTTCTCTTAACTTTCCCATTTACGAGTATCACTACCTGAATATTCTGCTAGAGAAATAATTTGTAATCTAGTCAAAAGTTTAATTAGATGGACGTTGCAATATAGCATAAGTTTTCCCAAAAGTTGTTTCGAAAATTCCTTTTACATGTTATGATTATTATCGTGATTAACTCAGTCTTGTATTTGCATTATTTAGCTACAGATATATCTTTTATTGCAAGATTTTGCAATTTTGATGAAGTCCAATATTTCCATGGGAAAATTCATGCTCTTTCATCAGCATCATGGTATTTTCCTATTATATGCATTATAGAAAGTATGTAATATATATTATTTTGGGGACTGACCACGTCCGATTATTGTGTAATATAAAGAAAAGCTGATCAGGGTTTGAACCTACCTTCTCAACTTTTTTCAGCGCTGGCATGGGTTTGTCCACTTCTTTCAGGTCACCCCAATCAGGATCTGTTTGCTCCTTCGCCCACTTGGCGTACTTTCGCTTCTTGAGCATCGCACGGAAGTCCATGCCACTGGCATCAGACACATACAGTTGCATTTCGGCCGTGTCTTCGCCATGGCAATTTGATACAACGATCTTGTATTTCCCTTCATCATTAGGCTTCACCTTCCGCATACATAGCGTGATTGAGTTTGTTTCCCCATCAGTGAGAAATTTGAAGCGTCCACCCTCAATAATCTCACTCACGCCTTTGTAGAATTTAAACGTAGGAGCTGGACTGCCCTCCACTTGTACTGTAATGTAGCCAGTCTGGTCTGTTGAGGGATTGACACGTTAGCGAGTGAGAAAAATTGAAGTAAGTGCGCACAGCAGAGAGCGAAGGAGAAACAGATAGCGCAGAGAGACAGTGATAGCGATACAAAGTAGACAGAGAGAAAGAAAGAGAAAGCGAGAGCGAAAGAGAGAAAGAAAAATTCTTCTGTTAGATAATATCGAAGACTTAATATCGACAATCTGAAAAATTAATATATTTGTGGATACACACACACACACGCACACATACACGCGCACACACGTACGCACACATATGCTTTTATGATTTTCCTTCAAATAATTAATTTTAACATAAAGTGATAGTTGCAGAAACCTGCGATTTAAAAAATATCTTTACTCTGATTTGAACCTCATTTGTAGCACATTTTACGAAAGAAATAACATATATTTCCGCAAGATCAAATTTACGAGAATTTTCAATTTGATTTATTGTTTCATTTGAATCTGGTACGAATTCTTGTCCTGTGAAAAATTGCTTGTTTATGAGTAAACACTTACCGTCTATATTACTATCTTTATACGAACGATATGGAAAATGAACCATCTTTTCCAAATACATGTAATGGTCATTTTCATTCACCATTTTCACTAATATGTCGGTTCTACCGAAAATAACAATTTTGTGTCTGCCTTTACGTCATGAACTTTGAGCATTTTCCTTATTCCTCCCTCGCGCTCACTGCAGGTGGAAATTTTTCAAAATAATTCCGCTAAGACACGTGCCAGAAAGTTGAAAAATTACGAAACGTATGACGAAGAGAAAGATACAAAATTCCATCACAGAACTCCGAAAGGAAATATGACATAAGCCATTTAATTCATTCCATTACTTATTTTGCAAATTTTCAGACCATTAGTATATTTCAACGGACTCGTAGACTTCTTCACAACACGTTGAAGCCCTTTAAAAATTTTCTGTTGCCTATCAAGATTGTAAATCTATACAGTATTACAGATTTCATATGTCAATTCTTAAAAATTACAATTTTGTCATGCAACATGCAACTTTGAGCTCTTATTAACCCTTGTTGGCAGCCGCTAGGCGACTGCCAATATTTTCCCCCAATACTACTATAAACGAATTAATTTCCAGAAACTTTCGGAGAATAGAAAACCAATAAAAAGATATCTTCATGCGTTATGTTCCCTGACATTGGGTGCGTTCCAGATAAGATGCCTAAAGCAGCCCATACAGAAACTCAATCAGTTTCTCTTCAATAGATCAAACCATATCCAGTAGCCCAATTGGAACACTCAGATGAACAAAAAATGACCAAATAAATACAATCAATCTGGGCTTGTCAACCAGAAAACATTTAAAATTGTCTAATCTCTAGATTTTCACGTGAATTTTTCGACTTTTCTCGACCGCAATCGCCGAAATATATGAATTGGCTTCAAGCGTGAACATTTAGAAAGTTTCAGGTCTTGCAGAAATATATTACAATTTTGTAAAGAACAGTAAACGCAATCTTGCACCGCAGTTTAACGAATTCATAACTTTAGCAGCTCATTAAAAATGGTATCCAAATAAAATTGAATGGACCCCTTTATTTCCAATAAAACTTACATAAGATGTGCTTAACGCTTAAATAATAACGATATAATTATGTTGGAATATACGGAAAATTGTTCTGCCGTAGCATTCGACTTCAAAATTTGTTCTATTTATATGTACATGCACTTCGAATCCTGGAATAAACATCACATAATCAGAGGATGTAATAGAAAATAAAAGAAGTCCAGACAAACTTTGTCAGTTGCTTAACTTATTCAACACTTGAGGTTAATGCAAAGAGATATCAGTTAGAGTAAACAAATACATGCGCCATCTATTAAAGCATTTTACATTCTCTCTCTTAACACCATCACGATGTCGACCGCTGTTACCTTCTACTGCGGAGTAGCTTTCTTGCACGTCCACAATGGCAGGAGGACCCACCTCGCCGATATCACGAAGTGGTGTCGATGGTTGATTAATTTTATCCTCAAGGTCTTGTACACTGGGTCGACGCAGATCAACACTAGGTCGACGTCGCTGCAAAACAATGACCATTAAGTGAGTGCGCTGCTTCAGAGGAGCGGAAAACAATGAGAGAGCTGACATAAAATATGAATGAAGCTCAGCAACACACAGAGTTTCTATATACATTGCGGAAAAGAGACACAATGGTTTAGACACACGTAAAGAAAGACAGAGAAAGATAGAGAGCTGAAGAGAACAGGTAAAGAGAGAGATTGTGTATCGTAGAGAGCCAGACGGTTCTTTCCTGTCTCTAGAGACCCCGGTTTTAGCCACAGTGGAGTAGTAGACACGAGTCTGACGGACCATGACCATTGATGGGTATAGATTCTACTGAATATGCCAATAGCAACCCATCAAGACCCATTTGTCCAATATTTTCAACTATCATAAAAATTGCATGTGAACCTGCTTTGATGACGACTCCAATTCGCCTGGACGCCCACCTTTCTTCATCTGCACTCCCAGAAGAAAACAGAAACAATTTAATGTACATTACTCAACTTTGGAGCAAATCTTCTAAACTTTAGAGATCATCAACATCATTTCGAAATATTGTTAGTGAGAATCTTCTGAACTGTATGAGAACTTCTGGTGATAGTTTGTGGGTGTAGAAATAGAGGTTATGTGAAAAGTAAGAAAGAGATAGACAAAGCAATGAAATTGATGGTATGAAAAATACGACTCCCATTCTCATAATCGCGATAAATTCTTTCATCAGTCTCTTTTGAAATGAGAAAACCACACTCTAGGCTCACCTTTGGATCTAATACCTCGCCAGGTCTCAGTTTAGACTGCAATATTGGACATGGATAACTCCATTAATTAATTAACATCATCACAATTATGGGAGATATGAGTGCGGAGTAAGGGAATTCAGTGTGTTGGATATAAGTATATATGTATTTCGTACAGACAGAAGCTACGAGAATGCCAGACATCAAAGTGGATTCCTCTGGTGGCCACGGAATTGGCATAGTTCTTTGGTGTATGCATTGTTTACCTTCATATTTGACAAAATGAAAATTGCTGAACACTGAATTCACTCTGACTTCGATGGACTTGTTGAGAATAGACAAAACACGGCAGAGCGAAAGAAAGAGCAAGAGAGACATAAGACATGGACAACAGACAGACAGTGTGACCTTTCGAATTACCTTTTTCTCTTCCACAACCTCGCCAGGACGAAGTTTTCTGTTTTCCTGCCATGGGAGTTATGATGAATGAGTTTATTTGAGATATTGAAATAAGTTTTAGTGAGTGGAGCTCTATCGGGATACCTGCCGAACAAAAGGAAATGGGGCGACACAATCTTGAGTTACTCACCTCGTCGTTTATTATAAGACTAGGTCGGCGGCCTAACTCATCAGCAGGTGGAATAAGAGAGCCACGGCGACTTGATGGACCCGACCCAGGAGCTAGGCTGCTTTTTCGATCCATGAGCATTGGACTCTTTTCACGACTCACCTCAATTTTGGGTGCCTCAATTGTAGGCGTTGTTTTGATCTCGGGTAGTTTTGACTTTACCTCGTCCTGGAAAACGCAAACCGTAATTAAGTTATGCTTAAGCCACGAGCCACGCACGATAGTACCATCGATCGTCAATTGCATGACTTTAGATGGCACGCGGTATACACAGGAAAGTACCAATGTGACTGGTCCACGATTAATACAATATTCAGACGCACTCGTCGCAAATATTATTTATAGCTCATCTCATAATTATTTTCCCCACCTGCAAATTGTTTACTTCGGTTTTACTGTCCCGAAAGTGCTCGAACTGAGTGATATATACCTTGGTATTTGCCGCGTACAGACGAGCCCTATTATTAAAATAATTCATAAGCTAATTGTGTAATTTTAAACATGCTTTACACACTATTAATAGGTCATAAATGACCTCCATATATCTTATTTAAATGTCAACTGTTGCCGCTTGCCAATTCGTCATCACGCGGAAATAAAATTTACCATATCTTAGTTACCGGATGTTTAAGAATAAAAAAAAAATCCGAAAGAGAATGATCCATATATCAGCATTTTTATTCCAAGTAGGGGTGTTCAAAACCAAAAGTTTTACTTTTTAAACTTGCTGAGGAATTTTACTGAAGAGAAACGACAGTATTCGTGATTAACATACCTTCTTTTGTTTAGGTACGTCAGTTTTCTCGTATTGTTCCAGCTCAGGCCGCTCATAATCTGGTATTTCTGGCAGATCTTCGTAAGCGCTGGGCTTTTCCTTTTTCCCTTTAACGCCATTCACCTTCAATTTGATTTTATCCTTTAATAAAAATCGACTATTATTTATTGAGAAATATAACTATGTGATCGATTTTACCTTTGGTGCGTCTTCTTTGTGTTTTTCAGAAATCTAAATATGGTGTGTGCGAAACGCAGGGAAATAATAAGTGATCTAGAAGGAATACTATTTACTTGTTTACATACCTCTGTCGTTGAAACTTCTGGGACCTTCTTAAGTTCTACTTTTTCTTGTAAAGCGTCTCCCTTCTCTGGAAGTCCCTTCTTTGGTATCTGCAGTCTATTTTGTTCTTTCTCATTCTCGGACTCCTACGCGAAAGTGGCATCATTGATGGTATTTATAAGTTTTTATTTCCTTACCTTTATTATGGGTGCCTTGAGTTGGTCTTTTTTCTGCTCAGGTTTGGGAATCACGTCGAGAGTGGCCTGCTTTGCTTGTGCAGTCGGTACAATTTTGGACTTTTCTACTTTGCTTGGTTCAAATTCTGTTGGCTGATACTCTTCAAGTTCGGGTCTATCGTAATCTGGTATTTCAGGTAGGTCCTCATACTTTTTAGCTTTTGGTATTTTCACTTTTGCCTTCTTGGGCTCTTCTTTTGGCTCTTCTTTCACTTTGGGTTGAACTTTCTTCAATCCTCCTCGGATATCTTCAATTTTCTCGGCCTGCTTTGGTTCCGCTTTCTGGTGCAAATAAGAAAACAGAGGACTGTGCATAAGTTAGGGTTTAGGATAAAGGATTAGGATTACACGAGAAGCAAAGATCTCAAAAGTGACAGAATAAACAAGCGACAGAAACAGACTAGAACATGAGACAAAGTTGACAGCACATGGAGCCAACCTTCCCGTTCACCATCTGTGGTTTGAGAGGGGTCCTCAGCTCTTCAGTTGATTCTGCAATTTCCGCCTCTTCCTCCTCATCCGGGACATATTTCATGGGATCGTACTATCGTAGTTGAAAGTTAGTGAGAAAGGGCTCTCTAAGGTGATCAGCATATAATCATTGGGAAAAGACATAGGTTTCTAGGGTCAGTGGAAAAGACAACACAGAGTGGAAAAACCTACAGAGGATAGAGAAAGACAAATGTTCTGAGTACTGTCTTCTCACCTTAACTCGAGACTTAAGGGCACCAAGTTTGTCTTGAGGTTTTTCATGAGCTTGCTGGGGTTTTACCTCGTCCACTTCTTTGAATTCCTCCAATTGTCTCAATTCAGACTTTGGCTTTGGTTTATTCTTAAGGTTCTTCTCGTGTTCTTCCTGCATATTTTGCTCTACCTCTCCTTCAACTTTGTCATCAGATTTGGCCCCAGAAATAACTTCAGATTTTTCATCTGGTTTCTCTTTAATTTTTTCTTTCTTCTTTCCTTCGGGCTTCAACTCTGGTATATCATCGGGCTCAATAAACACAGGCTTAGCCTGTTGCTCGTCTTGAATCCCAGAAAGAGGTTTCTCTTCCGTATTCTTCTCTTTGGCTTTTTTTGTCTTTTCTTTGGACTTACTCAGTTCACTCTCATGTTTATTTGCCCTACCCTCGTTACCCATGGACTCCTATAAAACAATGTCTGTGCAAATTTTGGAACAAACAATGGGTGATGTGCCTCAAGTGAGGGCAAGTAAATTGGGTTGGTGAGGGCATTGAAAAAAGTGCTAGTGACATTTGAACTTACCTCCTTCTTCTGAATACTCAATTTCTTCTCTGTGCTCTCTTCTTCTGTCTGCAGTGAAGATCGACGAGACACCTTGCCATTCTCTGCAACGATCTGTTCTTCACGTCGAATAGAGGTGCGTCGTGACTGAGATTTCATCTGCAAGAAGTGTCGACAAATAAAACATTATGGTTGACCTGTATAATATTATTTATTGACTCACTTCGATAGATTCCTCTGCGAAGTCGTCACTTTCAGTTGTATCCTTCACGTCTTCAATAACTTGATCCACTTTTTTATTTGCTTTTGCTACTTTCTGTTCTTCTTTTGGCTTCTTTTTCTCTTCTTCAGCTTTTCTTTCTCCTTCTAATTTTGTCGTCTTCTTCTTTTCGTCCTCAGCTTTAGTCTTCTCTTTCTCAATCTTCTTCTCTTCTTCAGTTTTCTTTTTCTTCTCCTCAACCTTCTTTGTCTTCTCCTCCAAAACCTTGTTATTTTCATCAGATTTTGTCTTCTGCTCTTTGGATTTTTTCTTTTCTTCATCTGCTTGCTTCTTATTTACTTCCTCTATTTTTTTATCAATTTCATTTTCCTTCTGCTTTTTCTCTTCGACTTTCTTTTCTTCAGTGGTTTCCTCTGTTCCTTCTTGTTCGTCAACGTTTTCTTCTTCTTCTTCTTCTTCTTCTTCTTTTTTGTCCTCACTTTCTACTATCACTTGTGTCACTGATTCATCAGACCCGTACTCATTGATCACAACCACACGATATTTGCCACTCTGACTACTATGACTTTTGCTTACACTCATTTTTGCCGTGGTACCATCAAACGTTGTACGAAACTGTGAATCACGCACAATCTCTTCATTCTTATACCACTGAACCTTAACTCGCTTGTCTGCCTGTTTAAGAACAGCTGACAACTCCCACTTGACGCCTTCTTGGACACGTACAGATACCAGTCCACTCGCTAGCACCGGTCGCTCTCCCTTGTCTTCCACCAATACATCTTTCAATTCTACTGTTTGCGAAGTGGCTTCACCGCGCTCATTGCGCACTATTACGCGATAGTTGCCTTTGTCCGTCTCTGCTACAGGACATATTTCCAGCTGCACCGAAAATTCACCTTCCTTTGTAGACTCTACGCGCACTTCATGCCGATTACCCTCTTTGAGTGGAGAGTCCTCTTTGAGCCAGGTCACTTGCGGTTTAAACTTCGATACCACAGTGCACTCAATTACAACAGTCTTCTTCTTCACTATTTTTATGAGTTTAGGCTTGTCTTTTATCACAGGAACAACTGCAAAAAATCAGACGTTCATTAAAATTATTCTTATAATTAGCTACAACACTTTCTATGCATGCTTTATTCCAGAAAATAGTACAGTGGAGGCAATAATCTCAATATTCACTAGTATAGCCACAGTGAGCGGCAATGCAGTGATAAGTAAGACTTAAAGATCTATCTGCAATTTACCCCGAGAATGCAAAGCAGAACTTTGTTTTGATTCATAAATTGAATGATTTGTCCCCGTGTTCTGATAAAAGTGTTTTCTCACGAACAAACACTGTTTCTAAAACCTTTAGTCCGCGCCAAGAAAAATATAAATCTTTATTACAATTTTGGAGCAATACCGATATGTCTAAAAGTTTAAAGCTATAATTTTGGATATAAATGGAGTGTTTTTAAATTTGTATTGCATCAAGAAGTTTATCTAATGTCATCTGAATTTTAACTTTTGGTTTTTAAATTTACTTACTCTCGATGTTGAGCGTAAGATTAGCGTTGAGTTCGCCGAGTGCATTTTTGATGTTGCATCTGTACAATCCTGAGTCACTAAGCTCTGGCTCGGTGAGAACCAACTCGATATCATACTCTTCGCCCTTCTTCACCACACTCATTTTAATGCGATGATCTTGTTGTACTGTCTCGCCGTCTTTTGTCCATATTACTGAAGGCTCTGGGTTTGCCTTAACACGACATCGCATTATCACCAATTTACCATTATTTTCCGACATAATTTGTGGTTTCTCCACAAATGTGGGACCATCGCCTTCAGGTTCTGGCTCGGCCTCTATATTCAGGTTGAGATTGGCATTGCTCTCGCCAAATTCGTTCTTTACGTGACACCTATCAAATATGGAATATAAATATAAATATATTTAGGAAAAAATCTCCACGAAAATTTTATTTACATATGTATGCATTACGAATAACAAATGGTGACGCTATGAGACAAAAAAAACAACTTGGTAATAAATTTGTTTTAAATCGTATTTACAGTGGAACTTTTTCATACTTGTAAATGAAACGGACAAGACCCAGCAAAAACACTAAAATATTTCTCTCAACGTTCCGAAACTCTTATTAAGTTCTTATTTTAACGCTAAATGGAGAGAGGGGCACACATTGTGGGCTGCATAAAAAAGGTATCAAAAACAGCGACGCCCAGCTTTTCTTTTAAATTAGATTAGATTAGAAATATAATTGATTTTGTTACCTGTAGGTTCCACCATCAGGTGATGACGGGTCTCGTATCTGGAGTATCAAGTCGTATACGTCTACTTCGTCAGCATCTGTGCTTTGGGTACTGCTAATGGCCACCTTTGACGACTCAGTAACGATATCTTGCCCGCGATACCAGGTGACATCCGGCTTGGGCTTAGCCCGACATCTGCACTTCATAGTAATAAGGGACCCAGACTCGTTTGGAATGATCCGTGGCTTCTCGATAAAAGAAGGCGCAAAACCATTTGGATCGTCACCACCTGTTACAAATATTTAAATTTGTAACCTTGAAGTATACAGTAGGCACAAAGCATCTAAAGCAAAAGCAAGTGCACGATTTTACCTTGGAAATTGAGAGCAATATTAGCATTACTTTCGCCATAACTGTTGAAAGCATTGCATCGATAATTTCCGCCATCTTCACGCGTCGGATTCGATATTTCTAAGGTAAGTGTATACGTATCACGTGAAATAGCACGCCGAGACATTGTGATGCGTCCTGTATCAGAAATAGGTGTGCTGCCGCGGAACCATAAGATATCAGGTACAGGATGGGCTTCGAGAATGCACTCCATGATGAGAACATCGCCCTCCTGCTTTATGGTAGGTTTCTTGGGAAAGCGCGGAGATTTTCCATCTGGAATTCTGATTAGGGGCGTCTTTGAAACATTGTCTATCTAAATATTCATTTGCTGAAATAATTCATATCAAAGTACAATATTGCCCATTAGACTGTTTATTTATATCTTGCTTCTCCCTGGTAAGAGTAATGAAATGCGAGTATTCTACTCGGCAATCTGATTTTTATGGTAAACACACAGTGTTTTACGGCGAACTTTTGTGCAATTGAATCTCTCTCTACGCCGAGCGCTCCGTGCATTCTTTTCTTTCCCTTTAAGTTCCAATGGAAAACAATAAAAGAAATGTGGTGTCTTATATATCTTGCGGTGGCGTTATAAAGTTTGCCGCCTAGTATTCGATAGAGCACAATATCACATGCTTTCTATCGCGATGACGCTGCGATAAGATTTTGAAAAAGCTGCCGTGATTTGTTCAGGTAAGTACACTGAGTAAACCTATAGCCGTATTGAGTTCATTCAGCTCGAAAGGCATACTGTGCACTGGCTTATGACAGTTTTTTGGCGAAATATTGATAACTCATTCATCCGTGAAGGAGGAAATCCTATTCAATTAATTTCCTCTTCATTAGCCACAGATTCGGGATGGAGTTGATATCAAAGGATTCACACGGCTAGATTTCACTTTCGTCTCCATACCAATCACATAAAGGATCCATTAGAACGACCATGCGGGAATTTTCTCTCAACTCAAGCAGCAGTACTCGAGAAGCTTCAGCGGCAGTTTTAGGATCTCCTCAGCTGAGTAATTTGCCCATAGCGCGAATATCACGATCACTCAATATGTTCTTCGTGGCATAATAATAACAACAATAATTTTATTTGTAGTTCATGCCAATGTTTGCGTATTAAACAATTATTAATCTCATGTGTCACATGAGAACACTAGAAACCGTGACACTAAAAACACGAGCCACTTCATCATTGCCTTTGTTCTTTTGCTGTTCTAAAGAAAGGATTCTTTTCCTTGGACTCTAATGAAATTTAGTAGCCATGATTACAAATGCAATAGCGTTGCGTGTAGCACGTCTTATCACCAAAAACTGATCAAGAATTAATTTTGCGACATTGGTAATGTCATAAAGTGCAATAATAGAAATCATAAAGTAGAAAATATAAGGCTAAAAAGAGGTACAACACCTCTTACTCGGAGAAGTCTTATCATATTGATACGAATAACACTCGAAACAAAACAATTTGAAATGGCAATTGACACGATGATATCCAATGAGGCAAAACATCCGTCCATGGAGATATTGGCCCTAAAGCTCCTCTTGAGATACGAGAATCATGACATTGAATCCAAAGCTTTCATTGCTCGAAGAGATTTTGCACTTTAACCTTTTAACTCCTTAATTAATTGGAAATAAGTCTCACTAAATCTGCGCTTATTTCATTTTGCTTTTTGCTTATTTTGCTTTTATTTTGTCCATGGCGAAAGAAAGCATGTGAAGGGCCATACGTGCAAATAATTAGTGTTAATTTCTATCGTCTACAATTTGTCTGGAGAAAACTCATCCAAATAAAAATATCCTATCACGTTACTAACATCTCGTATCGCCAATACTCTTACAAGGCGGAAACGAGAGTTTACCTCTCATTTGTAGCTATAAATTATATGATTATAAATTTATCAACTGTTTATGCCCAATAATGTTTTTGAAAACCAATGAACTCATCAACTCACTTTGGTTTATCTCCCCCTTCGAAGTTAAGGTTGATCGTGGCCACGCCCTCGCCATGTTTGTTGCGGGCCACTGCCCTGTACTCGCCACGATCCCCATTTACGACCCCATTTATCTCCAACTTAGCTATATGGTAGAGCTTTTGGTCTGGCTCTAACGTGATGCGATATCGTCCGCCATCCCGGACCTCTTCTTTGCCATGGTACCACAGCACCGAAGGCTTCGGATCACCAGCACAGCGGCAATCAAAAGTAATTCGACCCCCGTCCTCTGATTGCCTAATTACAGGACGCTCCGTGAAGGTAGGCTTTATCCCGTCATCCGGCACGGGTGCTTCGTCGCCTGAAGAAGGAGTGAAGTTAGCTTGTCCCCGGATATATCAAGTTGTCACTGCGTTGCTCTAACTAGCGATCATATTACCTGTGGCGACGATTCCATATCGTCATGTCATATAAGCATAGGAGATAAACGTCTCCAAATTACCACAGTCAGATTGACAAAAATTGGTAGGCAAACTATCACATCGGTCATGTCATATTCAGAGGTGTTGTCTAAAAAAAGCAAAGGCAAATAGGCGTGGCCAGGACTTACAAAGCCTGAAAACTACAAAGAAAGTATAATATACGTTGCATTGCATGGATATGAATTTATTGCATTAGAAAAAGAACTAGTATAAGGCAAATAGAATGTCGGATAATCTCTAAAAATCAGTAATAAATCCAATAAGTCATTACTGAGCTCACAGTAGGGAGACATATCTTATACTAAGAAAAAGGAAGATATTAACCGAAGTTCTCTCTACTCATTGAAAATCTGTCTATACCTACTGACTAAACATATTGGAGTTTGTGTTCAAAGAAATCTAAATCATATAAAATTTAAATTCAATTAATAATCCCAGGAAAGAACAATCTCTGCTGGCCATACGAACGTATTTTAAATTATATTCTCAAACGAAAGTTGAAGATTCTGATTTTACAAGCATATTTTCTTCGAAAAATTTGTGTTTACAAATTCAAAAGCAATGAAGTCCGGGCAACGCTTAAGGATCTACGCAGGGTTTGGGCTCCTGGTAGAATTGCAAAATTGCAAACAAAACAGACAAGAAACGTTCCAAGACATTATAATAACGAAAAAACACAAGTTAGAGCAGCGCCAGTGTTCCAAGTTATTTATAAGGAGTTATACTCACTATCAAAATTCAGGCTGATTGTTGCATTACTTTCGCCAAGCTCGTTCTTTGCTGTCACCTTGTACTTTCCCGCATCCTCTACCGTAACATTTTTTATTTCCAATGCAGCAAAATAAAAGTGACCGTCGTCTTTGCTAATCGTGGGCTGCAAAAGAAGCGGAAAATAGTTTTCTTTTTTTCTTAGTAACAATTACCTTACCCCCATACCTTATGTCGTGGAGTTTCTGATACAACGTTGCCATTATGTGACCATGTGACTGTAGGTTTAGGATCTGCTTGAATTCGGCACTCAAACATGAGTCTTTTTCCATCATCTTCTTGTCGTATGGCAGGTTTCTTTGCAAACGTAGGCGCTACACCGTCGATTTGTTTCTCTTTCGGTTCATCGGCAGCTGTAAATAATTTGAGTGGGATTGAACAAGAAGTAAGAATGAATCATATTAGCTGGGATTTTCATAGACAACTACTATGTGTTATCTTACTCGAGAAACCTTAAAACACCGAACCCCAAAACTTAGTTTTGGGGCACTTAGTTTTGGTATCCAGCAATTGTTCAGGTCGCCATACGCGGCCTGATATGAAACATTGTCTGAAATCTGCCAAACAGCTCTTACAGCTAGGCAGCAAAACTCTCCAATTTGTAATGAATGGATGAAAATACAATACAATACAATAAAAATGAGAAATTAGGTATTTTGTATAGATGTGTACGAGGATGCGCATATTTTTCAATAATACAACACATTACATATTACTGTAATATTACAAAGTAATATACCTATGTCCAGACATAGTAAAAGTTTAGACTTTTACGAAGTTATCTTGTTTTACTAGTTTCTGATTGCACCTATCCCTCAATACTGTTTTTATCGATTTAGTGCTAAACCATTAACGGTTTCATTTGAAATATGAATCTGGGGAATATTCTCTTTTAAACCGTTATCTTCTCTATCTTTCAACGTTAATTTTTGGATTTAGTGATCTTGAGTCTGTAAAATATTTTTTTATATATGATTTTGACATATTCCGATTTTTAGAATAATAAACTGAAAATTTGTCTTGGTGCCGTGTGCTGAATGAGGGAGTTTAATTCTCGCCTCACAGCCGAATCTCTGGCCCGTGCCTCCCTTTCTTTCTTTCTTCTCAGAGATTCTTACGTTATGAGTCGGAAAGATCGATGTTTCAAGGCGTTACATGTCTACCTTAAGACCAAGCTGCAATCTTTACACGGCCATGTAACGAGGACCTCGCACACATCGATCATATATATTGATCGCTTCGAGCAGTACCGCGCACATGCATCACTATAGGCAATGGCTAATGTAATGTGTAAATATGCACCACTGTGAGAAGCAGTGCAATAATGAAATGAACTTGTAATGCAATGTAAAAGAATGCTTGCATTTGTTCTGAATGTTTTCTGCAGCTTTAGATCACAAAATTAAATATTATGACACATAGAAGTGTTGTAATTTTACTTACGACTAAAATTAAGATTGATAGAGGCCGCCACTTCGCCCATTTTGTTCTTTGCTCGAACGCGGTATAGGCCTGCGTCGCCTTCCACCACATCGTCAATGTCAAGGATAACGGTGTATTGTTTGTCGTTGAGCGGCAGAATTTTAAATTTAGTCCGCCCATCCTCAGTTAGAAGCTGATCGCTGCGCAGCCATTCGATTTCAGGTTTAGGGCTAGCTGCCACCAGACACTCAAATATCAGACGATTGCCCTCATCTTCCTGCCTGAGTTGCGGCTTTTGCACGAAACTCGGGGCAAAGTCATCAATCACACCCATACTTTACTCTATAGTCCTGTGTCCTGGGTGTGATTGGGGGTGGGGGCGGGGACACAAACACTTGATCTATATACACACACAACTGTCCATCACAGCAGCAGCCTGAAAAACGCAGCGCGTAATCAGAATTTAATAATAGCTACCACATACTTATTAATAGATCTCATGCCCGACATTCCGATCGCGTGCGCATTTGAAATGCGATATTATGTGATCACGTGGTTATCATAAGATTGTCTTAAGACGCCCACGCATCGCAGAACATTAAACCTTCGAAACCTATTAATAGCCCTGCATACACAGCTTTGATGGCTCAAATTACACAAGATTACTATGTAGGCTATTAATAGGTTATGGTCACTATGCAGTCATATCCCGGTCAGTCGAGCGTTAGCTTCTACACTTGAAAACCCCAAACACCCATGGGACGACGCTACAAGAGGCTCCACAACCCCACGGATATCTATTCCGGAACAAGAGACCCACCACTCTACTTCGTTATCGTGAGAGAAACTGAAGAGATATGCTAAGCAGCGCTTGTGAACAGCACAAATCAACAAATTTGCGTGCGCAGCCTGATAGCTTTGGATTGGACGAACTGAAATGGAAATGGGCGCAACATATGATTCAGAACCATTATAACATTCCTATCTCATTCATTCAATCGAATATTCGCAAATTTCGGAAGGAAAAATATGAACGTGGAAAGTAACACATCGGAATTTACAAAGCGTTGCACTTGGTGAATTGAAATATTTGAAAACATTTGAAATTTATATATATATATATATATATATATATATAGCACTACTACTCGTATATAAATTAAAAATTCTCTGACTATGACAAAACCTAAATTTACTGCCTATCGCGCTATCGTTTCCCCTATTGATCTTTCTGATTTTTGATCAACCTATTGATAGGTACACTTTAAGGTTGCATGTTTACCCATGAAACTCTAGGAAATCTCAATTTCAACATACTCATTAGCTAACTTAAAAATTTATAGCATTAATTAATGTAGTAATGAAGATTTTTGAAACACTAACGCTTTCTTTTTAATTAACAAATCGACTGTTAGAATTTTTACTGTTCAAAAATATCAGAAGGCAATAAATTGCTCCTCATTGTGAAATAGAAGGCAGCAATCCTCACTCATACACAAACACAAACATGACAACGCGTCGCGTTCGCGTGTATTTGGAAGCAGTTGTGAAAAGCCAAGTAATTTCATTAGAGAATCACTAGCCAATTTACTACCTTCAGCCCGGAGTTTACCGGGAGTTTTCTGATTCAAATCTGCAATTTTACTATTATTAACTCAGTCACTCTCGTTACTATCCAGTTAACAAACATGTTCCTATACAGGCAATTATTATAGGTCCAGAGTAGGTGCATTTCGGCTAGGTCTCGTTCCGTTTTGTCTATGAATAGGGAATCAAACACCATATTTGGACTTTTTGTTTTTGCCCCAGACCACCTACGTCCTGAAGATCTATACCGGACCTAAAATTTTTGTCCACGCTGTATACATTCCATATAAACATTATATATATATATATATATATATATATATGTGTGTGTGTGTGTGTGTGTGTGTGTGTGTGTGTTTTCCCATGGTCAAAGATATCATCTTATTTTTTAGACAATTTGGGATATATTTGGTGACATTAATTGATGCACAAATTCTATGAAAATCCTGAACATTTCTTCTAAATCTAAATCTATATTTATATATATATATAGGTCCATCCTTGCCCATATGTGATCAGGATGCTTTTATCGGCAGCTTCCGGTCACAGTAATTTCAAACATCGCGGAAGAACATTTTTTAGGACAAAAACGATAAAAGCTCTAAAACATATTTTTCTCTTAAGCAATATATTTTATAAAAATTTTTTGTGCCATAAGCTTTTTCTGAATGAATTTATTTTAGAAGTCTAAAGATACCAAAGCTCGTGTCTGAAGCTTCAAATTTTTAAGAGGCATAGCCTGAGAAGGTTCTACGGTCTTGTCCTGAACGTGATTTCAACGGAATTACGGTTACGGATTAACCACGCGCTGGAGAAACTGCATGGTGAACGGACATTGCTGCTTCTATCAGGGAGAGAAGAGTGAGATGGTTTGGACATCTACATCTCATGCCTGACGAGTGAATTCCCAAGAAGCTGTATTTTTTTTTAATCGCCTACTGATGAGTTCATTTTCAGTACGCTTAGATTAGATTAGAAGAGAGGGTGGTGCAAGAACTCTTGCTGCACTGCATCCAAGCCAACTAGTCATACAGATTCTCTCTATATAGTTACCTTTCAGACGGTATAGCTTTGGCCTGTGACTTTCATTGATTTCTTATTTTTATTTTATGTCATCCCTCTCCCCCGTTATTTATTTAGATATTTTAAGATATTTATTAGTGCGACAATAGGACAAGGTGTCCTCTCGGATACAAAAGAAGTTATATAAAAAAAACAAAGAAGTTTAAAGTGCAAACTTATATGCGAGGAGCTGTGACGGTACTTTGGAGTATCAGCTCCCTCTTCCACTCACGCGGCAACATGTTCCAAAGGACAATTCCCTCAACAAAGAGTGAATTGTGGAGAATGCGACTCCTCGATCTCGGCACACTGAGAGAGGAAGACCTGACAGACGATCCGGCAGCCAAGAGCTCCACAAGATATCCAGGCGGGCCCATAAAAAGTAGCCGCGAAATAAAATCGACGGCTCTATCTTCAATGTAGCTCAAGACTGGCGTGCCCAGTATCGTGCTCTGATAAGGAGATACATGATCAAATCTCCGCAAATCATGGACATATCTCAGACAGGAATTTAATGCCTTTTTCAAGTGATGACGGGTCTCCATGCTAGCGCAGAAGAAGAGCTCCACTCCATAGGTGAAAAAGGGAACTATAAGCGCTCGGACCAACAGGAGTCTGGTGCCACTGGGTGTGAAATATTGGAGGCGCCGCAACGTACGCAATGTAAGAAAGATCTTCCTGCAGAACTCGGAGACATGGTCTGACCAAGTCAGTGAACTATTGAAAATGACGCCCAAATTCTTGACTCGATCAGAGAAAGGAATGACTTCATCCGAGAGATAAAGCGGAGATGGGACAGGACGTCTACTAGGCGCATGAACGATTAGGGCCTGCGATTTTTTGGGATTGAGAGCAAGGCCATTATCAGATGCCCACTGAGTGGCCCGGCTAAGATCATCGTTCATTGCCTCAAAAGCAAACTCGGGGGAATGAGGGTCCCCGAAGCAATAGATCTGCAAATCATCTGCATATAAGTGATAACCGCAGTATCTGAGACACTGCGGCAACTCATTAATATACAAGGAAAACAAAATGGGTCCCAGGATGGAGCCCTGAGGAACACCACTAGTGAGATCACGAGGCGATGAGGAGGCATCACCAGACCTCACTATCTGTAATCTGGAGCTCAAGTAAGAGCGAAGAAGCTGCGAAGCAGTACTGGAAAAGCCGAAGCGGTCAAGGAGCTTATGGCACAAGTTATCCTCTGATCTTTCCCACTCAAAGGCAAGGCTATTCAAGTCAGCCAGTCAAATTCACAGACTAGCAGAGCTTGGCCTTGAGCGTATTTGCAGACGATATCGCTATTTACAAGTGACACTAGTCTAGTATTGTGCCCATCTATAAGTAAGGACAGATGCGAAATACACTTCCACAGAAGTTTCTACTTCAGTTGGAACATTTAACAGCAACCTTACTTTGGGCTGGAATTTTATATTTGCCATTGAAGGGCTTAATATTTTTCGCATCTGTTGTGTTCGATCATTTGCAAATGATGGGGATCGAACACACGACCATGACGCTTAGCTTTCGTCAGCCTCATTACTTGGTTGAATTGCCCTCGCCTGACCCCTTTCTCAGGTCTTCAACTCTCGTTGTACCAGACATTACCGTCAGATCACGCAAAATGGAAATGCGTTCTGGTCAGAACTACGGTCCTTAAAGGGGCACAAATTAGAACTCATTCCACAACGCGAAGCAGTGACTGGAGGAGATCGGGCGCTATGCATGGGAAAGCGTTGATAAACTTCCGGTAGCCAATAAATCTGATCTAAGAAAAATGTGATGACACAACGGGTAATCGCCAGACTCACGCACGCGGGCAATTTTCGTACAGGCATTCTCATGACTCTATGCATTCACTCTAGATAAATTCATTCAGGATATCATATACAGAAAATTCCCATTTCATTATTCACTTCATAAACACTTTGTTCAGGTAATAGAATTTTTTTTTGTTATCTAAAGATAAATGTCAAATAAATTTCCATGTTTTGAAAACACCAATTAATTTTGTACAGAAGAAACTTGTAACAAAGACTTCGTCTAATCCTCTGAAAAATCGTTTAAAGTAATTCAAGAGTGGTCATATAATTTTTATCACTAGAACTTTTTGCTGATTTGATGGGAATTTCGAGCGATATTTTTGGCCAATTGTCTACAGAAATCAGCTTTCATAATTTTTTTTAGTATGAAACTGAAATTTTGTCGATTTTAATTTGGTCTTTAATTTTAATATATATGAAGAATTGTTAGATTTTTATTACTTACTGTGACAAATGTATGCCTCGATATTTACCTATATGTTCTCTTCCCATTTCTCCACTCTTCTCTTTGCATATCTCGCTGTCTGTTGTGATATTAGAGACTCAATTCTCTATGCGAACTGTGTTACTTTTATTTAAAAAATGCTGCTATGAAATATGTATGCAGGTATAAAATCTGTATATGTATTTTTAGATAATTAATTCGTAATTTGTTGGAAGCAAAGAGCACCGAAAAGTAATTTAGAATGGTTTACGCTTATATCTGGTTTTTAAATTTACGGTTCAAATTTTTTCACGTATCCTTTTCTTAAAACGCGCTTCACGATTCTTGCTAAAAATAAGTATGTGTACTGTAGAACCACTTATGGTTCGGCGAGTAACTGTCAATCTGTCACTGTTCAAACAAACCTGTTACGAAAGCATTCTCTATTGGAGCAAGACATATCTTTCAACGGAAAAATGAAGGCACCTAAATAATTGGGTAATAAGAGGTCGTATTTTAAATAAAAAATTTGATTAAGAAATTCGAGAGGAAAAAATCCATGTGTTCTAATGCGGTAAAAGAAGGGACAGGTCGAATTGGAATATTTAACACTTTTTTTTAGTCTTTGTGTACGTTAATATAATATACAATTTTTTACACCACGTATCATAACTGAAAGTAAAAGAAATATACCCAAGAATATCCACATTCTATACTATATGTGAGGCATTTTTCTCATCAAAACAACTTGTGGGATTAATCACAGCACAGGCCTACGACTCGTAACTCGTGAGTAGTGCAGCGTCTACGGGCTCCATGCACGAAGGGCACGTGAGGCTTCTCATCAGCCAGTCGTCGATACAAGCAACGTGGTATGTGTGCATGCATGGCAAAAAACGTACCGGATCACCCACCATGAATTCTGCCATACAAATTACACACTCGCGTGCCTTCTTACATCCATCGTAGGGTCCAATGGGCAGATGCTGGATTAGACCGATACGTTTTGCGATCTTCACTTGCTCCTCTTCTGTGAGATGCGTCACAGGTCGACTCACGTTTGGTGATGGATAAAATACGGGCTGAAGAATTTCCTGTTGAAGTATGCAAAAAATAAAAATTATTTCTCAAATGACTGATACATGATTCCGAAGAACTGTGATGCAATACATGTGTAATACAGAAGGTATAGTTTAAGGACCCACTGGTTATTAATGGCCTGTTGCGCTAGGACGTGGCGCTCGGCATGACTGCGGTGAGGGGCGAGCTCTTCGCCAATGACCTAGGCAGCTAACTCTCTACTTTGCAAAAATGAAATATTGGAGCACAGTGATCTCAAGGTTACAATCAGATGCTCATTGTTTTCCTCAAAATGATTCTTTTACCAATTATTTATTGATAAAAAAAAATACACTATCAGTTGAATACAGAGTTAGTCTAGCCACTTTTCACTATTTGAAGTTAAGAAAATTTAAAGTTCAGGAGAAATAGAGAGTAATTCTCCAACATGTTGACATGATTTGGCTCAGTTAGACAAAGACGAGTGTCGGTCAGTGCACCTATGAGTGAGTAAATGGAAAAATTGCACTCAGCTTTTGGAGCGTTGAATCTATACAGACAATATGCAAGCAATTTCTATCGAAAATCGCTCACAGCAGCCCATCGACAAATAAGTGTCTTCTTAATTCTTCTTCTGCGACTCTCATCCATCTTGGCCATCCTTGAACCAAGAACAAATAGCCTCCCTTTAGGCACTCTGTGCCATCATTCGACTATTCTTGTTCCGTGGATGCTTCATTACTTACCGAGTACAGAGGCACTGGTCCCAGTTGGTCTGTGAGCTCACGATTACTCTCATTGCTCCCACGTAGCAGGGAAATGTCGTCCTGTGTAGACCTTTTGAGGCAATTGCCCATGTTTTAAAGTGGCGCCACTTCTAGCACCACACCGTAATTTGGGGGGCACAGCCAGGCATTTATTTCACCACTCAAGAACCGCAAAAGTTTGTTCGATACGGGGGCCCACAGAAAAGCTGCGAAAATAAAAGCAAAAGTCTTCGATAAAGTTTTTACACGATTGACGTAGTCAAACTTTTGACACTATATTCCAGTTGCCGTTCCACATGGAACGTAAAGGTTTCAAGCAATGGATACGCGTCGGTTGTCGATGTGAAACCATCCAAAACCGTCCGTTGTAAGGACAATCGGAGGGCAATAATACCTCACTGACTTCTGTCCATGAAAATGGTGCAAATAATAAATGTTATAGTTTATGATTCCCATTAAATGTTTTCGTTCTGGTTTTGCAGATCAAACATATACAGAATAAGTCACCGGTGCCCTTCCAGATTATGGCTCATAGAAATTTCAAACCCTCATTTGGTTTACAGAAAAGTTTCGTTTTCGTATTAGTAAAAAAAATTCTGTTCTAAAACCTCGTATTACATGATTTACAAATTTGTTTCTGTATGCCTGAAAATGGTAAAAATTCCATGATTTTATTCCAGATATATTGCCCGTCGCGCCCGATGATAAGGACTTTCCTAATATTTCAGGAAAGCTCTTCACGCCGCGTCAAAAGTTTTACGCATCCAATGTAAATTCTCCATAAGGATTTGGAACAGAAAGGTTTTCTTGAAACCCTTACGTTTCATGTTAAACAGCAACTATGATAGTTGTGCATTACAAAACAGAAGAAAAATTCCTTCTGGAAATAAGTAAAGTATTTGTAAATAACGATCTCGTGTTGCTTCATACTCAAAAATTCCATTTCCTCCGTATATAAAGATACACGCATTTGTAGTTTAAAATTGGGTAAAAGTTCCTTACTTTTGATGATGGACTAAATCAATTTAATTTCTTTTATTTAGTGAATATTACATTTATAATTCACATGAACCTTGAATGGAACTCCAATCCGATCAATAGTGCTCCGATTTCGTTCGAACATGTTGACCGATTTGTAATTGTCAAAATTCGCGCTAATTTTTCTCTTCTTTGCCTCTGTTGTTTAATCCTTTCTTCACTTCACACTTTCTTCTCTCGTAAACGTTTTTTAAACAATACATTGTAAAACTGTCAGAAAGGATTTAAAGAAACCTTTTGGGGAGAAATTCATTGACGCTTCAGTGACAGAATTGCAGCTAGTAATCAACAAAATTTTTTAAGCCGATTTTAATTAGCTAAAACGTGTTATAACCACTAAATACACCATTATCTTCTGATTTAGACTATTTTCAGTCAAAATAAGCCTTAACGTTTTTCCGAAAAAAATTAGAAGAAATCATTGCAAAAATCATCGGAAGGAATGGAAATGATGCTCAATGATGCTGCAATGGAAAAAGTAAGTGAAAAAACATGGACAAGTGAAACATGAGAATTGAAAAATGAATCTCATTCTCAATTTTTCGATATATTCGCTATCTTAATATAATCTGCTGGCATAACAGTGCATATAATGTATCTTCTGGGAATAAGATAAGAAATTTTGAGGTGGCTCAAAGCATTACGCGACATGCAATCGGCAGCAGATGTTCTCTCTAGAATATTCCAGGGCAAATCTTGTACTGAGTCAAAATGATTTTTGACAGCTTTTACTTTGCGGCTGCGCCAACGCAGGGAGAGGTGAAGGTGTAAAATTGAATGGAATACTCAAGTGTGGAAGAGCTCGTTGGCTAAATGCCATAGCATGGGCAAGGAGTGTGATTTCTTGGAAGCAGCGCGTCAGGGCAATGTGTTAGCGGTAGAGAAATACTTGTTTCAGCGTCGCGGTGGTCCTTTGGCAAGCTTAAGGCGTCTTCCCACATCTAATGTACAAGACAGTAACGGCTACTCAGCTCTCCATTACGCTTCGCTCAATGGTCACACGGACGTGGTGCGCGTGCTTTTGATCGGCGATGCAAATCCCAACATTCAAGATAACCGCGGTTCGGGACCGCTACATCTGGCCGCTTGGGCGGGTCATCACGGCATTGTTAAGTTACTGCTAGGTCACAATGCTCGACCTGCAGATGCGAATCTCCTTACAACTGACCTGGATTCTCCACTTCACTGTGCAGCTCAGCACGGCCATACAGGAGCGTTGACTACCTTGTTAGCATACGGCGCCGATCCAACATGTACAAATGCCCGCGGTGAAACAGCGTTTGATTTAGCAGCACAATACGGCCGTCTTCAAGCTGTACAGATGCTCATTCGGACACATCCAAATCTCCTGGCGCCTTATCAGAGCGCTGAACGACACAATCAAACACCACTTCATCTAGCAGCGCGAAATGGACATACACGGGTAGTTGAAATGCTTTTAGCTGCTGGTATGGACGTCAACGTGGTTACGGCAGCCGGTTCACCTCTCCATGAAGCAGCACTTTGTGGGAAGGATGCAGTAGTAAGGCTTCTACTAACCTCAGGCGCCGATCTCAAAGTCACAGACACCAGCGGTCGTACACCTGTGGATTTGCTGGAACAATTTCCCCCGCATGTCACTCGTCGCATTGTGAATGTGATCAACAACTTCCAACGCCCTCGCTCCACTTCACCATGCTCTCCCGCCAAACCACCAGCCGCTCCACCGAAGCCACCACGTCGAAATCTCAGTGTATCACCAACAAATCTGGCGTCTAAGAGCGCAGGACTTAACGGGGTGAGACTATTTTCTCTAAAATTACAACTGTTCTAACACCTTTCTCGCCGTTATAAACTAAAGCTCGTGCACTTGGTCTTCTTCTGGTTCACTCGGAGCCCCATGTTTACTGTAATGTCAGTCATATTGATGAACACAAGCATATGAAACGCAGTGGGATAACTGTCTTTGGCCGACTTTTGAAGTAAAACATTGAGCCTTGCTGTAACATGCACTGTATTCTGTGCATGTTGCAGGGTAAGAAAGATTTACTGCGAGATATGTGTGGAATATAGAAGTTGGTGGGCATTTTGTTCTTGCTGCATCAGTCAATTTGTCAGTAAAGAATCGAATAGAATGAAATATATATTTATTTTCAATCATAAGTCAAGCTTTTGTGAGCCAAGATTGCGTTCACTGACGTCTAAGCGTTGAGGACTAATCTCCAGAGAAAAACGATAAAGAACAATAATTAGTTATACTATAGTTTTTTCGGTGACAGCAGTATGTATTTTAATTTTTCTTTTACTTTTTCAGGTAACGCTACGTGAGTATGACAGCAACCGAAAGTTGAAGCGCTGGCGCCATAGCCACTTCATCGAGCACTGCATTCAAGCAGCGTGCTGTCCTCTAAGTCCCACCAATTATTTACAACCGCCGACACCAGAACATGCGCCACCCAGCGTCTTAGCCGCTGAGACAGCCATACATTTACATATGCGCCCACTTAGCGTGGCATTTAGTGATCAAGCCACTTCACCTGAGACTAACTACAGTGCTTCCTCGAGCAGTGATAGCGACAGCGAAGCCAGCGACACACTCTTCCGTGGCATAATACTGCATCAGCGAACCAGACGGCCAGATGAGCGCTCACGCACATACATTACGCACCAGCGTTTTGACGTTATCGATAGAGGCCGCCTTGGGGTTTTGGCACCCACTGTACAAAAAAACATGTCCGCTCCTGAAGAAATAAGGTAATATTATCCCCATGTTAAGTTTCTTTTCAGTTTCTTATAAGAGTAATGAGAACTTTATAACAAGAATTTTGCTAAATCTTACTCTAGATTAGTCATTTTTCTATATATGCAGATCCGTGGACGTAGCTTGCCTATTGGAGAAGAAAGAATGGCGCGCGCTGTCCAAGTGTATTGAGTTGTTGAGTTATGAGCACGTAGCAAACTCAGAAAAGACGTCAGAGTGGGAAAAGCTGTTAAACAGTGTAAACCTTGGTCAACACTATAACTTTCTAGTCGAACGCGGTTTTGATAGTACCATATTTCTCGCTGCGACAGTGCATCGAGATGATGTAGCCGGCTTCTTAGACACCGAATATGCTGCCCTCATATCACTGTCTATGGACACTCCATTGTTAGACATTCCTTTTAATTTGTGTGCTTGGTTAGAGAGTATACACTTGGAACGATATGCTTCCATATTTGAGCGTCATCTAATGACCACATGGGACCGAGTGAGTAATATCTGGGAGAGCGAATTACAGGCAGTTCTGGAAATCGAAAAAGTCGGCCATCGTCGACGTATATTACACTCAATTACGCGCCTGAAAAGTTTATTAGAACAGCCACCTGAGATTTGCAATACCGGGAAGTGGCGCCAAACTTTAAGTGGCTCTATAACGTATCGAGCTATTTACCTAGGTACTATGCCAATTGACGTAACACCATCTGCAGTAACCACACGACAGACAATCGCCACTCTAAAGCAAGCGCCACGGCGTGCCATTTGCTTAACTATCAGCCACCGAGGTATTGAGCGTCATGATGACCCGCCAGATGGGGATGCTGTTGACCATACTATGCGTAATATAGCGTTTGCGTGCCAGGATTCCGATGACTATTGTTATTTCGCTTATATCACACGAGAAGGACGCCACCTGTGTCATGTATTCAGCGCTCAATCTATGGTGAGTGCATAACCTTGTGTTGACTTCTATAATTTATTTATTTTTTATTAATCGGTTTTTTTTAATACGTCGTGGCAAATTTCAATTCAATTCAATTTATTCAATTTATTTCGAGCAAAATTTAGGGCTTGACCCTCTTACAATTTGCTAATTAGTGACAAAAGAAAATGTGGAAAAACAGAGACTAAGAATCGACAAAGAGTAAGAACAATAATACAGATAAGTGAGAGAAGAAAAAAAAGAAAATCAAAGAAAAGATTTCAAAACAATTTGAGTTCTCTAAATTACCACGAATCAGTTTTTCGAATTTACGCAATTGCAATTTATATTATAAAAAAATCATAATAACAATATCTTCAAAGTTTAAATTTCAACTATTGATGATATTGCCTGAATAAAATTAGTATGTTCCAATTTATGATTATACAGCTATAATTAAAACGGGAATAGATATTTACATCCATTGTTTATGATGCTCTCGTTATAGCTAGTACTGTGTATGGTTCTGCACAAAACAGTGTAGAGCAGGATTATAATCTCTTTTTTTAGATTTGCCAATTGAAAATTTTTTTTGTATTGTTTCCAGGATGACGCCACGGAAATCATCCTAACGATTGGCCAATGTTTCGAGGTAGCGTATCAAATGGCGTTGTGTGACGGCGAATGAATCACTGCCATAACTTACATGATCGTACATAATTTAAGCTGTTTCTATTACTTAAAATATTCTATCAATAATGTAAAAGTTCTACAGAGAAAAAAAATGTTTTATTAAAAACCACTAAAATTGAGGTTGTTGCTATAATGACACTATCGATAGGATGTCTATATTGTTGGACGAAAAGAAATTAGAAAAATATGTAACAACAGTTGTACTTTTAAAAATGTAATAATATAAAATCACCTTATTAAAATATATTGTCGTTCATTTTTTCTTATTTCCATCATCTTCTAAAATGCAATCGTTACTGCATCCTCGTCCTCCACAATGTCCTCATGATCTTGTAGCCTTAATTTAACAGAATCACGTCTCTATCCAGTTCCACTCGAGTAACAGATGATTCTCCGTTAATTAAATACTGCATTAGACAATATTCCATACGAACATTGTAGTTGGCCGCTGCAGTAACTTATGGGTTACCGATTGGTCAAGTTACCATTCAACAGGTTGGTATGAGGTATTTAAAGTACCAAAATAAAAAGAGCTACTCCTTCTTTCTTTTCAAAGACAATTTGTGGGTGAATTTTGACACTCTCAGCTTATCGCTACTTGGCTCACTCCAGCTGTTCACACGCGAACAGAAGCTAAGGTTAGATTAGAAGAGGAGGTGGTGTAAGATAACTCTTATATACCACGGCATCCAAGCCAACTGACGGGCCCATTATACATCTCCAAGAGCAATTCCCACTTAAGGGCTAAAACACAAAGCTAACCAGTCATACAGATTCTCTCTATATAGACGGTATAGTTTTGGCCTGTGACTGTCATTGATATCTTATTTTTTTATTTATTATGTCGTCCCTCTCCCCCCGGTTATCCTTTGATTTTTCCCACTCAGAGGCAAGGCTATTCAAGTCAGCCAGTCAAATTCACAGACTAGCAGAGCTTGGCCTTGAGCGTATTTGCAGACGATATCGCTATTTACAAGTGACACTAGTCTAGTATTGTGCCCATCTATAAGTAAGGACAGATGCGAAATACACTTCCACAGAAGTTTCTACTTCAGTTGGAACATTTAACAGCAACCTTATTTGGGCTGGAATTTTTATATTTGCCATTGAAGGGCTTAATATTTTTCGCATCTGCTGTGTTCGATCATTTGCAAGTAATGGGGATCGAACACACGACCGTGATGTCCTCAGTCTGGCTCCCTACCGACTGCACCATGGCCGCCTTGAACAGAAGCTTACGCGGCGCCTTGGCCACTGGTCGCACCGAAACAATGAGGGCAAAACAAAAACACAAAAGTGCAAAACTGCACATTTGACAATTTTTTTTAAAAGCAAGAGAAATACTTGATGAGCTCGAAATTGTTCTTCCTCTATGCTTTAGCTCCACAGAAAAATATAAATCGAAAAATTTTGGCGCTAAAATTATAGTTGGAAAATCTTACGATATTTCTCTTCATATATTTCTATTGGTTTAAAAATAAGACACGGGACGGCCATAAATTTGTTTCACTCGTTTGTATTCCTATCCAACGTAGAGGAAATACTTTGTCTCCTTCTTCAGGGATATGAAAAATTGGGGTGAAAAATGTCAATTTGGAAATTCACTACAGTTTGCACTTTAAAACTCCAATGACCCAACACTGTGGCTCTTTTTCTTCTGTTCTTGACCGTCCAGTGTTTTATTTTCAAATCTCAATATCCGGCCGTTAAACACAGTAATATTTCTATTGGGTTACGCTATACATTTTGCGGCAATGTCTTTGCAAGGCAACATATTTTCTCATTTTATGCTCAAATCGCTGTATTGTACTAAATCGTCGTCCCTTTATAAATTTAAATTCATTTTAGTTTTCACTTTTTATATATTAAAACATATAAGGAATATTTATAATAATTAAGTATGCCATTAATATGGAAGCGCTTCTAAGTATTACAGAAATTATATTCCTAAGCACTTCTTATGTAATGTATTTTTAATGCTGGGTTGTGTTTTGAATTCACAATAATGACGGAAAAATGACAGCCTTCAGTACAAACTTCAAATATGAACATTGTCAGCGTCGAATGAAGAACGTCTCAAAATGGCTTCCGTCAAAGATACAGCATCATTTTTCGCCAATGGAAATTCGAATCAATTCGAGTATGTGCTCAAATTGTATCCTCAAGTGTTGAAGCTTAAAGCCGAGAAGCGTCACAAACGGCCAGAGGAACTCATTAGACTGGATGACTGGTAAATATTAAAATCAACACAACGTGGCCCCTTCTAGTGCTCAAGGTGCCCATTTAGCGTACCCATGTGGTGTTATAAATGCATATTAAGCATTTTTGGGGTCGTGCTGAAGAGGTGATCACCACTGTTGCTCTGTGCGAAGTGTGTAATGTTTATACAGTTGTCCTTTTGCTGTGGCCTCAAAAGCGCCCCCTTGACTATGTTATTGATTTCTTACAACTTCAACGGTTTCTTTTTTATTATTATTAACTTCAGAGCTGACTTTGGAAAAATCGTAACACCAGCACAAAGAAACATCATCATTTTATCATTCTTTTTTAATACATGTTTTAATCAGAAGCAATCAGTTTGCACTGCCTTTTCCACTAACTTATATGTTGCTCTCCCTTAATAGTACGAAGATATTAAAATATGTCCTACATACCCCAAAATCGACTACGATGGGTTCAATGAGGCTTTATATGATGAAATATGACGAAAAAACGCCATTTGTCCATGCTCCGTTCGTCCCATAATCCATTATATTTCGACTTAAAGCGCCTAAGCGGTGAAAAACATCAAGATGCAGTTGTTGCTAACCGTGTTCCTTCTGTCTCCCATTTTGTGCACCCCTCAAACGCTCTATTTGTTTGTTCAATGCCTATAGCATGGATCAGCAATAATTTTTGTTACGTTTTTTTTATCGAGGTCTTTCCAACAATACCTCACTTAAAGTACTTGGTACTTCCGGATCATAGATATTAAAAATCCACGTTTTAAAGTAAACTTTGCTGTAGCTTCGGTTCATAGTCTGATTCTCTCGGTGTCTCTCCGATAGAAGGCAGCAACCTGATTTCTTTTAACAGAGACATCGATTAAAATAGTAGGGGTGGCGTAAGATAACTCTTATGGCACAGGAGCAGTATACCCCTACTCATAGACAAGGCTATTCAAGTCAGCTAGTCAAATTCACAGAATATCAAAGCTTAGCCTTGAGCATATATTTGCAGACGATATCGCCTGTTTACAAGCGACACCAGTGATTTCAAATGCCTCTAAAGACGTGCGATGCATCGAGATCGTTTTAAATCTATTTTTCGCATTGCACATCATCTTGCATTAAGTAGGAATTCCTTACTTAATGCTTCGCATCTTACTATAACAATAGTTTTCTCCATTATTATTATTATGTAGTATGTTTTACACATAAAAATTAATAATTCGGCCTATTGGTTTTGCCTGAACTAAATTATGTTAAAACTCGAACATAGTTTTTTTTTTATTTTACGAAAATTTATTTGTAGATTAATTGAAATTTCGATGCGAAACATTTTTGGTCTGATAAAGTCATAAGCCAAATTAGCACTGTTTTGTATTTTTTTTGCAATCAATAGGTATCAAAATGAGCTTCCCAAACGAATAAAACAACGTGGAAAGGATGCACATATGGTGCACGAAGAATTGGTTCAAACAATGAAATGGAAACAAACACGCGGCAAGTATTATCCACAACTGTCCTACCTCGTAAAGGTCAACACACCACGCGCCGTAATGCAAGAAACGAAAAAGGCTTTTCGTAAACTGCCCAACATCGAACAAGCTATTACAGCACTGTCGAATCTCAAAGGTGTTGGTACAACAATGGCCAGTGCATTGCTTGCTGCTGCAGCACCTGAAAATGCCCCTTTTATGGCGGATGAGTGCCTGATGGCCATACCTGAGATTGAAGGAATCGACTACACTACTAAGGAGTATCTTAATTTCGTTACACACATTCAGACGACAGTGAGGCGTCTTAATTCGGAGCATGACACTAATGCCTTCTGGTCGCCACACAGGTGAAAGATTTAAGTATAAAATTGCTTGAATGAAATATTTATCTTACTTACTTGTTGAAATATTTATCGTGCACCCATAAGCACATAGTGACTCCTATAGATAGATTTCCCAAAATTTGTTGGCTAATTTAAAATGCATTTCATGTATGTATATAGTACTTATTAATAACAAATATTTATAGGGTAGAACTGGCTTTGTGGACACATTATGTTGCATCGGAACTACAACCGGAACTATTGGTCGGAATACCGAGTTTTGACATGAGCAAGAATCACGTGCTGAATGGTATAGCACCACTTGAACCATCGGATGAAAGTAATCTCGAACCTGCGGCCTCAAATGGAACAACAAGTATGGATTACGCCTAGTTATTATTCTTTGAAGAATGAATATATATATATATATATATTTTAATATATATAATTTATAATATATAATTTATAATATATATAAATATATATTTATTTATATATACATATATATATATATATATATATATACCGCTGTCAATGCGTATGTTTTTGTGTCTTGTTGCCAAAGTCAATTTCTTTTCATTTGAAGTACACATATATTTCTTTTCGCGACTTCTTATCCTACCTTCTTCGCTGCATCTAAAACATGAAAAATTCTCTACCTTGAAAGTTGAATGCAATTTTTTTTGTAATTGTTGCCTTAACTGTGGTGGTGGTAAAAAGGAAAGGTGATCATTTGTCATTTATCATTTTCATTTGGCGAAAGATAACACACAAATCCACACTCCTTGGCTATCAGTGGTCAAAAGGAAGAACCGCAAAATGTAACGAAGTATTATTTTTGATTCATTTAACTAATCTTTCAGAAGCCCTCGATAGCCTAGATGATAGTACGCGCTCTGAGGACAGCCTGGAAAAACCGACCACGCCGATTCTCACTAATGACGAAACAAACGGCAGTGACTCGCAAAGCAGTATCAAGAGGTTTTGATGATTTTTATGAATTTGTTACAGTTTCATTGCGGTGTCAATGTGTGCACTGTTAAATAAGAACTTCGTATTTATTATTCTGTTTGTCTGAAATCAAAATCATGGGTACGAACAATATGAACATACATATTCCTAAATGTAACTGTACAATATTGCAAACTTACACCGGTTCTAGTGGAAACTAGTTACAATTATTCTCATGACAAATTGTTCTTCCTTTGTTTTAGATTTGCTGATTGCGATAGCTCAGAGGAACAGACTGAGTCAAGTGAACCGGGCCGGAAACGATCGAAGAATGAAGATGAGTGAGGCTGATGGTGTATTACTAAATAGCACTACTCCCTGTCTCCTCTGTAACACCCCCAACAATTCTTCTATCATTGAAATTATTTCATTTAATTCACTTGTGCTAATTTCTTGTTCAATGGTATAACAATACAGGCCAATAATCTCCACTCCTTTCTACTCTAACACAACATTTTGGAAAGGAGCGAAGCTTATTGGTAATTTCCCTCAAACCGTTGAATATTAATTTTGGCCGAAATAATTGCTAATTTTTTTGTTTTCACCACTTTTGTTTTTAACTTTTGGTTGGGAACAATATCGTACCAATAACGGCAAACCTTGCGCAATTAAATTATTCAAGGATTCCACATCTGAATCCAACGCATTAGTTAAAAAGAAATTATTTTTGATTTTAACTGTGCGGAAGTCATCTCAATGTAGTATTTTAATATGTGTTTTTGAAAATGTCATGTGAATAGAAGAAGACCTTCACTGATTAAATAAGAAAATATAATTTCCAAGACGATGTAAAGAGAGTTAAAAATTAGATAAGGAAGCGAACTTAATATCAATTTGTAGACAATTGCGATTTGACTCACCGTCAGTGATTAAATAGAATTAGATTATTCAGGACCACTCTCATATGTTTATAAAAACATCCATTTAATTTTAATAGGAAAAGAATATATTTTTATTTGCACTTTTTCCGTAGCATTGTAAGCAATGTTAGCCAAAATGTATTACGCAAGAATACATCACTTTTATTAGTTAATAACTTACATTAACTCTCGTGATTCCTAGAGTTTTCCCGTTTCTCTTTCAATATTGTTCACGGTCATCTTTCTGTAGTTTGAAAATTCTTTTTTAATCGTTTTAAAATTGTAATTGACAACAATCAGAGACTGCGAGAAATAGAGCGTCCTCCGAATTTAACCAAAACTGTTTTTGTTATCTATGATTCTCTCATATGTGAAGGCACAAAATGTACTTGCGATTACCGCTAAGCAATGTTCTTGATCTGTAAATCTACCACATTTGGACTATATAGTGAAACATCTGCTGAAGAATATAAACAAAATCCTTTCACATTTTTCGAAAGTTCGTATAATTTAGGTTCCTAAAATTTTCCGTGGATAATTTTTTCTTTGGAAGCAACAATTTTTGACTCGACCATTCTAAAATAAAACATGCAAAAAAATTTATCTACTTCTTATTATACATCACATATAATCGATCGAACCTTAGAATACATAGTGCTGTGGAGAACAGAATCGTAAGAAAATGGTGCGTGGAATAAGTTCGCGAAAATGCTTGAGTTTTGAAGTCATCAAATTAATATTCTGCGGATATCTGTCACGATCACAAAAAGACGTCAGATTAAGTTCCTAATTCCATAATTAACATCACAATAGAGCTGTTTCATTTGTCTTTCGGTTAATTGAACTTGTCCGAAAATGATATGATACATAAAGACGTAATGTAAATGAAATCATCACTATTTCCATGGTCGACCATCTATGAAAGCAAGGCGGAAATGTTTTAAAAATCAAATGATTTTTTGGAATCTTCCAAACAATATGCATAGCTATATACGATTTATATGCACTTTGACTCAGTGCATTATGTACTGGGACTTTTATATGCACTTTTTTTTTAGATAGAACCAAAATGCTTTAAAGTTTTATAGGCATCGCAGAATTAAACGAATTTCAGCAGTGAATGGCTGCAAAAGTACAGATGTGGATGAGCAACTGAAAAAATATATGCGTGAAATTAGCCGATTTTGGAAGATTTTGGTCCTAACTGGAAAAAAAAACCAACTAGATAAATTCAGTAATGCACACGAAAGATAAAAAACAAGGATGATCTATTTGAAAGAGATCGAGAGCATTTTCTAATAAGAAAAATTAGTAAAAAAAAAACAATAAAATGGCTGTGAGGGGTTGAAAAGTCTAGATTAGCCACTTTATAAAGTTTGATTCAAATTAGATTGCTTTTTCTACACATAATAATTAATTTGGAGAATTTGTTTCATATTTGATTTTAAGAATATTTCCAAATGTCTGCGATTTCATGCTAACATTGGAGTATCAATGATTGAAATTTTATTATATTATTTCCAATAAATTTTAATTTCTATTATATTATTAATTATGTTTTTTATGCCTGAATAATTTAAAAACTATTAAGATGGCAAAGTCATTATTTCAGTGGTCTAGACTTTTCTTGTCTTCTTTCACCTTTGCCAAACAGTGAGCTAATTATACACAGTTTTAAAATTTTCAACATCGAGAAAAATAATGATTTTTCTTAGTTATTGCATAATTCTCATGTTTTATACCAGTCCACCCTTCATCCCCACCCACTTACTTAAGCCACACTAGAACCGCAAGGAAGACTCGTGTATGTGTCGATGAGTTCAGTTAGTTTGCTAAGTATTTTCTATCTAATTTATATTTTAAGTAGCTTAAGAGCGCGTATCATTCCAAAAGGATAAGATTAGATATGCATTGAAAGCGTTATGTCAGTCCCTCCGGCGTCATTTGCGCACCCGCCACCTCACATATAAAGTATGTCTCAATTTTGTACAACCTTGACGAAGGACAGTAGACGAAATAGAGTTGTTATTGTTTATATCATTAGTAAGAAAAGAGACAAAGAAAAATTTGAAAAAAAAACAAACCAAGCAAACATTTTTGATTTATGGTCAGATTCATGGTAAGAAATGTTCATATAATGCTGAAAATGTAAAGGATAGGAAAGGGTGAGAATAAAGCATGATTTAAGTATATAGACATAGAATGAGAGCCACAATTAGCCTTCAACATTACTATATTTTAATAAATAAAATAAACTGAGATAAAAATTAAATTGTGCAAGTTTGATTTCTACCCAAATTGTTTTCTTCTCCAGAAACATTCAGTGTTGATCACCACAAACATCAGTTTTCTTGACACTGTACAGTTGTGTTAAAGCTCTCGAGCTGTTCAGCTAGAGGTTGTCCTCCCTGAGGACGACGTAAATTTGACAGGAACCCTTTTAAGGAGAGCAGCCACGGACAGAAACGCGTAATCTTTTGGAGGATCACACGGCTTCATAATATGTTCGTTGATTCACAATTTGCAAAGCGTTCTTGTTATTCTCTCGGCGCTCCCTTGTAGACGCGATTCGCGGTCTGCACATGACCATCGAGACGTTAGCGCGCCTTCCCGGGCCTAACTGGTCATGTGTAGACACGCGCCTTTATCCTTGCATCTCAAGAAAAAGACAAAAAAGAGGTAAGATATTGTGCCTATGTACAGCCGACGAAGTGTGACACTCTCCACCAGCAAGATGAACTCTGCTCTGTGGGAGGAGGTAAGAATGAGAAGTTCTCAAATCAGATGAAGCCGAATATCAAAAGCTGTCATGTCTCTGATATATTCGTCCATATTATTGTAACAATTTTTGTTTTTAATATATTTATTAAGAGTCAATCTTGATGTATGTTAGCCACTCCAAATTGGGTAATGTTGCAAGTATTTTATGTAATATATTGCATGTATTTTGTAGTGCACATCTCCAAAAATAGGTAACAACTTTTTACTAATGTAAGAGGGTCCCATAGTTATGGAGGGTAAAGCTTATGGAGAGGGAGCTGTGAAGATCCTTGGAGCATCGTTTGATTTAGGATGGGCTGCCAAAGTACATAATTATTCAGCGAGCATATACGAAAATTAGAGCGGCTGTGGCTCAGTGGTCAATGCGTTTGACTCTCGATGCTACAGTCGTGTGTTCGAATTCCACCGCTTGCAAATGTTCGAACACAGCAGAGTGCAAAAAATAAGCCTTTCAATGGCAAATTATAGCAGCCAAAATGGGTTGCTGTTGAATGTTCCAGCTAAAACATACGCTTCACTAGAATTGTTTAGCACTCTGTTTCTGGATATATAAAGGTGGACGTTAGAACCACTTATCGTTGGTCGGCAAGCTGATAAATTGCCACCGTAAAACAAAAACTTGTCTCGAATATCTCCTCTAATGGAGAAGGCTATGTCCCTCAATGGGATGTCAAAGCCACGTAAGTAAGTAAGTATATACGAAAATTGTAAAGTGATTATGTGAAACTCTATGAGATGACAAAAATTTTCACATCCGAAAATCCTTTTCTGAATTCTAAAATTTAATCATAGCGGCAGTCAAGAGACGTGGTGTGATTTGTTTTTCAGTATGTTCGCCACTGATTTTTTTTTCTTTTTTTTAGAGAGCATTTATGGTAAATTGGCTAAGGAAGCATTGAAAACTAGTGAGATAAATCAAAAGAAAAAATTATTTTGTCAGTTGAGTCGCTTGAGAAACTTAAGATATTAGTATAAACCTCGACATGTTACCGTAAAAATGTTCCACAAATAATTCCTGAATGAATTTGGAATAAACGCCATTGGCTTCATATATCAAAAACTTTCCGACGCCATTCGAGCCAAAAAACTCTATTGACTTTCGTAGCGGCCACGGCAAGTACAGATCTGATTTCTTTTGGCACTAACTTCAGAGAATACGGTTCTCTAACTCTTTGAAAGCGGAATATTCACATTGAATTTTTTTTTAATTAATATGTAAATTTACACGCTTCTGTTATTTTTTATTTTCGCTTTGCGCAAATTAATATATTTCTGATCATTATTCTGCTAGGTATTCCTTTTACTTTCTTGGCCATTCATTATCAATTCCAAACCTAATTTTTGCTTAATTATATGTATATTGCCAGAATTCTGTGTACTATACGAATCGCCTTCTTGACTTGCATCTTGATGATTTTCATGAAGTAATGACCATAGAATTCGACTTGCAACGCTATTTACTTTTATATCTTCCCTGAGAGGATTTGCATTGTCTAATAAACTGACATTATTTCTCAAATTGGCCGGATTGAATGAATTCTTAATAGATAAGCATTTTTTCTGCATGTGCATAATTCAAGATTATGAACGTGATTATTATTATTTCATTTCATTTTTAGCCATATGCTGAATGTATACCTCAATATTATTCCAAAATGAAGTATTTTTATATTTGTTTATTAAATTGGATTAAAGTTTGACTTACGCATATTCATATTCGTAAGAATTGGATGAATCTTTTGTGTACCTTTTCATATCTTTATGGTGGTTGTGTGATCAGCACTCTGCTTCAGCCGGGTAATGTCAGTTTGCCTTTGTTTCATCGCGCATATCTTTAACTTAAAATGGCGGCTGTTGTATGCCACTAGTGAGTGCTTAAGTAGAACACAAAGGCGTACCTCAGTAACAACTTCTCTAACCTGTTTGTTCCACTAGTAGTTTGTGCATCAAAGTATACACGTATTACGGCATTTCTGAATGCTTGCCAGCGTCCCTGCGACGCTTATACGCCCGCGGGGGCGCTAACTCCGTGCCGCGCAGTGATGTTTGAACGAAAGCGCCGTAAACGGTCCCAGTGACCCCCTTGGACATGATTGGGGTTCTGTGCGTGTTGTGGGCAATTCAAGGCGCTTGTGGCGCTCTTGATGCCACTGCCATGCCGTCTAATGATGGCGCTATACTGGGGCAGTTTGGAAACCTGGAGCAGAACATTGCGGCCGTGTTCAGCAAAGTTGCTTATGGTTCCACCACCACCAAACGCAGTATTCCGGACTCAGTGGCCGTACTGAGCCTGACGACTGTTCCGAGTCCTCTTCTTACCACTTTCCGGTAAGTCAAAATTTGCCAGAGGCCTCCCACTATTTGTGAGACTTAGAGGACACTGTATTCAATAATTGACTATATTATATTTTATTTAGTTATTTTGTGTTCAATTAAGCAGCTTTGTATATATTTAATATTCCGCTGTGGGCTCCATACACCTGCACCCGAGCCTCCTTACTCGGCCATTATTCTGCATACATAGTCTTGTTTTATATGAGTGTATAAAATCCACACATATATAGATACATACATACACGTATATATATATATATATATATATATATATATATATATATATATATATATATTCATAAATATATATATGCATATTAAATTCTGATAGAAATCGGTGGTATTAGGTAATTAATTTTTCATTTGAGTGGCAGTAAATCAGTTACAAACTTTTATATATATATATATTAGAATTAAGATCAGTTATAGAACAATAAAGGGGGCTTAGGACTAATTTATTTATTATTATTATTATTATTTATTTCTTTACAATTTTGTAGAGTCTGCCCCTCTGATTAAAATTGCAAGTGAGTTTAATAAAGAAAAGAGAAAGAAACTAAAGATAGATGAAGCCAATTGAAGGTTAATGAATAACTACGCAGTTTTGTCAACTAAGAAGTGTCTTCTAATCGCACTGACCGAGATTCTACTGTCCTGGAATTGTCCTCTCTTCCTTCCCTCGATGGCTCAAAGAAGAGCTTAGGCAACGATGAAGTCTGGAAAGGTGGGAATCTTGAGAGATTGAGCGAGCTCTGACAGCTCAAATCTAACAAGATTGAGTGGAGGGAATTTCCAGGAAATTGTTAAGGTGTTATTCTGAGTTGAATTAATCTAGATGATGGATTAATGGATTAGTTTAAATTGCTTATTTTCATGATCCTTATGGCTATGCAGGTTCACATCCGTGGACAAACAATAATTATCATATGATATTCGGTACATTTAATGCCTGGTACTATCTGATACACAAATTGCTTGCTCTTTCTATGACATTTTAAGTGAACAAAGTAGTCAAATAAGAGATACAATAGATAAATTGTGGCGAAAAACTAAATATTTATGTGTTGAAAAAGAAATATATTAGTAAATAAAAACATTCGAGTATATAACGCTGGTTATAAAAGTTTCTTTATATTTCTACAATAGATACCGTGAGCGTGAACGCGAGAGTCATGATATTGACGATCAGGTGATAAATCATAGTGCTTATGATCTGGAATTGGAGAAGGACCACGCACTGCCAACATCTGCACCTAATGCTGACATACTTAAAAGCAACAATAATCCCACGTATCCGAATCCTAATAGACATCATAATCAGGATCGGCATCGACTGCAATCTTTGCCAAATTCAACGGGTAATTGCATAAAACCTTTTCATCTACTATTCGATTTAATATTTTTTTATTATTATTATTATTCCGTTTTTGTCTGAATAGAGAATGCGAAAAAGGGACCAACCATGCCCATGTTTCCGGGAGATATGCCCTCGTATGCACCACCAGCAAGGTCGTTTTTCACGCCACCTTTGCCTCCAGAATACCAAAACCCCTTCGCTGACAAGCCCACACTGCGAGGCACCAACAGCGACTTAGGCGTTATTCACACAAGTAATGGCTTTCATCGACGACCCATTCCACCACCTAGTCTCGTGCCCGGTTATGAGCGTATCCCTTACAGACCTCCTGATTTGGTGCCAGCACGTCCTGAAGAAGGTGAAGTAGCTCAATATTGCGCTGATTAGCGCTCAATTTGCGTGATACTAATATAGTCTATTTCCCAGGTGATATTAGCTCAGCTAAGGATGAAACACACATCTACGAAATTGTTAGGAAGAAGGCACTAAATACACCTTCCATAAAGACTCAGGATGGCGCATATGCGAACGTAACAGAGACTGGCACTCCAGGAACCAGCGCACCGTCAGTGGCAGCTGGAGTGCTCCACTTCCCAAGCATCTCGCGCATTCTCTCGGGCTCCAATGGTCGGAAGGAGGATATCCCGGACATTCTACTACGAACTGTCACTGTACGTCCATCTCCTAAAAGTCCAACTGTCACTGCAGTTACGCACTATCAGGTACAATAAACAATTTATCTCGTTCATCATGATTGGAGTAGTTGAGCACACACGAAGCGTGTTCTTATCCACATCTTTTTCCTATGATGCAAAAACTTTGAAATTTTTAAAAGTGATTGAATATTTATATTTTAGAAAAGCTTAATAAAAAATCATTGTGATTTAAATAACATAGGAAAGCGTTTTGTGACCGTATTTCAATCTCAAACCTCAGTGTATCGACTATGTCGTATTTTACAGACTGGTGGTTTCCGAATATGCTTACACTCTATATATATATATATTATATATATATATATATATATTATATATATATATATATATATATATATATATATATATATATATAATCCATTTATATTTATATTTCGATGGAACATTGAAATGTAATTTTTTTACAGGGAATGAATCTCAACAAAAACCGTGATGAAGAAATATCTACGGAAGCTGACACTGTGTTACAGTCGAAGATTACTGAGACCACGACTATCTTTGAAACTGACGATGACACCTTTTCAACGCATCGCATACAAAAGTTGGTGAATAGTGATAGTCCGAGCACAGTGGAACCCTCTCAGGCGCCCCCAGTTCTGAGTGCAGATCGTCAGTCGGCTCTTGTGACGTGGACAATCGCGTGGAATATTCACGTGTACATGTCGGCGATATTGTACACTATTTTAGCTGTGTACAGTATTTTCAAGATGATTCTCTACGACAAGCTTACACATCTGTTCTCACAGACCTACTTCATAGCCATCCACATGGTACTCATTGCCATTTGCTTAGGACGCATCTTCTACCTCTGCTATGACGCTTATAATATGCATAGCAGCTTCACGGTATTCGTTTCAGAATTGCTTCTGAATTTGCCTGCTCTCATGTTGGCCATCACATTTGCCACTTTAATACTCTTCCTCCTACTAAGGAGTCTAAATCACAAGGCGAATAGGTAAGTTCATATGGAATTTTTCAATTCAAGAAAGAGAGTGAGATATCTTATAAATCTAATTATGCATAGGAGCCCGGGCCCCTAAAATAAGTAAAAAACAATTTGTTGAAACTGTGTCAATGTTCAGAATACCATCTATTTAAATTGGACATATTTTACCTTCTGTTTTCCTGATGTCAGAATTGCTACTCAATTTCATAGACATTTAAATAAGTCTGCACAAGCATTGATACGAGTAAATTTATTTTTGATAATTTTCTTCAAGTTAAAAAATCGAAAACATGATCATATGTGATAAATTTTTGCGTAGCATTTTTCGAAATAGTATAGTTTTTTTTTGTACTTTTACAGATATAGTGCACTTTTACGTCCACTCACCATTGCAGTGGGTGGTGGTGTTCACATTGGACTATGTATTACACTACATTACGTCGAGAGCTATGGTTTGCGCTCAACGAAGATGGCATACGACAGACCTCAGCCTCGCGTGTTATCACTTATATGTCAAATCATCTACATATTCGTTTGTCTGAGCTTAGGCACATTCTACCTCTACATATATCGCGTTTTGAAGCGTGTATTACACACAAAGAGTCAAAACTATATTCACGGCTACCAGAATTTGAGCTATGCCATTCACATCACCATCGCTACTGCACTCCTCTTCGTTCTCATGGCTGCACTTCAGGTATATGGAGCAGTGAGCATAAGCAGCGCACAGGATCTCGACTGGCTGCAGTGGGGCTATCAATTCTCGCTGCGACTCATCGAGATAGCCATTGTGTCACTGATTTCATGGGTGCGTATCCCCAGTTAACGTAGTGAAAATAGATCCATTAAAAAAATATTCGGAGATTCTTTCTGTGCAGACAAATTTTAATCATGAAACACTCTAGTCTCCCTTTTACCATGATTTAAATTCAATTGATAACACGTCATATAATAGATGATACATTTTTTCTAGGTGGCATGCCTGAAAACGGGAGCAGCAAAGGTGGCACGTGAAAAGGCAACTGAGCAACATATCTCGGGCTTCGCTCTTTTTCCGTGCACGTCGAGCTCGAGTCAGGAACACTTCGAAACAGACTATCCAGCTGTGTGCAATGCTAATACAAATCTGCACACATACACACTTCGAACGGGAAAGGCAATCTATGATGACAACTTCACTGTAAATCCGGTGGAAGACAAGGTGGAAGACGCATCACCACCAAAGACAGAAAGCTTGCACTCCAGTGACGTCGTGGATCACTACGAGAATCCCAATTTTGAATTGCAGTCACGCAAAGAGGAAATGTTCGATGTTTGTTACACTGAACCTATGGCATATGACTTTCAAACACTTGAGCGACCTACAATGGAAAGACCAACTTCACGGAATGAGTTTCGAGCGTCAAAGAACCTAAAGGTGCTTAAGGGGGCACGGCATTACAATCCGTACAATTCTTTCGAACGACGACCACCTGATGAAGGCGGCGTACGTAAGAGTGGCACTCTGGGAAACATTGGGCACTACCATCGACGAGGCACAATGCAACAGCAGCGCCCTCGATATCCGGGCAGATTTTTAAGAACGGATGGGGCGCCAGACAAGAGCACTAGCGCGAATAGCAGCGATGATAGTGTCAACAGTGGTAGCATGTTGGTGGCGGAACACGGTTTTGTTCGTTTCCGTGCGCTTGACGACATGGACGTAAAGGATATACGTCAATCATAGTACACACATCACCTCCTCCCGCCACCTTATTTATAGACATTCAGAATAGCAGTTAAGATTGTAGGTGAGATTCACATTAAAATACTTATAGGATTATACTTAAAATTAATTATTAAATGAGTAATTTTAAGAGAAACATGAGTTTTACTGTCCGCGATAGAGAAATTTTGTATCCAACCATGGTTTTATCCCCTTCACATTCAGGTTAGTGAACGAATTAAATCTCGTCTCTATTAAATATGTCATAGTCTTGCAATTAAACAAATCTAAATTCACATTTAAATGATTCTAAATCTGGGCACATCGATAACAATTAGCTAAAATTGTCATATTTTATGGAAAATACTGAGTCGATACATAACGAATCACAAAATTTGTTTTATGAGAAGTCATAACATGAATTCTGATACGAAATTTAAATCATCTGCTTTAAAATTCAAGAAAAATTCATTGCGTTAACATTCAATTTTATATTAACATGAATGTTCTTAGTGAATATTTTTTAATAGACACGAAAAGTTATCTTCTGTGAATGCTGGTTTAATCAGAACAGTCAAAGCCTTTTCTCTCACCTTAAATAGACAAACAGTATACATATTTGAGTGGAAGTGCAGACAGGACTGACAAGACCACTTCTCTCAACTGTTATGAGTGTTTTTGGTGTGTTCAGATAGCTCATCCAATAGTTTTCCCTAATTATTAACTGGATCTCGCAATGAGAATAGCAGATCGACGGCACGCTTCATACACTCGGTCTCAGGAATACTTCAGTGATTACAAAAGGGAAAAAACTTTTTTTTTCCAATAACTGACTAAATTAATGTGAACAACTCTATAGGGAATACATCTGATCAATTCAGAGACTAGACAAGATGATGGCTTAAGGAGAACCAATATCTTCAAGCATCATTCTTGAATTTCTGTTGGAGTGGCCGTATTGATTGATAGCAATCTACTCGAACGATGTGCCAAGATAGATTGCCCACTTCTAGGCGTTAACAAATAAATTTATTTTCACGACAATCCGCCATTTCAAATGTGTCTCTCCGTCAAGGCTTCCTCACTTCGAGAGCTCGAGGATATTGTGAGAACCATGAACTGGGCCTTAAACTGCGCAAACTTTATTGGATGTTTAGCAGGAAATCAAATATTTCCCTGGATAAATGTAATGTACCTAGAACCTTGTCTCTGGAATTGGTTCCTTCATGTTTTCTTTTCTCATACGTCTCAAAAATTATTGATTGTAGCATTTATAAAGTTGTAATCGTTACTTTGTGGATAATGAATTATAGGATAATAAAAGAAAACCTGAAATTTGTGTCCAACTCGTTTATTGGAAAGGTTTCACACTGAAGCTCGCTGGTGTGGTTGGTAGACAGGAGGCAGTTCATTTGTTTGGAAGGGGGGCTGTAGGAGGGTTGTGGACGTCTGGTAAAGCGTAAATGTGGACGGCTCACCCAGAAAGTCCTTCATAGGAAGTACTGTCGGCTGTAAGAGATGCCGAATGCGACTGGGTGAACGACGTACTTTAAATCGATGCCTATGAAAGAGGAGAAGTGGAATTATTCGGTGATCATTATATAAAGTCTGCAGTATATATACTCGTATCTCTTATTACTGCCGCTGAAACACGCACAGTGGCAACTACAGATGGATGCTGAATTCGTATCAGTGGATGCTATATCGTGACCCACATTACCACTCAGAATGCTACCATTTGCTGTGATAACATCTCCTTCAAGGCGAACGGCCACCTGAAGCGCCTGCATAGCCTGTGCCTCATCGCGACGCTCATCTTCGGTGTTCATTGTCACAAACCGTAGCACAAGAAGATTTAGCGAAGCTGCCACAATTGCCAGTCCAAACAAAATGAAAATAAGGGCGAACATCACGTATTCGGGTTTTCGATTAAGAGCATTGTCTTTTTGTAGCGCTACCATATCGCCAAATCCTGCAATATGAAAAAATGCTCGTCATACAGCATTGGCATCATACAAATTGATTCTCCTACCAATTGTTGTAAGTGTAATAAAGCAATAGTAGACTGAGTCAAAGTAGCTCCAACCCTCAAATTTGGAAAATGCCGCCGCGCCCCCAGCTATCGTGAGTGAGCTTAGAGTAGTCACGACGCATATAAGATCAACTTCTGACGCCGTTGTGTGTTGGCAGTGAAGAGATGTCTTCACGGTGCGAATAACAAAACTGGAAAGAATTATATGATTATTGTATTTTATTATTAAGAAAATTTCCAACGCAATAAATTATGCAACTTCTGTCAAATGTGTTTTTTTTCGAATCTAAATATAATGTTCGATTGTCGTATGAACTGAACCCTCACTACTTTTTCAATAAACAACACTTCTATTTAATCGCAATATTTTCAGAAATTTTTATAATCCGTTATTTACTTCATGGCAATCATGATTAGTTTTATCCACCGTCACCGGCCTTGAGAATAGCGGAATCTGATTAATATGTTTCGGTGTTAGGAGATAATTGAATTCAACGTGAATAAAAAGATTAAGGGTGTTATCCCACCACCCGGTACTTATCAATACGAATTGCGTGCAATTTGGTTTCCTTTACACCATTTTAGAGAAAAATAGGACTGATAGGATTTAATTAATTCATCGACTGTTTATTTTGATTACGTTTTGCATGAAAGTAATCTGGTGAATCTTGTATAAAATTCATTCTTGATAACTTTAAAGTGAAAAGAAATAAGTAGAGTACATGCGTTTAATCACAATAGATTTCCTTGAATTGATTCGAATAGATATTAAAGCTATTACAAGTAGGACTGAGTTCGAAAAGTTAAAAAAAAAGAAAAGAAATTAATTGTTTGTAGCACTGGACTCACCTGCTGAGCCTGTTGACGCGCTCGCCGATGCTTTGGAACATGACAAGGCCCAGCGGAATACCAACAATGGCATAGCACATGGTAAAAAGTTTCCCACCGATGGTTGTGGGTGTGCTGTGACCATAGCCGATGGTTGTGAGAACAGTGGTAGCATAGTAGAAAGCGCCTGTAAACTTCCATTGCTGGCCCGCTTTATGAGGCTCGGACTTGAGCACCACCGTTTCCATTACTTTAAAATCTTCTTCCGTAATGTTGTATCGTTTGATAACCATTCGCTCTACCGCTGAAAAATCACACATTATTGTATAAAGGCTACTGAATAACATGTGAAAAAGATATCGTTTACCTTGCAGAGCATCCCAGCGCTTTTTCTCTGTCTCTGATTCTAGGGCATCGAACACGGCCGCGCCCACAAGCAAGTATGTGAAAGTGCACACAATAAGCGATATCGTGCGGACATTTTGTTTCTTCATAGCGCATTAAACATTGCCAAAAGCGGCTTATGGACGCTACCTTTCGTTCCAATTCATGTGCACCATTATGAAACGACAAGATATACTCGGACACGCCACAAGGTAGGCAAAATACACACCATAAGATTCCACTCCGAACCATAAACTGGCCCTTGCCTGACAGTGTCACCTGCGCGTATAGACGTGCGCCGGTATTTACGTACTGCAATTAGAGAAAATAAGGTGGTTCAAAAACAACTTCATACATTAGAATGCTCGAATATCACATCTACTATAATCATATAAGGATTTCAAAAGTAGGAAAGATTTTTCTTATACTTCTTTTTTCTTATACAAATATTTTAACTAATTCTGTTGATATATGTATTAACTACAAAGACAATTCTACCCATGAGTATGTCAAGGATTCCAACCGCCAGTGAAGTCAGCCATTACAACACATTATTCTCTCTTTAACTTCTTTCCTAATAGATTGACTGAGCAATGAAAGAAATGCAAAAAAATCTGGGGTGATAAATTACGATCACCGCTAAAAATCTGCAATATTAGGAATATCTTATTTTACAGTTATAACGAATTAAATCAATTACATTTAAGTGTTATTTCTCCTTTTGTGCTCTATTCTAGTAGCGAACATATTCTAGTTGGTTAAATAGACGTTGTAGCCACTAATAAAACTTTTGCCTCCAGATTTAGACCATTTCTAGCGGAAATTCAATGCTGAAGAAATTATTTATATCTAGCAAAGTTAAGAGAAAACATTCTAGTCTGCTAACTCAGTAAAAGTTGAAGTGTACAATTTACCTATGTGGATCATTATATCAGTACAAAGCGCTGAATTTTATGGACAATGGAAAACTATGCCCCGACATATAGTTTTAGGGTAATCTTGGAAGATAATAGAACCACCCTGTAATATGTAGGCGCATGAGCGTCACAACGCAGTTGCAGCGGTACAGCATAATGGGTCAGTAGGTGTTTGACTGTTGGCGGAAGTGGCTCTTATTGTTGCCTTATTATAATTTAAAAAAAAGACTTCTGTTTGAGCGCCCCACAAGAAAAATCTACCCACAAAATGTCGCCTGCAAGTGGACTACTTGCCATTTGGATTTGCCTGGTCGGCATAACTGGTACGGAAATAATAACTAGTAGGTTATGTAACAACTCTAATCCAATCAATATACAGCGACATCTGCCATCATGTGTTATCATTGCAACAGCGAGTATGATCCACAATGCGGTGATCCCTTTGATAAGTACATGTTGGGTGTAAAAAACTGCTCGTATGAATACGAATTAGATCATTTACCCAACGTTCAAGCGACATTGTGTCGCAAAACCACGCAGAAGGGTAAGCTATTTAGCTAGAAAAATTCTTTACCTGCACCACACTTATCAAATGTGTATCTACTTACAAATGTAGAATCTACTTATTCACTTTAGAAAGAAGTCAGCTGCATTCACGTCTCAAACTTTTTTGTTCAAAAGAGAACTTATTATGATTTTATGCTTATTCAGCATTCTGTCACTACCTTGTAGCAGAAGAATGCGAATGTGCAACATTAGCAGTTGACTTTGCAGTTTATTTGTAAATTTATGCACTGCGAGGAATTGAGTTGCTTCCACTGTTAACAATTATGCAACTCTTATAACTAAATGTGAAGTTACACTATTTATTCATCTATGTACATACCATTGATATGTGTAGGTCTCAACTAAATTTAAATCAATTTTTTGCCTGCGTAAGCAGTCTCCAATTATTTTATAAACGAAGTATTTGATGTGGTTTTTCATCTTACACACTCTTGTAGTTTATTATATGTATGACACTTCAATATATACTTTTTCAGTGTACGGAAAGATTCGTGTGGTACGCGGCTGCGGTTACGTGCGCGACCCGCGTGACGATAAGGACTGCATGAAGCGCAGTGGCACACACGACGTTCAGGCACTTTACTGTTCGTGTACTTCAGATTTGTGCAATAGTGCAAGTATTACAAGTATGGCTACAGCTACACTAGTGATCGCCGTATTATGGGCCATTTGAATGCCCTCTGTAGATAGTGAGGTTAACGCGAAATGCCCAGAAGATTTGCAATATTTAAGCGAAAGAAATTCCACTAGCGCGACGTCTTAGCTTTAGTTTGTACACATCCGTCCTGGCCTTTAATTTGTCCTCACACAGTCAAAGAGACGAAGACCCGCTATATGAGTTATTGTATCCTGTTGTTAATAGAGATATGCGAATATAAATTGTTATTTATTAATCGAAAGTTGTGGTATAATAAAATGACAGTAATAAAAGTGCTTTTATTCGATTAAAAGTTAAGCTATAGTTCGTTTTTAATATCATCTTCTTCGCAGTGTGAAACCAGATTTGACAAGTGTGTATAGAGATTCAACATCACAGTCTTGATATTTATATAGCTACAGATGATACACCAAAATTTTATTGCTGTACTTAATGGTTCTAGTTAGAACATAATTCCAAATATTTCATCAGATCACAGCTAAAATCTGAAAAAGAGACCAACAGCGCAATACCTAATAATCACACTATCTTTCAATAGTCTTTGACACGAATAAATATTGTGAGCTTAGTATTCATTCTACACATTCTGGAACTAAATTCCACTAAAGCAGTAAAACTATTTGAGTGAAATAGTTAGAATGAAATAGTTCAATAAAACTGACAAATGCATTAAATTTGAATGAATCATTTTGGTTTGGGTGTTTCTATCTCAGTCCATCAGGAAAAGAAAGGGGAGAAGTCCGATGAATAAGAACTGCTGATAATTTTTCTCGTTACATGCTCTATATTTCTTATCAGCAGGTGGTATTTTGCACAGTTTGTTTATTTTGCTTGTAACTGACATTACAAGTTCATTCCAGTTAAGCAAGAAATTCCGCATGGTAGATCTTCTTAATGCATATTAAGTTTCCATGTACCGAACAGCGATCGCGCGGCTTTTATGAATTTCTCTGCCGCAATGCCAACTACTTTATCCTTATGCCGTGGCACACCTTCTACCATCACCTGCCGTGGCTGCTGTACTCGAATACTGTGTAGCGCTGCTGTGTCTTTCACTACACGCACCGAAATCTGGCCTGTCATTTGAGTTGTAGTTGCTGTTGCGCTGCGCAGCTCCCGCTTGGAGCCACGACCCCACATTTTCTCCACACGGAGTCGAAGAGGCCCCAAATTGAATTTAGACTTCACCATTGTTATATTTCCCTCAAGCTGGCGTACACGCGCTTCTCCGCTCCTAACCAAGGACGCCAACCCATGGAGTGTTGCCTTTGCGCGTGGATCTGTAGATTTAGGCCGCTTTTTTTTAATGGGCTGTTGTCGAGTTGCATCAGACAATGTACTTAAATGTACCGTGACAGGATCATAATGACGCTTTAGAAGGTTATTGAAGCGCTTAAAGACACCATCCATTAATTGATTATACTGACCGTCGTTTACGAGACGCGGTTCTGCATCTGTGTAAGGAATATACAAACATTAAATTAAATTTCAATTGAAATATAGTACAAGAAGAATTAGATGTAATAAACTCAAGAATAAACTACATAAACTAGAATTTCAGGGATATTATCACACAGATACTGATAACTCATTGCGTTCATGCTAGTATTTGAACACCCAACGACTCGAAATGCTGTAATGTATGGCATTTAAATGCATTAAAACCTAATATAAGAAGTCAATTCATGCCTACAAATACTAATTTGACTATTCATTTTAAATGTTAACCTCATACAACCGACCCGGCGAATCACGGTAAGAATCGCGTGGGGAGTAAAAAAGAAAACTGTAAAATTCTCCCTGTGAACGTTTATAGCAAATTCGCATAAATTAGCGTAATTTGGCGACAGAAATAATAGAGGGAATTGACTGAAAATCTTGCAAAAGCAGAATAGAAAAGGAGCTTTTTTTATAATAAAGCATTTGTGAATGACTATGATGATAGGAGTGGATTCTTAGAATGAATTAAGTAGTCAGCATCCGAAAGTGACCAGTAACACCTAAATTCTGCCATATCTTATAAAGAATGCAAAGGCCTCTGAAATATCTTAAGGAGCTTTCTAGTAACGAGAGTAAATATTTAAGTAAGAAAAGACAAAATGCTTTTCTATTTTATCTGGAATATCTGGATACATTTGGAAAATCTAATTGAAAATCTCTCTGACAAGAAAGTGATATGTAAAAGTAATAAATTTAAATCAATTACAAAAAAAACTAAAACAATACCATACTGAAATTTGCATTCGATCAATAATATATTGACACAACACTCTCACTTCGGTTACCATTTTGAATAAGAAATCTGTGAGAATTCATAATATGACGAAGATTCGGCATTTCAAGTTTGAATTTAACTGTCTTCCCCTTTGCCACACGTTTTTGTGTACTTTTCTTGCTTCCCCGAATGCGACACGAAATTTCCACAGTTGCTTTCGTATGCGGAAGAAGGAATTGAGGTAGACGAAACCCATGGTAAAGAAAGAGAGAGAGAGAGAGAGAGAGAGAGAGAACAGGCGGTAAAGTTGAAATGGTTAAAATTGCGTTTTCACCACAAGTAACTGTATGTAATTTATGAATAAATTTTATCAATCCGCAACATATACAGAAGCTGTTCATTTCACTTATATATACTCATGTGAGTTTCATTTTATTCAAATTCAATTCTATATTAAGGCATCAGTAGCAATGAACAAATAAATTTGCAGCATAATAGGCGTTTCAGGCATATTGATATGAGTAAACACTACACATATCCGCATATGTGTCTGCGCGAAGAGAAAAGTGTCTCGAAATGTATGCCAATCAAAGTAGGGCTTTCGCGAAAGTGGATCATTCAGAGAAAGTGGGGAGAAGAAAAAGACGATCAAGCTGGATTGATTGTGTATATCAAAAAATCATATTTACTCTCTCCAGTTTTTGCTTTATCGTGCTCTTTTTGTGTTCGATACATTCTTATCCTTCTTCACCTTTTTCGTGACACTTTTCTTCACGACGGTGGGTCTTTTCTGGCTTTTTAACTCACGTGACTTCCGCGCTTCAATTATGATATCCTCATCATCATCGTCATCGTCATCGTCATCGTCATCATCATCGTCGTCATCAAGGGCATCCTCGAGATCTTCTTCATCATCGTCGTCATCATCGTCATCATCAGCTGCGGCAGCCGCGGCGGTCTCAGCAGGATCCTTCACACCTCCCTCAATCGTATCAATAGATGGCGCCACAACGTCCACGCTTTCGATATTAGCATCGTCCTCGTCGTATAACACAGGTGCACCATCAACTTCATTAGTGTAGTCGGCTGGTGGCAAGTCAACTGCTGACTGAGGTGGTGCCGGAGCAACTTGCACTCCCGTGGATGAGCTCACGTCGTCATCATCATCATCGTCGTCCTCTGAATAGAGAAGAATAATGCAAATAAGGGTAGTCTAGCTACCATTGTGGCGATTTTCTTACCACCGAGGATGTCATCGAAGAAGCGCTCGAAATAATCCTCATCGTCGTCGTCATCGTCGTCATCGCTGCTTCCAGACGGCGTCTCATCGTCGTCATCGTCATCATCGTCATCATCATCATCAAGAGCATCCTCCAAATCGTCCTCTTCATCATCATCGTCGTCATCATCGACGGGAGAGGGAGCTGGAGGCGACTGGCGAGCTTCACTGGAAGTTTTTGGTACTGGTGATGCCACGCCAGTGTCCAATACCATCATGAGCGTCACCAACCAACACAGGCATATTCCCACGGCCAGTTTCATGGCGTCAACAACCACTTACTAAATTTCTGAGCCTTAAAAGTCAGTATAAAATATTAATTATCCACAGGAATGCATTGAAGAATTGATACTACGATAAGAAAGTAAAATAATAAGCAGTAAAAGACAGTTTCTAAACACTTCAAACACTTAAAGATTAGTCTCCGAATTAATCTTACTCCAAAACCAAAACGCATACTTTGGAAAAATTAGATGTAGAAATATATTCAAAAGCCAAAGTAATTTTCTTGAACCTTTCAAAAAATACTTCTTTTTCTTTTGAAAAAAATGTATAGAAGTTTATTAGTTAACCGCTTAAAAAAAATTTAACATGAGGAAAAACCTTTAACAAAATAACTTGGAAATAATATCCGAAAGTTCCTAAAACTTGTAAGACTTTTCTTTTCTAATGTGTATTTTGGAGAAAAGCCATAAACCAAATTCTTTGAACTTTAAGAATTCAAACACACACTAAATTGATATTAATGTTGCACTACACAATTTGGACCAGCTTTAAGAAGACTGAGATAGATGATAATTGAGTTCCAGGCAAAGGGTCTTTCACCTCCAAATAATTTCTCCGTTTGATCTCATAATTGACCTACTTTTGTTTATGTGTGGCGCGTTTAGCATTTAAACAAGATAACGGACGTGAGAAACAGTTACTGGAATTCAATTATCAGCCAACCGATGCGCTTCTTATGTAGAATTGGTATACTGCTACTCACTTCAATCCTCTTACTTTGTCCTTTGGCGCAGGTTCACGAAAAAACACAGCAGTGGAATATGATTATGGGATGAGTTAATTAAAAATAATAAATAAATAAATAAATAAATAAATAAATAAATAGGGGGGAAAACAAGCGTTGCGCGCGCGAACTTGGCCGTGAAATGCGGAGAAATGTGAGGTGTGCCGAGATGTGGCTATCTTTTATACCAACACCACCGAGTCGCGACCGAGAAATAGCTCCGTGCGCCACTGACCGTCATTCAGTTCACTCTCCCGGGCCGCATGTTCGGTCACAGATGAAAAAGCTGGTTCAGGTGGTGCGGAATGTTGAAAGACGCACCAAACTTTCTCCCAAGCTAGCTTCATTGAAAAATGCTTCATCATATTTATTCACAAACTACACATACATTCTTGTTTATCATCTTATTTAATATTGTTTTTCTCTTATCTCATTAAAATCTTCATGTATGGGCCTTTTTTTCTCAATATAATTGTGATGTTGCGCTTGCTTTATTGCTTGTACAATGGGTGACATATAGTTTTTGGCGGGAATCAGTCTGTAATCACTGAAGACGAGGCCAGTAGCTGGCGCTTATATCAGTACTATGGGCGGGTATTTGTACTGGTACTGACACACCAGCCGAAATTACACCTGTAAAAAGATTACTATTCATTAAGCATAATACAAATCAGGACAGCTTATGTCTGGAATATTATCATAATTAGTCAATTCGGTGAATCAAGCAATTTACTCGCTACACAGCATCGGTTGAAGCGAGTTTTTTTCTCCATCGCAGCACCGTCTGATTATGATCAATTTCGATCCTAATTGAGGATACAATATCGTTGTAAGAGAAACATCTAACTAATTAAATAAATTTTTTGTCGTTTTGTTCTGAAGGCTTGATTCACTACTACGCTAGCAATAGATGCAAAAATTTAATACGATTTCAGTTTGTGCAAATATGAAAAAAATATCAATTTCAATATGTTTAGTCCCAGTTAATCAATCCGTTAATTTTGTAAACACTATAATATAATCAATATTTATAATCAGTGTTTCCAGTTGTTACGGCATTAAGGTAAATTTCAGTGGGACATTTCATGGCTGTAAATACGGTTTTGAAAATCTGTGCTCAGGTATATTGATAGTAAACGCAGTGCGATAATTTCCTTATTTTCCGTGCGTAGTGTTTCTGAGTTTCTTCATCGATAACGGATTGCAGCTTCTAAGTATAGTTCAAATCATACTGATCGCGGAAGGTTGGTCTTCAACAATCCTAATTTCTCTTCACTATTCGCCGTGACTATAATATTTAGGAGCTCATCGAAGTTGGTTTTATCGTCTCGGGAACCATCGTTTCAATATTCTCTTTATGTTACTTGCATCCAATTTCTTTTATGGAATAGAACATGTATATTTACTGGCTCATAAGTAGAAAAAGATTTTGTGAGCGTAATTTACGTCCACCGACGTCTCAATTTTGATGACCAGCCTCTACAGCAAAACGATGGAAAAGCTCTTTCGCGGGTTGTATAATCTACATATCTTCCCCAGCTCTTACAAGAAAGAAAAAAAACAGAGCAGATGGACGAAGTGAAAAATATTTCACGCTTTCCTTTGCCCAATGATTCTTTAATAGCGATTTTAACATTAATTTACTCGGTAACTCCATTCTTTGCATTCGTTGTTTATCTCTTCTTGCGTCAATTTTCTTCTTTATTTGTGACTCGATTCCACTAAAGAGAATACTCTGTTCGTACGAAACACAGAAAATCTTCCTATTTCAAAAAAGAAAAAAAGGAACGTTTAGGAGTTAGCAAAAATTGTTCTATAAGAAGTCGTAAGCCGTAGCTCTCGCGCGAATTTTATCTCTTCTGCTTAAAAATGGTTCGATGTAGTTGTGACAGTTTTATACTATTATATCAATTTTCTGAATAATTTATGGGTTGCAAAATTACGATGACATTACATTTACAGTTTTTAGTCGTAAAACCTAGCGTAAAACGCATTGTAACTGTTACACCGTGAAAATAGAGGACGATGAATGATGCTTTGCTCTACCAGATGATATTTTCGATGATAATTTGAATATTTTTTGGATTTTATTTGTTATTTGTATTCAAGTTTTGAATATCCCAGTTTAAAATCACTTTTGAAATATTTGGATTGAATTTAAAATATTGCCTGAATTTTCTAACAATATTCTTTGCTGATTTAATATTAGGTCTTAATTGAAGTACAAGAATTATATTTCAAAATTACTGTACCTGTACTCGTTGGCGCCGTAGCGCTGCTGGCATATGACGCGTGCTGTGACGTTGGTTGCTGATGTGCTGTAGCAGGATTACATGGCGTCCGTGGATGGGTGGCATAGGTAGCACTCAGCGACAAAGGATCATGAAATATATAAGGATAGTCTCTCTGCTGTAGGCAAGATGACGTAGTCATTGAACTGGAATAGTTGAAAAATATTGTATCAAACATACCCGTTTCAACAAAATTCCTTTTTTTTGTTTTCTACAGTAAAAAATAGTAGTAGTGCAGGTATTTTTAGCCATAAACAGAACGGTCTATCACTTCAGTGAATTTTAATAGACAAAACATATTTTGATACATGATATTACATATGTGTTTTCAAAAGATAAACCTTCCAAATATTACATTTAATATAATATAGAATAAAGTAAAAAAAAAGTCAGCAATCAATGGAATTTTATATAGTATTTCTGTTAACTATGGGGCATAACTGTTATAAAACGTCATCTTTTGGTCAGATCTTGATACCAATGCCTCTAAGTTGTTGCCCCACAACGCAAATCATTGCATCACCAGACTGGATGAGGATTTTTAGGCGAATGCACAAGAGTAAATAAAATAATGTTACAGGTATACTTGAAAAATTAATAATAATACGAGTGGAAGCTCATTCACTACTAGTGTCGGTGAATTCTATCCAGTGTGACGCCGTCTCAGCAAATTGAATTGTTATTCATGAAATTTTCCGCGCTAGTGCCCTAACCACGGGGTTTAGTTTGCCGGGACGGCATTACAGTTGGTGAATGGAGCACACACGACCCATATTCATTGTCCATATGTAAAACGTGATTTCTTTCACTCATATCAAGCCCTTAAGGAGTTATCCCACCAAGTATTTCTCAATACGCACACTTATCGATACAAAATGAGCAAGTTCCTGTTTTCAACCGCATTTAGACGTAAAATAATTTATATCGACTCTAAAATTTTGGGCAAAAACGAAAACTGCACACATTTCGTATCGATAGGTGTCGACATTGGGCAGAACTTACCGACACTTTAACATAGTGTGATAAGCGCTTTTGGTCGAAGCGGGTGTGACAAGGAACTGGAAACACGATGCCTTGCACATCCACTTCAAAAAATAAAAAAATAATATTGAAATACTGGACAGACAAGGAGTGAGCACAAGTCACGATAAAAACAAGATACCAACAGCCGAGAAGAGGACTTAATTGGAAACTCTGCGAGTCCTAAATCAATGCAGCGAATGTAATCAAGAGTTGTAATCAGGAAGAGACCATATTCAACAAAACAATCAATCACATAATTTAAGATCTGAGAAAGAAAACCCGAAATTTCTTACAAACAATAAAGAACTTGAGAAAAATGTAGGGCATTTTGTCCATTCAAAGAAAACAAATTAACTAATAAATCAAATAAACTACGTTGTGAGATCGAGAATTTTTGTGAACGCGATGGCTTCGAGGCAATATGCATCAATTGATTTTGAATCGAGTTTCTAGTTAATTTGGAGACTCAAGACTCCAAATTCGCTCAACATTAGCCATCTGTAACGAATTCAGACTTTTAGTTATTTAGATGCCTTGGACTCAGATTTAAGGCTTTTATTGCAAAATTTCCGCCGAAATTGACTATAACTTTATACTTATGGGCGAATTAATAAACATAAACTAATACAAATTAAAAATACGATTGCGGGATGATTGTTTCCCCCATTTTTCGGGTTTGTCATGGATTGAAGCAAGTTAAACTTTACTCCTGATAATTTACCCCAATTTTCTTCGAAACCCTTTTAAATCACTTTTCCAACCAATGCTAACCTGTATGTCTCGCTTATAGTGGCAATAGGTTGAGGTATCGTGGCGTACATGGAATTGAAGCCTGAATTCAGGGATAGACGAGATGTGGCTGTCGATAACGGTGGACTAGCGCCAGGGGTTGAGGCCCCGTTGGTTGGCGGCGGAGCGGTATGCGTATCAGTGGCGGCGGTGGTAGGTGGGGCGCTAGGTACGCTATCGCAAAGTTGACTTGATCGCCGTTGTGTTCTCAGTTTCTCTTCACGACGCCACTTGGCGCGTCTGTTAGAAAACCATACCTGAAATTAAGTAAGATATGCAAATAACTGACTTGGAAATTGCAATTAATTTCAACTGCTCATAGGTAAACCATTTGTGGCTGTATTTAAATATGTGAGATGCATCTTATCTTGGTCTAAAAAATTACTCGATGTAATACAACATGAGCCTTGATATTCCTCAAGATTCACCTAAGTCATAAAATACATGGGCGTTCAAGAGCCAGCTAAAATTGTCCTATATAAAGTCATACCACGGATTCTGGCGTGAATTGGATCTCAACAACATAAGGACGTTTCCCGCTTGCTTATATTTGCGTTGAAGTGAGGGAAGTTATCATCCGAGTTCCCAGCAATTTCCTCTTTAGAACGGAAAAAATAGGGGTCTGATATGAACTAATCTCGTCTCACAGGGTCGAAAATGCAATTTAGTTTCCATAATATTTTGAAAAAAGTGTCAGAAATATGAATTCGTAAAACTGCAATGCAAGATTGTGATTAAAAGCATTAATGAAATTGGGGAATTCATTTTCCAGGAGATTTAGAAAAAATTTATATATATATATATATATATCGGCGCATAAAGGCAAGAATAGCTGGAAAATTTACGCGACACGCAAGGGAGTTTATAGAGTATAATGCTGTTTCCACGTTGATCAACACAGACTGATGATCAGATTTACCTTACGATCTGTGAATATATCAATGCACCAGTTTGAGATTAAATGTTTTCTGCATTTGGAAGTATATAAAAATATCATTATAAGATTCTATTTGATTATTATACAAATTTATGTATATACTTATACATATATTTATTATGCATGCGCGGAAATTCAGCTGAAATTCAGAGTCAGGATATATTTCCTGACAAAAAATGTACCTTTTTTGGATTCAGAAATTTCCTTCTGAAGCTCCTTTTCATACTGTCGAGAATTATCTGCCCGAGGAACAAAAACGGTGACGATAATTTTCCTCTTTTTGTTTATTTGTATGTGTGTAACAATATATAACAACATCTCAATTCAACTTCAATCGTAATTCCGTCTACAAACTATAGGCAAAATATTGACACAAAGTACATGTGCACGAGGGGAGCAAGCGTGCAATTGTGTAAATTTAGGCAATTGTCGTAATTGATAATACTTGGACATATGTCACGATATTTTCACAATTCAGCTCATACCTGTATTCTAGCCTCTGGCAATCCGATCTTCTCCGCTAATCTTTCACGCGCAAAGACGTCTGGATAATGTGTCCTTTCAAATTCTAAAAATGATTTTATTGTCGATTTAATATGAAATCTAGCCAATTATATCTTTTCACATACCTTTCTCGAGACTATCTATTTGCTCATTTGTAAATGATGTGCGATTTCGTTGTAATTTTCGTTTGAGGCGTAATCGCATTTGTGAATCCTCATCACCAGATGAATTATGATCCGATGCTCCATCTGACGTTGATTCGTGAGAATTTGTGTGCGATATATCACTAGCAAATAAATCTGCAAAGGCACAAAGTTGCAAAAAATGCCTTTTCATTATTATCTTTAAGAAATTATTCTGTAATAAAAACGTCAATTCTTCTGTAGTGTTAAGGCTTTCTTGAACATTTCCCTAATTTTTTTGCTTGTTAAAACTTTATTACTATTAATTTTTTTTTAGGAAAAATAATTATGCTTTTTCAATCAGTTACAGCGGACATCCCCAATATTTGTATTCTACTTCATTGTTTTGTATTGCAGAGACCCAATTTAAATCTAGAACACAGAAGATCCCCAGGAACTTCATCGTATTCGAAAATTTTGTGTGGCATTTTGATATATTAATGTAAAATATCTTAGAATCCTATGAGAAATTCTGAGAAACATACTAAGAAATAACGGAGAGAATTATTTTTTATTGGTTAAAATATAATAATATTCCTTGAAGCATCCCTTTTCACACTAATTACGTACTTGTCCTATTTAATATTCAAAGATCAGACAATTTGAACAAAAAAAAACACAGAACAACCATTACTGACATATCACATTATAGCAAACTAAATTGAATTCTTAGCGTTCCCTTCCACACGCCGTCGCGCTTTCGCTCCAAAATCACAACAATCTTCTTTTCAGAATTTTCTGGCGGAATATATTTTATCTCCTTCTTGACTATGCTTTTCGTGTTTTTCCTTCTTTTTATTTTTTCTGGTTTTCACTCGAGTCTTCCTTTTCCTTTTTAGAGTCTATTGGAGTAAACGCGATGAAAATGCTAAAGTAAAAAAGAACACGGAACGCGTGACTAAGAAAAATTATTCCACTGTAAAATAGGAAAGGAAAATTTGTGTGTTTTCACCATATAATTCGGAAAAAGGTTTCTATAACTCGGTTCAACTTATATTTCTCATTAAAAAAAATTTTGGTGTAGATAAAATGGGTTAACTTGATGTATGGAATTTTTTTTCAGACTCTAGAGAACGCTGAATATAGTAATCGCAATAAAAGAAATTATATATTCGATTGGAGATACATTTTCAAGCTTTGTTTTATTCTGAAAACAGTTTAGAACTAAAGGCAATAGTTCAATTAGTGGATTCAAATGCGTCTTGGCCCAATACCATAAATTTCAATGACTTATAACAGCACAAATAGAGTTGCCAATGTGGCGACATGCGAATATAATTGAAGTATCAAATTTCCATCTTCACCCAAAATATTGCAGATTTCCAGCAGCAATTTTGAGAACAATGTAAATGAATTTTCTTCCCAGACCTTTTTATGCTCTCCTTTATCATAGTTTTACAAACTAGTGTGGAAAATACTTTTCAGAGAAAAGAATGTGTGAAGTTAAAAAGGATTAAAACGATAAACTATAATATATTCTACGAAATCATGTATAATGAATGCTTCAGTTCTGTATATTCTTTCTTCTTGGATACGGGAAATATTTCCACAGAAGTTTAAAGACTCTTTTGGAAATCAACAGAGGAAATATGCCAACAGCACAGCAAACAGGAAGACGATAAATGTAGCTTTTACCATATATTGATATTTTCCTTGATAAAATAACTTGGAAATTTTTATTTACTCGATGTAATACTTTTAGTAGAGAATGGTATACTAAACATTTGGAGCAATTCTCATTCACACAAAAATGTAAAAAAAAGTGTTATATTGGTTCAATACACGCCTTGCGCTATTCTGAGTTACACATGTAAGACTTTTAATGGCGATTGTGTAAGAAAATTCACCACTTGTGTTATTTGCTATTCTGGCCCACATGTGTTAAATCACTTTGTACTGCTAAAGCACACATTCAAATGTGTAATTTTAACACTACCTCCAAAGGTTGTTTTACTGAATGTGTTGAAAGCAGAGTGACAGATCGGAAGTTGCAAAATAACTTCCAAAGACGGATAAATCTGCCATTGTGGCTTTAGTTTTCAAGCATGAACATTAATGATGTTTACAGTAAATTCATTTTAGCAAATTATGCACTTGAGTTGTAATAATTATCGCAAATTTCACAAATTTTCTTTTCTTACACATTGCTTTTTTTACTTCCCCCCTACCATAATAGATCTGTAGTCGGTGTTGACTATATCGGACCCAGATCTATTTTATACATAGACAACAGATACACATCACACAAATAGTTTATCCTGCTAAATTGCTATCTCGTGACTACGCAGAAAGTTCTTACACATTTTGGGATCGCTTAAAAATCAAAAACACTGTTTGAACGAGAAAAACAAGATCTGTTGTTCCTTATTCACTTTGGATGTTAAATTTTTACGAACTACACCTATTGCCTTATCTCTCTCACCACTAGACAAGACAGTGGCTGAAAAAATGAAACTTGTCTAGCCCGGTCTCGAACCCGGGAACGTTCGAATTGGTAGTTCAAAGATTCTGAATTTTTACATATTTAAAGTTTGACATGTCTGTGTTTCACTGGAAATTGATCCAATTGTCCATTTCATAAGGGGAAAATATATTTTTAAAAATTTCTGTTAGAGTAAATATCAAGAAGCAGTAGATATGTATGTATATCAGATATGGCATTATTTAAAGCCGGTTTTGAATTTGCGAAAGTATTATTTTCTTTTTAATATCTTTATGATAATATATTTTGATTAATGTGCGACATTAGCCCCTGATAAATCATCGCACGTTGTTATGTGCCGTGAGGTCATTAGAGATGTGACAATGTCGTATCCGGATGTATCATTTTCGCTGGGCCGATGCAGCAATTTCCGGTGCAGAATAACGCATCTCGAACGTCGCTTCCTGCCCTCAAACTGCGATCCATTGAATTCATTAATGGCAGACGAAATCACCCCCTTTCGTATCATTCGGCCAAGCTATGGGATTTTCGGGTGAATGGATGCGGAAAATCGCTCCCTCATGGTTCTGTGTTGAACGCCCTGAGAAATGAAATGTGGGTGAGGAGACGACAGATTTCCCGCTCTCCGCGAGAGGCACACATCAAATACATGTGCCTGATCATTCATGTGGAAAGAGACAATTATTGCGTTCTTTCCTGGGAGAACGCCGACCGATGATGGGTAAGGGGTGGTGCAGAACCACCTGCATCTCAAGGCAGGCAAGTGATCAGCCATGTGGCCGCATAGCAACGCCCCAAGTGGCGAGAGTCGCCCCTGAAGGGCGTTGGCGGGCGTTGTTGAACATGAAAAGGTACATGATGAAAATCGATTAATCGTACAGCCCGCGTGACTATAAAGTTGTTCCTTAAAAGGTGATGGCTATTCTCTGCATCACTCAACATATGTATATCCCTGCGGGCAATCTACTGGATCTCAGTATGTCTGAATCTCTGTTCTAGCAAATTGTATTTTGTGTCTCCATTCAATTGCAGAGGGCTGCCTTTGCAAACGACTAAATTCAATTGACAACATATCAGGCGCGCTTTTGTGGTTGAGCATAAATTTGATTGTGATCCGATTTACTTGCCATCAAAGACACATGCCTCGCAAATCAATTGTCTTATGTTCACGTAAAAACCACCACATAAATAGATATTTATCACTGTTGCCCACTCGTCAATGGTTCCACCGAAAACTCCAAACTTCCTAAATTCGGTTTTGTTCATTATATTTTGTTCTAGACTTCGCCAAAAGTTATATGTGTATTTATATTTGTAGTATCACATGTTAGAGCACATTTTTAAATCGCTTGCTTAAGATCTGTCATCATACTTGTTGGTTAGTGTAGTGACTTTAGTAGGCTGTCAACTTGCAACCGAGACTATCAGAGACGGCTTACAGGTTGACTGACATTCACTTCAAATTTTTTTATATCAATAATAAATGAGCAATTACGTCTATCTCTTTAATTTAAATCAACTGAAAGAAAGCTATTTTGTGTACAATGTAAATTGATTTTCCTCCCGGACCTCTTGTGCTCTCCTCCCTTATAGTTTTACAATCTAGCGTGAAAAATAGTTTTCAGGGTGAAGAATTTTTGAGTAACGAGAGGAAAATATGAGAGAAAATTTGGCGTCACTTTTGACAACCAAAATCTACCAATTCCCGTTCGAGCACTGTCAAAGCAAATTCCATTGCACTTTAGTGCAATCCAAAGTTCATGTGTGCTAAGTCCGTTAGATACATTGTTATTCTTCTTCAAATTGTACATGAGGCGATAGTTCAGTCAACACTACTTGAAAGGGCACAAGTGCTGTTACTTTTATAAATATACAAAGTATTTTGCGATATATTAATCAAGAGCATAATTTTTCAGAATCTGTACAATCCAGTACTTTCTCATGAGAATTCTTTTCCAAAAATTTAAGTCATTATAATATCTTAAGGTATTTTATGTGTCATTTGTATTTATTTAAAGTTTTTACGCAATAAAAAAATTTAAAAGACGTCATTTCAATTTATTGCTAAACCAGTTTTATTTGTAAGAGCATTTTTACTTACTTACTCGTGTTAGAATAGTAATAAATAAAATTTACCTCGCTTGTGTAGTTCTTCACGCGCCAGACCCGTTGCTCCACTCACAGCGACTGACAGATTAGCCACTGCCGCCGCGGCGGCTGGATTAGCAGGCGGCAATGAGAGGTGTGGTCCGCTGGCCCCGCCGGGATACCACGCCCAGCCACTAGACTGCCCGTTGAACATTCTCAGCTTATCGTATACCGTCTCACTCTGCTGTTGAACTTGCTGTTCCTTTTGTGATGCTAGATTCCGCAGAACACGATTAATAGATGAAACCTGCAAAATATTATAGAACATCAGCCATTACAAGAGAAAAATTTCTGAATTTCCAATTTTGTTATACACCTCAGAATTTGACTTATTTTGAATACGAGAAAAAGTTTCATGTGTACCTTAGATTTTTATTCTTATCTATTTTAATGTTTTTGAAAAATGTCGCCAGTATTACATCAGTTTTTCATTTGAGAATTTTTTCCGTTATTTCAGGTAATTTTATTATGGTATCAGATATTGTATAAATTCAAGACAAACCACTCAAACAAATTGCCAAATATTACATTAAACTTTTATGTTAATAAATTAGACTTCAGAATTTAAATAATATGTCCTTTATACGAACGATTCGGAATGTTATAGCCTCAAGAAGTTATTGCAGTACCGTTAAAATGTTGGCAAGTTAGTGAACTTATCGATACAAAATGCCTGATATTTTCTTTCTTGCCACAATTTTTGGGATAAATTAGGACAAAAGATGAGCAAATTCGTCTTTAAATTGTTGATTTTAACTATTTTCTTCTTAGTGTTAAAATATGGTTAAATTTCATTGTCTCTGACTTTGAAGCTAATTTAGTCTCAGAGTAAAACAAAATTGGCAATATATTCTTTTCATATAGGCTACATGTAGCCATTTCTGTCAGTATGGTAAAGTGAGTAATTCACCGCAGTTTTTGTAAAATAAAATTGAGTAAAGAAGCATATGGGATAAATCCATAAGACGTTTTATACACATAAGCAAATGCGAGAGGAAACTTTTTTTCTAGAAATTCTGGTAAAAAATGATGAAGAAAATGTGGCACTACAGCAAATCTAGCCAATGTCTAGTGCAGTGAACAGACTAATTTTATTGTATCACAGTGTTGTTTCGTACATGAAATTTAAGTCAAGTCTTCTTCATAATGTGTACGAACATTGTTGTGCCTATAAATTGCCTAATTATTAGGCAATAAATGAGTGAGATCTCTTTTCGGGACCTTTTCAAAGTAAGTAAAATTGTTTTGGTCTTATAACTCAAACCGGAATTATTGTCACTTTAATTTTTGAAATCTGAGTTGGATAACTAAGAAGGACCTTAATCCTTAAGTGTCGGTTGATTGGAAAAATCCAATAGCATTCTAAAATTAGGGCTCGATTCATGTCATACCGTTTGGGTAAATGAATGATTTTTTTCGCTTTTTAAAATAGCGAAAGGCAGGATACGGGTTGGATTTGGCAATACTTTGATCTCCTGCACCTCACGCCTTGAACCCTTGTTTAAAACTGTATGTCTCTTACTGTTTAGACGCTACGAGTCTATTTGAGACGAATGGGCGGCGGCTGCCAAAACCCCCCTGAAAAATCACCCCCCTTTTTCGACAGAGTTAGCCTCTCTGATATTATCAATATACAATATGCTAGAGATAACACTGAAAACATATTTGTAGATCTACTTTCCCATACCCAGGCGGAGAACATTAACCTGCACACGGTACAATTTTAATTTTAGCGGGCGGCCACCAAAGATTAACTCCATTTCTTTGGTTACAAGCTCGCAGCAGTATTAGAGACTTATCACATATGGACTTCTCTCACTACACAAACTCGAAGAGATAGTATTACAACGAGTAACTATAGATTCCACTTGTCAAAATTAGCACCAAATTTTCTCTCTTTTTCCCCTGTTGTTTTAATCCTTTTTAACTTCACACATTCTCTTCTCTGAAAAGTATTTTCCACACTAGTTTGTAAAACTATGATAAAGGAGAGCATAAAAAGGTCTGGGAAGAAAATTCATTTACATTGTTCTCAAAATTGCTGCTGGAAATCTGCAATATTTTGGGTGAAGATGGAAATTTGATACTTCAATTATATTCGCATGTCGCCACATTGGCAACTCTATTTGTGCTGTTATAAGTCATTGAAATTTATGGTATTGGGCCAAGACGCATTTGAATCCACTAATTGAACTATTGCCTTTAGTTCTAAACTGTTTTCAGTAGGAACGATTCCTAATTTTTTTTCAATATAGTTTGACAAAAGAACTTCACGATCTGCTTATAAAATTAATCCTGGTCATAGTTCCAGAAGTCCTCAATTTTCTTCATCTGGAATCGCGCTAAAAATTTGAAGGTATTGTAAAGTTTTTTTTTTCAGAATACCGCCAAGGATTCTCGAGCATATTGAATCGATCCATAAGTTTTGTTGTCTTAACATTTAATTTAATTTCTTTGCATCTTCTTATACAACTCAAATCAAGTGAGAATGCATCTCCAATATTAGGAACTAGTCTAAGTACAAGTAAGTCAACTATTCAAATAAACTAAGCAAGTAATACTCGAGATAGGAAAATCGTTCATGTTTGACAGAGCAAAATTTTAGTTTACAATAGATATATGATGTAAAGTTTTAAATATGAGGTTCGATTAGTGATGTGAGATTTATTTATTTTCAAAATACACTCCAGTCCTTTGCTATACGATTTCTGCACCGATAGGACCTCGAGTGATGACAAATTTTTTCCTGCTTTTTTTGGCTATCATGAATGCCGGCGGCAGCCGGCACTTGCGTCTTATATGTGGTAGGTGTCAATGTAATAGATTTCAGTTAATTATATACGAAATATTAATGATAATATTATAGTTAACCCAGAAAACTCAATTGAGATGCGTAAGTCATAAGGTTATATAGATAAATTTGATATGCAATATAGATGGAAGTGGTTAAATTGAATAATATAAGAGAACATGCTAAAAACTAATTTATTTCAATAAATTCAGAATTTAAATTTCCAACCCTTCTCTCAAAACTTGTGTACTACCATTTAACTCCATTTTCTGGCAAAAAAATCGATGTGATTATCCAATACAATTTAGTCACCCACCTCCGTTCTTTCCAATTTATAAAAAACGACTCACCCCAAATTTGCGCTCTTCCATTTTCTCACATTTTCACTTCTGTTTCACGGGGATGCCACTGACTGCGCATACGCATTCCCTCAGTCCAGCCCCATCCTCTATCATTTACCCCCCGGCGGCGCCCAATTGGCCAGAAATGTCAGGGAGGATGAACCGACAAAGAGACTCGGCCATGTTAAGGGGACCCTCAACAGCATCTCCTTGTTTTGTAAATATTTAGACGGTTCTTCATGAATAAGGGCATCATATTGAATGTACATGAATTAATATATATATATATATATATATTATAATATATATATATATATATATATAATATATATTATATATATATTATATATATGAATTTGTGAGTATTCAAAAATTAGTCATTAGAATTAAGCAATACTCAGATATTACGAAAATTTTGACAAAAAATATCGAAATACTTATACAATCAAAAGATGTTTTGTGCCTGAACCCCAATAATATCTACATAGTCCGAAATATTCAGAACTTTCATGTGATTCACAATTTTTTTTTAACATTCGCACACAGAGCTATTTCTCTCTCGATTTTGACGAAGAAACTATTTAGTTTACATTTCAAAAGTAAGATTTACGATCTGTAGTTCAAGGGGTTAATACTTTTAATTAGTAATAAAACTATTTTTTTTTCACAATAAAGCTCAGTTCGAGCTCTCACTCGAAAATTCGAACTGAAATGCGTTTCTAAAAACTAAATTTGGCCTACTGAAAAAGGTTAAAATTTTACAAAATAGCAAGAGTAAATTCGCGCCACTGTGGCGCGAATTGTGAATAAAATTAGAGAAACAAATTTTTCAGCACAAATTTTGACAGCAATGTAACAAATTGGTCCCCAATATTCCAAGAATAAAGTATGAAGTGAAGAAAAGGTTAAACGACAGAGAAAGAGGAGGGAAAATTTGGCGCCACTTTTGACAACCAAAATCGCGCAATCCCCGTTTGACCAAGATCGAAAAAATTTGTGTGAAATTCAAACTGCACATCTAATAAATCTCAAAACAAAACCTAGGGCCGTCCATCCTCACTTACATAATTACGAATTGAAGTTAATGTAAGAAAGAATAACAGAATAACACAATAAGAAAGAAATATTAAGTAGACTCAAATCAAATTTTTTGCTATGAAAAAAATTTAAGAAATATAATGAGAATGCGTCATGTAATGTAAACAATATGTTAATATAATATCAAGGAATAGAATATGCAGCTCTGATAGTTTATAATCAGTTACAGAACCTCTAACATTGAATATCAGAAAGCTCCGGTTATGCTACTTTTCATGACCCTGACTGTGTAAATTAACGCTATAAAAGACGATATGGTATTTTGTTGTTCTGTGTACCTCCGCTTTGGCAAATATATCCTCGAGTTGAGGGAAGAGCGGCAAGTAGAAAAAAGAGGGAATTTTCAACTCATCCTTCCACATCGATGACTCCATTATTGTTTGTGGACTCTATTCTGGGGTTTTGATTGTAATTTTTCTACTGCACAAAGTCTTGCGCTATATCGGGGTGTTTGACTATATCTTTTTTAACGTGCATGTCTGCGCCCTAGCGGTTTTCTCTATACTATTCTTCGTGGCTTCAGCAGCCGTTCTCTCAAAACCCTGGGATTTACTCAATTCGAGATAGGGGATTAGAATTAATTTCTCCATCAGCCGCTTCTATTAAACCCACGGAAAAGAGCTGTTTAGGGTTTCAACAAAAACGGCAGCATGGGACACACTTTGTAAAAAAAACTGCTGAAAAGGTTACTACTATACTTAAAAAAAAGTCTCATATTTATAATTCCACAGACCTTCCTCACTGTATAACAGTTTTATTGTTGTTGTAAAAAAGAAATTGTTTTTCTAAAATAATTTTTTTGTTGTTGTACAGATCGAGCGTGTTCTTCTAGTCACAGCGCAAGATTTTTCAGTTCATTAAAGATGATTTTAGTATATATTGTCTTTTATCTGAGAACATTGGTCTAAGTAACAAAATCGGTACTAGAAGACATTTCTTTCGAAAAAATTCAAAATTTTAACGTAGGTATGTTACAAAAAAACCGATTGTATGAAACTCATCACTAATTAGTATAAAAATCATTTAAAAAAAACATTATATTTTACGGGAAACTTTTCTGCAGTATTTTTTTGTCTCCTTTTATGCCATTCTCCTTTTTTCAAACTGAATATCTGACGTGAAGAAGAGTAACGACAGGAAAACAGGAGAGAAAATTTGGCGTCACTTTTGACAACCAAAATCTACCAATTCCCGTTCGAGCACTGTCAAAGCAAATTCCATCGCACTTTAGTACAATCCAAAGTTCATGTGTGCTAAGTCCGTTAGAACGTAATTTTGTTTTAAACCTATACGTTCTGTGTATTTTAGCGTCTTTGCATCACAGATAGTATTTGTTTTTGTGTGACTCAGGACTGTGGTTAACCAATATAACACTTTTTTACCATTCCTTGTGTGACTGGAAATAGCTCCAAATGTCCAAAGACCTCAGGTAAAAAGTTATGTGTTTATTTCGTTTAGAATTGATTTCCAGGGCGAAAACACCAAAATTAACAGTATATTTATCGGAATTTTACTGATTTTCCCACATTAATTGACTTACTTACACAGTTGTCTGTTATGACATTTCTGCGAAGTGTTCAGGATTTTTGATATGAATTGTGTAAGTGTCAAGAAGTAATGTACAGATTTTAGCCATAATGTGCCTTCTATTGTCAGTCGTCCTAACCAGTTCTAGCTTTTTAGTTTGGTTAGGCTTTCTGAAAAGCCTTTTAATAATATTTTTTAACACCTTATTTTTATCAGATAAAAACCCCGAGATATTATCTGTAGAACATAAGCCATTGCGATTGAAATACATGTTTTAGACATAATTACAAATTTTGTTAACTTGAGTTCTGCTTCGAATCTGTATATGCCACATTTTTTATTTCTTATCCTTTCTTATCTGTAAAGAACACAAACAAATAATTAACTATTACTTACACTTGGTATGTTGTCGCTATTGCACACCGCTTCGGAAAGCAGCCTGTCCCGGATCTCCCAGGCGAAGATGCTGGGGCATTCGCGCTTATAATCGGATATCTTCTGGACTACGGGTGTTGTAGCCACACGCGGCTTTGATCCACCAATGGCACGCGGCTTAATGCTGCCTGTTTCGTAGTAGCGACCCAAAATCTTGCTAACACATCCGTTGCTCACCTGAAGAATGCGTGAAATGTCACAAGGGCGAGCGCCAGAGTGTGCTAATTCCACGATCTTCTGTCGTGTAGAGTCGGGCAGCGGACGTCCATTTACATATACTCCGCCAAGTTGGTTGATGCCTGAATGACCGGCGGTGGAGCAGCCAAAAAGGGCGCTCTGCGATACGGACGCAGCATGCCCGTGATGGCTCATTAGATGCTCTGGAGTTAAAGAAGAGTATATAACAATAATTTTAAACTCGAAACATAAAATTCATGGAATAATATACTATATTAATTTATTATATGGCACCCCCGTTTTTTTCCAGGTCACATGCATTTAACGTTTTGGATTGAAAATTCTAGTCAAGAAAGAAATTGTATTTTCTACGCAAATTGTCGAAAAAAGATCACGTAAGAGTCTTTCTATTTGATGAGCAAGCTGGCACCTCCTTTTATCACCGTATCCCCTCTTTCATGTCTTCTATATTCCTATACCCAGGAACTCAGACCAGTTAGATCTGGTGTTCAGTTTCTGCTTGGATTCAAGAACCAGTCGGGAGCTATTCAATTCATATATGAAATAACCACTAGAAATCGCTTTGAGATCACCGGGGCCAAACAAAAATTTTATTATATACTGTATCGGCAGTGATGTATGTACAGTCCTCTGCTTCGAGTTATGAGTAAACAAATAAGAGAACATACGTTATATGTGACAAAGAGTAATTACGATGGCCTATGCTAAAAGCATTTTCGAATCGCCACCACAGGCTCGCGGATTTCATGTATATTGAAATATCATTCCTCGTAACCTACGAACACTGGCCAAATCACTTCTCGCCGAGAGAGAAACAAGGTATCACGAGATCCCAGATGAGAGAGTGAAACATGGTTACCAACATCAGAGGCGTAAATCTTGAAATGGTACACAGGCGTATCTAAACAATTGCAAAACCAACTGACAGCCAACGAATTGCATATTAACTGCGTTAGCACACTGAAAAGCTTTTCCCAAATCTTTTTTTGATATCACAATTATTGTATTATTTTCGTCACAAAGTCTCTTCGATTACAGTGGAAACAAATGCCCATATGTGATAAATCCTTGAGAGACAGATATATGAAGTCAAAAGTGACCAAACGCAGGTGTGCCATTGAGAAAATCTAAGTGTTTTTTACGAAAATAATCAAATGAAAAAAAGCAAAGTGCCAAATCTTATGTATTTCCTTTAGTATGTTTTGACTGAGACTACTGAACATGCCCCCGATTACGGGGCCTAAACGGTATGATATTAAATATCGGTAACATTGGCGTCAAAGTTTACACCTTCATATCTCTGTTTTTTACGTGTTTTATATGTGCAATGAATTTTTCTTTTGTTCAGCACATGTGTCAATTCCCAAATCTTAGTTCTTATTTTTATAACCATAATTGCTAATACTTCTGCGCACTATTTCACCACACAACAATGCACACACTCAGAGTGCTCTCAATACAATGAATAGCTATTCGTTAGTAAATTCACGATGGAAAAATCAAAAGAGAAGGTTAACGCAAAATCGTCCACTCCAGCATTTGCTCCTTAATCCAATTCTCTCATTAGATATCAATCGGATCAATTATAATTCTTTTTTGTTCTCAAGTGTCGACCGACCCCCGCTGCATGAACAATAGTTTCAATTTCACAGCAGGACCGCCAAGAAGACTGGGTAGATTCCTTAAGCTTCAATTCACACACTTTTTCATTCATTCTGTTGTTCTTGGCCGATTCAAGTGAGATGCATGACATACAAATTGATCTTGTGTGTCAATTAATTTGTGATCACCAATCTTAGCGATCATGTCCCTTAAGATTGCGTCACGCAATTCAATTAATGAATGTCTCGGAGGTTTTGTTAAGCTGCTTTTCGTAGGGGTGAATATGTAATGGACAATGAACTGAGAGTTGGGTGAGTGTAAGTGACAATGGACTGAAAGAAAAGAGGGTGCAATTATATCATGGGTGATTGATATTATTAATTGGCTGTGAAGTGGAAAATATAGTTTTTTCAGCAGGAGTGCGCGTGCTTAAGAAGCACATCATCTATGTCGAATGTGCTGCAAAATTAGGCTATCACTGGGAGTAGAGGGAAAGAGATAGACTATTCCTGTTCGAAGAGGGTGAAAGTGTCAATTGTGAAACCCTTTTTATTGTCGCGGAAAAATAAACATTGCCACGATGTATGGCTTGCTTTTTCAAACGATACACTTTGACACTCTATTGTATTTTGGCAACATATTAATGACATAAATGACGATATTTTGTTATTTATTGTCCTGTCACTTTGTTACACACAGAATCCTTTCACTCTCAACTCACAACCCTCGTCACAACTTTGAGGGGACAATATAGGAAAGTTTATTTTCTGTTTCGCAGCTAGCTATTGCTTTCAGAGTCATTTGTAAATGAGAATTCAACAACGTTCGTTTTTGCAAGGAAATAATACCAACATTTACAAAAATTACAACTACCACAGAGGGTAAAAACTGTAGAATCCGAAAGAAAAGAAAATGTTTGGTGCATGTGGGTGTTAAGGATTCAAAAATTGCTAGTAGGATCTCAGAAAGTAACACACAGTAAATAAATAATATTTGCACATTCAAATTAAGGATTTTTAAATATACATAGCTTCAGCTGTACTTTGTGCTAATGAATCAAATTCTAGTAATCTTTCCCAAAATTTAACGGTTTTTAAAAGTCAAGAATTAAGAGAAACCAAGACTTTACTTGGTCTTAACCAAGAGAGTGATGTTAAAACTTCAAGTGCTATTAGTAAAGAGCCTCAGGTGCGGAGTCCAGAAAGAGGATGAGGAAAAAGCGTTACGCTAAGTCGAGTGTGTTCGAAAGTACTAATAATTAACATTATAAAGTCACATTCCAATGGAAGACAAAGTCAAATTAAAAAATGCTTCAAAACATGCTCAGGGGGTTTTAAACGCAAAAAAGCCAATGATCTTCACTCTATCACACCGTTTGGGTGATTTTACACTTGTAATTGTTATGCAGCACCTGAGAAAGGAGAAAATAAAATCTCTGAAATTTACGATTGAGTGAAGCTCATTGGGCCTGCTTTTTCCGTTAAAAAAAACACCCCTGTAGATACTTCTTGGCCGAAAATTTCACTATATCTCATTTTTAACATTAAAACTCGAACTGTGTCAGATTCGTTTTTATTCAATTTCATGTTAAATCTGCAATTTCGATATGTATAGATCCATGGTAATTGAGAGTAGAAGAAATTTGGAGTTTTCGAATGTTGCAATAGTTATAGCTGAAATGGTGACAAATATCCCTTCCCCACAACACAATATGAGGGAGATTTTGAATTGACTATTTGAGAGGCTGTGATGAAAGAATCAAGTGATTCTCGAGATGGTGAAGCAATCAATCACACGAGACGTTTTTGGAGTGTATATTGAAAAATATTTGGCGTGCCTCGCTTCATTCCAAACGCCCTTTAAAAAGCATTTTAACACATTAACAGCATTTCTTCGGCTCCGTGGAAAATCTCGTGAAAATTTATCCCTCGGGTAAAACGATTTAGAAACTCTCAGCGTGATGTTAATCAAAATCTACCACTCAATTTGGTCTCTGAACACACCCTTTCTCTCACTCTCTCTCTCTCGACGAAAAATTCAACGCACAGAGAATTTTATGTGATTATCTACGCTATGGCGAAGGGAGTTAAAATCACGCAGAATAGTTGAATGTGATATTTTACCTTTGTGCGGCATCTTCCAAAAGGTTTCAGCCCCATCGCGGGCAGAATGGTGTAGGCCGGTCCCGATCAGTTTGACACAATATCTTAGCACTCGTTAAACAGTTTTTCTATGCCGTAAACTCACATTGAGGTTCAAAAACACTTGTATTTTCACAATGCCCGTGTAGAGATGTGAATAAAGCAAGTTTGTTTGTCACTTAATTTTTATCACCTAATATACATAGGTTTCTTCTCCAATTATAATTCAATTACTTTAATAGTAGCTCTCCACGAAAATTCCATGAGGTCATAAACTCCATATGGTTTATGAGAACCAAGACAAGAACCCTGATATTGTACAAGAAATTCAATAAATAAATTAGTATGAAAAAATACCTTTCTTATTCTATTATACAAAATTATAAATTGAGCAACTGTGTAAACACAGCTCCCACAGTCTCGCGAGGCACGCGAGGCTGTGGGGCATCAAGAGGTTCTTTCAGGCTGATCATTCTCCTTAGGCTTTATCAAGTTTATCTCACTCTGTAAAATCTTCCTTTCTCTGCTTTTCTCTTCACATTTGTTGTTCTCTGTGATATTCTTTCATTAATTTGTCGGTCTTAGCTTGCCTTTTTCTGGTTTTTCCTTTACTTTTGGTTAATTTGTAAGAGGGTTGGCCCACAATTTTGCCATTTATAAATTGAATTGAGTATATTCATGAATTTTCTAAATAATCAAAAACAATACAAGTTAGAAAAGTTATATCGCGTTTAAAATATAATAATAAATTATGGGCATAATTAGAAATTTTTTTTAACTTATCTAAAACCAGTTCCTATTATTGACTCAATAATTTAATCAACACTTGAAACTTTTCACTTTAGAGGACATGGACAATTTTTGTCACATTTTAAAATGTACATTCTAATCTACACTTGTAGGTAAAGTTTTTGTTTATATATGTATGGTGAATATGGTTCATGACGATTCACGTTTTGCTTACCAACTATTCAGCAAAAGAATTTTGTTTCATCGACAACTTAAATGCAACAAAATATTGGAATCAGATTTTTTTTCTTTCAAGAACAATTTCAGGCCTAACTGCACTTAATATGGTGATTGGTATTATATATTTCGTATTTGTCAATTTGAAATAATATACATATATCGATTATGGGTTAAACACCCATTGTTTTCCCCCTTGGAGTATCATTAAACTTTTTTCCGTGGTTCTGAGATAAAATCTCACGACGAGATTGAGTGACAAGTAGTTTCCTTTGCTATTGACCGACTCGACAGAGTGGAGAGATTATATGTTGGACGCGTCGATGTTGCAATTTTTCCATGCACATCAAGACATTTTGGGTGCTGAGATGATTGTAACTTAATACCATTTAGTCCCAAGAAAAGAGAATGTCTGTTCCATTGCATGTCATATCAAAATATCCCATTCCCCTTGAATAAGATGATGGTGTCTATGTGAGTGTATGTTTTTAATTCCAACAAAGGCATAAATTCATCATCACAGCAGTGAGTTGACAGGACCCACCGCACCTGTAAAACGATCAACGCTCTCATGTGACTTTTTAACATTTTCTTTCCTATAATTTACGCATCGTTCGGCTTTTTATAAGTATGCAATGGACTCGGAAAACGCTAAGGAGAAAAATAGCGGAAAATAGAGCTGTTCAGTTTGGGTCATAATCCAAAATTGCTAATTAACACACAAAAGAAATACCTCAACACAGACTCATCCATCAATCGTAAGACGATAGTTAGGCAGTGACAATGCCAAACAATCCGATAAGGCTAAAAAACAAAAAAAGTAAATAAGAGAATAATTTTCAGTTGCCAACCTCCCGCCGCTACGTTTTGACATTGTCGTGACGATACCCTCATCATTGTGTAATTCCTGGTGACTGATCGTTTGTCTGGGTTTTTTATTGCCAACATTTTTGTTATTAGCTCCATGTTAGTCTAATAGGCTTTGACGTATAAAAGTAACCTCAGAATTAAACACTTGATATAGTTTATGCCTTTTTTAAGTAAAAGTATTTCTAGAGCCAGTAAAAGAGAGGTATGTTTTCAGAGTTTCGCTTATTCTCGGCTATTTATGTTTGAATTTTGACAGATTTAGTAAAACTAGGATTTGCTGATCTATAAGTAATATCTGAATGTAATCATTCTTTTCTCTAAAAATGTATTCCTAAGCTGCTCTTAAAAGCAATAGCTAATTTTAAGTGTTCTGAGTCATCAAAGTTGGAAAATCTATTCACGATTTTTTCCCATTTTAGCCTACTTTAGTGGATCAATTCATATCTATCATCACAATAAGAAGGCTTCTGGCAAGCCGATCATAGGTTACGGGACTACACTAAGTCTATATGAGTACCGAGATTTTTTTTTTCATAATCAAAATCAAATTGTCTTTGATCTTGATCAGTTGTTCTGTGTTAAAAAAAGAATTGGTGAAACGCTTTATTAAGGGTTCTTTCAGAAAATTTATGAGAAAATTACAAATACAAGGAAAACTTTACCATGTAGGCAGGCAGAGTCAGTTTTTCTTCTGAATCTTAAAAGCAAACAAGCCTTAGTTCATTTGTTCGGAGTCAAGGATAACACTTAAGTAATCTCAAACTGTATTTTTATTCAGCCGAAAACTCAAATGATGGCCGAAAAATGATTTTTTTTTCTGGCAGTCAGTTCAATCTAGTGTCCTTCAGGCATATATTAGGCATGTGCGGTCTCTAACTTGAATGTAAAGGTTTTTCATTTAATCGAGATATAAACCACATAGTCTAAGCAATAATAACTCTTACAATTACTCAGACTGTAGGTAAACCCAGTTATCACCAGTAGAGACCAGAAATCAGCCTAAAAATGTCGGTAATTGAAATTAACAAAATAGTAGACAACAACAAAATAGAAATAAAGGGTTTTAATGGTTTTGGTAATCATTAAAAAAAAATTCTTTTCATGTATCCAATGCTGTCGTGTGCTAGACGTGGGAAGGCATTTAGCTTACAGACATAGAATGCGGTTGAACGACTCATACTCAACTTTAGCTAGAAGAAGCCCTCGAACCATAGTAGAACCCGCTCTCGTCACAGGAAAAGCCAGATATATGCATCTAACTTACACATTTCTGTGGGCAGAAATATAATCGCGGAGATCCAGTTCGTACACAATTATTTGGCGGCAGCCGCCACTCGAAGACTTAACTGTAGTCAATTTGCAAAGGCTCGAGTGTAAAACAAATATTATTATTATTATTATTAAAAATAAATGTCCGCAAATTTTATTATTTTACAGAAGAAATAAGCACTCCCCTCTATTAGAATTTAATGGTATATCTATTGATGGTACAAGAAACAGCCGAATATTGTAGGCCGTGATGTCCCGAGAGCAACTAAGGACATAGGGAAAGTTGTTGACCGTTCAAATTCTTTTGGGGTGAATAAGAATGGCCTGATCAGATCAGATTAGAATAGAGTCGAATAATACAAAGATTTTAGATTAAAAGTACGTATTTATTACGACCACAGTGCAAAAACTACATTTCAAAGTTGATTTGGGCGTGAAAATGTGAGTCACACTTCGTTTTTAATGTTTAATGATGAAAACACAGCATTTTGCTTATACCATTATCCCTTTTCCACTATGCAACTCATTTTTTGGCGCGCAGTTTTAACAGAAATCTTATTGATTCAAGTTTTAGCTTAATTTGCTCAAAATATCGGCGCGAGACGTGTGTGTTACTCAAGGGAAATATAAGGAGTTACACTCAGTAAGGTATGTCGTGCGAGTAGAACAGAAAATACGCGATACACATGCTGAAGAAAAAGACAACCCGATCAATGGTTCGCCGCAAAATGCTGTGTTTTAACCATAAGGAACTGCCTCAACCTAGCCTATGTGTGTACTGAGCCTAAAGAACTTTAATACGTATCGTTTGCTTGAAAATTTGCTTCAGAATATTTGAGTGTTAGCCTTACTGGATTTGCACATATGATAGTCTATCAATTGAATTAAATAAAAAATAGGAATGTAATTTACTTTTACTTTTATTTGTAATTTAATTTTAACCCAAACACATTATGTGTTTAAGGAGAGAAAATCAAAGAAAAATAATTGGATCTTTAGGATAGTCCCTCACATGAACGAAAATTCTTTTCATATTAACAGATCGTTATTGTAACTTTTTAGTGTTGTTCCTTTGACAAATTTTTATTGGTGAAAACTATTTCAGCGTGCTAAAATAAAACCCATTCTGTTCTATTCCATTTTAGCGGTAATGTGTTTGACAAGGAAGCAGTAGCTAAATAAATTGTTGCATGAATTATTTCTAACCTAACTCGTAGTGACAACATTCTTGTGTAAATGAATTTCCAAATCAATAGCAGTAATAATCTATTATTATACGTTGAATAAAGTATAGGTACAGCGTAAATATATGAAATGTGTAAAATATTACATGAAACATCTTCCGTTTTGCGAAATTCCGTACGCGAAATGCAAAAGTAACATTGTCGCAAATATAATGCCAAAGACCAAGCTGTGATCCTAATTCGGCTGTGCAGTGAAGGGTTCGCATACATTGATTACACCGATCACACATTGGTCGCTTTAAGCAGTACACACCCACATGCATCTCGACAGGCTTTGGAATATATGTAATTGTTTAATAAGCACTACTGTAAATTCAATGTAATAAATAAATCAAATGAAATAAACATAGCATTCGTGGCTCCTGTTGCCGTACACAATTAAAAGTCATAAATGTATCTTTTTTACGAAGGAGCTCCTCTCCGTATTATGCTGGAATTTGGTTGCCAACACTAACACGGCGATGGCCGCAAAGAGGACAGTGAATGTGCTAAACGCTGTGATTTAATCTCCTTCTCTATCTATTCATATATCACTTGGCTAATGATTACAAACCCTCATTTACTATATTTCTACGTAAATAAATAGTGAACACGTCGGAAAAACTAATTTAGCTCGTGTTTCTATTTTTTTTTTTGTATTTCTTGCAATCTACATGTCTTTAATTTTGTCTTTAATCTTGTCTTTTATACCTTCTTTTATACGTAAATTTGACAAGTATGTATTCGTATGTTCACAAACTATAATTTCAAAGTGTTTTTGTAAACCCCGAAAACAAATTTTCATTCCAAATCACGCTACATATAATGCTCTAAGATCGCTAAGAGAAAAGCTTATATTCCGCACGCTAAGTAGAAAACTTAGCCCTAAAATTGTACTTCAGGAGTCATAAAATTATTACGGTAAATTCTGAAAACCCTTTATAGCAGAGCTTGACAATACCCCTTTAGTTCAGCACGTATGTACGTGAATGTTAATTTTCACAGGCGCGACGAAGATTTAATTTGTTCAGTACGGGTTTGAAAAGAAAAATTGCCCATGTCTTTTAAAGTGGGAAAGCATTTTAGAATGAAATAGTTAGTAAAAGAAAAAAATAAGATTCTAATGTTTTTATATCTTAAAGTATAATATATTTCGGGTATAAATTCAAATTTTGTGCAAATGCTTTTATAATTTCGAATTTAGTATATTCTTTGTCCAGTTTCATACTTGAATTAGAAATATCCTTTCGCCTTGCGGATGTCTCAGTAATGCAATTGTCATCCGAAGGCCGTGGTTCTCTAATCAAGTGTGAAATCGTGACACGTGGCACCAAAATCGCGTGTCTGGGCGGAAATATCGTTATTGAGACATCCTCGCAGCACCCGTTGCCAGTCTGAGGCGGCAAGTGAGAAGTATTCAACCCCATAATCCTCGAACGTGCGTCCGGGCAGCGGGGATAATTTCTTAATTAACGATTCCCGCCGTTTGAGGATCAAAGGAAAATCACTGGCAATTCATCACAGTTGAGGACACTTGCTCAGATGCTGTATTGCACATATATTAGAATAGGACTGAAGTGTGTGGGATTGAGGGTGGGAAAGGTGAAAATCGAGTGGCATTGTAGCGATTGAGAGGAGACCATTGAAAAAGTCAAAAGGAAATGTTAATGTGTAAAAAATGAATGATATGTTATTATTATACGTAGGGATTTGTACGTGTACAAATACATTGAAACTGATCAAAACAATAAGCTTTTCCAACATTTGTTTGTATAAAGTCAGCCTTTGATCTTTTCTATAGTATAATTGTCCACATTTTATAATGGTAAAGTCCATAGATACTTGAAAGATTGTAAAGCACCTTATTTTAAATACGCGCTTTCACCTTCACATGAACCACACACAAAGGACAGATATTCACTACACTCACGCACACTGCATGAAAGACACCACGGAACGTGTCACGCAATATCCACCGACACGGAGTGCGTCCGACCATATCTGAAATTAGCGAACGTTACGCGTTGATGAGCACACGAACGGGCTGTGTTCACTCGTCCAAAAGGCGTGGCCTGATAACTTAAATCTCATTGGTCGTTCACACGACAAAGGCATTATGATAGCCAAATGGCAGTCGAATTACGTAGGAAACAAAATAGAGTACTCTGAAAACGCCTCCCAAATATTTTTTTAAGCCAACAGAAGTGAGAGCCAAAGTGACCGCAGATTTTTGTAACTCGAAAGTTTCAGTTTAAAATTTAATATACCAACTATTGTCTTAAGTGTAACAAAAAAAATTACATAAGAAATTTCAGCAAACATTTACAAATGCTTTAAAAGGCTCTTTTGAAATTTTTGATTTTAACTAAAATAATAATAGAAATTTAGTTTAATTTGGTAATAATAAGTGACGTGGTTTAATTTTATTATATTTGAAAGTTCAAATATTTGAATTAGAAACACTTTATAATCTTGTGTTATTACACTTCTATCGGATATAAATTTTTCCTGAGCGAGGTGACAATAAATCTATCTATCTATTTACCGCTTTAACCAAACCTAAAACTTGTCAAATAATTTTTAAAATAAAGAATGATAATAATATGCACCGAGAAATTGGGCTGTTTCTGAAACCACAATTATAACTTATCGACCTCATCTTAGTCAAAAGAATTCAATTTCTGTTTTGGCTAGCATGAAAGAGATGTTATTTTGCCCCTAAAATTGTATTACAAAAAAAGAAAATTTCACGACATTCGTATCGATAATTGTCGGTATTGGGAAGAACTTAGCGACACTTCAACGTATAGTGCGATAACTCTCTAATGTGTTCACAATAAGATATTAGCTAACTAAGTACAAAAGAAATTGTGCTAATGGACCTACGAAACTATGTTAAAACAGGAAAATATAGCCTTACGAGCAAAAGTTAGTGGTCGTAGATTTGTAAATGGAGAAAGAAACGAAAATAACTAATGTTTTCCTAAATTGTTCAGAGATTTCGTAAAATATAGCAGATTTTTTCGAATTGAAAGTCAAATGTTATATGTGTGCTTTATAGTGTGTAGTATCGCTTTGCATTTTAATAATAAAATGTTTTCTTACTACAATTTCAATTGTAATCGCAAGAAAATGTATTTTAACTTTAATAAGTCTCTTTATGTCTCATTCACATTTTCTGTGTAAATGACTAAAATCTGTAGCATCCGACGCCCGATTTCCAGCATCTCACAACTCTTTTGGCTCCACCTACTTTGTTTCATTTCACTTACATTGCAAACACACTGACATCTGGTGATACTTGGACGATACTGTGAAGATTCTGTAAAAAAAAAGAATAAAGAAGGCATGGAAGAAAAGGGAACGTCTATAAGGGATGCCGAACAATTTCATCGGTATTTCTTACCCCTGATCTCTTGATATAGGATTATCTGTTCGGCTTCGCGCTCATCTATTGTGTGGTGAGATTTGGATTCGGGGCCACCACTTGAGTCGGGGAGTGAGCGGAGAAATAATACCTTCACAGGAGCCGCATTCATACCTGAAAATTCACACTCTCTACGCTGCTCTAATCGCATTGCTATCTCATTTCCTTCAGCTTCAACGCCATCTACTAAGAAACCAAAGGCATAATACTTAACTAATGATACTGTCATCTATACGCAAAAAACCTAAACACAAATATTACATTTAAAAACGGCAAACTCTTAAATCACTGTTCAATATTTTTATTCCTAAATGTCACATTTCATGTTTAAATGAGAAGTTATTCCTCTACGTTGAAATATCGGCAAGTTCACCACAACGCCGATACTTATTACGTCCACCAACGCCTTGCGGTTGATGACCAACCTCCATAGCGAAACAGTGGAAAAGCTCTTTCACTTGTTGTATAAGCTACATATCTACACACAGTGGAAAAAGAATACAAAACAGTTAAAACGCCCAAAAGGTTTGGATTAACCGGCGCTTGATATCTCTAGGAGGTTCATTTCACAGAATCACCCCGTCAACAAAAAGAGAGTTTCGGAGGATGCGGCTCCGCGACGCCGGCACAACGAGACTCGAAGACCTGACAAACGAGCCAGGTGCGAGCAGTTCAGTCAAATAATTGCGAAAAATATCCGTTTTACACCAATTTTGTGGGAAAGTAGGACTGATACTGACTAATTAGTTAAAAAAAATTATGGCATAAAACGAAGTTGCACCCTATTCGTTTCGATAAGTACTGCCGATGTTGGTAATAACTTACCGACACTTTAATTCAGAATTGCTCCCGAAATGCCATATCCCACTGCGATGAACTCACGAGAAGGTCTACGTGAATACTAATAATACTTAAATAATAATAAATTTATTCATTTTTATTCGACGCCTTTGACGTTGAAAATCATTCCTTAGTTCGTTTCGCTAGGTCCAACGCGAAAGAAAGCATATGAGGTAACTTAGAAAAATTATCTAAGAAACCAATTTGTCAATTTCAGTGATATCAAGAACTTTTTCGTATTTCATTCGTAATTCATACTTAGAATTACTAATATTGGTATCATCTGCAAAATTAAATGATTTCTAACTTACAATTTAATTGAGCGGTGCAGAACGGGCAACAAATAGATATCGAGAAGACAGAATCACTGAACTTTTCGTTCTCAAATCAGAGTACTTGTCAATGAACTTACCCATCAATCGCTTTAGCATCTTTACGTTTTCTGGAGTCTTTCTCTACTACTACTGTACTCTTACTTTGTCCTGATCCATTTTAAGACCATCCTTCGACACAAGATGTCCCAAAAACTTTAACTTCGGTTGGTTGTGAACACACACTTCTCACATTTCAGCTTGAGCACGTTTCAAGAGAACGTTTGTTTATGCACATTTGTGCATATTGTGTTAAACTCAAGGAGCACATTTTTAAGGAAACACAATTGCTTTTGTACAGAGTCAAAAATTTCCTTCTTGACCCTTAATTGTCGTCCACCTCGACCGAACCACAGTTATACATGATCTTACATACTGCCGCAAATGTGCATATTGTGCGCAGGAGCATTAATTTGAAATAAATTCCAATTCTAAACTACAGTCAGTATAGTCTTGTTTTGCAATCAATCTGCCTCACATTTCATCATTGAAATTATCCAGCGCTTCCTTGATCGCTTCCAGTATAAGGTTTTCATGTGTTCCGTGGACGTTTCCAGGCACGTGCCTAATAACCTTCTGAATGAAGATCTTCAGATCTCTTTAGCGAGGGAAGTTATGCACGAGCTGAGATGCAAGTTCGGGTGAAAATTTTACGCTCACCACATAAGAGCCAGCCTAAGCATTCTTGACGCCAATGGCCAATCTGTGCTTGAGTATATATTATTGCTATCAAGATTACCGCCGTGCGATATGACCGAGCAGTGGCGCGATGATGATCTCTAGATATGAGTATCGTTTGAGAAGTGGGTAAATACACTCACTCCGTGTATGAGTGACAATCACGCGCACACGCGACAAGTAGAGTTTTGAGCAGATTTCGGCTAAGTGCACACAGAGTTGAATTTGAGCTTTTGGCCGTGTCTGGTCATAGTTTGTAGGCAGTTATTCGTGCCATATTTTCATCAGTCTGTTTAAGTGTTTGTATGTTCGTTTTAATCTCGTGCATAACTCACGCTATGAATCAATGTTGAAAGGCTCTATAATAAGAATTGTTAAGCAACTGAAGAATACATTGGAGTACGATTAAGGAAAATAATATTCAGTGTTTGAGTGCTGTGAGAGGTACTGAGAACGCCGCAGTTTCGCGTCAAGACCGCATGGCGGGTTGGAGAGTAGAAAACTCTCCAGAGTTCTGGGCAGGGAATCGGATGTTTTGGAATATTTCTCGCTAAACACTCGAGCACATCATTTTCCGTCTCATCCGCTGTTTGATGATTTTCTAACGGGTCGTGAGAGAGATCCTCCCGTTCATTTCCTCTGCCGCTCAACTCAGAAGGTATTTTCTTCCTATTTTCAAAGGTAAATCATTATCTGGGCGAGTTTTGGTTACATTGAGGAACACAATGAGTGCAATAAGGAAATGTTCCTCCGCACATCGAAGGTCAGTTGATCAAAATTGACATCTTTTTATTATTTCAACGACTTGAATGCCCTACTAAATTGCCCAGTTTTTAAACACAAACTGACCTTTTTATTGGTATGCATGTTCCCGAAATTCGTACTAAAATTTTCTGAAAGTAGAACTTTTAAACAGGAGTTGAAAAAAAATGTTATTTAGCTGACTTCTGTCGATCTTTTCCGGTTGCGATAAGAAAAGCTATTTCATGCAGTCTGGACAACGTCAGAGCAGAGGGAAAAATTGATGGTGTATACATCTACCACATTCCCGGAAAGTCACTGGACTGAGAAACAAAGACCTAACAGCAGGCTCGCTAATGGGAGCAAAAACCAGCAGACGTGAAGACAAGAGATCACCAACCATTGAAACGAAGAGCCGCTGATTTCATTGTAGATCTTTCCGACGGTCGTCGCACATCGATCTACTTGTGGCCTATCAATCTAAGCCACAGTTTGCGATCCCATTCAGAGCTCTCAACAACCGTTGAATGTTGTTTCTGGAATAGCCTGAAGAAATTGAAAGAAGTATTTTGTATATAAAATCAAACATAAAAGTGCATAGTCGTGCGGTTTCTTTTCCTTTTATTCTTTTTCCATCATTATATACAAAAGAATTATAGTTCAAAATTTCAACCTTATAATAATCGATAATTTTTATCCCACTTTTTATGTTCATAACTATGCGTTATTTTCTGCTTTTTTTTCAAAGCCGAAGACAATTTGCACGCTTACTTGTACGCTGGCGTCCTCGACTGCATACAAACATTTCATTTTATAATAGTAAAATTTACATATTTCGTCATTCTTTCGTTGACAATATCTAATATATATATATATAATTATTTGTTGACAATATATTTTCTAGCTTAATTCATTTATTAAATAAATTTATAATATTTTCTTCGCATTTAGTATCTCTTTAGTATAACATTTTTGCTCATTACCTGCAAAATGTTTACATTTATGCTTCTCACCACAATATTGTTTACAACGCCTCCGATGGTGAAATCAATCTTTCTCATTTTGATGCTGAACAGTTTTATCCATTTACTTCATTATTTATCTTCTAATATTCTAAGCTCAGCTTTACCTTAGCATATTAATATGTTTTATCTTTGAACCTTGACTATTTCCAGTATTCAGCCGTACGCCAATTCAATTTATTAATAATGCTAATCCAAATTTTTCTCAGTGTTCCTCCTCGCGCCCCGTTTAAGATTTAAGCAAACAAGGATACTTGAAATGGTTTCACAGGGCGGCTCGGCCTGCGGCCTCCCGCTCCGTTTAAGATTTACGGGAAAAAATATACAGGAAGTGTGGAAATGGCGCCGCGAAATGTGGTGACGCTGATTCGCGCAGGGCTCTATTTAGAACAGCTCTAATTTTTGAGCATCAGAATACAGAGTGCTATCAGTTGTTTTTTATATTCTTCCAGCGCATGTCATTTTTAAATTTAAGGAAAGAGATTATGTCAGTTTTCGATTACTGTTCACTTTTGAACTTAATTTTCCCTTTTCTATTTCAATTTACAATTTTATTTCACTTTACAATTTTATTTCATTTTACAATTTTATTTCATTTTCAATTCTATTTCACTTTACAATTTTATTTCATTTTACAATTTTATTTCATTTTCGTTTTTTTTTTTAAATTCAACTGTTAGAGTAAGAATAAGACAGATCGATCTGCGTAGGCTGAGCGTCGCAAGAATGTATTCAGGCCCCTCCTATCATACAGCATATCATTTCTTCATCACCCACTATTATATCTACATAAGTATCTTAATTCAATATTTTGAATGAAAAATGTTACAATTTCACTCAAGGTAAAATATGTACATAATGTTGGGTATGGATAAACTAGTATATTTAGATGTGTGTATATAATGGCATGATCCTATCTCGCTCCTTGACATAAGTCATGCACTTTTTAGCAGAAAATATGATTTCATATCTGTTACTTAAGCTCTAATGAAGTAAATTTAGAAACTTAACGGAAAGCTAGTTCGCATTATCTTCAATCATTGTCATCGGAATAGTCGTATTGTGCAAAGATATGAGTGAAAAAAGAGTTGAGAGACTTTACTGCAACTCCTGCAATGGCGAAATGTATGTAATTTTTGTCAGCAATACTGAAATTTTTATACGCTTACCCTTTCCTTCTTGTTCCTCGTTAGAGCTCAGCCAGTTCTTAAATGAATCCGATGACAAAACCTCCATTTCATATAATGTAACAAAAATATGATTCATGAGACCTGAATGGACAAAAAACAGAAGATTTTACTTAAGAACACTAAAAAAAATTCATTTTAATTACAGAACAATTTCAATTAAAGAATTCAAGATAAATATGATTTCTAAACGTTAGTTCCGCCAGTTGGATTAAATTTGTTCTTATTTACTGTTCTTTGAAACCCTTTATGCTTGTATTTAAAATTAGCATATATTATATATTTGTTGATTGTATTGAAAAAAAAACCAATTATTTTACTTAAATATCTAAATTTTATGTATATTATTTGGATAGAATGTATGAATTTAATGACACCAGCTCTTTCATTATAATTCATAAATTCTGTGTCCTATTTTTCTGTCCAGGAAAATCATATGTGTACGATTGCAGTTGGTTACAAAGAACTTGTTATAAGAATCCGGCGGAATTAGAGAAATAATACATGTCACTTTTAGAATAGTATCTTACCATAGGGATGTTCAAGCTTGAAGATGAGCTTCTGAATAGCGAAAAGACATTGCATCTCGAACTCTTCCTTATTTTCAATGTATCGGGTGAGAAGACGACACTGCGTCTCAAGCAAGGGCCCGTTAACTTTGTAATTAGGATATAAGCAGGATTCAATCACCACTGTTGTCAGAATCCTGATGAAATTCTTGTCAATTGCTCCAACATTAGCCTGACGCAAGAAATTCAAAAAAAGTATATTCATAATAAATCATCTAGATATGTATACGCGAATGTAAACTTACTGTTATCCATTCCTCAATGCTGTCATATGACGCATTTGACACGATCAATTCCTTGAGACGCTCGTAAACCCGATCAGTTGGAACGCAAGTAGAGCTCGTGGATTGATAAGTGGTGTAGTCCTTGTTGATCAAGAAATTGAAGTTCTGTAAGGGTTAAATTTAAACACATAAAGTTTTTCCTTTTACTTTAAAAGCGCAGCAAATATTATTGTTTGTTTGCTCACGTTTATGGCTATAAATTCATCTACTTTGGAAGGTGGCATAAAATCAGTCCATTTCACTTGACTCTTTTCCCAGATATCCAGTACGTAGGCAGCTCCACGCTTGCTAATGAAGTAGCGAAGAAGATGCAGCAGCAGTTGACCACCCAAATTAGCGTTGATCAAGTTCTCAGATAAAGTTGCCAAGCTTTTAAGTGTAATTACTTTGGCAAGGATCATTGGACCTGAAAGCAAAATTATGTGAGAAAAGTTATGTGCTAGTTATTTCTCGAATATGCATTCCGCCTAAATAAAGGTATTTTGCGTTGGAACATGTTGATTGGAATTCTTGTGATGCCCCACAATGCCATTATTTTTCACCAAGTACAAATTACATAACTGACAATAATGAATTCACTCACCCAAATACTCGGGAATAAATTCCCAGATCATTGGCACGTCGATGGCGATCTCCTCAATGCCATCCATGTGCAATCGCAGTCCCTGCATATATGTGTCAAGCGAGATCACTTGAGACACTCGTACAGCGTGCACCAGAATATCTGCTGTAGCAGTGCGATGTTGCTTCTTGTGTTCCAGCACAAAGTCATAAAGCTCACGAATACCGAGGTAGCGATGATCCTCAGATATCTTCATAATATCATCGGTGCACTGCTCTACTGTAGTGTAGCCTTCCACTACTTCCATTACCATTTCAGTCCAACGGCGCCTTATTTTCTGCGCAATCTCATTCAACTCGTCCTCCGTGAGTGCTTCTGCTTTACTCGGTTTTTCGGGCACTTCCTTAGTGGGTGGCGCTACAGCTACTTTGGCAGCTCCACCCTGAGATGTACTTGCCATGCTCGCATAAGGCAATCGTGCGACGGTTGGTTGAGAACGAACAGGAGCTTGCAAGCTACGCGAAGCTCCTCGAGTGGTCGAGTTTTCACGCGATGACTTATGTGATCCGCGACCTTCATATCTAGCACGCTCTGTGGAACCCTTTCCAAAGGCTCCAAAGCCACTTCCTCCGCCTTTCTTGCTTCCGCCACTGCCAACATCTGATCGTGGTGTATCAATATCACTGAGAGCCTGATACATGTTTGATGACTGTGGTTGCCATTTATACATTTGGGCAGTGCCTGTGAAGGATAAAACATTTTTCATTATTGAGAACATCCAACTCCAGATTCTTTGTGGGCCTAAGATTTTTGAGATTTAAGTTTCAGAATTAATAAAAATTACCATAACTCTGGTTTCAATTACCCGACCCGAAAAACTATTTACTTTTCGGACAAGATATGTAAACTCTAATATCGTAATTCGATAAAACCATCGCAAGTGGTGCCGAACTGAGAAAAAGTAACTTAAAGCTCTTCGGAAGATCACATACACGATTTCTCTATGATGTCACCACGGACGTCGCCATATTGAATTAACTTCGGAACGCCTGTATTTCGACAGATATGTTATACATTCGGATGAAATTTCCGTATGATATCTTTCTTAAGCCGAAAATTTCCATAAAAAACGACCAAAATTAAACCAGAGTTATAGCGGTTCAAAGTTCTGCTTACAAGAAAACTATAAAGTTTATTACATATCCACGCAATAATTTTAATCACATTCATCAGTAATTGGGAAATCTTTTGTGGAAAATATAAGCAGTTCTGTCTATTTCTGTCTGAGATGTTAATATTCATACTGTTCATTAACGCCTAAACCACTTATAAACCAAATAAGACTCGAACAAAAAATACATGAAGTTTTATGTGGTATTTTAAAAATTCTACGACCACAATATGTAACTAATTTGACTCGAATATGAGAAAATTGTGTAATGTAAACCCTAGAGAGTCTCACGATGCCATTACCACATTAGAGGATAAAATTTTGAGTTGTGAGACTGTGTTTTCAGCACTGAGACTTCCCGAATTACATCTGAAATATCCATCAGACTACTGGAAAGCTGTGTATTTCTGGTTTGAAGAATATGTGTTGCAAATAGAGGATTGTAAATGAACTCATTCATATTTTTCGCCAATACCTTTTTCAATCGAAAACCAATACGAAAGTCTGCATAAAACTCAAGCCGATAGCTGCAACACAACCGACACATAAAGGCTCAAGGCCCAAATTTACAAAAACAAAAATGGTATGTATATATACGTTCGAGTAATAACATGAGGTACTTACCAAGTGGCGTGTGTTGATCAATGTTTGTGGCCTTAACATTGAGTTTTTTCGTGTCAACAGCCGTACTACGTCCACTTTTAGCATTTTGCAGTGTCCAGCCATCCTCGTTCATTTTACCACCTCCACCTGAGTTTCCGGAACTGCTAGACTTACTGTAACCTCCACGATGGCGATCCCGCTGATTCAGCTGATAGCCTGCTGCTGCTTGATTGTTGTATTCCGCCTCTGCCTCCTTTTGTATTTGCACAATCGTCTTCGGTTTGAGATCTGGCCTTCTTGGCACCCACTTGTTCTTCTTCAGATCAATTAAGTCCTGTATCATAAACCGCACGCGACTGCTGATCTTGTGCTGTTTCTTGTTATCCACAATTTCCTGCAACTTAACGAAGTAATCCACAAGAATATTCTGCTCCAGTCGCTGTCCAATGGTTGTCAGAAGTTTGCACAGACACTCAAGACTGTCCTCATGCCGATTATTCATAAGAATAGAGATGCAGTTGCTCATGATGCTTGATGTAAGCATTTCACTCTTGAAAAGTTCGCCAATAAAACGAACCGTGCCAAGAGCACGCCATCTGATCTTACGTTCCTCCTCTTCTAGTAACAACTTATACTCTTCATGCTTCTCTGCATCATTCTTGAACTCATCCAGTCGTTTTACTCGCTTCTCCTGAGCATCAGTCTGCGAATTGATGGTGTGGAATTCAGCTTGACATCTATTTAGGAGCATCTTGCGAAACATATAATGCTCATGTGTTGTCTTTTGACCCTCGTCCGTATTTTCAGTTCCTTGTTGCGGCGCCGTTACGCTTATTGTACCAATTTGCTTGCACAACTGAGCATAAGCAACTGAGAAGTTGGGCTCACTCACAGCCTTTTCGAACACCAACTCAATGCACCCATTAAGTCTCTCCTCTGTATCAATCTTGAGTACTTTTACTTGTCCAACCAATACGTTAAACTTTTCTGGTGTCAATTTATTAAGAACGCAGCGAAATCTTTTGTATAACTCTTCAGTTACTCGTTCCTACACAAACAAACCACAAATAGCAACATTAAACGATTATATATATAAATATATTAAAGTAGACAGGCATTGGCATAAGTTTTATTACTTTTGAATTAAAAGAATATATATTTCTGCCACTAGCGCACTAACCGGTATGCAGACGAAATTTGTTGAATTTACAAAGTTGCAGCATATTCAAAATAAGAACTATAAACAATCGTAACTCAGGACCTATGAGATCAGTGTGAATTATAATGTACGATGACAGTTAATTCAATATCACACCTTCCATGATAACGTCACAGACTAATGGTGGTCATGATCTGCTAAAGAGAGTCGAGTCACTTCTTTCCGTGAATTGAGGTTATTGAAATCGATTTGAAAAAACCGGAGATATTGATATTGAAGTTTGATAGAACTTAAAAATTTTACAATTGCCAGTGTAACTGCAGTGTATCTTTTTTTATGTATACGAATCGAATCGCCCTAGTAAGGTCGGCAATGGGCACGTGGGAAAAAGATGGGAAAGAGAAGAAACACACTGCATGAAGGAACAAAACAAATCTTCCTTGCTGAATTTTCGGTTTTACGTTGCATTTGATTATTCAATCTCAACTTCTATAGCATGCTTCTTATTCATGTTTTGGGGCCAGTGTATGTAATCTTGTAACTGCATGTATGTAAAAGTTTTTTTTGTTTCAACGTAATGAGTGAAAATCATTAAAAAAATCTCTTTAACGTGTAACTATGTGACATTCAATATATCATGATATATATCACGAGTTTGAAATGTAGGTATATTTAGCAGACCATTCCATTTTGGAATCCGTGTAGAAAAATGTGATGTATCTTGCCACTTCTGTCGTACTTTGTTAGCTGTATGCGCGCCGTTCTTTTTATTTCACTGACTAAATTTTGTAAAGTTTAATCATTTGTATAGTCTCAATTTAGTTTTTTCTATGTAAAAGCGGAGGCATTAATCAAATAAATCAATCTATCTATTCTTATATCCTGCTAAACAATTAAAACTGGAAAAATTAAAATGTACTTACTTCCTCTGTGACATTCTCGGGCACTTTCAGATGGCTCGGACGCCACGCATTTTCTGTCTCGTTCAGTTTAACATCTTCGCGTAGTGACAGTGTTACGTGGATCATGCCACTTTTCGCCGGTTTTTGCTGCGCTGCCGGGCTTACTTTGCTGCCTTGTTGACTCACGCGCTTGTACGTGCTCAATGATTGATTACCGCCGGTGCTGCGTTGTATTGACTGATTGAGAGCGAAGTGAGGCAACAGTGTGCTCTCACTGCCACGTCCAGTCAATTTGCGCTCATTCAGCACATTGCAGCCGTATGGTGTCGCCTCACCTCGTGGCTTCTTGAGGATGTGCTCAAACTTAACATCTGGCTTCTCTTTGCTGCGAGGATCCTCACTTAATTTGCGCAGCTGCTCAGGAGTATAGTACTTTCGCCCCTCCGGATTGCTTGGGCTCCACTGTCCTTCATCATACTGTATAAGCGGCGTCACGACAGCTTTATCCCCCGTTGATTCCAACTGAATCCGTAAAGATAGATTGGGAATATCGTAAGTACATGTCAATTCTTATTTATGCCATTTTAGCCCGTAATTTCACATATAAAATTCCATTTTCTAAAAATATCCACACGATCTAATAAATAATCATTTTTATTTTAATGTATTCCCAAAGCTTAGGCGAGCCTGACGGCCCTAAAAGAAATGTGCAATATCCAAAGTCAGAACAAGAATAGAAAAGAATATTTATTTTCACGCTTATAAGACAAGCTTTTGTGAGCCAAAACTGCGTCCCTTCACATCTGAGTGTCGATGACCAACCTCAAGAGCAAAACAGTGGAAAAGCTCTTGCATGGGTTGTATACTCTACATATCTTCCCCAGCTCTTACACAGTGAAAAAAGAATACAAAGCAGTCAACGGAAATAGCAAATTGCCTATAATCGAGATGGAAACGAACAAGCGCACGTCAGAAAACTATTACTTTTGCCTGATTATTATCGCTGTGCGCAGAGACAAAGTTTTGCAGAGACTCTATTTCTGAAAATTATGACTGTTCTATTCACTTTGGGATAGTAATAAACATCTGGAAATCGACTAAATCTTCAATATTTGTGATAAAAAAAAGTTTCAAAAAATGCATATACAATTAAAGTCGGTTTCACACATTTACGAAACTTATGAGTCAACTATATATACCATGAACATTGTACTTACCTTCACCTTTACAGCCTCCACAATGGCCGTCTCTGGTGGTTTTGCCTCATCAGTCTCATCAGTAGATTTTACAGGCACGCTATTCTCATTCGAATCCACTGTATTTTTTTCTTCATTGTTGTTACTCGAATCTGCATCTGCGACTGCACAAGTTGAATTCACTACGTCCGACATGATCAATCCCGCACTCACGTTGTTATTATTAATGTTAGCATCAGCATTTTCCACGTCATTACTCAGAACAGCTGGGAAAAAAAGAGGTGAAATTAGATTTTTTTTATTGTTAAGAAGTGAAATAATTTTCTTTTACCAATCGCCTCCATATTCACAGATTATGAGTATTCCACAGTGATCTTATATTTCTAAAAGTCTTTGGTATATGTAAATAATGAATATATTGACTAGGTCTCGAGGCACGCTGATTGAGAATATCACTAGCGCCCCCTACAAAAAACACTCTACCATATTTATCAATGCAATTCGCTATCAACAACGTAAGTCATACCATCCACATGGCATGTAAGAGTAAGAATTTCCGTATCACATGCGCGTCTCCTTACATGAGCAAGAAGGAATATTTACAACATGAGAACAATGGATGAACTAGTGAATAAAACTAAGCCACATGCACTCACGATCGTAATTCTATTACGACGACTACTGATGACAGATCAACGTCACGTGGGCGGTTGACACCACAAGTAACTCAATAAAGCATGTCGTTGACATTCCTAAAACAAGTTTGAGTACTTTTATTTTATGTAGTGAAAAATTTGAGAAATTACTTTTTATGGCTAATTTCGTATAACTCGGCTAGTTACTTATCATATCAGATTGCCAAGAAAAATAAATTCGTTTCCCTATTGGAATAACTTTGCTAAATACGACACTTCCTTATTGAGCAATGTGATGTTACACGATCACGTATGCGAGAGAATAGCTGACAGTCCAGTTGTCATTCATGATCTCAGTTGACCATAAGCATAGTGAATACACAGAGAAACTGAAACATTACCGAATCATATCCAGATATATCACTTGTACGACATACGCGTATATGATCGTTACTATAAATATATGGTGAAACACAGATATTTTCACTTTAGATATCGCGCCGGACTAAAATTCGTCTACATCCGTGAATATATTATTGTGTACTGTATCTCAATTGGTAGTCCAAGGAGCTTTGGTTGTCCGAAGCAGACATATGCAAAAAGATTTTCAAGACGTTTTGCAGCGCGTCGATATACGTTTCTTGGCAAAGAGATGACCAAAATCAGTCGATAAATAGTGGAGGTTGACAAAAGTGAGAACTTTGACTCTCCCGTTCCTAAGCTTATAAACTCCTACGAGTTAGCCAGTTGAAACGGGCCTGACTTCAGCCACAACACATTACAGTTAATTGCATATGTATGTATTAAAGTGCCTTCTGAGACAAATGAAGGCACGAAAAACATTTTTGCGAGTTTAACGCCACGAGCGGTGGTTACACCAAATTACCGCTCTCACATTAGAAGATGGCATTCTCCGCATCTTAAAATATTTCATTTGTTCAATTAGAATAGGAGTTGTGGATACAATTTTTAATAAAAAGGATTCTTCCAGACTCAATTTACAAAACAGAAATTGAATGGAAAGGTCTAGATTCCTGCTGTATGAACTGAAATTTATGGCTAATCATATTTCATTGGAACTAAGTAAACGAGCAAATATTGTTTTAGGATATCTCAAAATAGCGAATGGAAGAAAAAGGCTTTCTTTTGAAAATGCCATTTTTGCGTTTATTTATATCTGTAACACATTTCGCGTAAAGTTTATATCAATATCTTTTACTAATTTGGTTTTAGAGCTTGCTTATGACGATTTATGGACCACAATAAAGTCAAATTATCAGTTCCTTTACTAGAAAACACATGTAAAAATTCCTCATATATAAGCTCTTGATCTGGTGATTCTGGGTTCATTTCTCGAAAATAGGATAAAAAGTAAGGATGTATATTCGAGCATCTAAGAATATATCGTCGTACGATCTCAAATTAAAGGCTGTATACAGAAAACGAAGTCGTTTCCAGTACTTCATTATCCGAATAAATATGAATATCTTTAAAAAAAAAATTAAAAATGCGGTTCACACTATACTCAGCTAACAATGTGAGTGACGCAACAAAGGCGAAGAAAAACTCAACTCATTTCCACTCCGCCACTGAGTCGTCTGTCACACAGATTGTTACAGCATAATCTGGCCGAAACATAATTATACTGAGCTACGATTACAGAAATAAATTCAATACATCACAGCGTGAAATTGGAGCCAGATCAACCAAAGTCAGCAATAATGTACAGCAAGAATACTTATTCCTAATAAGTTCTTCACAAATATGTTCTAAGTAATAAAAACGGTGTAGTGCGCCGAAAAACAAAAAAAATGTTTCAACATTTAATGATGCACTAATGAAGCAAAACTACATAACCATGAATAGCGCTTTATGTCCACTGTGGTCAAATTTGAATCCGAACCCTTGCTGTGGTCGTTCAAATGCAAATGCCGTTCGAATGCATTTCAACATAACGCCATTCTCAATGGCGTTACAGAGTGATGGTTGTTGTTGTCTAGTGAATGGCGACGAGACGGGTCTCTTGGTGAAGAGACAGTCGAAATTTACTTACAAACAGCAAAGATATGGGCTGGTAAAGGTGTGAACTTTGACTCTACATATATCTACCGTTCAAACGCAGTCGTCATGAGATTCAAAATTGGCCACGGTGGATACAAAACGCTATTCACGGTAAATTAAAATTTCTCCGTTCTTTCTTCAACAATTAATGATAGTTTTCTGCAATTTTCTTTTATCATGTTATATGCAATAATTTATTAATATATATATATTTTAATTACAACTACTTTGTTTCGTGTGCTAAGACATGGCGGCGACTACAAAGCGTTTTTAAATAAATACTGAGAAAGACATACAGGCAAAAAGTTTGCTAATAGGTTATATGCATATAACTGGGACGAAAAACTATAGAAAATCTTTTTGAGGAGGCACTTCAGACCCTTAGAATTATGATTCGTATGAAAACAACACTGGACAGTGCTGAACGTGAATTTCATTTAAACGCGCGCTGCCCAGTGTGGCCAAGTAAATATATGAGACTCACTCGGTACGCTTGTGACTGTTTCTGTTGAACTGTCTGGACTGCACTCAATGTGTGTTGTTGAATCAGTTAGCTGTATTTCAGCAGGACAAACGTAAGCCTCACTTGTTCTCTCGACTCCTGCTTCAGTGGTAGCCCCTCCTTCTGGTTTCACTTTTTCCCCGGCATCACTGGATTTTCTGTCAAAACACGCACGAGAAAAAAAGTAAATATGACGCCTTGCTTGCACTATAGTAGTGTATTGCAAACTCACGTCTTCTTCTTGTTTTGCGGTTGCTTAAGCGTAATGTCTACGGCTGGTCCATCGGAGATAGCACTGACCACGGGGGTCATGGCGGCAGGCATCTCAACTATTGACTCGTCCATCGCTGTAGCTACCTCGACCGCTGGGGGTGCAGTTGTGGCAGGACTCTGTGTACGCGATGAGGTACCCTTCAGGAATTCATCCATGATATCCATGCCGGTGTCAGGATCAATTATTTTCAGCATGTGCGTGCGCCGATTGTTAGCTGTTTGCGTGGTGGGCGGCACGGTGGATGGTATTGCGACAGCAGGCATCACTGATGGTATCGTCATGCCCGGCTGTGAGGAAGAGGGCGCCAGGGTAGGAACCTGAGGAGCAGCTCCGCTCGGTCGCTGTTGCAGGTAAGCTGCATTCGAGAACATGAACGGATACGTAAATCCAGGCGGCTGTATATGAGCTGTTTGATTGAACTGCACCTGAACAAAATAAAAGAAGTAGCTTCAGAATCACAATGTTCTATTCAAAATTTTGTTACACACACACAGAAACTGAAAATTAGCTAATATTAAGTTACAACTGATTAAAAACACGAGTAAATATTTAAAGTCTCACTTGATTGTGCTGCTGGTACATTTGATTTTGTGTTTGACGAGGCTGCGAATTAAAGGTGGGTCCAAGAGCTGGATATTGTGCCATCATAACGTGCTGAGGAATATGTGGGCCCGCGAACATGGGCGACGAAATGATTGGGGCACGTGAACGCTGACTGGGTTGGCTGCCATTGTTGCGCGTATAGATGGCGGCAGGTTGCTGGCGAGACTGTTGTCCATACGAGAGCGTTTGAATTCCCTGTTGCGACATTTTCGCCAAATCAGACGGCTGCGATGTTTGTGGGGCAGCAACTTGACTCATGTTCCGGAGACCTGCCTGCGACTGCTGTGCGTTCGACTGTTGGCCCGGCGGCACATTGAACGTTGCCGATGTGTGTGGAACATGAAATCCATCAGTTCCTGTTACACAATAAAAACACAAAAATCAAATAATTATCACACACTTTTGACCATTAGGACATTGTTCCCTAACTCTGATGCACGATGCGATAGTGACCCGTGGCCGAAGACATGTGATAATCATTTTTAGATTTAGCTTCCACCAGAATCGGCGAAACATTAATTGGCATCTGGGTGGAATGAGAGACACCTTCTGAACTCCCACTGACTCCTAGCGAGTAGTTATTCACGAAACGTGATACCATAGCGCCACAGCGCTCACGCCCGTGCTTATCCACTAATCATTAAATGACAACGCGGAAAAATATATTTCACGGACACGAAAGTATCTGAAAATTCTATTGTTGTCTGTAACACCAGAAGGGATAGCGTTCACATTGCAACTGCGCACTAACAATTCCTAACAATCATTACAAGGAGGGTGCTTTCGCTTCAAAACAATAAACGTCACTACAGGACTACCACACGATACAAAATATACCGCAAGGGAAATTATTTGTGTGAGTGTAAAAAATTCCATCTTGAATACTTTTTGCATAGCAAAAGCGTAGTTATCAGCGCTGTGTGCATTTTTACATGTAATAATTGGAATAAAAATTAAAAATAATCCAAATGCGAGTGATACATTTTACCATTCGCTTACCCAGAAGTAAAAAGGTATTTATCAAATTTACCACAGCTGGTGTGGCAGAATTGGGAAATGCATTGTGTGCACTTGGAGAACACTAACCTTAAATTACGGACCACGCGTAAGACAACCACATGAGAAGTGCATTTAAAATGGCGTTTTGTAGTACGGAACATAACCTCAATTTCTCTATCGGGACTAATATATACTGCTGGTAAACTTGTATTAGCATAAATTAGTGACACTCACCAGCAATGATACCGTAGGTAGAGGCAGGCGTAGTCTTGGGTTGGTGGTTTGTCGGCTGCGCCACCATCGAATACTGCTGTGGTATTCTCGGCTTACTGTTAGCGCTATTGCCAGTTCCACCGCCGCCGGATGAATTGGTGCTCATCATCACGCAGCACGGCAGCAATTGCCCACACCAGGCGCCTGATCCACGTCACTTCAACCACTTTCACCCCGAGTGATTAGAACGAGAAATAACAGCTAACTGAAAACGCCAAGACGGCGACGTGTTCACTCTTCCGACACGATGCTAATTTCTCAACGCCCTAAAGTCCTATGAGGCCGACAAAAGGCAGCAAATAGAATAAAGCACAAATTAACATAGATTCACTAGGGGGCGCTGACGTTGCAAAAACGCCACGTCAAGCGCCCCACACGTGCCATGGCCTACTGCCGCCACAAATTCCTAACTCACCGGACACATTTGGGGTCACACAACCTCAATTGTATAAAAATAAATGAATCCTGTAAAAGGTTTAATATATATTCACACCTCCAATTTAACTTCACGTGCCAAAACGCATAGACCACGCGCGTGTTCATGGAACTAATGGCGATGAAGAACGACAACTAAATGACAGCCAAACTCTCAGCTGTTGGACATCACTTACACATGAATTACAGAAAATGATATACATCACATTTTGTTAACACTTTCTGCCCTTACTGCCGAAAATATGAATCTACATCCAAAAACGGCACTCATTTCGGCCACAATTTTGATCTATTTCCTGTTGAATCCAAGTAACCACAGTTACAACTTTCTGTATTTTAGAAGCTGGATTTTATTCATAAAATCACATAAAACACCCGAAAAAGACACTTTTTTGTGCCTCTCTGGGAGTTGTGGTCATTTCGACCCTCTGGAGTATTTTTGGCGATCTTGACATGTTAAAGGGAGTTATAGCCAATGAAACCACCTTTCTAAATCTGTGCCACTTTTGGCTATCAGATGAGGAGTGTGGGAGATTTTGGCATTTCTTTGCGGAAGATCTGAAAAAATAATTATTTCTTTTGCAACTCGAAGCAATTATAAACTTTCCTATACGGGGTTTTACGCTAGGCCCAATGGGTGTTCAACTATCCAAGAATCATCGAAAAGCAAGAACCACTGTTGCACTGTGCTATGTACGCATATCTGGAAGCAGAAGTCTGTGCGTGCATAAGAGCCGACACAATGAAATTTTTATCGAAGCTGGAGATGCAAATCTGTCCACGCTGGTTACACTAGCGCTTGCTAGTTTTAAAAGCGTGATTCGTGGTGTTTTGTTTGTCATGTCAGTGTTTGCTTATCGTCATATTATGGTTTTCTGTTGGGTATCATGAGATTGACAGAGATACATTTGGCTTGCACTGTTGCCAGCGCCACCACAAGTAAAGCTGTGCCACGCCACAGGTGAAGAAGCGAGTGACCATAACGCAGTCTCGAGGCTGTGCATTGGAATTTTCACAGGTTGTGAGACGTTTTAGATAGCGTGAAATGTGTATGACGCTTGGCTATTGCATGTAAAAGAACGAGGTGTGCGCCAGATGCTTATGGAAGTGGACTCTAGGGTGATTCAGAAGATAACTTGGGTGTGATATAGGGTGTGTGAATCACCAGACTCGGTATAGGATGCGTGAATATAAGATCGTCGTGCTGGGAAGTGGCGGTGTGGGCAAGAGCGCCCTCACCGTGCAGTTCGTACAAGGTATATTTGTGGAGAAGTACGATCCGACCATTGAGGACAGCTACAGGAAGCAAGTGGAAGTCGATGCACAACAGTGCATGCTGGAGATTCTGGACACGGCCGGCACCGAACAGTTTACCGCCATGAGAGATCTCTACATGAAGAACGGCCAAGGCTTTGTACTCGTCTATTCAATCACAGCCCAGTCGACCTTCAATGATCTGCAGGACCTCCGTGAACAAATTCTCAGAGTCAAGGTAACGGTCTGATCTATCAATGAGATCATACTATATATTTGTCTAATATTTTTTTCTGTTTGTATTTGAAGGACACCGATGATGTGCCGATGGTTCTGGTCGGCAACAAATGTGATCTTGAGGATGAGAGAGTTGTCGGAAAGGAATTGGGTAAAAGTCTCGCCAGCCAATTCAATTGTGCATTTATGGAGACATCAGCCAAAGCTAAAGTTAATGTTTACGAGGTAAGCCTAAAATAGTCAACATTATAACTCGAAAATTTGTCATACTGTATTTGCTTCCTGGTCCGGAAAAACGGAGATGGCGATAATCTAATACTCAGCAGCTTAAACTCTTTCTTTGACTATCAATGTAAAAAGAAAAAAAAAAAGGTTAATTTTCTTTCTGGAATACCAACAGTAGCGTAGCAGTAAAGCATCTGACCAATAGTTTCCCTTAAAATATAGAGAAATTAAAGTGTTTAGTCTTAAAAAGTATTTACCTCAAAGATATGAAGTTGACATGATTGAATTGCCCTCTATAAGATACAGAAACCATTGAAAACTGAGATCAATTTTCTTTTTTAAATCAACCCAACTATGCGCACGACTCTGGGGTTCTCACTCCGATTATACATAATCTAAGTTTTGTCCATTCTGGTTTTGAAGTCCTTTTGCAACACATGTTCCAATTGAAACACTGGTATGAACCAGAAGATTTCAAATTTGTCATGAATTTTAGATACTGAGTTGTCAACGATATTGCGAAACTACACACCAGTTCTTATTGAATTTTAATGTGCACTTTTGTGTACGCATAGAGCCATATAGATGGGTGAATCGAAAACTAGAAAGTCAGATTCTAATTTTTTAGAGAAGCAAGTTTGAAAATTTACCGTTTTTATTGATTTGATATTTTTCGAAAATATCTCAGATAACCAACTTAACCTTTGTATATTAAATGCAATGCAAAATATGTAAATATTACTCTGTAAGAACAATTTTTCAGATGATTTCTATTCTTTTTATTGAATTTTTGACAGACATTACTAGTCAATAGATAAACTGATAATACAGCTTTCCTAAGGCCGAATTTAATAATAAGTCTTTGGGTACACTATCCGAGAAGTTGAATATTGAATACATTCCGTAGTAGCTTCATATAATTATTTAGACCGGAACTGTATTCCAATTTCCCACACGTTCCTTCTTTAAAACTATTTTTTTACTCTTTTCAGATATTTTACGACTTAGTACGACAAATTAACAAAAAATCACCAGAGAAGAAGCAGAAACAGAAAAAGAAATCTATCTGCGTATTATTGTAAGAGACTAAAGCGTTCTTTAGATACAAGAAAAATGAAAAAAACGAAGGCAGAAAAATGAACCGCTCTTACATTTCTATTATAGAATTGAAATGGGACTCTATCATTGATCATAAACAAGTATTTCTATTTTGATGTAATTTTCATTCCTTATCGTCGTCGTAATAGCTCGAGAGTTTCGTATGTACACATGTGTGCGAAAATGCAACACTACTTCGTTATGCTAAGTTCTATATCTCTCCTTCTACTTCGTTGTACTAAAAAATTTTTTCTTTACGGCCGTTAACGTTACTCTCGAGATTATAATTTTTAATTGATTTGGTGGAACAAACTTTGTTGTTAATTACTAATTAGATATAGACAACGTTTATTGGTTGAGCAACAAGACGTTAAAAGCAAATTGAGAGAAATAAATACAAAATGTTAGAATAAAGCTTCACCGGAAAATAGAAATATTTTGTAATGAAACAGAAAAAAAAACAATATAAAAAATATCAATATATTTTTAATTTATGGTCTTTGAGAAGGAGACACATAAATATACCTTTCACTTTTTGTGTAAGCATATACTTTCGTGTAAAGTCCCTCCCCTGTACGGAATCAATATTAATTATAAACCATGCAACAAAGTGAATAAACTTATGATTACAAATAATATAAATAAATATTGATGAGATATAGCACGATTATTACTTTAAATTTGGTACAACGCAGGGTAAGTGACAAAAGTTTTATCTTTTTCATATGATTTATTTCATTGTTTTTTTTCAGCACTGGTATCAACTAGTTAAAAAGGGTGAAACATAAATAAGTGTGAGCCTCTCATTCTTTTCAGATACATTTTTTATGTCTTCACTTGACGGTGGGTTTGGTTTGGATCGCTGACATGAATGAGCCCATGCCTAAAACTATTCTTACAGTTTTCTTCCCTAATCTATGGACACTCTGTTTAACTTTATTTATTCACTGTTTTTTTTGTAATCCTCTCACCAGTATTTCTGTGAGCACTACAATCTACACACGTTTCTAAGGACCATTTAAAAACTGTTTAGATAAAACACAGCACATATTTAATTGCCTCTGCTTTTGAGATGAGAAAAATGGGGGTTTCAAGAGAATTTTGATCTATCAATTCCTTAAATTTTAGTGATCTTTGTCGTCTACAGTTGACATTTTTAAGGTGTATTATATCTCAATTATAAATTTTTCAAATATAACTCTGATTTGCTTATCGATTTCTCCGTTCCGCTCACTCACAACTGCAATTTTACTTTAGAGATACTCTTCTTGCAGATGAGAAATGGTGACTGACAGATTACGAATAAATGTTGAGCAGAAAAATTGATCTAAAATCGTAAATTGGGTTACTTAAACCACGCTTAATTTTCATCAATCTACGTAATACTGCTATCTTCAATGTTTGTCGGCGTTATTACCGCCACATTGTCATCTGTGAGGCTGCGATGAACCGTCTGTGGACTAGACTTGGATAAGCTTGCCATTGATTGCATAGTTTGTGATCGAACTCCTCCAAATCTCATGCTATATGGCATGCGATTATTTTCGCCGCCGCGCTGGAATTATTGAAAAAAGTGAAATGTAATTGTAATAATGTAAATTGTAGTCTTCAAACCACATACCTGATTCCCATTACCAGGTCGGACGTTTTTATATGGCTGGAAGAGCACGAGGTAGACTTTAGGCGTGAAGAGGCAACCCAGAGCCACGGAGGCACTGATACTCAGACACATACACATACTGGAGATCTGAATCTGGCAATGTAAATAAGATGGAATTAATTAGAAAATTGCACCAAAAGATTTCTGAATTCATTGAATTTTGAACGCCTAACAATTAGAATAGCATTCGGCAATCATTACTGTGAAGAAATAAATGTACGGATAAAGGCATGTTTTGCGTGTTCACGGAATTTGGATTCAATGTATTTTTTTTATGTGTCCAACAAAGAACGTGGGAACTTGTAATGAAAGTAACATCAAAACTTAGATACAAGAAAAACCATAACTGTGATCTTCTGCATACAATTTTGCGCGAGCAGGAAGGAAATACACGATACGCGTGGTGGATTATGATTCTAGTTATATGGCATCGAAAGAATAGTTTAACTTTCAGTTAAGAAAATCGACTGAAACTATTTTCGTAATATTTCACCATATTTAGCCTTCTTGATGAAATTCAAGGTGATTTTGCAAAATTAATTTTTTTTTTGTGCAAATCCAGTAATTGTTATGTAAACCTTGTAGTTACTTAAAACGATATATATATATATATATATATATATATATATATATATATATGCCAGTAATAGGTATAAGAAACAGCCCAACTAAATTTCAGTTATGTTTACCTTATAATCATTGTTGGTGCCAAAGTAAATAGGTAAAAACGCGAGCCACACGATACAGGTGGAGTACATGGTGAATCCAATGTATTTGGCCTCATTAAAGTTTTCTGGGATTTTGCGTGTTTTGAAGGCGTACAATGTACATAAGATGATGAGGATCATGTTGTACACGAGCGACATAATGAGTGAAAAAGTGCTCACTTTACACGTGAGCACAGAGCTGAGTGGAAACGGGTGAATCTCCCGGATGTCAGGTTGCTCAATTAAAAGCCATCCAATACTGCCTACCAGTTGCACTAGAACCACACTGAGGGAAATTGTGATCTGAGATAACGGAGACGTGTAAATAGGACGCTGAACACTCTTAACGCCGCGATTAAAGATACGGGAGATGCGATTTGTTTTCGTAAAGATAGCACTGTAGCATATGCTGAGACACAGTCCCAGGCCAACACGCAGCAGCGCGCACCTGTACACAGTAGGGCGCGCTAGAACCACAAAGCTCATGCAGTAGCATGTCAGAATTCCCACCAGAAGAACGTAACACAGTTCACGACCTGACGCCATGATAACCGGTGTTTTATTATATCTGTCAAGATACAAAGAAAAAAAAAGATGTTAGGAATCTCGTAGAGTTCACACAATAGATCCATAATCTTTGAAGTTCTAGCTTTGTCTAATATTTCCACTAAGCAGTTGTCCACTTACTTTATGAAGACGCAACCCGTAAAGAGTGTGATGAGTATTCCACAGGCAGAGAAAACAAGAGGAACGATCGCCCAGGGACTCAGCCAGTCGATTACCTCAGGTGTGAGCTTATCGCAGCCATTTTTGCCCTCATTTGGGGCCCAGCCGGGCTCGCATGTTCTACATGTGTCATTGTTCACAAAAGCGTCTTCCCGGCACTTAACACACGCCCAGCAACATTGATCCTGGTAGTTGCGCACATGTCCTATGGGACATGGTTCACTGCACAATGATCGCGGATGACCTCCAATCCATTGCAAGCTGTCAAAATTGAGGTCCAACCCTTCCTTCCATGTTCCAATCTGAACATAATCGTAGCTACAAAGGAGATAAAAAGTCAGAATAATGAGGTTTCTGCAATTGTAAATATCTTATGATATATCGAGTTTTTCATTGAATTCTTGACTAAATTTGTCAAAGCAACTCTTCAAACCGCTTGATGTGTGCTGTTTTTCGGAATTGACACATACTTTAAATGAGACCAATTTCTTTTTTAAATACACATTTGAATTTTTTTCCATTCGAAACTACTACAGAAATATGAAGATAGGCAGAAAATAATATCTAAAATTTGATGCATTACTGTATGATCAATATTCTATATACAAAACTAATTTTCTATAGTTTGGATAAAATGCCGTAATAACAGTTGAAAATGCATTTGTTGCTTAGGGCTTACCGCTTTCCTGTCCTCTGGTACTGGTAGACATTGTAGAAGCCATATGCATCACCATCTCGATTGAAGCGTACCTTAGTACCTTGTAAACCAACAAAGGACACATTGTGGATATACTTGAGCAGGTTTAGGCCTAATGGCGCTGGTTGTAGTTCTGAACATAATTCTGGACTCCCACAAACGTCCCTGATGAGTGAGTCTATAGCGTATGCCATTGCGTATACGGCGTCTACTACGAAGGGCACCAACCCCTCCTGCTCATACCCGTGCACGCCTTCGGCACCTGTACAAGGCGTTTGGCTGTTTGATGCAAAGCTACATTTGTGATGTTGGCTCCAAAATTCGTTAAACCAGAGATTGCGGCAGTTTACGATTGTTCCAAGCGAGCTAGTGGCAAACTATAACAATCAGAATGCAAAAGTTATATAGCATCAATATTGTTTTTGAAAACATCGAGCATTTCTCAATTTCCAAAGGGCTCAACAAATTATTCTTGTGTATGTACTTAATCAGTGTCAGCACAACTCCACGAAAACTGACTTATCTCCAATACGCCATAATCTTTAATGTTTGTAATTTCCACAAAACTTTTTAAATTGAATTTAAATGTACACAGAGTGTAAATACTTGTATGTATAGTTCAAGAGAGAGTTTAAATTTAAATTGAAATATCGAAGTGATTCCATTTTCAGTTATAAACTCTGACCGGTTTATATCTATTTTATCGGAAAACTTTAGAAACCAGCGGTTGTTCACGAATCGGCATGACTTTTCCCTTGAGAAAACAAACGTTTCAATGTATGTTAGATTATTACTATTTAAAAATAGTCAGTATCAGTTGGGACATTAATAGATTAGTTATATAGAAGAATGAGTATATTATGGTGATACTAAATACCGTACCAAATAACTGAGAAGCGTATTGCGATGTAGAAATTGTACTTAATTAACATTCAAGTAATGATAGTAGTTTATACAATCTAATTTCTTATACCTGAATATATTTTTTTGTTAAACATAATGGCAAAGTGCTTATTGCGATGCGAAATATATCACATAACGTAGTGAGTCAGAGTAGACTCTACGATAGATGTCGCATTGATGGCATTGGAAAACATTTCATAGTCAAATTACAATAGATGGCGATAATAGTTTGAGTGTCCTTACTGGGTGTAAGCTTAAAATCACACTGTCTTTGCTAAAGAGAAGGCATATGGGCATAAAGGGCATAAAATATCGTGTATGGAACCATCTCTTTTCTTATGTTATTGCCTTTTTTGAATGTGACAACACCATCTTCTGCTCAACCACGTAATTTGAACCTTTTGTGAAAACCGCATATGTTTTATCGTTCAAGTACTCGAAATCAATTTGTGACGACGGACAAATAAACCAAATGAGGGACAGATTACTAAAAATGACCCTTGTTTTTCGTCTCAGTCAGCATCTTTGATGACTTTAGGCCTTGCTTTTGGGTCATTTAGCATGTTTTAATTTCGTCCCTGATCATAGATACACAATAGTTTCTGAGCCAAATTTTTGGACACATTCTCAATGCCCGCTTTCTAAATATTGCAGTATAATATACGTATATGGACTTACCCTGTCTGTGGTGCATGGGGTATGGGGCAATCGTGGCCTGAGTGACAGGTAGTAATCATCAAAAGCGGCAAGATTGGTACGATGCGGCAACACTGTAATTGTATTTACAGCAGCAAACTCCTGGTCACGCACTGGATAAACTTTTGCACCCCATGAATCGCTGGCGATAAAATAAAAATGTCCTGTTCTATTTGCCCTAATTGTTGCCTGCAACAGTTTGCGTACATTATCCTCGTCCACAAACATAACTACCACGCGAGCCTGCGGTTTCTGAATCAGGTGTTCGATAATGCGATCGAAGTCTTCTGCTTTGCTATTTCGCAAAATTTTTTCGCTGACGGCAACACAAATTCCCAATTGGGCTGCAATGTTGATAAAGCTGGAAATTCCTTTCTCACCATAATCACCTTCAACTGCCACCGTAGATGCGTAACGCCAGTCTAGTGCTTTTGCAATCTCCGCCATTGCCATTGCTTGAAAATTGTCCGGTGGCACAACACGGCTAAAGTACTCGAATCGAGACTTGTCTGACAATTCTGTACTCGTAGACGCGTAGCTTATCTGTGGAATCTGTAAATATGAGAATATATAGCAGGACCTGTAAATCGAAGTAAAAAAAAAACCTGTTTAGCTACAAAAATTCTTTTCTGTTTCAATCTGCAAACTTGTTTTATTCAGTTCTATGTAGAGTAGAACCTATTCTAGTCATAACTTTAGGTGATATAAAATGTTTTTTTGTGAAACAGAGCATATCCAACTATCGGCCGCAACCAACAGTAATACAATTTCATCATAAGATCTAAGAAATTTGTAGAATTTAGCGACACTTTAATGTGGCGGGGTAACTGCCTAGTTGATACCAAGTAGGGTATAAATTTAAATTACACAGAAAAACAAGAAATGCATTGCATTAAATCTGACATGGGGAAATCCTTTTTTCTGCGCGCATCTTCACAGTCCTTATCAAAATGTTTTTTGTTCGTTTTCAGAAACAGATTTAGATAGGTATTAAATATAAAATTAAAATAATTAGTCTTTCACTCGATATGAAGGATAGCGACTACAAAAGATGGATGGTTTTTACAAACCGCCGGACATACCTTAAAGAGTCTAAGAATGTTGGCTACCATAATTGACACGACGCTGAAAGAGGCCCCAATAACGCCGGTGACTGGTTTGTGCGGAATATAGATGGGCGGACGACCGTTTTCGCACTTGTATTCACTCATATCTTGATTCATGTAGTATCGCACGAACTCCATGCTTTGCTCCAGCGCATAAGTATCGCTGCTGCAGCTGTCGATGATTAAGGCCCCGAGCGTAATATTGGGCAGGAGTTGCGGATCGTTGTTAATAAGGTCGATGGCGAATAACATGGCTTCAAGGCGCTGAATGCCTTTTTCCTCCTTTACGGCGCCGCACGGGTATTCGGGGTTGGCCTGGTGATGTTCATGCATTGGAAAGATGCCGCCCAGGATCACGTCGCCTCGCACGCGGATTAGACGCGAATCCTTTGCCGCAAACGGCGTACGCCCTGTGGCGCCCCACACCAGGCACAGCAGCACCACCCACATGCAGCGCCCCCACACGAAATGCAAGACCAGCAAAAGAAACTGCGACACGCGAAGATGCAGCGCAATCACAGAATTTTGTGGACATGCGCCATACGATATGGATGCTGTAATTGCTGGAGCGAATGAAAAGGACCATACGTCAAACAGCCGTATGCCAAGGATAGACCAACTGAAATATACTAATTGAAGTTATACAATTTGCTATTTTGCGTTAACACTAAATTTCATTACGTATATCTAGACAAAAAATAAATTATTTCTTAAATAAATTATTTCTTTATATTTTATTTATTATTTATAAATAATTCGCAGGATTCAGACCTGATTTACAATAACATCTGTATTGTGGTTTTTTTTTTAATCTTGATGTTATGCAAAAAGAAGAGGCCCTTGCATAGAGTGCCGTTTGGTTATAAATTTTATGTAGCACGTAGTTTTATCCACTATCTAATGACCTGGACATGTCAAGAATCTTCGCCGAATCAGCCAAGAGCAGCCAGGCCCTGACTGCAGATCTTCTGTTTTTATAAAATCACCTATAAAATGCCATTTTTCGGCTAGAATTTGACTGAAAAACGGACTCACCAGTAAAAACTTACTGAACTCAGTTTCACTCAGACTTAAGTCTGAATAAACGTTTTTACCACACTTTATATTTAAATAATCCCTACAATCAGCAATGTCAATTTCTGGGATTTTTTTGGAAGTCAAAAAATATCTTCAGTTGCAGGTCACTAAAGACAGCGGATCGCTCAGAAGCTATTTACGAGATTAGCTTAACTGTGTGCAGAGAATGGAATCAAGAGTTCTAGATCGCTGGACTGCGTAAAGGAGTGACAAAATTCACCCAAAAATTTTCCATACCTGACGAAGGAGAATTAAGCCACCGCAACATCGCATGGACTGTAAATGTGTGAATAGAATTTGGTCATTCTGTCTTTACGGTCTTTACAGACAATTCATAACAGGTTTGTCGGAAAACACAAGTGATTTTTTGCGAATCGACGGTTGAGTGCAATTGACACGATCCCCATGATCACAAAGTATTTTTCCCCATCAAATTGGATATTCCTGCAAATCCAATACGACTATATTATCTAATACGGATAATATAGTTGGAAGTGGTGTACACTTTTTCGGAAGTGTTTGGTAGTGTTGAGAAGTGGAAGTGTTGTGAACTTCAATATGATTTCACAAATATGTGAAATTCATTCCATTTTCATGGTTTTCAGTGTCATAGAAAATAATAAACATGCGAAAATATTTTTTTTTATCTCTAAATGCTATTAATGACAAGAATCTTTAATATCTCTGCACAAAATGTGTTATAAAAAACGCTGAAATAATCTATTTTCTTCAATTTTTCTCTGGAATAAGGGTTGATCCTTATTTCTAATAGGATTAATGGCAATTGCTACATATTGATTAGTGGACTTAATGCTGCAGAGACTTTGATTCTGGCTTTTACTGTTTTACCGGTTCAGGAAGCAAGTTCTGCGTCAAAGATTTTCAAGTTGAAATAAAATTTTGATATCAATTTCAACTCTTTAAAGTCTTTTCTCGCATTTAATAGGATAACCAATATAAAGAATAAGAATATTTATTACACTCGCGCCTTTTTTTCAATTTACTACTATGAAGTTTACGAGTGCGGCTGCCGCCGTCTTTAACCACAGCCTCAGCAAGGAAAAAAACAAAAGAAAAATCCTGCATCGTTGGCTGAATATGTTCCACAATACTTTACAAAAATTTATACTGACTTTAACTGATTTGTATAAGAGAAGGGTGACGAGTTAACACGAAGGATCTCGAGGAATATGTTTGCTAATAGAGTTTGAGGTTTAATTACGAAAATATCTATGATAGACTGCATTTTTGTCCAGGATAACCAATGAAAACCACGCAAATTGAATCATATAAATCAAGGAATTTCAGGAACAAAAACGAGCAACTTAAGTCCTTTCCTTCGGGTGAAAGTGAATTAAAAAGGGTTGTAAATATTCTCTAGTTGTTCTCATTTGACAAAATATTGCAAAGAAAACTGTATTTCAAAGGAAAAATGTCCAAAATTTGATTTAAACAACCTTTCCGAACATAATCTCTACGATAACCCATCGATTTGCATGCAAAATAAGCTTCTTGCAAGATTTTTAACACTTTAAAACAGATTTTCCTCCTCATAATCTACGAAAGAGTGCATGAGAAAGGGTTCTTTTCTGATTTTTTCTCATAAATAGAAGAAAATAAGTGAAAGTAGTGTTGGAAGTGTCAGGAGTCTACCATACAAACTTGGAAGTGGTGTACAGATTTTAAGCAAATTATCCCCCCCCTTGCAATACGAAATGCCTGGAATTTTTTTTAACACAATCTTAGATGATACATAGGACTCATATGGACCAATTAGTCCTTAGACTGTCGATTTTACTTTTTACTTTTAAGTGTGTGTTAAAACTTGATTAAATACATTGTCGATAACTTAAAAGCGTTTGGAATATGTCGCTGACGCTCATATTCCACCGTCTTTAAAGCTATTGACGATTTATGGATGAAAATCACGCTCAGAAAAGCTTGTACTTATGAGTAAATAAAAAATATATTCATATAAAATGGAGATATCGACAATGCATTTCAATCGAGTTTTAACACAATCTTGTAAGAAAGACGGGAAAGACAATTAAAATTGATAGTCTAAGGACAAATTAGTCCACGTCAGTCCTATTTTTCTCTTTTTCCTCTTTTCCTCTAAGATTGTGTTAAAAAGGAAATTTCAGGCAAGTTGTGTGGTATCGATTAGTCGGTAAGTTCAATAACTTACCATCAATTATTGAATTATTTTAAACGTTACAAATGGAATGAATCAATAGTTGGTTTATTGAATGAATAGTGGGTTTATTGTGGCTTGCGGGCTCTTGCCATTCGCCACAGTTGGTTTATTGTGACTTGCGGGCACTTCGCCATTCGCCACTACCAGTAGTATTATACAGTAGCAGTTACAGTATTTTATAACAGTTTCGTATTTAATCTTTCTTAACGTGAACTTTCCTTCTTCACTTCGTCTGAATTATCTGACTTAACATTTTTGTGACCACTAGCGTTTTACAGTAAACATTAGGAAATATTCAATAGACTTATGCAGGGACAATCTACCTGCCCATTTCTGCGATGAACCATCGCACTCCAAAGGGTAAAAGTCGGTTCAAAACATCCTTTGATTTTCTTTCCAATTCCTGTTTTTGGCTTATTTTTTTCGAGATTTTTAGAGGACAGAGCCGAAGGCTCCTATCTAGGATGAACTAACACACCCTAAGGGTCAAAATATAGTTCAAACGTATCGGAACCAGTAGCGAATCTAAACATTTCAACGTTACAAATGGATAATTCGCCATACGCCACTACCAGTAGCATCACCGTAATAGCATTAACGTAATGTCATAACTCCCTCACAATCATATCCCATTGCGCTGTAGTGTCGGTGAGTTTTTCCAAAACTCCGACAATTATCTATCCTTATTGCGTGTAATTTCCGTTTTTACAACATTTTTAGGCTTGAATTTTAAATTTGGCCACAGCGGCCCGAGTAGCCACAAAAGGTCTTCCTAGTGTTAAAGAATACCCTAACACCAGTGGAGGCAAACCTGGTGGCTGCCATCGGCCGACATTCCGCGGATTGTCGGTCGATGGCCACATTTGTCTAAAGATCATAGTGCGTAAAGTAATTCCAGGTCTTGTGGGCGAAAAGGCTGGGACGACTTGGACCGTACAGTGTTAAAACAAAAAAAGTATTAATTCCAGATGTCTCACGACGTGTCGCGACAAGAGCATCGACATTTGTATTTGAGTCGGTATTTGACATTTGTATCAGTTTTTAAACCCGCACGATCGATACGCGTTTCTCTGTGAACCAAAATCGCGGGTAATCCCCTCCCTGCGTCAACAAGCTGTGAACAAACTCTATGAGACCTGAGCTCTCTGAGACAATTATCGTATTCATAACCAAAATTGTACAAAACTGTTTATATAAATATAAATTATAATATAATATATAAAGTGTATTAAATAGGTAATAATCCGTTCTCTCGCTTGTACAATGTAATTTTATATTTCATTAATAAATATTTAAAATTTAGCGATATGTACCTTATATTGTAGTTTCATCTATGACGTTCACTGAATTCTCCGCGGTCTAGAGAGACATTTCAGATCCCAAGACAGATAAATTTCAATTTCAATTTATTGAATGAGCAAAAAAACTTAGGGCCTACCCCTCTTACAATTTGCTAATGATAAGAAAAGAAAAAGTTGAAAAACAAAGATTAAGAATTGACAAAACAAGAAAAAAAAAAGATTTCAAAACGTTTTGTCCACACGAAAGCCATTTCGAAAGTCTAACGGAACGCACATTGTTCCTAAGAAGGTCTTTTCAATTCTACTAATTGGACCGAAAAGACGGTCCTTTTAGAGTAAATCTTGAGTAAAAAGACTTGTAAATAGTCGTAAAACGTAATAAGAAAACGAGGTAATGAATTCATGTAGCATTTGTCTATGATTTTTACGCTTTTTGCAGTAAATTTAAGGATTGTGTAATTACAAAAAAACGGCAGAACAGTCTTCAATTGTCTGAGTACGCCTCTGTACAGGGCTCAGGCGCAAGGATTTCGGTCGCTAATTAAATGAAATACTTTTGCTCTTTCCATGGCTTTGTGCGTAAGATACATGGAACAGAATTTAATTCCCTACAATTTTACGTACCGTGCGGAACTGTAAACGTAGCCATTCTACCGGAATCTCGGTAGAAGGGTGATTTTTCTGTCGTGCTTATTTCACATTTCACAGATATCGCGGCTGTAAATTGCACATTTTACCATACAAATTGACAAATTCAGCCATTTTCTCCGACATTGTTTCATTACATTATCCAAGAATGATGCTTAGAGGTTGAAAATTGCATAACAAATGCCAAGGCGCATTAAAACATTACGCGACATACATATGACATGTCCATAGACATGTCATACCCAATATCGCCCCCGGTTACTTTACCGGGATGACGCGTGGAACTGTCACGACAATGACAGTCGGCTGTCATCGCATGACCAGCAAAAGTGTCTAAATTCCGCGTGTTGAACTTTTCCGTGGTTTCTGTGGCAAGTGAGGAGGCTCCATTGCTATTTCATCCATGGTGATTTGGCTGTGAGGTCAGTAAAGGTGTTGGTGCTCGACGGCGCGTCGTCTCATGCCTGTAATCATATTCCAGGACATCAGCATGTCGACGATTCTCATCACTATCAAGACGCTCCAGCAGCACACCTTCCAGATTGAATTCGACGTGACTCAGACGGTGCGGCAGCTGAAGGAGAAAATTGAAGAAGAACGCGGACGTGACTTCCCTGCCGACGGCCAGCTGCTCATTTATGGTGGCGTCAGACTGGACAACACACGCACCGTCGCTTCGTACAACGTGGAGGAGCGCAAATTTATAGTGTTGATGCTGCAGAAGTCACGGCAAACCAAGGAGTCGGAGCCCGAGAGTTCCACCAAAAAGACCGAGGAGAAGACGCCCGAGCCGACAGGGTGAGTTACATTTTTTTTTAATTGCATGAACAACGATTGCTCCACATGCACTTGGACTTGACTCCCTGTATTTATGTCGGCCAAACCAGCGCTCCTGCACACTCCCATACAGACTCCCACGCAAGGGGAAAATAATATGGTTAGACTGTGTACACCACATCATGACAGTTCCATAATTTCCGTGAAGAATCTTAGACACTTCCAGACCTCTGGCAGTGCTAAAACATGAGGTTTTCATACTTTCTTCACTATTTCTCGGAACTTGATTGATTTTTTCAACCACCCAAAGTTTCATAATCTCAAATTGAGGCGTCCTTGTCTTAAGAATATTCAAATTTACTTGTATGACCGTGAAAAGAAAAATTACAGTGAAAAAGCATTTAAGATATATTATGCTAATTTGTGTTAAAATTGTAACATCCTCACGGAAATATTGACGCACTTTCACTTAGGACTACATCTTATAAGCAATACAAACTTTTATTTAACTCAGAATTTGAGGTTAGGAAAATGTTAAATATATTTGTGCTATATTTATTCTCCTTGATTCAAGGCTAAATTGAAATAAGTTTTTTTTTTATTATCTTGAAGCATAATCTTGAAGCTTTAACAATCATTTTCCTACCTCAGGACAGTTTTTATTATTAAAACTTCCACGATCGCGTAGTTTGTTTGATCACAAACACTAAATTTTCCAAAGAATATGAATTATTCTCATAAAAGTAAATAAATTGGTTTTTCGGATGTTATTTTATCGCTAAATTTCGTTTAAAATTAGCTAATAATTGCCTAGACAAGCAATGGAATTAAAAAAAAAAATATGGTAGTAACTCTTGCTGACCAAATATTGCAAATATTTAAGCAGTTGTACTTCTAAGTATTTCTGCTGAGCTGTACACCACTTCTGGCCACAAAATTCCCCCCCTTCATTCCATGCAGTTTCCCATGCTTCTCATGTAGACAATGCCATTAGTCTCATTAATCATGTAGATCATAATGCACCTTAAGGAAATAATTTACATTTGTACATAAAAGTTCTGTTGAAACTCACGAAGTTAAGGATTTGAAATGTGTGACTTACAGCGCTGTTCATTGGCCTAAAATAATACTGTTGGGTGTTTACAACTTAAATCTGTGACGGTATTATGCTACAATAGCCTTATTTTATAGAAAAAAAACACAATGTTTGAAAAAATCGCAAAAGTTGTCTGATAATATAAATTCTGGCGCGAAATTGAACTTATCTGCGTAAGGTAGTTATGACACTACATTGAACTGTCGATAAGTTATTGAACTTAACTACAAATTGGTATAACACAAATGCCTGGAATTTCCTTTAAACCACAATTTTACGGGAAAAATTACAGTAATGTGGTTAAATAAGACTGTCATTTAAAATCGTTTTTCCAGCAAGCTGGTGTTAAAAGCAGGTTATTATTCAAATGCCGTCGCATCCATTTGTTCTCGAAACTTCATCACATCATCCATATGTGACTTTTCCTCCTGATTCTTCAGCTCTGTGTTTATCAGAAACACAGTATGTGGTAACATTTCTTCTTTCTGTACTTGGATATTATCAAATATGGCCAACTTTTTATATTTATGCTATGAGATGTGTAAGTCGACTGAGACGTCTCTCAACTGGTATCTTTTCGGAGTGCCTCGAAATCGGCACGGCTGAAAGTAAAATATATTCTTGCTTTGCTCAGAGTCACAGTGGAAAAAGTTGTAAATAGCGATTCGGTACTTTTAAGAACAAGGTTCAGAACAATCGCGGAAAAGTCGTGTCGTGAGTGGAAAAAGACTGGAAAATTGTTTCCTATGTCATTAGATAGAACAGGTCATATCGGAAACTTTGCGTGAGGAAATGACCGAGTAAAATATGGGAAGTGCGCAAACTGTCTGCTTCACATGACTTGTAACTGACAAACTCCTAAACATTTATGGCGTTTCGCATTAATAGAGAATCATTCGAATGATTTACAAAAAGGGTAATTTTAGCATAATACCGTCATTGGGCAACACTCAAAATCATTTCACATAGAAATGTTCTACCAATATTCCTTTGACTTAGATTAGATTAGATTAGAAATGGGGGTGGTACAAGAAATCTTGCTCCACGGCATCCAGGCCATCTGACGGGCCTTTTATGCATCCCCAGGAAAATTTTCCCATTTAAGGGCCAAGACCCAAAGCTAACCAGTCATCCAGTTACCTTTCAGACGGTATAGCTTTGGCCTGTGACTTTCATTGATATCTTCTTATTTTATTTATGTCGTCCCTCTCCCCCGGTTATCCTCTGATTTTTTCCCACTCAGAGGGCAAGGCTTTCAAAGTGAGCCAGTCAAATGCACAGACTAGCAGAGCTTGGCCTTGGGCGTGTTTGCAGACGATATCGCTTATTTACAAGCGACACCAGTCTGGTAGTGTGCCCATCTATAAGTAAGGACAGATGCGAAATACACTTCCACAGAAGTTTCTACTTCAATTGGAACATTTAACAGCAACCTTATTTGGGCTGGAATTTTTATATTTGCCATTGAAGGGCTTAATATTTTTCGCATCTGTTGTGTTCGATCATTTGCAAGTGATGGGGATCGAACACACGACCGTGATGTCCTCAGTCTGGCTCTCTACCGACTGCACCACGGCCGCCTCCTACGAAGAAAGGAACAAGTTTATGGTAAATATATGAGAACACATGTCAACGAAAAGCGGGCTCAGCTTACTTACTCAGTTACAAATTCTAAACAGGTAAGAAAATCATAAAAAGTTGAAGTCTCACCTTAATTAAAAAAAAGACAAATCGGTGGCACTATTGTATAACAAATCATGAGACTTCAGTGATTCGGAGCTTATTTACTCCTCAGCTCCGTCAGTTTATTTGTTATTTATTTATTTTTTTATTATTCGCTCATAAGAACTGATTTTTGTGAGCGTGATTTGTGTTTACGGATGTCCACCTAGTGTTTATGACAAACATCTAGATCAAAACGGTGGAAAAGTTCTTTGACAGATTATATAAACTATTTTCCCCAACTCATACGAAGATAATACTGAAAGTAAGAAAATAATTTCTCAGGAGCAGTAGACTTCGATTGAGTAGAATTTGATATTCTGCTTCTGGTAGTCTATCGCTTTGAATATTGTTGGGTAACCAGCCCATAGATGGCGAAAGCAAACAACAGGAATGCCCATTTGGCATCCCTTCTAAGAATTTGCAAGTCACTTCTCAGAACGCCTTTGTCAAACATTCATTTTATTCATTGTGCCAATCGTTCATCATCATCTTCGACCCCTCAACCGCCTCTACGGGATCTCATGTCCTCGGTTACAAGGTTCGGATTGATATTAACTTGTTATAGGTAAGTCACAAGCCATAACAAATATTTAAGTAATGTTTGCTTTGTAACTTGTACTCCGCGAGAGTAAATGGCAAAGTGTTTAGAAGAAAAATCTTCAGCATGCAATTTATTTTCCCGCACTAGCATTTCCCATAGAGCATAGTGTATTTAGCAACATTATTGTCGTCGTATTATAATCATAGTCAATACGAAAACTAATATATATGACCCGATATTTTTGATGTAGTGTGTAGTGCATTTCATAGCAACTCAGTCATATTTAACACTATTAGAATATGTTATATGGAATTTGGTGATATAAAGAAATACAAAACTGTTAGTTCGAGATGTAAAGTGTTAGATTGAGAAATTTAAATTAACTTATTCATCGATTTATTATTCGGTAAGCCAATTAAATACCATATCTCAAAGCTCAAATTTGTAGTTGTTTTACACAGAGCTAAACTCCGCCGGAAAGCCAACCGAATTGCGGTTGGTGTCTGGGCTAGCCGCTATATTTAAATTTTCAACTTCAAACACAGCCGAATTAATTTCAAATCAGCCGAAAATGATAGTAAATATGTGTAAACTCAATATTCCAAACGGAATATTTTCAACATGCGCGCTTTTACCTTGCCAAAGGCATTATCACGAATTCAGACTCTCTACATTTGTTCACAATCATCAGGGAATTCTGTCTAAAAATGGACATTTCTTGGATTTTCAAAGTAGTAGAAAATTTAAATGTTACGGCTTTTAGGTTAGCTGAGGCATAAACCGAAGTACGCTGGCTTTTCGGCTGAATTCAGCTCAGTCTGTGATAAAAACGAAACAACGAGAGTTGAGATTCAAATGTCCGTAAATATCGTATGATTTTTATTCTGATATCACTTGTGATGCATTGAAATTACTTGTAGCACTGTTTTCTTAGGTCGGAGCTGTCTAAAGAAGCAGCGAAGATGAGCCTAGCTGAGGCTTCAGAGTCTCCTATGCAAGTTGCTGAGTCTCGTCTGCTCATGGGGAATGAATACAACAATATGGTGGATAACTTAGTTGAAATGGGCTACACGACTGAACAAGTCCACAAAGCATTGCAGGCAAGCTTCAATAATCCAGAGCGTGCTGTAGAGTACCTGTTGTCTGGAATTCCCGAAGATGCCGCTGAGGAATCACTTGTTAACGAGGATGTTCTGGAACGTCGCGCCAACGCTAGCGGGAGAGTTATTGACTTCGATGATCCGCTGGACTTTCTTAGGGAACAGCCACAGTTCCATCAGATGCGCTACCTTATCCAACAGAATCCGAGCTTTCTGCATACACTTCTGCAGCAAGTGGGTCAGACCAATCCGGCCTTGCTGCGTCTTATCTCAGAAAACCAAGAGACATTTGTAAATATGCTTAACGAGCCCTACGATCCCGACAACCATCCTGCTGCCACGGTATCTTCTGGGATATTGCAAAGTGATTCGGATCGCTCCGCTTCTTCCGCAGAAGGCGTCGCTCCAGAGCAAAGTGAGGCTGCTGGAACAGCTCCAACATCAGACACAAATCCATATAATCTCACTCCAGAGGACATCGCTGCGATTGAAAGAGTAAGTTTAGAAAACTTAGAATTATAGTATTGTATGTCGATGCTGGAAATTTGTCCTTTTTACACTAGAATTCACAAAGGATTTTCTTAAAGCATTTTGACTACATAAAGAAAGAATGTTATGGTGAAAACACGCAGCATTTGTGTGGCGAAAATTGATAGAGGTCATCTCTTTCTTCACCACGCGTATCGTGTATTTCCTTCCTGCTCGCGCAACATAGTCTGCAGATCTCTGCGCGTGGTGAAGAAAGAGATGACCTCTATCAATTTTCGCCAGACAATTGCTGTGTGCTTTCACCATAAAGAACGTTACAACTGATCTCTTGTAATACCCAATTCGACATACGTCCATATAATTATTACTACTGTATATTCAGCTAAGGTGGCAATATTTTATCTAATTTGTATAATTTCTTTACTCGACAGCTGAAGGAACTAGGATTTTCGGAGCAAGAAGTTATTGAAGCTTACCTGGCCTGCGGAAAGAACGAGAACGTTGCGGCAAATTTTCTCTTCTCATAATATAACCAGCTAACCTAAGTCCGTTTGTCTCCTTTTGAAATCGAACGCCCTGATTTCATTACCATCAATTATGAATTTCTTTTGTGCCTTCGATGTGGAGACAGGCTTAAGGAAATTAAAGTAAAAATAATAATTGGTTTTCTAAATTATGTATTTTACTTCAACGCGCAGAATGAAATTAAGTTATTCCTTGATGATGAAACTCTCGAAATTCTTGATAATAAGAATGAATGAGAATAGAAAACTTCATTCAATTATTTCATTCATCCTTAGAATAAAGGAATGAGTAGCACTGAAACCCCCGTGGCGGCTGTGTTGGCGCCGAAATGGCGAAGAGTGCAGAGCGGCAGCATCAGCTATTGGCTATTGATTCAGGTCCAATCGTACGTAGGCCATGGGCATGATTTTTTCTTGTTTCATTGAGTGGAACAGGATTTTACGCCCATAAACTGCATTTCCTCTCTTAAATTTCGTTTTTCTACTCACCGAAACATTCAACTTCATCCCTATTCTGTTTACATTCTTTTGGCTGATGGATGACTGTATTTTGTATGGGTTGGTCATCTATAACGAAGTTCATAGCGTTCCACTCGTCATACATTTTACCGATTGAACCACGGCCGCCCGTAAGTATTTCATACTTGATCACAGTCACATTAAGACATTAATTCTATTATAGTTAGCTGATTCGTGCTCATCATTACTAATTCAGTATTGGCCTTTCGATTACCACCGATTAGGCCAACAATTCAGAGGACATATGACTGAAAATCTGTGCTCCGATCAATATAAAATACTTCAATTAGGACATTTTATAAGACATTCATAACGTAATAAATTCCAAATAGTATATTCTCCCTTACTAAAAAAAGACGGTAGCCTTTTCGCAAAAATTTGAAATGGTCAGAAAGTTAATTAATAATAGTGATCAACCAAAAATTGTGATTGCTTTAACTTATGTTTGATCACAAAAATCTTTCCGAAGAAACAATTCTGAATTACATTGAAATATTTGGCGCTCACTCTTCCATAAGAAATTATTTCCCCAAATCCGACTCTTTGTGACGTCATGTCGTTCATTTTCGGATCAAGTACAGCGGACAAGTTCTTTTTGGCTCCATGTGAAGAAGTGTGTTTATGCCAAATGCCGATGCACTGAGGCTTGAGATTGAAATTTGACCACAGTGGCCACAAAATTCTTTGTAGCTGTTAGCAATTAAAAATTTGGGACACATTGCGTTCAGAATTCTTGATTTTATTTACGCTGCCATTTGCTGTGATTTCAGAAAATCTCACTAAGAAAAACTTCCTACATTGAATACAGTTGTGTGTCCGAGAATGAAACAATCCATGATTGTAGGATGATTTATTAGGAAAAAGGGGTAGACCGACAATCCAGAACTCAGGGATTCTTGGCAGGCGCTTCTTGGCCCTTACTAAAGTCCGGATATTCCAGTTTTACACCTTCCTCGCAAGTAAAGATGGGGCAACATTGCGGAAAAGGAGCAGTTTTGTTGGTTTTATCCGTGTCCAGCTTGCATTTCTCATTAGCAAGAGGCAATGGACCACAGTCCTCCACCAATTCTAGTAACTTGGGCTCTTTATCGTCTGAAACCACGCACGTTGAACGTCCACAGAATGGAGACAGCTCCCATGACTTTCCTGGCTCAACCGTGGCACAGCGCGTCGAGGCAAAGCACATGCCCGGGAAATCTGAAATTAGAGGGTGATTGTGGGTTCGCAAGGTAAGTGAACGTGACCTCGCCTGATGGGGAAGTTCCATATCAGGGTCATCCGCTCGCCAAGGTGACAGTAAATAGCAATTGACAATCTCTTTATTCTCGCATTGGCCAATTCATTTCATTCAACCGTTTTATTTCGGTCTGTAATATGATAATTTGTCATTACGACAGTATTGTTCACACGCGCATTCTAAGGTGATAGTTTTCGCTACTGAATGAAAAGACAATGCAGTGCTGCAAAAATCTTTTAAGAATCTAGTACAACGCCTTGGGCTGAATTATTATTTAATCATATTTATACATCTATAAATATATTTTCACGAAACCTGTTTTTATTTTCAAATAGATCTTAGATAGAAAATTCAAAAGAAACCTGTTTCCGCATTTTTTTTTCATCTGTTATAATACCATTTAAACTCACAGTGATTTTGATGTTTCGTATATATTCTGATGTTTTTTTTACCTTAATTGAAGTTAAATAAAATAAAAAGAACACTTATATAATAATAAAATAACACAAAAAGTCAATAGGGAAATATTAGTATTGCAAAATGAATTTAAGAGACAGAGATTTGCTTCCAAAAATTGCTCCAAAAGGCTCTTTGAAGACATTTTGCTCATCACTCATTTGACAGCCCATTTCAAATTTTCCTAGTGTCATTAATTGGAGCTTTATATTCCTGTATGAAAAGTCAAAGTGTTAAAAACTCGTAGCTTGTAGTTGCAATGAAAAATTTCTTGCGTCCCGTTCCCAAAGATTACTCCTGCGTGCGTATAGCACTATAGAAGCAAGTCAAATCATTATATTTCCATTCTATGTATTATATATATATATATATATATATATATATATATATATATATATATATTATATATATATATATATATATATATATATATATATATATAGGCCGGAATTCCGCCTTTTTCAAAAACCTGATCAGCCAGGAGCTGTATGACGAATTACAAAGTTGTGGTGACTCACAACCTAAGTTTAACTTTTATTCATAAGTTTTTTCACACTCTAAAATGAGATGTAAATTTTTAGACAACTTGCAACAAGTTGAATGGAGCATATACAACAGATGATTCAATAAATGTGAAGTGTGAAAATGGTTAACTAAGACATGAGAGTAGCTTTCCTTGAGATATATGGTGCGCAAAACCAACTCCAATTATCACCATTGATGACGTTTATTTGTCCTCATCTCAATTACTCAATAGAGATGTAGTGCTACTGAAAATAATTACGCAAGGCAGACCGGATGACGGTGATTTGGATGTTTCTTGAGCAATGTTGGTCTGGAGCTTTCTTTTGCTTTTGGGCAAGGTGATCATCTGTACTTTTTCTCTCACAACACTGAGCAAAATATTAGCATTTTGGGGAGTGGAGGCCACGAGGATTGCATGAGTGTTGCTGCGCCACTTTCACTGATTATGTTCGAGTCACCTTCACGAAAATACTCTGACTTACCGCGCAGCACGTCAGCTGGAATGAGCCTTTTATACACTTTGATTCCTTCCTCCTTATCAGCCGCTGCGGCCAGGACAATGAGACAGAACAGAATAAGCAACCGCATATTAGCTTCAAACGGATTTACTTTTAGCGCGCGCCACGACGATCGCAGTGAAAGTGATTTCGTATTAATACGCGAGCCAGTCTCTTTTATACTCGCTGACTGGGGGGGAGGCCCGAGTTTGGGCGATTGGAGACCTTTTTATGCCACTGTGGATGGAAATTTTCAACCTCCCACCATCGTCCAATTGCCTGGTCTCAATCATCCTAAGTGACCCAAGTCATAAAGGGAGTTAATATAGCCAAAATCAGTACAAAGATTTAAAATTTTAAACATTTCACGCAAAAGGAACCCCAAATATTTCCAGCGCTTTGGCAAATTATTGGAAAAATGCTAAATACTAAATCATACCACGTTATCAGACACACACTTGCCGCCAATTTATTAATTATGTATTTATTTAACACTTTAATGGGCTGGAGAATCAATTTCGTTGAATTGGCTTAGATAATTTTTGTCCATTCGGACACGACTCTTCTCGACCTAATTGAGATTCTACACATTAACAAGATGTTGAGAATGGCGAGTTTTTGTGTCAGAATGTTGACATTATTGCCACATCTATATATGACTTGTATATTACCCCCCAAAAAGGGTATTCTTAAATATTGGTTCCTTAATATCATCATAACAAAAAAAACATTTAGGTAATTAACTGACAATTAACGCAAAGAATGTACATGAGACTGATTCACTTGCTCAGAAACTTCTTCTTCATCTTCCAGTTCATCAAGTCCTTGGAGGACTCACGAACAGTGTCGCTGCCGTAGAATTTGGATTCTTTGAAGCTCTTTGATAATTTTCTCGAAGACATTGGTGCTCGAGCTCTTCTTGCTCACGCATTCCTATTAACTACTTACTATTTACTATTTTATTATACATTTTTTTTATTTTATTATACAATTTATGAAGCTTTAAGTCGCTGAAGAACTCACGGACCGTGCCGCTTCCGTTGAGTTTATTCTCCTTCAAACTCTGCAGGTTTCTAAAAGATACTTGTGCACGAGCTCTTTTTGCCCATCCCTCTTCGTGTAAAGAATGTACACTATACACCGTTTAACTTGTTTAGTAACTTCTTCTTCGTCTTTCTGTGCATCAAGTCCTTGGAGGACTCACGCTTGTGTCTTCGAAGTGTGGAAAGAGGGAAATTCACCTTTTTACAGATGTAGGAAGTGTGGTCGTCCTACGCCAAGAAATTATTGAAGATAACTCTAAGATTTCTGGCGCTATGGACGTAGGGAATTGTCTCGCCATATTGCCTCGACAGAGAAGTCATTGATCTCTTTTTTTTCCAAACACCACATCAATCACTGTTTTCTCGGCCTCTGTCAAGTTCGACAGAACCGTTCTTTGGAAGCGCACAAGAGTTGTGTCCTTGTTTCACAGTCCCCTATTCTCCGGATTTCCTTTCTCGCCTTTTTCACCGTCTCATATTTTGCCTCCAATTCATCCAGTGAATCATCTTCAGCACTCTCTTCGGCTTCATCGCAAAGTAGATGTCATCGACACATCCTGGTGCGAGAGAGATGCTGGGCTGGTGACTCGAAACATCGGCTGGAGTGACTTAGCCATTGAGGCTGTTTGGCTCAGAGCGGAGCCTAAAGTCAGGCAACAAGGGGTCTAGGAGGCCAAGTCAACCTTTCGAAACCTCTGGACCCTGCCTTCTAACACGGCAGAAAGTCGCAGCGGTGACAGTAGGTCGTGGGGCGTGGAAACACGGCGCTGGGCTCTTGCATTTGATGTCCGAGCTTGAACTGCTTCGTCACCTGCGCCTTCCTGATCAACTTGTCATCGCGCAGATTGCAGACATTGACCTGAAGGCTCCATGTTGAACATTCCGTTCATCATCGTGTTGATCTGCTTAGGCGATTCCGGAGCAATCTTGCGTCTCTTCTAAACTCCACTATTTTCCGGATTCTCTTCGGCACTCCTCTTGCTCTTGCTCTGTGCGCCGTGCTAGACCCTCTCCCTCCCTCCCAAGATCCTCCCACTGACCATCGCTCTCCGACGCCTTCTTTTCACTGTCTTCTCGGCCGCTGACTGGGAGTCACTCTCAGACGGCGGCTTTGGTGACTCACGCATCCTCCTTTTCCTCGGATGCCTCCTTGAGCGGTGTTTTCTGTAATGCTTTCTCCATATTCAATTTTCAATTTCAATTTTTATTGTATGAGCAAAAACTTAGGGCCTACCCCTCTTACAATTTGCTAATTATGAAAAAAGAAAAAGTGGAAAAATGAAGATTAAGAATTGATGAAACAAAACAAAGAAAAGATTTCAAATCGTCTATCTATTGATTATGATGGGTCACTGACCAGATCAGCAGCCTGAAAGTGCTTCCTGATGCCCCCCATGGTCTCGCGCGCCTCACGCGGGAGGGCATTGTAACTGCACAAATTCGCGCTGAGGAGTTTTATGTGGCGTTTTGGGCTTTTCCGGTGTCGACAAAGACGTCATTGATCTCTTTTTTCCAAACACCACATCAATCACTGTTTTCTCGCCCCTGTCAAGTTTGACAGAACTGTTCCTTGGAAGCGCACAAGAGTTGTGTCCTTGTATCTCTCAATTTCCTCATCGCTGTCCTTAATCTTTTCATTTATTCATTTAATTTTCTTAATCTCTCTGGCCACACAAGCACTCACTGTGCGGCAAACTTCATATACGGCAATTTCGAATTGATGTAAAACTAAAAATCAGTTCAAATATTCTTCCAAAAAAGTATTCAACACCTTATTCGACTTACAATTGAAGAAAAATGATAAAAATATTACGAAGAAATATTTAGCACATAGCTTACAGAATTTTATATAACTTCAACACTAAAAAAAACCATGCGCCATGCATATGTTATATTATTCTTTCTTTTGCCAATATATAATATTTAAAATATTTAATAACACTTCACATTTGTAATTTTAATACAAGCTATCTTCATTTTCTTTCTTGAGGTATAAAGTTTTTGAAACTTCTTTTGGGTTTCTGCTGTAGCAGTATTTCACAGGCTTGATAAATTAAATAAGAAAACCAAATAAACAATTTCTGGCTTGATTAGCAATGAACCACAAAATCTTTGTGGAAGATGACGGTAACAGCTTGTGTAGGTAAAACGCCTTTAACTCTCCTGGCTGTGCTATCAGAGATTTTTTTTTTATCTATGAGGGAGACAATACAATGAAGTTCCAGTTGTTGAAGAATACCTATTTATAAGTTCCTCACAAATTTTCACCAGCTTCTTATTTTCACGTATTTTCTGGAGTAGCTACTAATTCCTGGACAGAAAAAGACAGAAGAAAGTTACAATTTTCTCACTTTTGAATTTTCTGTCGAATGTGAAGAGTCATTTTTCTCATAGCGCTTCCCCTGCTGATGACATTGCTTTTTTTCTGCAATTAGACTCTTCTGAGGCTTCAAATGAAGTCAAATGTTGGTCATGGTCTAATGGATGAAGAACACGTCGTTTAAATGATAAGAGACGGACTCTCTTAAATGGTGTGCTCAGTTGAATTCAATAAAATCCTGCTCGTCGTTGCATGTCTCGTGCGATATTATTATTTGTTGCTTTTCCGCAATTATGGTAATTATGATTCCGATACACAGATAATTATGGTAACACTTTATTTATATCATTAGGCTGACAGGGATCCGCCCGTGATGTTCTTCTGCTTTTCCGTGATGCGCTCCAATAACGCCTCCTTACGCGCTTCCGCTTCTTATGCTCCTTCTGGAATGTATTTCTTCTTTTCTTCTATATTTTTCAATCTTTTTGCAACAAACTTTTGAAGCTTTCTCTCTTGCTTGCGACTTTTAATCATAACACAATTTTTCCATCTCCTCAAATCAACTGAGAACATTGGTCATGAGATGAAACTAATGCAAGTAATTGCCTGGAAATTTATGAAAATAATTACCCTCTCGTATATGATTTTACCTAATAGAAAAGTCATTCTTAGCTGTGCCATCAGAAATATTTTATCTGTTAGGAATAAAATACAATGGAATTTCAGTTGTTGTGGAACACCTATTTATAAGTTCATCACATATTTTCACCAGCTCCTTATTCCCACGTATTTTCTGGAACAGCTACTCATTCCTGGACAGCGAGGAGATATCCTCATTCTTCAGCTACGCCTTCTGATTCGTCGAATCCTGTCCGCGTGTTTCCACCAGCAGGTCCAATTTGCTGTTCGGTATTTCCAGCTGCTGCATTGCGTGCTCCTTTATGTTCACACAAGCTGCGAACAGTCCGGCAAGAGACAGAAAAAGTTACAACTTTCTCACTTTAGAATTTTCTGTCGAATGTGAAGAGTCATTTTTCACATAGCGCTGCTTCTACATTCGCCATTTGAGTGTTATTCATGTACTGGCAATCGGTAGCGCCCGTGCAAAGCTTCTTAATCTTGGAGAACTGATTGTTTAAGAAATCATTCACCAACTCAGAGCATGTCATGATGAGAAATGTTTTTTATTCTCACATTCTAACGCCGCGTAATTCTAACACTCTTATATTGTATCCTGATTTATTTACTCCTTGATTCTTTTCTTCTCTTGCCTGCCCGCCTTGATGTTGGAGTCGGCACTGATGCGTGCTGCCTACTCCGTGCGATGTTTGTTCGCTGGCCCGGATGTTGTCCGACTCTGCGGTGCCGCTTAATCAACCGCCACCTGCGCCTGCACGCGTCCACGCATCGGCCATCGGTTCCGTCTCGACAATACAGCACTGATCTCATCAACTCCGAATCTCACGAAATATTCATTCATTCATTCATTCATTTATTTATCATCCTTCCGTGAACAAGGAGAGTTACGCGCCATAGCCCCTAGGGGCTGTTTTGGCGCCGTGTCGGTGCGGCGCATATTCTGACAGCGCTAGCTGCCGTATTGCGATCTGCATCTTGCCTGGACCTCCTCTGGGGGAGTCCCAAGCAGCCAGTTCCTGATCGAGGCTCTGCTGAGAGCAACACCTTCGCGGACCATATTATTGATGACTGTCGGTGCGGCGTAGTTCACCGATCTCTTGAAGCGCTCCGACAGCGGCCTGGGAACCATCAAGAGCTCCCTTCCCCTCATCTCCGTCGTGGGGCAGAACAGACCGCAGTCAGGCCTGAGACCGGCCTGGGCGCTCAAGAAGGCACCCACAATCCTGGACACAAAAAGATGTCCCAGGGGCAGGATTTCCCATTCCTGGTACAGTGGCCAAGAGTGGGCCCTCCGGCCGGCGCGCGCCATTACCCTTACGATGGTCTTCTGTGTTCTTGTCAGCGGGGATAGATGAGTCTCACACGCGTTGCCCCAAATCAGAAGGCCATAGCTGAGTCTCGATTCCGCCAAAGCGAAATAGATGACCCGCATCAGATGCTCCGAACACAGCGCTCTCAGTGAGTACATCTGACGGGCAATGCAGCGCAGGTCACTGGTGATACGGCTGATGTGTCCCCTCCATGTCAGCTCCGAGTCCAGGGTGACGCGCAGGTACTTGAAGGTCGGAACACACTCTATGGGCAGGCAGTCCGCAAGGCACGCATCAGCAGCGCGAGTGCAGCGCGAGGAGTGGCACACCAGGTCACCGCCACCACCGAGGCCTCCTCTGAAGTCCATGCGCACGGTCTTCGAGCTGAGGACCATGCCGTTGGCCTCGAGCCAGCTCCTGAGCGCAGAGAGGTCAGCATTCATTTGTCGCTCAACATCATCCCACGTGGCACTAGAGTAGACAAGGGCAACGTCATCGGCGTAGGCCGTAATATGCCCCTCCAGTGGGAGAGTGAGTAGACCATTTACATATATCAGGAACAGGAGCGGCCCAAGAACTGATCCTTGAGGAACGCCAAACTCACAAGTCACCGACTCGCTTGTACAACGCTGCCCCAGCTTGACTCTCTGAGTGCGCCCAACAAGGTAAGAGCTTAGCCAGCCATGCGGGATACCGCGGAATCCCAGAGCATTCAGTCTACTCAGGAGAGATATTTCGAGAGATATTTCGGAACTCTGCTGTGTCAATTGTTTGTGCCGCTATATTTCCGATACTTATTATTATTATAACTATCCCTCCCATGTCTGGTCAATACGTATTCCTTTCGGGACTGTGACAATGATAGATCATTGGTGGAACACAAATTGTAAAAAAAACTATTTTAATAGCTTGAAAAATCACCATGTAAATAAATTTTAAAAAAAATGAATCAACATTTGTTGAATATACGTTCATCGCTATTATTTTACTATTCAGTGAAGAATTCCTTAAGCAGCACAGAGAATTTATTTTTCAGAGCGAGAGTGAAATTTCGCATAATGTCCCTGATTTCCAGGTACTCTTCTACGGAAGAACACGATTATGCGGATATTTATGTGTTGTACGAGACCATTACAAGAGCGTATGACTCTTTGCCAGTCTATGGCACGAAAATGACATTCAGTGACCTCAACGCCAAAGTTGGAAGAAAGGAAGCCTCCCGCCAAGCAGCCGACTCTTCGTGAGAAGTGCAATGATTGTCGTCAGCACAATTTTCATCGGAAGAGAATCCATAAGGCTACGTTGGGTCTCGAAGTATCAAAGGAAGATTGGCCAGTGGCAGCATGTGTTAGTGGTCAATAGACATTGGTTCTCAATTCTGAATGTTTTGCAAATGATCGATCACAATATATGCGAAAAATATTAGGACATTCAACGGCAAATATTAGATACAAGCAGCCTAAACAGGGTTGTTGTTAAAAGTTCCAGTTGACGTGAAAACTTGTATAGAATGGTGTTTCGCATCTGTCCCAACATATAGATAGGAACAATACAGGACTGATAACGCTTGTAAAAAGGCAATATCATCTGCAAAAAAGATTTGCGCAGAATCTGAATGTCTGGGTTAGCTTACATTGTTTTTGGCCGAATATAGTCTAAATCGAAAGCAATAGTTCAATTAGTAATCAAAAGCACGATTGGGCCCGCTGAAAGAGGTTCAATTGCCCCGAATCAGGACAAAAGGAGTTGTTCAATTGGCAACCCGCCAATTGGATTGAAATTTGGATGATTACATTTTCATTGGGCACCCCAAATACTGCAGATTTCTAGCAGGAGTTTTAACAGAAGTGCCAATAGATCCGTTTCAGACTTATTACATCTGGGCGATGCCCGCTGTGCTTGTACTCGCACGAAATGCAAAAACTCACAAAATATACCAAAATGGCATCAGGGAGGCATAACATCACAAAACATGACGAAAAAGTGTGGGGTCACATTTTTTTTTGAGTGCCGTCCGTCGGTCGTTCAAATCGACGTAAATGGACTTGTGGCGCCTAAACGGTAAGAGATATCGACATGCGGTTTTGACCAAAGATCAAAAGTCCTATATCTTCTAGAGAATGGTTATATAAAATCAAACCCCCCTACCCCTCCGTCCGCCATTTTAAACACATCCAAAAAACATTTTCCCAATTTACTCAACCCCTATAGTATGAATTGAGCGCAAATGTTGGTATGTTATAGTTAACAGCAAGAATCTGACAGCCAGCTTGAGTACTTTCGGTTCCAAAACTCTGTGAGTGTAAGTAAGATTCATGTCTGCTAAATCCCTTAGAAACATGTGAAAAATATATGAAAAGGGAAATGCCTGAACATAAAACGCAATTGAATTCCTAAATTTGATATTTGAAAACTTTGGAGCTACTCCGCTGTTCTAAGATCAATTAAAGATATGATGAACCAAAACGCACTGGCCTTGTAAGATAAGCTGATAAAATGACTTGACTACAGGTGATACAACGGCTCGTTGGAGTGTCTTCGAGAGTAATTTGGACGAATAAGGAGTACGATAAATCAAGTTACCTTGGCCGTTTGTTTGCCAGAGGTGCACTGGGGGTCACCAGAAGACGATGTGACCGCATCGGAATGCCCATATTGCTTTGTTCATCCAGTCTATCTGCGCTCACTTGACGAGTGGTATATGATAAAGCTGTGTCGATGAGACATTGTCCACAAGGTAATAAAGCTGACGCGGCAGTGGCACAATGAGTGGAGTGAGACGGAGAACGAATTTGTCCGAAGGTACACTTTGTCCGTCACCACGCAATACATACGTGCATATGAATTGCCAATCAAAGTAGGCCTCCCTATCGCGATTTTGTATTAGATATAATGGGTGATAGAAGCGTTAATATGACCATCGTTTAACGAACAACGGCCACAACGAACTCAACTTTTATACAGTGCTAATCACGCCGTTTTTGTTGTGAAAACACTAAGTAAGTATACAAGCATTAATAGAGATCAAATAAACTAAAGGCGCCTTCCACTTTTCAAGGCAATCAGCTTCGCAGATGTAGTGTACAATGTAATATTTTGATGGTTCCGTTACCATCTAGCAAGTTCAAAAACTTTGTTCTAAGACATCTTTGCGTAGTTAAATAATTTTTTTTAATTATTGTCCGGAAAACTATAAAATTTATTAATGAATAGTGGGAATCCTTAGATTTAATTGGATTTTCTTAGTCATCATTTAATATAAAAGCTTCTCAATTCCATTCATCTTAACATAATGTATAGAAAATAGTGTACAATAAATATAAAGCTGCTGAAATACGATAAAAATTCAAATTGGCATATTTTCATTAGGGTATATAGACTGTTTTCCGCCAAAAACAATGCCTTAATACTTAAAATTCACAGTTGGGCTGAACAGTTCGTGAGAGAAACATCTCAGTTTGTTAATACGGTTAAAACGGTAATATCTTCCAGCAATATCTATCCAATTAGAGTTCCGTCCAAAATTCATAGTGTACCAAATCCGTTAATAATGAAATGCTTAATTATGTTAAGTGAAAACTTAAACAGTTCGATTAGCGATTAGAATAGAGGACTAGACGAACAGGTCAGACGTCGTCCAACTTATTTTCTTGGATTTCTTTCCTTTTATGGTATATTATAGCTAAGTTCTTTTAGCATCCAGGTAAATTATTTAGTTTCAGTTAATTTTGTCTATATTAGATAATATTGACAGTGGATATATAACGCAGAGAAGAACCTTTCTCATGTCGCTCAAGTCAGTCAACGATTTTCTATTTTGTTACTATTAAGAAGTATTAGTTAAATAAAAACGATGTGTGAACTACACCTTTGCCTTTATTACCTAATTCTAGTCAAGACATCAACAAAATATATCCAATAATTAGTAATCCAATGTTAGTAATCAATCGAAACATAACTGTTTGACATATTTGAAAAAATATTTTGTGAATAAAATAATTTGCTGCTGTTTGATCTATTCATTATAACTATTTATTGATTATTAGTTTACTTAAAAAGTACATATTTTCGACAGAATGGAGAATCAAGATGACGGACAGAGCGTGATGGTGGCGAAGGTAACAGCCATGACTGTACTATTTGTGGGATCTCTTTTACTAGGCTTAGCGCCCTTTAAACTCGCCACATGGTGCCGCTGGCATGAGGCGGGACGGAAGTCACGCACTGGTCGAATAATAGGAGCGCTTCTATGTTTTGGCGGGGGCGTTCTACTTGCCACAACTTTTCTACACCTACTGCCTGAGGTTAGTCACAATCTTACAGCACTGCAAGCAGACGGCCTGCTACCAGAGTTTCCAGTATCAGCAGCGGAACTACTCATGTGCGCCGGCTTCTTCCTCATGTGCTTCGTGGAAGAAGTTGTGCACGTAGTTATGCGTCGAGGACAACGGGCCGAAGTTGAAACGGCCTTTGAGCGCGCCTCGCGAAGTTCAGTTCGTAATGGCAGTGCATCCACGGTTGACCTGGTAGTGGAAGGAAAACAAATGACGGGTCTGGAGGCCGTACACGTTCAAGTGCCAGCAGGTATGTTTCAATTCCCTTGATGTTTTCCCTCGAATTGGTTTGAAAACTCCCCTGAAAATTTCTTGATCGAAAATTTAATTAATCCAAATTGGATTTAAACAATCCATTTATAGTTTCAATTAGAAACTTAGATGGTAAAGTTGATTCACATCTGAGCCGTGTTTTTAAGATTACATTTGAAACACTCGCATATGTGCGATCATTGCGGCAAATACAGACATTTCAAAGTTCTTTCAAAATCGTGTTATTTTTCCTTCTCGTGATTTAAACTTCCTCCTCTTTCAATTCCACTTATTTACCCAATTATATTAACTAGAAATTAATTCTTTCCTTTTGGAATCGGCTGTTTGTTAGTGAAAAAAAAAAGATTATATGTTCTGTTCAATGCTGAACAGGAGAGTTTTTTTTTATTTTCCGCGTGTTGGACTCGTAATGTTCAAGTCAATGTTCCATAAATTGTCATTTTTTCTGCTTTGCGCATTGCGCATTTTTATCATATTAAATTTCTCTCGCCGCGTGAGAATGCACCCTGAAGTCAGTCACATTATTTTTGCTAATTAAGCGTCTTTGGCTGAGTCCAGAGTGCAATCCACACGCGGCGTGCATTATTAAAAATTGTATAGAAATAAAATCAGTTCATCAAGAACAGTCATCATATAAACACGCGCTTTGTCAATCTTTCATCATTTAATACAGTCCACCTTTTTTTTTACAAATTCCAAACTTAGCTATTGACCATGCTCAACGAATTCGTCTTACACTTTAAAAATATTGATTGATTATTGGCTTTTTTTTAACTTAAGTCGATATCGCTAATTTTATCAGTTGTGGCGCGTATGTGCTTGGTCTGTTTACTGACGACGAATCCAGTAAACTAATCGAATTTCAAAATGCCGCGTCATGTAGATGTGTTATTTATATAATTTTTCCGAAAATTTTGTTTTTTGTGCTCATATCTTTAAAGTATAGATAAGCAGATGCTCTGCTTAAAAAGTGAGGGCAATTCATGTTGTCTCTGTATTCTAAACTGATTTTTTTTCAGGCCACACTCACCTGCACGGTCATACTCATGTGCTGACCGACAACGATGTGCTAGTGTCATCCTTTCGCGGCTTACTCGTGGTGCTGGCATTGTCGGTACACGAGCTGTTCGAAGGCTTGGCTGTAGGCCTGGAGTCATCTTCTTCGGCCGTGTGGTACATGTTTGGTGCTGTAGCGGCGCATAAACTTGTGTTGGCTTTCTGTGTAGGCGTGGAGCTCGTCGTAACAAGCACACGTCATTACCTCGCCGCTATCTATGTCATCACATTTGCTGCAGTATCACCTATTGGCATTGGTATTGGTTTGGCAATAACCAGTCTGAACACAACAGCAACTGGGACTGCGGCAGTCTTACAGGGCATTGCTACAGGAACGCTTCTATATATTGTTTTCTTTGAGATTCTTAATCGTGACCGCTCTGGCATTCTAAAATTCTTGAGCACCGTGATAGGTTTTGTGCTAATGCTGGGTCTGCAGCTGCTCTCGGGTCACCACCACAATCAAGACGATCACGGCCACAGTCACTCTCGCCGGCGCTAACCAACTCTAATTAAGTTTCTTTTATATTATATTTCTGATACAATATCAATAGATAGTGCCACTTAAAGAATACCTTAAAGAATATCGTAGTTGCCCCAATCATATTGTAATAAATTTTATACTGTTTCACCGTTGCTAAAGTTTTGCTATGTAAAAAATTCTGCCTAAAATCTGGTATTTAATTATCACACACGGAGAAGTCAACGACTTAGTAAATGATGGCCTAGGGAAAGAACGAATCCAAAAAGTTTCGCAATGAATTTGCAATATATCTGTGAATTTATTAAAATTGCAATAAACTTCTATGCAATACAGAACTAATGCTCTTGTTTTATCATATTTTAAAATCATAATTTAGTGTTTTGGGTGAAAATGGTATGACTTTCAACTTAGTTTCATTCAAGCGTATTGCCATAGTTAAACGCAAAGCTCATTGAGCTGAAAATTCTTAGAAATATAAAAAAAAACTATACTTTAAATAATAATTTACCCATTTAAAAGCGCTTTTATATCCTGTCAGAAAAAACCACAGATTCTACTACTTCAAGTTGTCAAAATAATTTGTTAGAGAAAATAACTTCATATTTCTTAAATAAATTAAGGATTATTTCACTTCTTCTTTGGTCCTTATTGTGGAACATGTGCATAAATGTACCAGAAAATCATATAATCATCGAATAAATAGTTTTCTACAATCATGCACCTATTTACTTTATTGCATAATTAACTAAAGCTTAAGCGCTTATCCCACTATATAGTATAGCTAAGTTATCCACAATGTCGACACTTACCGATACGAATTGTGAGCAATTTCCTTTTTTAATCCAAGTTTTGGTGGAAAAATAATTTTAATCTCATTGTAATAATTGTAATTGTTGTACAGCGATTTGAAACAGTTGCAAACGTCTTATATTTGTTAGCTTCATTATATTCCTATTTGTAGACGATTTCACACATATAGAATTAGGCACAAAGAACAAGTCATCAAAGTTTTAGGATTGTACAACACAGCGGTGACACCACCGACTAAATTGTATACCATGCTACTTTAAATTTACTTCAGTTTACTGATTTGGGAGCCAGCCGGCAAGTCTGCCGTCCAGGTGACAAAAATTTAAAGCGCTTAAGATTCTAAAGTTAAATGGAAATCGCCCGTAAAAAACTTCATGTATTCAAATCAGGAAATATATTGCCTTATTCTTAGTACTTTTCGATAGTGAACAAATTCAGTGACAGTCAAGAGTCTGTTTTCAGTAATTAGCTGAAAATCCCAAGTATAATAATACAGTATAATACAGATTAACGGCTTTTTTCAATTTTTTTCGTGAAACATTTCAGAAGTATTGTTTTTGACTGAAAATAGTCCAAATCGAAAGGTTATGATTTAATTAGTGGTTAAAAGTACAATTTGGATCATTAGGTAGGTAGCATTTCTCTATAATATTTTTAGAATCAATTGTAGCTATAGATCCCTAACTATTTTTCTCCAAAACAGTTGGATAATGGAATCTGTGTCTGCTAACGCGGTTAGATACAATTGTCACATAAAGTACATTTTATAGGTTCAAATTGTATTTTCTTATATATTAGTAAATTCGACTTCATTTATATTCGGACGACATTCTTATAGTAGATCTGTCTTCTGGCCACCATGTATATATTGAATAGTTATGATATTTTATCTTTCTTTTTCCTTTTAATGCTGTACGGTCCCAGCCTTTCCGGCCACAAGACCATATCTTATCTTACGCCGACCAGTTGGCTCTGCGGAAAACGTCGTTACCTTTCTTATTCTAGCGCATGCGGAAAACGCAAGGACTGTCTTATGATGGTCCCCTTAGCAATTGGGTAGCTATTCAAAATAAGACGTTTCTTTATTGGTTGTGTGAGCGGTGCCGAAAGGACGCCATCTCGTTGAAAAGTCACCATCGAGACCGCTAAGGTGTTTGAAAGGTTGCGCTCTGGACGTAATAAGTTGTGCAGAAAACGAGGGGGCGGGGGCGCCCTGCGGCCGATCTGCGGCACCCTTTAAATGGCGCAAAGTTATAAGCTCCACGGGTCCGCAACCGCGCCCCCGTCACGGCCACCGTGCCTTGGCAATTAAAGAGCTCATGGTGATCTTTGGCGGCGGAAACGAGGGTATTGTGGAAGAGTTGCACGTGTATAATACAGGTAAGTAGAAGCATATAAGCGTCAAAAGACAGTTTGAGGTATTTTACCCGATTTCGGCAGACATTGACAATTAAAAATACAATATCACAATGTCAAAATACACTGTCACAATAGATAATAATGGTACAGTGGGATTTGTAACAATATTCGATAACCAGAGTATAAACAAAAATGTATGTAAACTTAAAAAAGCCAATATTTCGGGAGATTAGGTCAGTTTGCTACAGATTTCGGTGACTCAGATTTTGTAAATAAGAGCAAGCAATCACTTTGAAATTAGCTTGCCATAGGCCATCGAAAATCTAAACAAAATGTCTCTAGGGTCGCGGTGTTAGGTACTCATTGGATGGCCGATGAAGTGAAATGTGAAGTGAGCGATCCCCCATCACTTGTTCAAATTCAAATATAAAATGCAATAAAAGACGTGAAATAGGGCTCTGTCGTCATGCCTGTTATCATGTGCGAAAATTATCAACTTGAAAAAGAAAAATCTCAGTGAAAAATGATTGTCAACATACTGCGTGGTATGATTAAATGATATAGAATAAAGTGTCTAAAATGCATTCTGTTTCAACATCGTGTGGAGATATTCTAAGAAATCAATTCGCAAATATAATATTCTTTGTGACTTTTGATCACAGTTTTTTTATGCGGCCGATTTTGTTTGACATTTTTGTTATTGAATATGTAGACAGGCGACAAATCTTTCACGTGACATTGATAGAATGTTTTTCTGTTCAAGTCTTGTAAATGCTGAATCGCTATTATATCTGTTTCTTTACATTACTCCACAGTAACTAACCAATGGTATGTGCCAGCGACGAAAGGCGACGTGCCCCCAGGATGTGCAGCATATGGTTTTGTGGTGGACGGCACAAAAATTTTCGTGTTCGGTGGCATGGTCGAATATGGAAAATACAGTAACGACTTGTATGAGCTTCAGGCAACCAAATGGGAATGGCGACGTCTACGCCCTGTACCAGATAAAGCTTACGGGGCGCCATGTCCTCGACTGGGGCACTCTTTTACCCTTGTAGGCGATCGCGTGTTTTTATTTGGCGGCCTTGCGAATGAGAGCGATGACCCGAAGAACAACATTCCTAAATACCTCAATGACCTGTTTGTCCTGAATATCAGGACAGAACCTCCCGTATGGGAGGTTCCTCTGTGCTCAGGCGAGCGACCTTCGCCTCGTGAGAGTCACACAAGCGTACTTTACACAGACGCGGCCAAGAGATCTCACTTAGTTGTGTATGGAGGCATGAGTGGATGTCGTCTGGGAGATTTGTGGCTATTAGATACGGAGGCTATGAAGTGGACGAGACCTCAGGCAGTGGGTCGACCTCCACTGCCCAGATCTTTACACACGAGCACTCTGATCGGTCATAGGATGTTTGTCTTCGGTGGCTGGGTTCCTTTCGTCACCGACGATGGAAAGGTGGCCAGTGAAAAGGAATGGAAGTGCACTAATACCTTAGCCTGCCTAAATCTCGGTGAGTACTTTATCTTTCATAAACTTAAGCATAGCAGTTAATTAGGTTTCTGTGATTTTGAAGAAAAAAAACTGCGTAGATAAGATGTGTGTACTTGAATTTTATGTCTTCAACTTTTTGTCCATTATTTGTTTTCCGTAATTTAATGTGTATGCAATATTTAGTGTTTAAGGTAATGTTTTATTATAATATTGTTTACAGAATCCATGACATGGGAAGAGCTTTCAGTTGACATGACGATTGAAAATGTACCGCGTGCACGCGCTGGTCACAGTGCGGTTGGTATTCAGAGCCGCCTGTACGTCTGGTCGGGTCGTGATGGGTATCGCAAATCATGGAACAATCAAGTACGTGTTTGTTGCAAGGACTTGTGGTATTTGGAAGTAGAGGTTCCTCCGCCCGCCACACGCGTAGCTCTAATTCGCGCATCTACGCGCAGTTTGGAAATGTGCTGGGGTGCTGTACCCACGGCCCAACACTATATTCTTGAAATTCAGCGAATCGATAACAAACCGGCAATTATTCCGCCACGTCCCATACGTGTTCCAACACCAAATGCGGTGGTACGTGCTCCCCAACAGCCATTACTACGGGCACCACGCCCATCAATAGGAAAGCAGATTATTATACAAAAACCTACAACAGCGGGCACAAGTACAGCAGGACACCCTGTGCCTGGCAGCGGTAAGGCACACGTGCTGAAGCTAGTAAAAACCAGTCAAGGTGAATATACGTTCTTTAAATCATTGAAGTTTTAAAAATTTGGAAATGAAACACGGAACGGCCTTCTTTTTACTTCATTCGTTTATATTCTTCTCTTTTTATTAAAAGTCCCATTTTATATAAATGAGTAGTGTGAAATGCTCTGATAAATCACTATATGTAGAGTAAAATTTCCTAACAACAGCTAATAATAATATCGTGTGTGACAAGAAATATTTAAAAAAAAATCCATTACACGTAATTCTCTTAATCTATAGTGAACATTAGACTTAATTTTGACATATTTATTCCGCAGGCATGGCAGTCCAGTCGCTGCCCAAGGTGACTGTTGTCAGTGGAAACGTCGCCATGAGTGGTAACAGTACCACAATCAATAAACCAATAATGGGCAACGTAGTGAAGATTGTGTCGTCGATGGATAAATTTATGTTGAAAAACGCCACGCCGCTGACGAGTGGTGGGAAAATATTAATTGCAAACCAACAGGCAAGACCTAATCAACAGATAATTGTGGTGAGTAGTGGAACACGTACAGTAGTTCCTGGTGCTCCTCTTACAAGTGTTGCAACTAGTGGAGCGACTAAAGTTGTGCCGGCTCGTCCTATCACGATCCACGTGCCAAACAAAACTTTACAATTGGCTACAGGCAAGGCCATCACAGTTCAGTTGCCTAAGACAATGACGATCGTCTCTCCGAGCAGTTCTGCTACGTCTCCAGTAGTGGTGATCCCTAAGCCCGAAACTCCCGAGGAAACTTCTGCCCAAATAGAGCAGTTAGACGGTGCCTGGGATGAGCTGCAATGTTTTGTTAAAAGGACAGGAAGGCCACCACAAATAGGTCTCAAAGGCGGTGCACCGCCTACTAAAGAAGAAGAAGAAGAAGAAGAAGTTTCACAGACACTGGAAGATTGCATGGATGAGAAGGTACTTGTTTCAGAAACCCTGAATTAACCATAACAACACAGACAGATAAGATATATGGGATAATCAAGAATGGTCTCCATTCCAGGATGCTATGAATGAAAAATTGGTTTTAAGTAACAACGGACATATGGACGTGAATTCGACGAATGTTCTGACAACTATTAAAGGAAATGAGCCGTTGAATCTCAGCGCAATTGAGTCTGTAGGCGATATCAAGACATACGTACTGTACAAGGCGAAAGACCAGCATTCAGAAGAAAAGCGAACTCTAGGTACTCTTGTCTCGGCGGCTGCTCAGCATTTAAATAAACCGAATCGGCAATTGTCTGATCAAAAGGTAAATTCTTTCACGAAAATTGCATATTATATACAAATAGTAGTCGTCACTATTCAAAACCTTCGGCAGCTGTGGTTCGTTTTTAATACTCAAACTTTAAGCTGGGATTCACTACAGCTTCTTTCTGGGACAAACAATTTTTTGGTAATTCCAAGGGGTGGCTAATGTTGGAGATGCAGTGTCACTTGGTCCGAGATGCAGTCGAGATGCACGGAGATGCAGAGATGCTATGGCACTCAAAACCCACATTAGCCACCCCTTGGGTAATTTTGAAAAGAAATGAGAATGAAATGTGCCTAAGTCTTCCTTTTTAAAGTTTGAACCTGAATAACGATTAGTTCAATTAAGATTAACTTAAAGAGATTTATCAAAATAGTTTAATCTTGAAAGAGATTTTGTTTTATTTCACCTTCTCTATCGTTATATTTCTCTTCTCTTCGTCAAAGTGTTTAGAGCGCGATCAAAGATTCTGTGAACAATGCGTACTTGATTTAGAAAATTCGGCTCAACTACTGAAATATTGATATTTTAAATAAGACTTCATTTCAATAACTTCGCAACTTATCTATAATCAATTATTTTTATTTTATTTCTGAAATAGGTTGACGAGGAGACTAGCGAAAACCCTTGGTGCACCGTGGGCATATTCAAAGGTGTCAACCACACTGTGACTAGTTACATTGATCCTTGTCAGTGGAACAGTGCTACGCAGCCCTACCTTTCTTCGGACACATTACCTGAATTAGAAATGCTTAGCAGAGTAGTGCTTGAACAAGGCACGGCATATAAGTTTCGCGTCGCGGCCATTAACGGATGCGGCCGCGGTGAGTGGGGCAAAGTGTCTCTTTTCAAAACATGCCTACCTGGCTTCCCTGGCGCTCCCTCTACCATTAAGATCAGTAAAATGGTTGATGGTGCTCATCTGTCTTGGGAGGCACCGCCAACTACAGAGGGCGGCATCCTCGAATATTCAGTGTACTTAGCAGTAAGAAGCGTAACTACTAAGGAAACAAACTCCGCAGCCCAACTCGCTTTTGTACGTGTGTACTGCGGTCCCAACAATCAATGCACAGTGTCCAATAGCTCTTTCATGCTCGCTCACGTTGATTACACGAGCAAGCCGGCCATCATTTTTCGCATAGCGGCGCGTAACGAAAAAGGCTACGGACCAGCTACGCAAGTTAGATGGCTACAGGGTAAGTTTAAAAGATTCACAACATTCTACTAACCTTGGAAAAGAAAAAAACAGTTTCTTATGATTCTCCGGTATACGATTGAGAAAGATTTGAGAACTGCAAAAAGTTTTTTTTGTGATGGTCAACTGATTATTTACTAAAACGCGATTCATCAAGCTGACATTTTCCAATTTGCTCCTCTACTTCTATAATCAATATCGGATTCGAATTACTTCTGTTTCTGTTTAGTGAAATATTGCTTCAAAGCACAAAAAATTTTCAATTTTTTTTATTACAATTTATGATTGAGCAAAAAATTACCTTTTGAAATGTTCACATGGCATGGTTTATGTTAGATGGCGACCACATCGGTCAGGATAAACTGAAAACAATTTCCCCACATTGCAAGTTTGTGCTAGAATTTGTCAAAACGAAGAAAAATACATAGTAAATGTCCCATTAAATAGCTTTCATGTTGGCTTGCGAAAAGGTTATTATTTTGTTTGCAATGTCCAAAAACATTATAATTTACTTGGACGGAACCCATGATTAACTGGATTGAACTTTCGACCGCTGATATGTAAAAAATGAATGAAAAGTAGATTTTCGGTCAAGAAAGCTTGTTTCTATCTAATCTCTTCCACCAACGTTTCGACGCTTGTTGGGATCTACCTCAGGAGATCAAGAAAACGAGAAATAATTGTCACAAAAGAATTGTAAGAACTAACATAATCCATAGGAACTAAGAATGATTTACCTAAAATTCTCAGGATAATACATTAACCCCTTGTAAGTCTTCTATGTACAAGTCTATGTGTAAGACAAAATATGAATTATCCCAGTTGTGAAGAAAATCAAGTTTCTAAACGAAATGCCATTATTACAATAGAAATGGCGTTTAAAGTCATTCTAAGGTCTTGCAATGCGGATTTTACTTTAAGTGCATTGCTACTTTAGGAAATTACGTATATTCCGCCTATTTGATGGTGTCATTCCTGATGAGTATATCAGTTGAACACGAGAGGCGCTGAAATAAGCAAGATTCCACACTTACGCGCTTGCAGGAATTAATAAGCTAATCTGCATTTCAAATTTTGTTTTAAATTGTGCTATGCTGCGAACCAAAACATCAACGGCCAAATAACTAGCCTCTAAATCCAGCCATCAAAACATTCTCTGTCTTACGAGCTGATCAATTCATTGAAGTAAAGCTCACGATAGGCAGATGATTTGTTTCGTCAGACAAAGCAGCGCTGTCTTAGGTTTTTGTGCCTCCATAATTACATCGTTTCCACATAACTAAAATTAGAAGCAAATTTTTGCTTCACAAAAACATCGACAATGGCCGATGTTTGGTTCCTTCTCTGAAAAATGTTGTTTCCTGGGCACAGTAAATAAACTTACCGCAGTAGAAGTAGCAGTATTTTCGGCTCAATGTCAAATATTCAAATTGAATTTCTCATGCTTAATAGACATATCAGCAAATATTTTTATCTCATCTATAGAAAATAAGCTCCTTTACAATATCTCAAGTCATTCCTCTTTGTCATCCTTTTCGAAATGCCTCTTTTCGACGGTATATAACAAAATTTATGAATTCCTATTTAAATTCAACTGAATTATAATAGTCAATGAGCCTCTTTACGCAGGCCAAGTTTAATGCTGGATTAAAATTGATGCAGCATTTATTTGACAGTTCTCCATACAGAACTTTCAAATGAATGCCGCATAAATTTAAATCCAGCATTTACTTGTCCGGCGTAAAGAGGCTGCATGTCTTTGCTATCAATGAGCCTCTTTATGCCGGGCCAAGTTAAATGCTGGATTTATCATTAATGTAGTATTTAACAATATTCGGCTTTATTTTAGTCCATGGCGTTGATACCGGGACACAAGCGCTTCGGCCGGATTAAATTGAAAGCGAATCATGTCGCAACCCGACGCGCACTTGCGAATGACGTTCAGTGAGGATGTGTGTGAGAATTCGACAGCGCACACGCATGCGCAACCGCGCAGTTTGAGCCGACTTTTAAGTCCATGTCGGACTAGCCTTAATATAAATGCTACATTTATATTAAATCCGACACGGCATAAAGAGGCTCAATGAGTCTCTTTACGCCGTCTCGTTAAATCCTGCTTGAGGCAAAGATCTATTCGCCCTTTCATCCATCATTTGCCGAAAGCGGTCAACGTTATAACTGAAAACTGGTGTGTGTGTGTGTGTGTGTATAACGAACAGCTCCAGATTCACGTGAAGCCTTCAAATGTCCACAAATCGACACTTTCGCCGGAATCACACAAAACAAGGCAATTGTATATGACTACTCTTCTTGGCTTGCCTGAAGTGAAGTTTATTTATAATTTATCTCCTTCACCTTGATCAGGAGTTGATCTTAGGGTAGCTAAGCTAAAAATCCAAAGGTGTTCTTTAGCAAGGAACAATGATCGTGGATCGCTGAGAAGAGGAAGATACATTTAGCCATATTCATAGGCTGTGTAATCTCTGCAACAATAATGTCGAAAATCTTATTTTCCGTCTCTATATCTTATTTACACATTCAGAATACACTTGAAGAACGGTTATACAGGAAATGTCATATTGTAGCACTTGATGGCCTACAGAACACTACTTACAAGAAAATGATTTTACTGACTTATCATATTGACGTGACTGCGAAGAGAATTTGGATTTGGGGCTGTTTCTAGAGAAACAAAATACTTTTTAATCCACGGAATTTCAATCAAACAATTTTTGCAACTGCATAAATAATAAAATCTTATGTACCGATAAATGTACGTGAAATATTGGTGTATTTTGTTTTCTAGATCCCCTTGTGGCAAAGATGATGCAGTCAACATCAAAGCGAGGATCTGAGCGGATTCCTTATCCTGACAAGCGAGCCAAAGCTGCCCCTTAAATCACGTGACTTGCTTTACTGTAAAATGGAATAAAGAGCGCATGTTTATATTGATGTGCTGATTCTCTGCGTCCCTGTGGATAGCCAGTAAGGCACATCGACTCGATTATCTGGCCGTGTTGTGCATAATTTTCTAAGAAACGCCACGAAGCGTGAACTTAAAGTCGTCCAAGAAAGCGACAGGGCGGAGGGGAGAGAAAGATGATGATATGCTTGAGACGCATAACGGCACGTGGCAAGTGAATGTAGTCGCGTGCGACGTGTGCAAAACACCAACGCCACTTGGATACACGCCATCGACAGAGAGTGTAGAAAGATGCTCCATCTCGTGAGTAAATAGGAGCGCTGAGGCCATGGCTCGATCAACGATGCAGCATACGAATTTCAGTGGTCAGTCACTGTGAAGAGAAGTAGAAAAGTAATTATTATGTGAATATAATTATGCGTGATGTATGCTACAGTCGCTGTCTACCTTCCTAGAGGCTTATAATTACTGTGGCGCGTTGCCTAGTAGTGGAGGACGGTAAAAGCACAATGTACGCTAATATTACTTACATATCGCTCACTGTATATTAATCACACATTTCATTCACATGAAACAATCACGACGTATGAATTTTCATTTATTTATTGTTTTTTAATACCTTTCCTTAAATTTCAAGCCTCTAAGAACGAGTTAAAAACAATTTGAACCGGATCATATTTCTCTTCAACTAATAAATCAATCTAATCGGATCACCACTATCAGTGCTAGTATATGATTAACTATTTCAATACCAATTCCTACCATTTTACAACTAGAGGCAACCACGAGAAATTTCGCTAGAATCGACAAATCTGAATAGATACAAAAAGAACAATGTCTTAATGATTTCAATTGAAAATGAGACTTAGAAATATAAATTCATTTGCAGTTCGAATAAGTTTTAACTACACTAAAGGCCGAGAAAAAGGGTTTATATAGTGTGTTTTTAGATTTCAAATCTTGGAAAAAATAGTAATACCTGATTGTTCAAATTTATTGTTTCGAAATATATACTTCAATAAACTTAATCTGTAAGAGCCAGGTAATCCATTCCCTTTGAGCCGAGGGTGGTAGGTAGAGTCGCAAATGAATATGAAAGTAAGCAGTGAGCAAAAAAGCAGAGAATAATAGTAATAAATGAAGAGAAGCCAAAGCAACACGCTATAATGGGCAACGAAGCGTACTTCCTCATAAGATAACAACGTATATACGACCGAGTCGAGTTGAGGTGAAGAAGTACAGCAAAAAATACCCATAGAGTTCCTGTATTTCTCTTTGTCTCTCGCAAATCGCAATTTGTTGCTGCTGCTTCTCGTCTCTGACCCAAAGACTCCCAGCATTACGATACAGGCGGCACGAGGCGGCTTTTCCATAGTAGAAACATAATTTTTCCACCTCTTTCCGTTCCGTTTCGCTAACTCGAGGGCGGAAAAATGCTTCATATACCTCATGCCCCTCTTCTGTTGATCACTCAACTTTGGGTGACTTCATCAACAATCTTTAATCATATTTCACGGGTTTAAATGAAATAATTTAAACACTCAGCGTCCATCCTGGTATGTCATCCATTGTATCCTTCCATTTCAGCAGAAGCCATTCACATAATTACTTATGGGCAAACTCCATAGAATTAATTTTATGTGAAATAATATTTTTATACTCTTTTCAATTCAGATTACTTTTATAATTTAAAATAAGGAAACCTTGTTTGCTCTAAATCTATAATTAAATTTATGAATAGTTATTTCTAAGCTTTTATCCCACATTTTTCTCAGAAACTATATAATTTGTATAAAATTGTTAAAAATAAATTTTTTTCCAACAAAAATTCAGTTTTTACATCTCTCCCTCTGAAGTAGTTCTATCCAGGATGTTAAGAGGAACATTCAAGGTAAGTTTGCCCGGCAATACTTACACATCGGAAGGCGCAAACTACGCTTTAAAAATTTGTTCTTATATTAGCGCTAATAAATACATTTTCTATTCTATAAAAAAAAAATTGAATAAATTTTTGTCTTCCATTTAGAGGTTTTATAAACATGAGTAAACACTTAAGTCTGGAACATTACGTTTCTTGCTTACAAAATATGATATGATTTCTTCAGGCTTGAGTGTCTAACTTTCATAGCATAATCAACTCACAGGAGCCAAAGAAAAGGTACATATATTCTATCGTTGTGCTGTCCGCCCTTTTTAACTCATTTTCCATATCTTGATCAGCTGAGCTCTTCTAGTGGCGCTAGATGTGTGACTTTGAACATCATTTCCATACACTGTAACCAATTTTAGTTCTACAGTAGCCATTCTTCCGCTTTTTTCCATTTTCAAAAATTCGCTCTCAAAGAACATTTTCTTGGATGATAGATGTCTTGGAGACCTGATCTCCTGGCAATAGCGTTAAAACACATTTTGAGTGCTCTGGACTGAATTCCTTACTAATGTGACGAATTCGCTTCACATTTTGCCGATAGAATTTTTTTGCAAATACATTACAAATTTTTGGTACAAAAAAAACTATTACAGATAAAACAAAATATAGAATGACTTTTTTATTTATTCGGGTTTTCGTTGTATCTGGCGATTTCTAGACCAGAAAGACTAGAATTTAGCTCATGGCTTTATTCATTTAGCTTTTATTCATTATTTTGTTTATGACCTTTCAATATAAATGCGTAAAACAGAAACAAGTGTTGTAAGGAGCAAATTAAACGGTATTTGCAACGATATGTGGTGATATTTTCAAAATAAAAAGCTTGAGATGTGTTAAGAGAGTTAAACTATTGAGAATTATTTGTGATAAAAAGCAATTTCTTTTTTTCTCTCTATTCTATTGCTAAAATCCAAAAAAAAAAACATTTTTTAAGACATTATTGACGATTTTGAAAGTCGCATTTAGCATACTATGTTAAAAAGAATCCGTTGGTCAATCTCTGTGATTTATTCGCTGAGCCGCCTGATGGTCAATTTGACGACCGTTGGTTGTTGTCAGTTAAATATACAATGCATAGTAACAGGTTGATGCATCACGAGGGTCGCCAGACCAACAGGTAGCAGTGTTAATGCAGGCATTGAAAATGAATATTCTAAAGTATAAGTGAGAGAAGGACAACACAAAACGGTGACCCTGTCTTGTGCGTCCCCTCAATTCTCACTCTTAATTCGCCCTCTTCCGCGATGTCCCCTATTTTCATCATACTTCTCTCACTCCCTTTTTCTTTCCGCCACTTCACGGGCATATTTTATTATTCACCCACCTTAATTTTGTAGTTCCGTTCACAACGGTCGCGCCTTTTGTTTTGGCGCTTCCGAGGGACCCACCAGAGGGACCCCAATCAATAGCGCCTGCCATGGAATCACACTCAACAGTTACATAACGACCTATAAGTGATATTACATGTAAAGAGGGTGAGATCCCTTTGCCTTTTCTCTCATCTTTGCTTAATCCGTAATAATTTCTCTAGTCGCCAAGTCAACTACCTGTGGAATCATAAGCCTTTCTAGCTTCCGAAGGCAGCTCAATTCGACACGACATAGTGAAATCTGGACACAAATATGAGTCGTTTCGGGATTTCGTCAGAGTCGTCTGTCAATCGTAAAGAAGTTCAGTAGGTGCAGATTATATTTTTCTATTCATTAATCTTATATGTTAACCAAATATGCATTAATCAAAAGTCAGAAACCACATGAACATTGTGCGCATATAAAGAAAGACAAATAACACAAAGGAGGAGGTAGAAACAGTCAATTTTCCGTAGATTCTGGAATCTTTGAAACCAGCCAAGGCTAGAGCAGTTATAAAAACCTAAAACGAAAAATATAGAAAAGTTGTGACTTAAATACAGAATTATGCAAGATTGTTGTCAAAAAAGCTTTTTACGTCTTATTTTACATTCTTATCACTCGCCGTTTTTTTTTTAATACTCTTCTGAATAACAATAAAAATTTGAGGTGTTTGGTAGGTCCAATAGAAATCCATCAATCCATACAATAGCAATAAATACTACTCCTTTCTATTCTATTCTAGGGTATTCTAAAAAACTTAGCGAACATAGAGTTTTCTCTCCATTTTTCTTGAAGAAATTTTCGGCGAACAATGTTCGAACTGTTGCCAGATGCTCGGTGCCAAAAGTGGTGCTAACTTTTATCTCTCCTTAACTCCCTTTCATCATGGATTGTAAACCTATCAGAAGGGAAAGAAAGTTCTGGGGAAAAATCCATTGCTACTTCCTTCAAGGCAGCTGCTAGAAAACAGCAATATTTCGGTGCCCGATTGAAATATCATTATTAAGTGTTATTCTTAAGTCTAAGCCGTGTTATGCAATTTTTGAACTTTTATATCGCGTTGCCTTTCTTGATATATAACTTAAATTTTATAACAATTGTTTATTATAATAATAATCTTGCAAGGTTTATAATGGCGAATGCTATAGAAGTTGAACAGTAAAATTAAGGCATTTTCTTATTCTTTTTCGCGATTTGCACTAAACTAGAGGCAACAAATGAGAGAACGATGGTTTGACGTCAAACCGTTAAAAGGAGTAAGAAGGAAAATTATAAAACTTATGGCGCAAAGAGAGACAATAAATATTATCGCTTCAATTTTAAACGTGCACAGACTCCATAACAATGCATTGCAGAACAAATACTGTGCATATACTGATTTCGGGATTGTATTTGCAAAACATATCATAGCTTTATCATTCTACTGATACAGCATATATGAAAATCATATATGCTCAATCATTGAGACAGTTTTGCCGTTAACTGTATTTTTTTTTACATATAAAGCACGATCAAATCGTACTCGTATGTGCCCTTATGAGGAAACACAACAATCGCTTGTATTTTGTAATTGCTGTTTTAGTAGATATTACAGAAATTGTATATCTCACATTAGTGGAGTCAATCAGCAAGGATGTCTCAAAAAATAGGTAATAATTCCACACTAAAGAAATACGACCGGAGTTATGGTGATTCAAAATATAAATTTTTTGTATTTCAAAACTTTGGTCCTATTTGTTTCATCTAA